TGAAAAAGACGACAAAAAAGTTCGAGACCATTGTCACCTGACTGGGAAATACAGGGGACCCGCACACGAAAATTGTAATCTCCAATTTAGGGATGGTCACACCGTTCCCGTAGTATTTCATAATCTTTCGTCGTATGACGGAAATATAATAATAAAAGCTCTAGCCAAATGTGATGGGTCGATCGACTTGCTACCTGTAAACAAGGAAAAGTATATTTCCTTTACGTGGCACCTAAATGACAACCTGGTGAAATTCCGATTCATCGACAGTTTTCGATTTATGTCGAGTGGCCTGGATAAGCTGGCGGCTAATTTAACGGAATATCCAATACTGGAGCTCGAATTTAGTGAATTGTCGGAGGAGCAAGCCAATATATTGAAACAAAAAGGCGTTTTCCCCTACGATTATATGAATGGATGGAATACGTTGAAAGAAACTGTTTTGCCTCCTATTTCGGCATTTTATAACATATTGGATGACAAACCGTTGACCAAAAAAGATTACAAACGTGCTCAGGAAGTCTGGGAGAAATTTGGATGTCGAAATTTGCAGGATTATTCTGAACTTTATATGAAGACGGACATCCTGCTCTTGGCAGACGTTTTTGAGAGGTTTCGAGAAACGTCACATAAGACCTATGGACTTGATCCTGCACATGCGTACACACTGCCGGGATACGCGTGGAGCTGTATGTTGTATAAATTGAAGCAAAAACTCGATCTACTCACTGACGTCGACATGATTTTGTTTATCGAGAAAGGAATGCGAGGAGGCCTTAGTCAGTGCTCCAAACGATATGCGGAAGCCAACAACAAATATATGCACAGCTACGATCCCTCCAAAGTTGATAAATACTTGATGTATTTCGACGTCAATAACCAATACGGGTGGGCAATGTCTCAATACCTACCGTACGGAGGTTTTAATTGGTTGGATGAACAGCAAATCGAAAATCTTGACATTTTAAATATATCCAACGAGTCGGACGTCGGCTACATCTTGGAGGTCGATTTGGAAATACCCAAGGAGTTGCACGACAAATTTGCAGATTTACCTCCATGTCCCGAACATCGCTGCCCTCCAGGATCCGAAAATCAAAAATTACTGACCACCTTATACGACAAACAGGAGTATGTCATTCACTATCGTAATCTGAAACAGGCGCTACAACTGGGAGCTAAGTTAAGAAAGGTACATCGAGCCGTCTCGTTCAGCCAGTCGCCTTGGTTAAAAGCCTATATCGACCTAAACATTGCACTACGTCAGGCTGCCAAAAACGAGTTTGAAAAGAACTTGTTTAAATTGATGATCAATGCTGTGTTTGGAAAAACAATGGAAAACATACGGAACCATTCCAAAGTTAAGCTTGTGAAAAACTGGCAAGGTCGCTACGGTGCGGAAGCTCTGATTGCCCGACCCGAATTTAAAAGTGCAACTATAATTAGTAAAAATCTCGTTCTTATTGAATTAAAAAAATCTGAAATATATTTTAACAAACCTATCTACGTTGGGATGTCAATTATGGAGATAGCCAAGACAACAATTTATGACTTTCACTACAACTACATTCAAGAAAGATTTTCCAATTCCCGAGTTTTATATACCGACACGGATTCTCTTGTTTACGAGATATTATCCATAGACCCGTACGAGATTTTAAAAAAGGATTGTTTCCGGTATTTTGATACATCGGACTATGCGGAGGATAATCCGTACGGTATACCCACAGTCAATAAAAAGGTTCTGGGTATGATGAAGGATGAGAACAATGGACGAATTATGTCTCATTTTATCGGACTTAGAGCTAAAATGTACGCCACAAAGCTATACAAGACACCGGAGGAAGAGGAGTCCGCAAAACAAGAATTGATGGCTGCAGAAACAGATCGAGAAGCATTTGAACGTGAATTTAAAAACTTGGGTGTAACGAAGAGGATCAAAGGAGTTAAAAAATCCTTCATCAAAACTAAGATAACTTTTGAAGATTTCGTCGATTGTTTGCAAAATTTCGCTGAAAAAAACATATCGCAGAATTTAATAAGAGCGAGCAAACTGGAGTTGCACACAGTATCCCAAAAGAAGATCGGGTTAAGTCCTTGCGATGATAAACGTCGCATATCAAAGTCGTCAGTAGAAACGTTACCGTGGGGTCACTATTCGATTATGGAAGAAGAAACTGTCTCCGCTTGATTATAAATGTGTTTTCGGTTTTGCTTTGAAATTTCGTTTTTTTCCTAAAAAAATCGAATGAGGTGCGCTTAAGGGCTCAGTTCGCGTCTGGCAGCCTCGTTAAATTTTTATTTTAAAAATGCATTAAATATTTTGATCTTTTTCATTATATTTTGGGCATATTTAGAATAAAAATGACCGGAAGTCCTTAATATTTTTCGCTTATTACCTCCAACTACTTTTATTATATTTTCCACTGTCAATAAACAGTTTGACTCCTGTAAATTTGGTTTTTAATTTTGCAACTAACCAGTACCTATAGTACGTGTCTACCGTTAACAGCAAACAGACGACCGATTTGCAAAATGCCTAGTTTGAAAAAGTGTTTATCAATCTAGAAGACATTTATTTAAAGATTAAATGTGCTATTGGATTCAATTTTTCAATATATTCAACTTTATCTCGAACCAATTTGCGATGTCAATGCCTCGCAACCGCAGATAAGAGACTACGGTGCGGTGATATCCTAGTGGGCGGATGGATCGCCTTTGCTTTTAAGGCGCAAAATATATTTGCGTGTGCTATCAGTAATTTTGTTGGGTGTTAATTTTTTTTGCCAAATTACGTCAAGTGAAAGTCGACACGCTTTAAAATTGCATGCGGGAGACTGCACGTCCGAGGCGGTTGTGCGTCAAGTCGTTCCCGTCTGAGCACGTGGACCTTGAGACTCCCACCTGCATGGCTCTCTGGTGACAACATACGTTCAGCGTGTTTATTCAAATATGCGTTTGTGTGCCTTTCGATTTTTAAGTCAATTTTTAATTTTTAATTTAACCATGGACGGGAGAACATGTGAATAAATATATTTAATGTGTATTGTAGACTATATTCAGTGCAATGTCAAGTGCGGTATCTATTTCCCTATGACTCTACAACTGATAAGTTTTATGATTTTAATTTACCCTAATACAGTGCGAGTCTTTTTTTTTGTTTTGTTTTTGTGGGTTTCAGTTTTCGTTAATTTTCTCAGTGATTTTTGAATAACAAAAAAAAACAATGATCACTTTTTTGGTCAGTTCCTACCTGTTTTTACAATATAATAATCCACTTTTTACGTTGCATAATAATCGAATTAAATTGAAATATATAGTGTTTTTTAAATATCCTTTAAATGACAGGGAATAGAAATGTGACTTTACTTACGTCACTTACTAAAAGTTTTGTTTAAAAAATCTGTTTTATAGGCAACGCGACATATACATATTTTGTTTCTTGTTTGTTCTAGAAAAAACACGATTTCTCCGTTTGACAATAATCCGCGTTTTTACTTGTAAAAATAATCAAATTAAATTGAAGTATATAGTGTTTTTAATGTCTTTTAAATGACAAGAAGTAGAAATGTGAATGTTGGTATGTGTGTGCAACTTTCACACACATTATGTTGGCGCATCCAGCAGGGTGGGTGGTCGACAGAGGGAGACGGTGAGGAGTGTATTTCCTATATAGATTTCTTGAAAGAACGGGAACAAGAACGTCATCAGCAGGAACATCGTTTATGGACGACAAAGTGGACGCAAAAGAAGAAGAAGAAGACCCTTCTGGATAAATATTTGTTATTGTATATAGTTTTCTTTAATTAAACTTGAACACACCGGGTGTACCTGATTATTAAGGCACTATGTATAACTCACTCGACTTGTTTACCGTCGATCCTATACTCCCGATCACCGCGTCATCCCGTCCTAGCGTCTCCGTCACCTGCCGGGGTGACGCAGCCGCTGATAGGAATACTGTCAAGAGCGCGCACGCACGACATCTAGCAGCAACGAGACGGAACCGGCGGTACATAATTAGCTCGGCATTAAAGTGACCGTTCAACGACGGACGAATTTCGGGTTCGATCTTCGGCAGGAATAAGATGAGTCATCATTCTCGAGATCAAACACATAATTACACATTGGTTTTAATATGCTCGTTAGCTCGGCGTTAAAGTCTGCGGTCGACAAGCGACGGATCCCGGGTTCGATCCTCGGTAGACGCGAAAAAAAGGTGAGTCACCTGACTAACACATCTGTTGAGTGGTTGTGAGAGGGTTGTGAAATGGGGGTGTGAGGGTTGGGGGGGTGGTGGGGGGTGACGGTTGTGGGAGGGTTTGAGAGGGGTTGCGGGAGGGGGTTGGGGTTGAGGGAGACGGTTAGTTGGTGCTAAGAGGGTATGGATCGAATGACCTTGACCGGGACCAATTTCAACTACAATGAACCTTAAATTTTCTTATGGGAATTTACGTGTAAAAACGGCCGAAATTGCTGTTGAACGCAGGTATTATATCTACTGACAACTAATATTATAGCACGCAGTCCACCAAAAACAACCCACCTTGTTCGATGTAAAGGTTACTACAGTCCCGGAATTTTTGCAATACAGTAAATGGTTCTTGAGAAAATAATTTTTGAAACTGAGTCAAAAGGACAATTCTCAGGGTCTTTTAGATTTCTGTCCATAACTAAAACACCGTGCGTATAATTGAAAAAATTAAAAAAAAAATACTGAGATTTTACTTCCCTACTAAATTTGCAATAGCTGCAAATTGGAGTTGCCTAAATACATTTCTCATATAGTTATACCAAATTTTCGGGTTTTTACGAATTGGGGAGGATATTTGTTATAGCACTGGATCTCGCAGATGTTTTCGTCCGAAAACTTTTCCGATCGCTTGGATGGTTCTCGAGAAACGATATTTTTCTTAGACCCTTACACACGCATTTTTGATTTTAAAAAAATACTATTTAGTATTTTTTTTAGTAAAATTACATTATCGGGAAAGTCTCACCCCGTGTTGTACCGATATCCTTTCACGTTCCGAGACAAGCTAACGCGGCGCAGTCGGTAGGATCCGCAATATACCATCGGGATGCCTCGATTTGTGTTTTCTTCTAGGAAAACTTAAAGAAAAACACTATAGCCGAGCCGGAACATTAATTTACACAACTTTCAGGTTATCGATATTTAATGAAACAAATACTGCAGCCGCGTCGATCAGCTGACCGGAACGTACATCAATTTTTCCGAGCTTAAAGCTTACTCCGTCGCATAAGCTTTAAGCAAGCGGAAAGCGGATCAAAATGCACTCACGCGTGCTTCCTTGGCGGAGGGCGTTTCCTTTTTTACCGGCAAGGAGGAAAACGCTCATGGGAACATTATCCGCAGCGAATTAGACGAAAAAAAGGCACCAAACTACGGTTATCTGATCATTAGAACGATGCGGATCGAGCTACGACAGGCGACTGTTTTCCGCGAGGTTTCCCCCCGCTTTTCTCTTTGCGAGGAAAGTCCGGGCCGTCTCTAATTCCATCCGAACCAATTTCCCTGGATATACAAGGTGATTCGAAAAGATGAGCATACGGTTCCGCTTAATCGATGTTTTCTTAATAAATCACTCGTATTTTCAGTTGAGATACATCTCGTGGCATTGTCCGATTGGCCACAATAGTTTTCGGAAATTATAATTTATAAGGAAGATTATCTTTTAACTTATAGGATGTTGGGAGATGATGCGTGCGTATTGTGCAGGCTCGTATCAAGAAAACTAATTTTGTTTTGGTCCTCGTCCTGATTATTAAGATCCCTTAATGTTAGATTTAAGGAATATTTAGCTCATTTAAAATTTGGTAGATTAGAAAAATCAAGTGTAACCGAACATATGTTCAACAATAATCATGAGGTAGATATAAGTAATTTAAAATTAGTTAAACAGGTAAATAATAGTAGAAAATTATTGATTGGCTGCGTGAACAGTGCGTAATCCCCTCTCCCGATGTGTATATATATATAGAGAGCATTTGTTATTAAGTTTAGTTTTAATCTTCTCCTGAAGATGCCAACTTGGTTAGCGAAACGTGCGTCGAGTACGTAGAATTGAGTTTCGGTTTGTGGTAAAACGCGTTATTGTGCGTTAGTACAGTGCCGAAGGTTTCAGTCAAGAGTTTGATCCTCTTAGCTTAGTTTATGACTTGCAATGCACGGAGTTCCACAGGGTTCCATTATGGGTCCATTATTGTTTTCAGTTTATATTAATGATCTCTTTGGTCGGACTCTTAAAGGGGAAACAGTCGATAGTGCTTTCAACAAATGTAAATATGTTGAATCTGCGAAGTTTTTAGGTATGGACAATATTGCTTATTCACTTACGCCTCTCTCCAGTGTCGACTTTATTATTTAGTTTCGAGCTACTATGCTCACTCTCATCAAATTTTGTCAAACGCCGTGGGGAAACTCAATAGATTCGGAATACATGTATCACACGGTATTAGAAATTCATAACTCAAAAAATATGTTTTCATATATATATCTCTCTATCTTCTTTTCCTGCAGCGTGAAACTCCTAAAACTGCCCGTTATACGTTCGAGAGGGGCCCGAAACGTTATCGATCGTGTCATAATGTACTCACGTTTCGTAAGCAGGAGGCTGATGACGTGGCAGTGCGCCTGCTGGCGTCGCCGCAAGGCGTCGCGACGTTTCAGTCGACGCGAGAGTACGAATCCCGTCTGTCGCAGGATTTCCAGCTGGGTCGCGACTAGCGCTCTCAGTGCGGCCGCGTCTGGGGAGTCGGTAAATATACAGGTCGTCACAAAGAAGTAGGTCAGTTTGTTCAAAAATCGATAAAATCAAATTTTTCGAAAACATAGGCGCTCGACAACGACACGAAATATCCTTCAAGGTATAATCTTCAACTTAATAATAATAATAATAATAATAATAATAATAATAATAGCTTTATTGCTCAACAGAAAACAATCCATTTAAGTAACAAAAAAAAGACACATAGATGCAGCTCCAGTATCACGATAAACCTTTGTCTTCTTTTAAATATATATCTTAGTAGGCTGCGAAAAAAAGTTGAAGTCTTGCGTCAAATAGTTTTTTATTGACAGAATTTGAACAAGACGTGTTCGATAAAATGTAGCAAATAACGCAAATTGAGTATAGAGCAGTCATAAAGTTTTTTTGACAAAAGACATAAAATTATTAAAGAAAGGCTGGATGGTGTGTACGGCCAAAGTTCTCCTTCGTAGTCTGTAGTGAAAGAATGGGCAAAACGTTTTCGAATGGGACAGGAGTCCCTTGAAGATGATCCAAGAACTGGTCGACCAGTGGAGGTCATAACGGAAGGTATTCTTGCGATTGTGGAAGAGGTGGTATTGAGTGATCGACGTTTAAAGGTCCAGGAAATCTCAGATCTTCCCCCCTATAGTCCAGATATGGCCCCCAGCGACTGTTATTTGGATTTGGATATTTGAAAAAGGACTTACGTGGACGGCGGTTCAACGACGAAGTTGAGTTAAAGGAGGCCGGCAGACAAACCAAAAGAATATATTTTTAAAGGGATTGAGTTGTTAATAAAGAGATGTGATAAGTGTATTAAAGTTATATATATTCAGGCTGGGAAATTTTGGCGCTGCCCTCGTACTTGTTTGTAACTCTAGAACTTTGAAGTTAAGTCTCAAATAAAAAAAAATGAGTTTGGAGGAAAATTAATGCTTACGATAAACGGTAATTAGATTTTGCTCACCTTTCTCTAGCAAAATATTTTCTCGGATACTGTCGTGGTCATTCGCGAGGGTCGAGCACTCGGCCCAGTGCCGTTCGTGCGACTTCCTCCCGTAAATGTCCCTCAGGAGTCCATCCATCACACACGAACCGAAAAATCAGACAAGGATTCGGTTTTGTTCGCGACGCGTTGAATATTTCATGTTTCAAAATGATAGGAAACGATTCATTAAGAACGCGATATGCCAGTTGCGTTACAATTCCTCGAGGGTATCAGTTTCGGGCTTTATCAGTCCCCGTTTCGGAAGTGGTCGTCGGATTTTGCAGTTGACCTTGAAAGTCATTTTTATTTTAGCTACCGAACGGTTTTTTTTTTTAAATGGATAACCCTTACCGCCTAGGAATCTCTAGGAGCGTCCACCAAAATTGGTTTTGATCAAAATAATTGCTCATTGGAAATAATAAAAGAACGTGTTTAGATACACAAGATATACTCCTTAGTTTCGATGTAGAACCTTTCTTTACTACAGTACCTATTCCTGAAACTCTCACCATCATTTCAGATATATTAAAATCCGTGAATCTGGAATCAAACCTTCTCACCGTAATCGAAAAATGCTTGTCTGGAACGTATTTCTCCTGTAACTGTCAGATTTATGAATAACAAACAGCTATGGGTTCTCCGTTATTACCAATCATCGCGAATATAGTTATGGAAGCCTTTGAGAAGAAAACTCTCGACAGCTTTCATCTAAAACCAAAATTATAGAAACGCTATGTCGATGATACTTTTGTTATTTGGCCTCATGGTCAGGAACCCCCGTAGATTTTCTTGGACATTTGAACTCTATACACCCCTTGACATTTGCGAAACAAGAAGAACTACTGATGAATTCACCATATTGAAATCAGGGACGCACTTGCGAAAATTGCAGAACAAAAAAAAAAAAGAAAAATACGTAAATGAAATGATAAAAGTTTATGGAACTCTGGAGATGGAAGTCGGTTTTAAGGACGTCCGATAAAAACAATGAATCATTCCAAATCCATGATTAAGTCCTAATTTATAAAAAATATTTCAGAATTTATAACTTAATTAGGAATTTCTGAAAAATAAAAAACCCAAAAATGAGGAATTTTGGAACATGAGCCGTTAAGCATATATTTTTTCTGTTTTTCATCTTTGAGTTTCACATTCCGTGTCCACAAACGCTTGGGAAAATCACCCCACCCCACTTCTTTTCTTCGAAAATTACAAAATATAAACAAAAGGAAATAATAAAAGTTTATGGAGCTCTCGGGATAAAAACAACGAATCATTCCAACCGTTTATTTGAAATCCATGTAACACTTACACAATATGGCGAATGAACGTGTTATACTGAAAGCTTTGCTACTTTACACAACTCTGAAATGGGCGACTGGTCGCTATATTCGTTTGAACCGCGCCCATCCGTCGTTTGAACCATGAAAAAACTAAGTTTTACTAGCCTGCTAATATATTCATTTTTATGTCATGAAGGTTTGTTCGATTACATCGCACAGACCGTTAAACCGTGGGTAGCCAAACGCAGAAGATGAATTTTTAAGAAGCGTCGAATCCTAGTAACATGTAAACACTGGTAAAATATTTAAAATGTTTTATTGTGAATGTCCCGAAAGGCCACCAAAAATAAAGTAAAGCTTCTAGTTTGATAAGTCAAATTTTTAATGAATATCTCAGAATTCCTCTGAAGTCATTTCTCAAAAGGAAATCATAATTTATAAAAATAATTGAAATTTTAATCGAAATTTTGGTAAAATAAGTCACAATTTTTTGATTTGGTCAGAATTTCGGAAAATATAACTTAGAATTTGTGAAAAATAAGTCAGAGTTTATAGTTTAAGTCGTAATTTCTAAAAAATAAATAATAACATGTGATTTAATTATGATTAATAATTTATGAAAAATGAGTCAGAATTTATGAAAAATAAGTCTGAATTTCTAAAAAAATTGTCAGATTTTATAGATTAAATCGGAATTTCTGAAAAATCAGTCAAAATTTCTTATTTGTTAAATTGTACAGAACAAGTCCAAATTTACGGAAAATAATTTGGATTTGATGGACATTAAGTCAGAATGTATGACAAATAAATCAGAATTTATAGCTTCAGTCGGAATCTTTGAAAAATAAGTCAGAACTTCTGATGTGTCGGAATTTCGGAAAAGTAAGTGGAGAATTTGTGAAAAATAACTTAGAATTTCTGGAAAGTTTAGTAAAATAAAAATTTTAATAAAATAAATCATAATCTCTAATTTAAATCATAATTTGTGAAAAATAAATAGGAATTTTGAACGCATAGTCAGATTTTATAGATTAAGTTGTAATTCAGAATTTATAATGTTTTTTATACCCAAATTTCTGATTAGTTAGAATTTCGGAAAAATAAGTAACAATTTGTGAAAAATAATTTCGAATTTATAGAAAATAAGTAATATTTTTTGAAAAACAAGTCAAAATTTTTGGAAATAGGTCAGATTGTTTGAGTTATATCAGAATTTCTGGAAAAAAATTCAATTTTTTTTAATTTAAGTCTCTCGTATGGGACTGCGATCGACACTAAGACGTACAGGGCGATCCATAACGAAGGATCACTCCAAGAGCGTCCAATCATATCCAAATGCACTTTTTGCATAAAGTCGGAATCGATTAGATTTAGAGGACCGGTTGCAAGACTTTTTTCTCATAGACCACTTTCAAAATTTTGCTGGTTCAGTTCTTTACTATTTAAAGAGATACATTTTCGTGGATCCTAAGGGGAACACTTTGGAAACTCGAGAACTGTCCCAAATAAGCAAAATACATTTAAACATCCATAATTTACTCAAACTCAGGCGCCAAAAATGGTTTCACCATTACGTGATATAGTTTCCAAGAAAAAAAAAACGAGTAATGAGAGTATACAAAAGTTATCGAAATGGCGTAAGTTTTCGCGTCTTCCTCAAAAATTTAAAGTAAATCTAGCGAGTTTTTATAGCTTTTTTTTGGATTCCGCCACGCCCACGGTGTAACGTTTTCCCCACCTTTACACGAGTCCTAGCGTATAATACATGTTACATACAGAGGTGCAAAATTACCTTACAACATTGCGGGAGGTTAAAAACGCAAAAGTCCTGCGGGTTCGTCCCCGACACGACTTTCGAAGACGATAAAGTTCACCGGACCACCTCGTATACGGTCCAATGTACCGGGCGTCCCAATTGCGCAAATGTATTTTTGGAATCGCCCTCGTATCCACGTTACCCGTAAAACGACATCCTCATAGCAGCATAAGAACGCAGTGTCGTAGATAATTTTTTGTTACTTTCGAGTTACTAAGTTAACTTACGTTTTTTTGTTTATATTTTTGTAGACTTAATGATACGCATTCTTAAAAATAAGCAAAAAACACCGTATAAATTTCGATATTTTTGGAATCCTTGGTTAAAATAATGGCCACTTTCTTAAGCAATTCCTATTTTGAATAAAAATATAGGGTGTTTCATTTTAAAATCTTGAGATTTTGTTAATTGAATTTGCCAAAACGGCACCACCTATTTGGCACACCCTGTATAAGTTGAGGCGCAATCTGTCAAATTCATTGAGTAGTGCATCATTTCCTTAACCTGTGGTTAAAGTTTCGTCGCAATACCTAGAGCAGTAGCGTCACAACACAATTTTATATGGAGCAATCAAAATACAAAAAAAAACACAATTTCTGGCCAAACTACGCAAAATTCGAATAGGAATTTCTTAAGGAAGTGTCTTTTATTTTATCCAAAGATTCAAAAAATGTAGAAATATACATGGTGTCCGATTTAAAATAACAAAGTTGATGTCGGGAGGGGGGATACTTTTGGTACACCCTGTACCAACAAAATTTTAAGTCTTCATGAGAGTCCAAGGAACTTTTTTTGCATATCCTATAAAGTGGGACGCCCGGCATATTCTCCGCGAGCTAGACTCCAGGTGGCCTAACATCAGCTTGACCGTTGTGCGAAGAGTCTACTTATGACGTCACGTCAATAGTGGGCGACTCCGTTTAAAGTTCGGGATCAATTCGATGTTAGTTTGAGGTCGCGATGTGAATTTGCGTATTGCGACCACACCCCTCGGGCGCCATTTTCGGCACGTAAAATAGTACATTTAGCAACAACCACGAGACGTAACAACGGGTACCGCCGGGGGTACCCAAAACCCTAGGCAGTGAATAATGTTGGTATTCGGATACAAGTATTGCTCGGCAAATCTACAAGTATGCTATAGACAGTTGAGAAAATAATGTTATGCACGGTGATTCCCAGAACTCGATAGCATTTATTTATTTATTACACCGTTTTCAAAGGAATTTCCGTAAACAGAGAGTTGTCTTAAACTGAAGCAGGGTGTACGCACACACAGGTCGCTGTATCATATTATTTTAACGTAGGTTATGGTCTAAAAATGTGATCAGACGAACGAAGTGAAATTGTGAAAATCATAATAATGATCATGATCGTAACCAGAATCATATATAAGTGCTGCAGATTGAATGACTTCTGTTTTACAATCCAAATAAGAACTAAAACTTAGATTTTCACGAAATTATGTATTTTGACAGATGTTATATTTGCAAACTACCCGCAACTATATATACTGAGAAATGACAACAAAACCCTGATTAATGTTGGTGTGAGAATATAATTTTCATAATGGAGAGGTATTTAAATGTAATTGATCGTCCAGCAATACATTTGAATGTCTCTTTTTGTTATTCTCCATGGCTTCCAGTAAATTTAATTTTCTACTTTTTGTGGCTGTATGTAAAATATCGAAAATGTCGTCAAAAATTGTGTAGCATAATTAGAATCCAGACTATTGTTTTTAAACGCCCTTTTATGTTCGCTAATGTGTTTCTTGAAGGATTCAGCTGTTTGTCCAATATAAATTTTAAGACAAGATCCGCATTTCAACCTGTATATTTTTGAGATTTCGGACATTTCGTTTTATTGTTTTTTAAATTAGTGTTGTTATTTATGAAAAGTATTGAAAAATGTTTTGAAACTTTTTCACTGGGTCCAAGCGTTATGTGGGAAGGTTTATGGTAAATGGTAAAGTCTAATTTGTTTTGCGTTTTCGTAATAGTAAAGTCTAAAAAATTCATAGAGTTATCCTGTTCAATCTCGATAGTGAATTTTATACGACTATGTAATTGTCTGTTCGTTCCAACAAAGCAACCAAAGACATCATCCACGTATCTATACCACCATAGGAAACTTCTACTTAAAGGATGTTCTAGTATGATATTTTCCAAATTATCCATAAAAATTTTACATACAGCCACAAAAAGTAGAATATTAAATTTAGTGGAAGCCATGGAGATTAACAAAACGAGACATTCAAATGTATTGCTTAACGATCAATTAGATTATTAAACTTAAATGGTCACAACATTAATTAAGGTTTTATTGTCATTTGTCGTTATATATAGTTGCAGGTAGTTTGTAAATATTACATTTGATGAAAACACGGTGTTGTCGAAACAATTATGTGAATATTTACGATTTCATGAAAATCTGAACTTTTAGTTCTTATTTATTTTGTTAAATGGATTTTCATCAAGTAAAAGCCACCTCAGTTCAATGTTCGACTTCTTTTGTATCTTAAATGGTAAATTTGAACAGATCAAAAAAAGGAAACATGTAAACATAAAACATGAAGCGAATAATATGGAATCAAAAGGAGACAAAGACAAAAAGGAAAAAAGTAATGAGAATCTAGCTACTAAGGATTTTATAACTAGCTGTATTTGATTTAAATAAGATTAATTCTGTATTAAATAATTCATTTGCAGTACTTGTCTTGCCCCTCTAATGCTTTGGTATTTTTTTGAAGTGTTTAAAAAAAAAAATTTTTCTCCTTTTTTTTTAACGCCTTTTTTTAAACTTGTTGTTTACTACAGAAACAGCCTAATATTTAGCTGCTGTTTCGCAAACGATGAACTGTGGAAAAATAAAAAGCAATCATTATAACCCAAAAAAAAAATCGACACCTTTCTTTCTGTATCAATTGATTAAGCATTAAGCTCAAACATTGACTCCATGTATCCCCACCCAGTTTTACAATGATGATTTAGGGCCAAATCAATTTTTAAATTTCTCCGAGTCATTTTCGGCAAAGAAAACTGCCTATTGTTTCAGGTACAACAAAACTTGCTCCTCATTGATAGTTAACCAAACCTTTTGTGATTGAAATTGGTCACAACATTTAGAACCGCTTTATCTACGCTCTGTTCATTGTTTTACCGCGTATCCTTTATTATCTATTCCCCAGATACTTCTAATAGGCTATCGAGTTTGGGAAACACCCCATTACCTTAAAAAGATAACTTCACTGTCTTGTGACGTCACGACTGCTTTTTTCCAATAGCCAATCGCGTTCCAGTCAAAAGCGAAATTATTGCGAGTTATTTGTCTCCGTTTTGTTTTTTTCTAAATAAAAAATAAACCGAAACTGACCCACCCCACTGTATAGTGCGACCAAAAATATAGTGCATTTATTGCTTTGACGTTTGAAGTATTCTCCGGTAAGTAACCGCAGGATCTTCGCAGGACCGTATTAAAACCCATCTCGACAGACGAGGCCTGAGATGGACCGTAACGAATATTTGTAGAAACTTGAAATTTTTATTTGAAACGTAAATGGACCGTTTTAAATTTGATTAAGCGTTGTTCATAACAGTTTAGTGATCCTTCCAGTAAGTACGTATTTATGTAGCTAACTCTCGAGTTTTGTCATTGCGAAGCTGTTTTCACTGGATAGTTCAAAGGGTAAGGGTAAGTACCGGTAAGTTTTTGTGTCCTGTTAAAGCGGCAGACGTTCCCCTGTTAAAAAAAGACATGGAAAACAACGCAGAATTCGAAGACGAAGTGAAGATGGTAGTCGAACCTAATCACAGGACGAAGAAGACGAACTACCTCAGCAAATACAAGTGGGATAGCCAAGAAAAAATTGAGAGAAGAAATTTCAAGACCAAAATAGTGTATTTAGACGACACCCACGACACAAGTGTGTACTAGACGTGCCGCCTTCACGCTGGGTCCAAAAATGGTTGGGTGGAAGGTGCCTTATTTTCGTCTGCCAAAAGCGCCAAAGATTTTGTATATTTGTATATAATGAAATTGAACGTAATAAATTGTTACTTTCTACTATTTTTTTTATGTACATGTTTCAAACAAAGATAAATTCCTAGGACGGTCCTGGAATGGTTACGAGTAAGGGCCTGCACGGCAGAGTATTCTATAAGGGGCTGCGATTTTGGCGTAATAACCAGTAGGCAAAGTTAATCGCGGGGTAAAAGCACTATATTTTTGGTCGAAGTATATATATCGGAAACGATAACGTTATTGACGAAAATGAGCGGCGTTGCCGGGTTTACATGTCGCCGAATATGCCCGCGAAGGTTTTCCTGAGGTTCTTCATGGTGTCTTCGGCATCCTCAGTCACCGACTGCTGTTGGCTGCCCTGTCTTTGGAATGGCCGCGGGGGCGGTTCCGGCAGCCGACCTGTACTGGGGGCGCTGCTAACCGTGCTAGTTTGCGAAGCTGAAAAAACGATTCGTTCTTTGACCGGCTTGCATTCTTAACTAAACTCTCCCTACCTAATATCTACGGGGTGATCTAAATTAAGTGTTTATCATTTATAAGTAGAGATACAAAGCCGGTTAATAGTAGTAGTAGTAGTAGTTAATAATAGATGCCCAAGAAAAGCTTTTGAAATGAGGGAGCTACCACATGGCTCGATGGTTAATTCTACCATCCAGAGTAACAAACTTGAAGAATTAAAGACTTTACCGACACCTATTCCCTAATAGGTACTTGCGAAGATATCCTTATAGAATAACGTTGTAGATGTTTGGGACATTTCCCTACCTTGGCTGTCCCTTCTGCCGACGCTGGACAGAGACGGGTGCTCCGCTGAGGACGGGGGCGGAGTCTCAGAATGAGTCAGACTGCTTAAGCTGCCCAGGATACTTCTGGGTCCCACGGGAGGCGGCGCCGGCTCTTCTCCCGGAGGAGTAGAAGGTCTGCAGAGGGCGTGCATGCGCGATACGACCAGGTCGGAAATGTGACGCCTGTCCTCTTCTTGGGAGTCCCCCAGGAGAGTGAGGGCACTGTCGTTTACCTATAACGTTACATATAGCTACTCTTAAATCCAAACATCATAAAGATGCTTTAAACACAGCCTTAAAGATAATTTCAGCTTTCCGGATCTTCAGAACGCCCGTCATCATAAGTGAAAACATTTTTAAAGTCTTCCAGTTCTTCCAGTTCAATCGAAAGTTGCACTCAACCTGCCCAAGACCCATTGCTAATCGTTTTTGATGCAATGCAGTGCAATTTGTTTGATAATATTAAGTTCTTTGTAGTAATTTTCTGTTGAGAGTGGCGTATTAAGAAGTCTGTGGATAAAAGAGTGAAATGCAGCCATTTTGTGTGTATAAAAGTGATTTGAGCTGTTATGTATGACTGTGTCCCTGTGCGAAGGCTTATGGTGAATGGAAAAATCTAATTTGTTTTGCGTTTTCGTAATAGTTAAGTCTAAAAAATTAATAGAGTGATCCTGTTCAATCTCGATAGTGAATTTTATACGATTATGTAATGAGTTAATGTAATCTAAAAAAGAATTCAATTGTCTGTCTGTTCCAACAAAACAAGCAAAGACGTCATCAAAGTATCTATACCACGATAGAAAACTTTTACTTAAAGGAGGTTAAATGGATTTTCATCAAGTAAAACCACTTCAGTTCAATATTCGAATATTACGAGCAGCTTTTTGGTTTCTTTCTTCTGCCGTTACTGTCATGGCGAAAGTTAATTGTTTTGTTTTTCTCTTTTTCTTTGAGATTTTGGCCCTAACCTATTTCGGCGAAACTAAATATGGTTTTTTATAGTTTCATAAATAGAAGTATTCGCTAGCTATACCTCGATGATGAACTCTTTGCCGTCTTTGCCGACGACGATCTCGATGGCGCAGATGTCCAGACCACCGAACAAATCACAGACCTCGTCGATCCACGTCTTATACCGCTCCGGCATCGAGATTTGTTCCAACATGGCGGATCCGGTGTTCGTCTTCCAACAACCTGCGTATATCGCGCCGATTTATCTCATTATACAAAAGGCAAGCATGCAAGATATCCCAGCAGACTTCTTCAGACTTTCAATTTACTCTTCTATGTTTAACGTTTATTTTTTAACTAAAACTTTTTGATTTTTTTTCATGATTTTTTCTTTGTAAAAAAAAGAAACAGCCCCATTTGGAAAAACCCGGAACAGTCGCAGAAAAAAGAAAAACAAGAAAACAAAAGCAGTACATTCGTTTTTAGTTATTAAGCCTTTTCTTCATACAGTCACAAGAAGAAATCAACTCTTTGTGTGACTTTTTGAAGATAATAATACTTTCGATACCGTTATTCAACTGTCTTAACTTGCTTTTAAACCAATTTTACAGAGGAATCATAAAACATGGCGTCTTCACACAAATTATCACACATTGTTCTAAGAAGTGGTTGAAACAAAATATCTCTAGGATCCCGACCTATCTATTTTTTTAACTAGTGATGCTTTATCGATTAACTTATTTAAGACGTATTTTTGATGACATCAAAATACGAAGAAACTAGCAATGTGATAACTTGGTTGATTTGCTTAATGCCTAGTAAGACATATATTCAAGTGCCTAATATAAATTACGTGACTGGATATCACCTTTTGTTATTGCTATAATAAAATTTTAATTAATTAATTTTTAACCGTCCACGAGCTCAATCTTTTCTGCTATAAAAGAAGACTTTGCATTGTGTTTTCACTTTTCATTTTTAAAAAATGCCGCACAATTTTGAAAAAAAATTAAAAATCCAATTTGTCGTCGATTTTGTTAATAAATTTATTAATTAATTGGTGGCAAAGATAAAATCTATGGAAAGCTAATATTTACAAAATCTTGCGTGAGATTTAATTGGTTGAACTTAATTAATTTAATTAATACCTTTAGTCGCACCTCAATTTTTGACGGTCCTCGCGTTAAATTTTTTCTGCTATAAAAGAAGATTTTGCATTGCATTTTCATTTTTCATTTTTCAAAAATAAAAACGATTAAACGATAAAATCTTTGGAAACCTAATATTTGTAAAATCTTGCGTGAGATTTAATTAACTTAAATTAATTAATTTAATTAAGATAATTAATACCTTTAGGATGTTAGCACACTCGCATGTCCATTTTTAACGGTAAACGATTTAAATCTTTTCTGCTATAAATGAAGATTTTGCATTGCGTTTTTATTTTTCATTTTTCAAAAATGCCGCACAATTTTGAAAAAATTTAAAAAATCAAATTTCTCGTCTATTTTATCAATAAATTTATTAATTAATCGGTCACAACGATAAAATGTTTGGAGAGCTAATATTTGCAAAATCTTGCGTGAGATTTAATTGCTTGAAATTAAGTGAAAAAAAAAAAAACATATGGCGTGTAAATTATCCTTTCTCTCCAACAATCGTTCCAGAAATAAGCGCAGTCTTTAAATATTATCGGGCAACGCTACAAATCGCTGGACAGCTATTTCGGGACCCCTAATCTTCACTAATTTGAAACTCGATTTTTAATTACCGCTACGCGTATCCGAGTTAATTAATAAAAATGCGTTCGTCGCGCGAACGCGTTTCTCATTAATTTTCTCATTAAAGACGCCGCCGGGGTATGCGAACCATATACAGGTTGTTTCAAGAGAAGAATACCGACATATTCTGTGCAACAAAATATTTGGATGTTATGTAGTAAAGTCAATATTTATTTTTCGATACGACTGGCATTTTCTTCATAAAAAAGGTAGTACTGCTCAGTATCTATAGTTTTAGGCGTGTTTAAGATGTTTGTAGTGTTACCTAGCAACGCCATCTTTCTCTATACCTGTATTTAGAGTGTCAATAGTTAAATGCGCGATTTTGTTTGGCTGTTTCAAAAATAAAACTTCACATGAACGTATGTCCGAAACGTCTTAACTTTCGAAAATAAAATATATTTTTTAAATATCTGTAATACCAGTGTAGTATCCAGAGGCATTTTAGTGGGCCACATTTTTTTTTAGTGCACAAGTGCCTATTCCCTTAAAATCCAAATTATTCTCACAATCTCCGACCATTTCTAAAAAAAGCATGCAGAGAATTGCGATGATTGGTGATGGTAGAGAACCCGTAGCTGTTCCCGAAGTTTGATAAAAAATTTGACTTCATTTTTGTTGAGAGTTGCAGGAATAGGAACTTCAGTAAAGATGGATCCAAACTAACCAGAGTATCTTGTGGATCTAATTTAATGATTTTTAATTGTTCAATGAAGTGAATGGAATTAAATACGAAACTATCAAATTTCATTAACGATATTAAAAACAAAATAATTTTGAAAAGTTCACCACAAAAAATAGACCCAAAAGTCGCTCGTTCGACTCGAAAGCACCCTGTTGTATTATTTTAATTTCGAACCCTTTAGTAATATCGCAGAATGTTTTATTCGCGAAGTTCCCTTCTTCTTGTCCCTTTGACTATAGCTTCAATCAGTTTTAATCTTCACTGGTTACGTTAAAATATATTTCTGGCTATTTTTGACCTAACCGTACCTGAAATGGACTTTCTCATGAACGCCTTGTAGTTGGTGCCGATCTTTTGGACGTGGATGTCGTACTTGGAATCGACGTAAGGTTCGACGGTGCAGTAAGCTCCTGCGACAGCGACCACGCTCGCCATGTCCTGGAAGTCGCCGATATTGTTTACTTTGACTTTGCCGAGTCCTCCGTGTGCGTGGCCTATCTTCAGCACAACCGGAAAACGCGCAGCGGTTATCTGGAAATTAAGGGGAACACTTGGATAACTTTGTTTTTTTTTTTGCTTTCGAAGAAACTTCTGCATACTGTAATAATGTAATCCTCTAGTAAACTGCAGCAAACTCTGTATTGCAATAGTAATTTCAGTTAAGCTTTGAAGAAGCCAACAGGATGATCGGCGCGAAACGTCAGAAACAACCGAACCAAGCGGAATACAGAAGATTTGTAAATAGTAAAACCTTTGGTGTTATGAAACCCGTTGTTTTCATAAAAAAAAGCGTAACGCATAATTTAATATGTATTTTTAAGAAAAACAATTAACACTTATTAATACATACATATTTATGAATCATTCTATTATAATTATTCTTATTATTATTATTATTAATTTTTTTATTAATGGGATTTGATACTATTCTGTTTACAGAAGTCTAGAGTATGTTACTCAATTCACATAATACTTTAAGTTTTATTAGATAAATAATATCTCTATAATGAAATTAAGGGCACATAATGATGTTGCTAAAATCAATATTCCACAAAAGAACACTATCTGAGCAATTGAAGTAAACATTTTTATAAATAAACAATCTCCGTTACGCTACAGAAGCGCCGAAAGGCCAGCAAAATAAAATACAGGTTTTAGTTATAGGAGGTAAATTTTTGAAGAATAAATCAGATTTTGAAAGAATTGAAAAATGTTATGTTAAGACAGAATTTCTAAGTGAAGCATTTCTGAAAAGCAACTTAAAAGTTCTGGAAGATAATTCAGAATTTTTGGAAAACTACTCAAAATTTCTGAGCTAAGTCTGATTTTCCTAGTAAAGTTACAATTTTTGTAAAACAAGTCAGACTTCTAAGATAAGCCCCAATTTCTAGAAAATAATTCCGAATTTCTAGAAAATAAGTCATTATTTCCGAGTTAAAAAGCAGAATTTCTGAATGCTAAGTAATAGTTTCTGAGTTGCATGGGAATTTCTGAAAAAAAAAGTAAAAATTTCCGAAAAACAAGTAATAATTTTCGGGAAATAAGTCATAATTTCCGAAAAACAAGTCTGATTTTCTGGAACCAATTCAGAACTTCTAACGTAAGGCTTTCCGACCTGTTTTACAGAAATTCCGAGTTGCTATTTAGAATTTTGGCTTATTTTTTAAAATTTTATTTGTAGAAATTATGACTTGTTTTAGGTCAGAAATTGTTACTGTTTTTCTAGAACTGACTCATTTCTAAAAATTCAAATTCCGACTTTCTTTTCAAAAATTCTGGTTTGTTTTCAAAATATTCAGAAATTCCGTCTTGATTTTCAGAACTTCTAACTTGTTTGTTAAGGATTTAGATTTAGAATTTCTTACTATTTTTCTAGAACTTCTGACTTATTTTCAAAAATTCTGACTTATTTCATAGAAATTCCGAATGCATATTTAGAAATTCTGACTTGTTTGTTAAGGATTTCGTCTTAAGTCAAAATTTTTTACTATATTTCGAGGACTTGTGACTTATTTTCAAAAATTCTGTCTTACTTTACAGAAATTCCGACTGGATATTTAGAAATTTTGGTCTGTTTTCTAAATATTCAGAAATTGCGACTTGTTTTTTAGAAACCTTTGCAACTCTAAGGATTTTGACTTAAGTCAGGAATTGTTACTGATTTTTTAGAAATTCTGACATATATCCTAGCTTGTATTCTAAAAACTCACAAATTCCGATTTGATTTCTAGAACTTCTGACTTATTTTCCAAAATTCTGACTTGTTTTATAGAAATTGCAACTGGATATTTAAAAATTCTGGCTTGTTTTCTAAATATTCAGAAATTCCGACTTGTTTTTTTAAAATCTTCACAACTTTGTTAAGGATTTTGACTTAAGTCAGAAATTGTTACTGATTTTTTAGATATTCTGACACATATCCTGTTTTTTTTTTTGAAAATTCTGGCTTAACTTAGAAATTGTTACGGTTTTTCCAGAACTTCCGGCTTACCACAAAAGTTCTGAATTACTTTACAAGTTCCGACTTGTTTGTCGCAAGTTCTGACTTATTTTACAAAAATTTTGGATTGGTATTTTGGAAATTATGGCTTATTTTCTAAGTATTCAGAAATTTCGTCTTGTTTTTTTAAAAATCTTGACAACTTTGTTAAGGATATTGACTTAAGTCAGAAATTGTTACTGATTTTTTAGAACTTCTGAGACTTATCCTGGCTTGTTTTCTAAATATTATGACTTAGGTTAGAAATTGGTACCGTTTTTCCAGAACTTCCGACTTATCTCTCCGATTCCGATTTCTTTATCGCAAGTTCTGACTTATTTTACAAAAATTCCGGCTTCTTATTTTGTAAATTCTGAGTTGTTTTCTAAATATTCAGAAATTCTGTTTCCCCACCGAAAACTATCAATGACAATTCCCATCGTTCGATATTTGCCGATGTAATCAAGCAGATATCTTGATTTCTCATCGGCCGGCGTCGCGACGGCGAATTCGGCGGAATTATAAAACGATTATGCGTTGCATTTCGGGGAGGTGGAAATATTTATAACCGGCGCGCGTGTGTGCGTGTGTGTGTGTGTGTGCACCGACATAGAAAAACATATAAAGCGATCGGTTTGTCAAACGAGCTTCGTGATTTCGGTCGAAGGGATCGGCGGGTGTCGATCGCCAGCGAAAAATTTCCGAGAATCGTTCAAGAAATAAAATTACAGCCCGGCGTTATCGGGAACTCCGTTTTATGGCGCGTTTTTCGACAGACTTAACCGGTGTTGTCTCGCTAGCATTGACCCAATAAACGAGCAGTCGCGAGTGATTGAGAAAGCGGGACTTATTTTTCGCAAAGGTAAAGTCTGTTCATAGATATAAGAAAGTGACTAACTGATACGAATCAAGGAAAGACCCGGGCAAACTGTAAGAATGAAATATGGCCGAACAGGTCCGTACTTTGCTTAGAATTTAATTGTTTGGGGTTTTGTTAGGAAAGATACTAAACAATATTTATTTATGTAAGTATTTTTGTTTAAATCTAAAATAAAATTACAAATTATTTTTATTACCTACTTAAATTACTTAAAATTATTCAACACCTTTCGCATTTACCAAATTGTAATAAGATACTTAACTGAGGGCCATACCGTTAACGTATGAACTTGGACGAATTTGCGAGAACAGGTACTTCTCCAAGACATTATTGAAGCTAAGTTTGTTAAAGGTAAAGTCTGTTCATAGATATAAAACAGTGACTAACTGATACGAATTAAGGAAACACCCGGGCACGCTGTAAGAATGAAATATGACCGAACAGGTCCGTACTTTGCTTAGAATTTAATTGTTTGGGGTTTGGTTAGGAAAGATACCAAACCATATTTATTTATTTATGTATGTATTTTTCTTTAAATCTAAAATAAAATTACATATTGTTTTTATTACCTACTTAAATTACTTAAAATTGTTCACATAATATATCAGTATCACTATCGCTATCATCGCCTGTTCTAATTATTATTTATTCTATGTTATTTGCAATATGGATATACGATTGTTCTGCTTTTTCTATAGAATTTGTCCAACTTTGTGGACGGATGTTAAAAACTTCGGTTTCTATTAGTTTGAGGACATTGGAGTTAACACGGGCAAAAACATTGTTATGACGAATGGCAGATTTCAGTCGGTGCCAATCATACTCGATGGGATTAAATATACAGTGGTAAGGTGGAAGCCTTAAAACTGTATGCCCTAGATTTTTTGCGTAATTATCACAGACGTATTCCTTTTGTAGGTTCAAGCTTTGTAGAACCTCATTTAATTGCTTTTTGATCTTCGTGAAAATAAATGTCGTTATTATACATGTAGTTTTGGATTGTTGCTTTTGTGTCACACGAGGAAGGGGTTTCAAATAAATCAGACAAACAAAAATAGAAATTTTTATATAATTCCAATAAAGACCGTCTAGAAAAAGCGGAATAAGTAATTTAAACTTCTTCTTATTTAAGTATTGCACGGGTAGTTAAATAAAGTACTTAAAACATATATTTAAAAAATATGCGTTATTTTTCTTCTTTTGACTTTACCTGCTAAAATTGTTTTTTTTTTCAAAAAAAAAATCGGACACACCGTACGGTGTACGAAAAAAAGTTTCTCCATTATATTTCTTTTCAAGTATAAACCAAACATTTTCAAGTGAATTTCCCATTCGTATTGTTGATTGTTTACTTAAGTTTCGACGTTTTGAACAACGTTGCACCTTTTCGGGCAATGATGGAAACGCGTGAGTCAGGAAGCGTAGACGGACGCGATGCATACAAGCGAAGTCGCGTAAAAATGGCTACAGGTAATTACAGATCTCCGGATTCGACGCTTTATTTGGCGAATTGTAAACGTCTCGGATTTTTAATGATCCTTCTTCAAACCATACCATTTTTGTTTCCGATTTTTTAAAGGTAACGGTTTCGCCGATGAACATTTTGATATATTTTTTTAGAAAACTGGTAAAGCTAATAATAAAATTCTAACAACAATGTTGTTAGATTTCGCGATGATAAATTCTGGTAATCTTTCACCGATACACTTCTAAATTCATTGCAACAGGGCATCCCATTAAAAATAACAAAATTATGGCACATTTTTGAATTCGCCATGTTCAGTTACGTTAAAAGTTCAGAAATTCTGACTTAATTCGGAAATAATGATTAACAATCGAGAAATTTTGGGAAACTGACTTGTAGTTCAGAAGGTTTTACTAATTTCAAAAAAATTCTGCGATGTTTTACAGACATTTTGACTAAAACTGGAAATTCTGATCAACTTTCCAAAAATTTAGTCTGGTTTTTCAGAAAACATGACAAAGTGAAAGGTTTGGATATATTTTTCAGAATTTCTTACTAATTTCAGAGAAATTCTGATCAAATTTCCAGAAATTTTGACGTTTTATTCCAAAATTCTGAGTTAAGTGACAAATTCTGACTTTTTGTGGAACTTCTCACTAATTTTATAGAGGTTCTGAGTTGTTTTCCAGAAATTCTGAGTTTACTTAGAAATTCTGACTTGTTTTTCAGAAAATCTGGCAATTGAAAAATTTGCATATATTTTTCAGAATTTTTTACTAATTTTAGAGAAATTTTGATCAGATTTCCAGAAATTTTGACTGGTAAATTCTGAGTAAGTGACAAATTCTGACTCATTTTTCGGAACATCTCACTAATTTTAGAGAACTTCTGAGTTATTTACAGAAATTCTGACTTTACTTAGAAACTCTGACTTGTGTTTCAGAAAATCTGACAATTGGGAACTTGGATATATTTTTCAGAATTTCTTGCTAATTTTATTGAAGTTCTGAGTTTTTTTTCCAGTTGTGCTACGAAAAATTCTGAGCTAAGAGAGAAATTATAACTTATTCTGTAGATATTCGGACTAATTTTCCTGAAATAAGGACATGTTTTCCAGAAATTCTGACTAATTATGCAGAAGTTCTTAATTATTTTTTAAAAATTTTGAGTTGTTTTAAGGAAATTATTGTAGAATGATGTTCGATACTCATTATGACCGGCGTATTTAGGGTTGCATATTTAATGTTAAAAGTCAATGCGCCCCTCTTGTGTTGTCGGCCGATGTTTTGTGATCGTGGCCGCCATTTTGTAAAATTTTTTCCCGAATTTTGTTGTTACTACGACTCCAAAACTACATTCCAAATTATATAATATAACAAAATACATCAATTAAAGTTGTTTTGGTCACATATCGCCTATCTACCCTAAGGTGCAAGGTTGAATAATGTTTTGCAACTGGTATACAAATATCCTCCATCTTTTCTTATCTAGTGCCAGTCCTCTTTCTTGTTATTTTGGTTTTAGTTGATATTTCCCTCTTTCTTATAAAGCTTGATTTTAAAGAGCGAAATAGTCTTGAGGTATTTAGTTCTGTTTGGTGGTACCCGTTGCTACTTAATTGAACCCTCATTACCTCTACTAAGTAACCGGGTGTGCCGGTTCCTGTTTTTTTTATTACATCGTCCATAACTAAATTAAATAGCTAGTTAACGCTCTCGTTTACTGTAAAGTATACTAATGCTGTTGTCGGTTCTGACGCAATTCTTGCTGTTCTTACATGTGGACATTATGGCTGAAATTAGTCTTCCTTCAACGCCTCGCTCCATCAAACTCTGCCTCACCGCATATTTTGCAAGTTTCTCAAAAGCCGTCTCTAGGTCTAGGAATGCTAGCTACATCTCCTTATTGCTGTTTGGTACCTTTTCCATAATTTCTGGATACTGAAGATGCTTCTTCCTTTCCTGAATCCGTTTTGTGATTGGTCTAGTTGTGGTTTATTTTTATTACCTATTGTAAACACTAGTAGATGATTTTTAGATTGTTAGATAGAAAAAAAAAACCGTCAGTTATACTCCGTAAAATTGGAAGAAATAGATATACAACAATCCTGATTTCGTCGCAGTGGTAGTTGATTGTTAAAGACCGATAGTCCACGAATTTCGCGGATCTATAACATTCCAATTTTATCATTTTCGAGCGCTAATTTCCCGTTCGCGTGCCGCCCCTTTCATCGCGTTACAAAACGCGACGCGACCTTTTCAAAATTCCATTCATTAAATCACGATGATGTCATTTGTGGCGGGCAGACGTAAAAATCCGCGTAATATATCGCCGGGCCGGCTATAAATAAGTCGGCGCGTTTTTTTCCGCTAAATTTCGCCGTGATTTCATTCGGCGCGTTCGTTTATATCGTGCGCGACCTCGCGCAGGAATCTCACGCGAAATGCAACGCTCGCTTCAAATGTAAACAAACAAACGCGCGTTTGCCATTTTCACTACTGTCCTCGTTTCTGCGTCCAAACTGTATAAACTGTATCTTAATACGGACGTGGGGGCGCTAGCATCGGCAGAACTAAATCAACATCTGTTTTTTTTTTCTTGTAAGTTTATTTTAGTGGAAATGCATTTTGAAAGTAGGCAAAAACCGGAATTGTTTTTTGTTGTCAAGAAGGCGTCGAAAAAAATTATAAGCGAAATTTTATGCGACAACAATTTTTTTTCGCTGGCTAAGAAGGTAAGATATCGTGACCCAGAGAATCGACGAACGGATAGAGACATTAGAAGCTAAAGTTGATATTATTGGAATGGCAGTTAAAAAATGTTCTGATAGAAAAAGACGAACTTTATCTTAAAATGGATCAACTGGTACAAAATGCGAAACTTGTCAACTTCGTTTATATGGGCTTCTTGAGGCTAATGCTGCCTTAAAGACTAAGGTCTCTACACTCATGGAAGATAAGCGTTGCTATCCTATTGGTAAAAGACAGTCAAAGGAATCATGTATTTTAGCACAAAAAGAACCTCAAAAATACCAACTTACTGATCGTTGAGGAGCTTACTCTACGCAGATACAGTTTGCTAATATTTTCGAGTGATAAGACGCGTACAAAGGAGGGGAGAATATTTGCGAATATAAATAGGTAAATTTTTAATTTTTTGAAAAAATTTAGAAATGATGACCTTCTTAAAGCCCAAAATATTAATGAAATACAGGATGTTTCATATGAAAAATATATGTTTGGTTTCCCATATATTAATGAATCACCCCGTATATTTGAAAGTGATTTTACTTTTTTTTTTGGTCTTATCGACAACTTTTGCATTTATTTTTATTTTTACTATTTATGTTGAAAATGATGTAATTGGTAGGTTAATTTTGTATTTTGGTATATTTTCCCATTAATTTTTAGAAACAATTTAAATTAGGTACAGTTCCGGCCAGCTTTCTGAACAGCAATTAAAAATCCAATAAAAAAAACATCTGAAAACGCTGCGTAGGTGTTTTTTTTTTGGCACCGTCACTCCAAATATTTTATGATCGATTCGCGGAAAAGTTATTTGCCCACTAGACATTCTCATCGAAAATAAATCTCGATTGGTTATGCGTCATATTATTTTGAGGCTCAAAACAGTCAGATGTTTCACACAAACCGACGTAATGTTTAGAATGCCCGCTTGAGAAGGAACAAACATGTTAAAAATTTATTAATATTACAAGTTTGACGTCCGGGCCCAGTAAGTTTTATTTGGGACCTTAATTTCAAAATTACAGCATTATACGAAGGTCTCTTTCATTAACAATTAAATATAGTTGGACAAATAGCAAGTCAATATTAATATTTTAAGCCGCTGCTTGCTCAAGTTGAAAGAGATTTTGAAAAATGCGGTTACTAATGCAAGACATCTTTTTTCTTCCTGTATATACCCAAATATAAATGTCAATAAAAACATTGCAATATTCGAAGCCTAAGATTAAAGTTTAAGGAAGTAACGAGAAAAAAAAAGTTGATTAATATCCAAGTGTACACGTTAAAAATAATTTCTATAAATCTGACACCAAAAAAAAATCTTTATTTTCGCTATGAGTTCCTTTAAAATAGTTCTAAAATTTAAAAAAATTAACAAGTTACTGTAGAAGCATTTATGTGGAAAGGTATGACATATGACAACCAGAAAAAATATAGTAATAATAGACATTTTTCCATAATACACACTCAATTTATAAAGTTTACGTTATAACAAATTTCCAGAGTTTACTACCTTCTTACGAAATAACTCGGAAGCAATTATGTTTTTATTATTTATTTTAGATTTATAACGTCGTAAAACGTTTATTTATCGTAAGGTGGTAAATAATCGTGTATTCATTTATTTATTTATTTCATACATTGACTATTCCTACTAAAGCCTCAAGTAGTTCTGGTAATACCTCAACAAATTTCACTAATTCCCAAAATTAGTATACCAATGTATAAACCTACGGTTTACCCCAGTTTTGGTTGGTTTTGGTTAGTGTTGCAGGGGATGGGGATGACGAGGCTCGCCGTCGCGACGCTGCTCGTCCTTTTTTTCGCCCAACGCACAGGCGCCTGTAGCTGCATGATGCAGCATCCGCAGCAGCAGTACTGCAATTCCGATTTTGGTAAGTTATCCGCTTCCATCGCCCAAAATGTCCATTAATATCGAGTCCAGGGTGTTTTTCTACCCCTAGCAACTACAAAAACTTCCGGTTCATTGTAGAATAGACGGCGTTCTTTCCAACTACTGTACTGTCGGTAAATTTATGTGAAATTAACGCCACGTGTTTCACGCAAACATCGTCTGACAGCGTTGGATCGGTTCTTCAAAAATTTCAATTTTTTACTTTCTTCGAAAGGTTATTCGAGGTGAACAGTCGAAATGTTCTAGTCATATTGGTCACATTTTCCACAAAATTGAGATTTCAACTCTAAAATTTGGAAATTTACGATACAGTATTGATGTCTACTTTTTGATCCTCCTCGTACATTTTCTATTAAGTGCAAAATTCTGAAATGGTTTAAAAAAAAATTCTAATAGAACGCAACGAAGACGGCACTTAAAGAAGAAGAGAATAGATATATTCAAAAATAAAAATACAATATATAATTGTCATAAGCGTATGAAGAAAATTGAATAGGCATGTGAGAGCAGAAAGCAACATTAAGGATAGTCTATTTTACAAAAGAGGATTAATGAGAAAAATTTAGAACTCTTGTATAAAAGCAACGCAATAGTTTAGGATTTTACAAAAGAGGAGCATAAGAATAATGACAAACATTAAGAACTCTTGTAGAGGAAGGAATGTCTAATAGATAAAATTCAAAAATAAAAACACAATACGTGATTGTAATAAATGTATGTAGAAAATTGAAAACAGGAAGCAAAGTTAACGATAGTCTTTTTACAAAAGAGGACCATAGGATTAATGACAAATATTAAGAACTCTTGCGGAGGGAGGAATGAATGTCTGATAGATATATTCAGAAACAAAAATACGATACATAATTGTAATCCAGAAGATCGTGCTGCCTAATTCACAACCTTTCGATAACTGAGAAACGACTTTATTATAACTGCATTAAAATATATCAACAGAAACTTTAAGAAAATTAATCCGACCAGAACAATATTATAAATGTCGATGATGTTTCTTTCGTGTTTTTATTTTTGTAAAAGCGAATCTACACAAAGTAATTTTATTATTGTTATTATTATCACCTTAGGCGATTTTATAGAAAAAAAAAGCATAGAGACCGTCATTATTGATAAAACATTTTTTTTTTTGCATAAACGGTGATTCTCACTTTTTGTTGGCTTAATATATTTTTACGTCTAGTTCCGATTATAAGGCGCAATAACGGTCGAGCAATATTTATTTTAGCTAATCTTATACATGCTAAAGCGCTAGCTTTATAACGTCAATTACCACCGACTTGAGTCGTATTTTAATCGCGAATTACTGCGACAGCAAAATAATAGCCGTCCGGATATAGAGAAAACGCTGACAGTTCCATATACATGTGTACCTACGTGATTGATTTATGTTTTTATTTCGATACTAATCAGCGGTTTTGATTTAATTTTCATTATGTACACTGATTTTGCGCGTTTCAGTAGAATTTATACTCTACGAGGTGTGTTCAGAAAGTTACCAGACTTTTGTAATTAGGCGGGCTACTTACCTTCTTCGATATATTTTTTTGTTATGTTGGTACACATGCCTCTAACATATGTTCACAAGACACACATAACTGGTGACGAAACATGGGTATATAGACATCCATGAAAGGAAGTGTATTATATCTGGAATTACTTTGAAGGGGACCACATCGATTTTGATGAATAAGTAAATACTTTTTCACCATACTTTTTGATCACACCTCGTATAGGTAACAGAAAATCATTATAATGCAAAGTTTACAGGGACGGAAATGGCAAAATTTACGCAAAAATGAGACGGATATATAAAATAATGAACAGCGATTTAAGATTTAAGATAAGTTTTCTATTCGTCTCAGCGACCATCAGTTTGGTTTAACAGTACATTTAAACAAAATAATTCCTGTTGGAAGTCTAAAGTTATGCTTAAACCAACCACCAAACTCTGTTGATGATTTATCTAAACGGAATGAGGTTTTAACGGAAAATTTTGCAGACGTAAAGCTTAAGAGATGAATTGATAATGATAAGGTTCATTAATCAAGTGTGCCATCTGCACAGTAATGATTCAAGATTTACAAAATTCGGTAACCTGTACCAAAACTTTCAAGTCGAATTAATTATAAGAGTATTATAATATGTCTTTTTTGTGTCATATGCGTTTTCTTTAAAAAAAAACGGTTTACAAGATTCATTTTCGTTATTAGTGTTTCGTATTTCTTTGTATAATAAATACCGTAAACTGTAGATATAATCTTATAATTATAATAATTAGAATTTTTTGTAAAAAAAAATTTTTTTAAATATTTTTATGTAAATGGTAAATATTGTTATATAATTATCATGGGCGATCATTACATAACAGCTATTGAATAGATTTGTTTTATAAACTTTTTATATATATTTTTTTAAATAAAACAGTTATATTAAAAGTGGTTACATAGTAAAGTAAATGACAATTTTCAGTGCGCTTGGAAGGTTAGAGTTTATATCAAATGTACTAGGTTGTTCATTATATTTTGACACCCATCTGAAGGGTTAAAAAAAGTGTAAATACAAAAAAATAAGATTTTTGCTCTATTATCTTAAGCAAATGGCAGAAAAAACAAGCGACGATCGCAAGCAGTCAAAATGACAGCAACGTCATTTTTTTAAATTACTTTGTTATTAGCGTAATTCGTGGATATTTTTCCTGATTTTAAAAACATATGACATTTCTTTAACCGTTTTTGAGATAAATCAGTTTAAAAATAATTATCATTGGAGGTGATAAAATCATGGTCCAGAAATCGAATGATAATTATTTTGAAACTTAAATATCTTAGAAACGGCTAAACGAAATGTCAATAAAATCAAGAAAAAAGATCTACGACTCAAGATAACAATATATAGGACATTCAGTTAAAGATGTTGCTGTCATTTTGACAGCTTGCGATCGTCGTTTGTTTTTTCTGACATTGGCATAAGATAACGGGGCAAAAATCTTCAAACTTTTGTATTGACTCTTTCTTTCTATCTTTCAAAATAACCCTGTAGGTGGGTGTCAAAACATAATGAAACACCCCGTATAACATTTGGTCCTTCCTCCATAGTACGGTACCAAAATGTCGACTGCAAGAAGTTCCAAGAGGGTTGCAAAAAGGAAATTACGGAGGGGTTGGGACTTTGAGGTATTTGATTTCAATAAATATTTAAATTTTCTAAGAATAACGTTATATTAAAAAAAAATTGAGAAAATAAACAGTCCCTTATTTGCAATCGAGAGAGTCAAAAATTTATGTGGTATATATAAGACTTTTATACCGAATTTAATGAAGTCCTAAAGCTTTTTTTCGTGGAAGGTACATGGAAAGGGACACCTGCGGGCGTGGTTGAACCACATTTGCATTAAAATACTTTAATGATGCCGTTTCAGTAATCCTGGGGCGCGTCAGGCGCGAACAAACTTACAACTCGACCTACATGAGGATCTATAAGGTCAACGTGAGGAGAAAATTCAAGATATCGGAGAAAGGCGAGGTTGCCCTCAAAGCGGGACGCGTCGTGACGCCCCTGGACGGCGCCATGTGCGGCGCGGGCCTCCCACTGGGCAAACTCTACGTCATTTCGGGACGCATCGTCAACTTGAAGGTACCCTCCATTGAAGCCATTAAATAGATAAATAAATAGATGAAAATAACAAAAATGGAGCTAAATAAGATGGTTGGCTACGACCCGAGTTTTTAATGATATTTATATGAATATTCTTTACAAACTTGTATTGCCTTGCTCGTTTCTTTAAAGCCCGTTTATTTATTCCACAGCGAGAAACGATATTTTCGTAGGGCTTTCGAAAATAAAATATATTTTTTTAATATCTGCGGTACCAGTGTACGCCAGTGGTTTCTTTTAAAATAAAAATTATTCTCACAATCTCCAATCATTATTAATTATTGACATTTAATTAGAAAACACCCTGTATTGTGAAATATTGCTTTAACAGTTTGACACGCACAATACATGTCCTAGCAAATTTGGGAAATATTATATATTGTTTATTATATTTGACATTCCATTTTATTTCTATTTATTATAAATACACATAACATAAGATAAATTATTATTTTTTATTATTATTATTATTTATTATAAATAAATTGGAATTAATAAATCATAACAGTTAAATTCTGTTTTTATTTTATTTTAGGACGATTTAATTTAGTTTTTTTTTAATTATTGACCTTTTGCAGCAAGAGCTACTTGTCGCCTAGCGGCCAGTACTTTTCGAAGCCACCCTGTATATCCAAAATATTGAAATCCCTGTGAAAATTTATTTTCTCGCCGTAAAATTGCCAAAAAAACGCCAAAGAAAAAAGGAACCGTTGAAATTTTGGTGGCTAGATTAGGATATTAAAACTTGCAGCCACTGTTCACCCTGTGCGATCTAGTCGGCGAGTGGCGCCACTTCACCAAACGCCAACAGAAGGGCCTGAGGTTGCTCTACGAGCGTGGTTGCTCTTGTCGCATCTCGAACTGCCTTTACCGTTCATGTCGTCGTCACAAAGACTCCTGCTCGTGGCAAAACGAGTGCGAAATACAACAGGTATTTTTCGTGTTACGGTAGGGTCGCTGGACCAAAGAAGCAACAAAAAACCAACAGCATTTAACTATAACAATTTCGGTAATTGGAAGAAAAAACTTTGAATCCATGCATCCATCCATCCAACTACCAACAAGCTACCAACTAGTCTGCACCGGTATAGATACTCCGTTCTTTCAACTTCCATCAGCACCGTTCAAAGAGCTTAGAGCTAATAGGTGATGACTGCCTCATACTCACATGAGCAGTCTCCTGGGTGAGTACAGTACAGTGTTAAACCTTCCGGACTTTCCTTGAAGGTGTGATTTATTATTTTTTTGAAGCAAAATATGGAGGAAAGCGATTAAAAAATGTTAGAGTTTGGGAAGTGCAGTTTCCTCACAAGAGAAAACAAAGTTGGGAGATGGGAAAGAAGAAATAATAAGGAACTCCGAAAGCAAAACTAAGCAACAGTGCAAACACAACGACATATAGAGCTAGTCCTAAGGTGAGATGGATGGGCCCCGACATAAATGAACTATACATCGACAACTTTAGAAAATAGAAAATAGAAAAGAATGGAGGAACAAAGTCGACCAAGCCGCCGGCCTTCCAAGCCTGCAGGACTGTTGATCATCATACTTGAAAGGTTTGGTATGCGCTGAGGAAGGAAAAATAATAGAGAAATTTGGTTTAACGTTCAACCACATTCCAATGTATCGACGTAGATGGTGGACAATTCCAACATTAGATTTGAAGCCGCAGTTTTTGTTTCAAGATTTACCTAATTGTCTACAGTTTGCTCAATTTTTGTAAAAATATGCACACCGAACTTCCTTAATAAGATTCCTTTTACCGACGAAGCAATATGTGTTGGCTACCTCATGTTGTGCTGCCAGTGGGTCAATATTCGCAGACTTAAATCTTCTGGACTTTTCTTGACGCTCTACAAGTGCAAAACTGAAGAGGAGAGACAGGAGAAAAGAAAGCTGGCGATAGATGGGAAAGAATCTATTTAACCCACCTAATATTGTAGACTCAGCAATAGGAGAGGTAATAGTAAAATGAGATGGATGGACGAGGTGACGGAAGACAAAAATGAAATCGAGATCAACCCCTGCAAGAGAAAAACAGACTAGAGAAAAGAATGGATAAACAAGGTCAACCAAGCCTGTACTGTACTGTTATTCATCATACTGAGGAAGGGGAAATAATAGAGAAGTTTAGTTTAACATTCAAAGACATTTAAGAAGGCGTATTGAGCTAGATGATAGCGAGCAGTTCCAACAATCGATTTGAAGTTTTTTTCGATACCATTACCAAACCTGACATGTTTAGACGTTGGTTTTTTTATTGCTTTTCGTATAGGAAACTCCGACTTTTTCCGATTTTCATTTTTGAATTGAGTTCGGAAAGTTTTCATTTTTTTAAATTTTTGTTTTCAAAGCAGTCGGATTAATTCTCTACTTGGTCTAACTATCACTAGAGGGCACTTTACCGAGAGTATTTTTTTTATTTTTCTTAAGTCTTATTTAAATTAGAAAGTACGAAAGAGATGTAACTTTGAAAAAAATTGGAAAAATCGTTTTTTTAAAGGTCGGTACATTTTTAAAAATCTGGAAAAAAAGTTGAACTTTATCCAACGAAATTAGTCCACATTCTCAAAAACAACCTAAAGTTTTAATATCTTTTATTAAAGACAGGTAAAAGAAACGGTTAAATACTTGCCTAAATTGAATTATTTTATAATTTATTTATAATATTTGAAATTGTTCCTCTTAGTCTTATCCATAACTCTTGTGTCTAACATTTTTTTCTAAAACAAATAAAAAACAGTTTCCAATTTGAAATGATATTATGGCCTGCATTTCCACTTGTTTTCCCATAACAGAAATGCATATCACCTTAGTGTAAAGTATTCCGGGGAATAAAAAAAGTCGATTTGTGGCTAAACGATAACACTTATCGACTTAAAACAAGAGTAATAATTTTTTAGGATTTGTGATTCTGCTTAAGGCAACCTGTTCTATTTTGCAATATCAGTCTACATAAATAAAATACAGGTAAAGTGCCTGCAGCCTAGTATCAACTGATTCTCGCTGTCTCTGTCTCTTTGAGATCTACTTTAAACTCTCCCCACTCCGCAGGGCGTGTGCCTGCGTAGCAGCGGCGACAGCTGCGCGTGGGGCAAAACCAAGAAACTAGCGGCCTGCAGGAGAGAGAAACGCAGGCCGAGCGCGTTCGTGCCCTAAGCAGCCCTTAACCCTTGAGCAGACCGTCGCCGTAACGTCGTAACTACCACCAATCTTACCAACCATTTCTGTGTGATCCGGATAGAAGGTCTGCTCGATCAGGGGGAACGAGTCTTTGCCGAATCTCCTCTGGAGCTGCACCAGATGGGCGAACACCCAAGGTTTATCCTACAACATCGCCATTTTCGATCCGGATCGAGAAAATTCAGTTCTAGTCTCACCTGGAAGTTGTAAACCGCGTCCAAATTGTTGATGCTGGGCACGCCGCCATATTTCAACGCCAGCAGAAGCTTCTTGTGGTCTTCGCCAGCGTCTCGCAGGTTCTGTCTCACCTGCAACAGACGCGGATATTTATTTTGGGTTTATTTATTAGGTCCTTCCTAGTTAGCATCGATTTCGACGGACCGGACGAGATGAAGTATTTTCTATGTTATTTTGGACACTTTATTTTTAATTAGTTAACATAGGAAGTACAAAAAAAGTAACTTCAAAAAAATTTGTAAAAACCGTTTTTTTTAATCTGAAATTGTTCATTTTATTCTTATCCATCAGTCTGATATTTTATTCTTTTGGTTAGTTTAGTTTAGGTTTCGATAATAAAATAAAGGTATTCTTCTTCTAAAGACTTTAAATAAGGAAGTACGAAAAATATGTAACTTCGAAAATATTTGGAAAAACCGTTATTGTCTAAACTCGGTACATTTAAAAAAAAAAAACACAGGAAAAAAAAGGTTAATAAGGCTTATAGTTTTAATACCTTTTATTAAAGAAACAGTTTTGGCAGGTAAAAGGAAACGGTTTACTGGTGTAAATTGAGTTATTGGTATTCAGGGCGTCCAGATAGATTTGTTTCCCATATATTTATAATAGTTGATATTGTTCCTTTCAGTTTTATCCATAAAACAAATAAAAAACAAGATGCATTACTTTGACAAACTATTCGGACGGCCTGTATATATTTTTCCATTTATTGTTATTACTTTTCTACGAAATTACATCCTGTACATATTAGAATATAATATTTTCAAGGTATAAATAAGTTTAAACAACTTTGGTCCTCAATGTTTGATATTTTCCACAGGATCTGAAATGAGAGGCCAACTCGTTATATTATATGTATACTGTTGTGTATACAATTGGTCAAGAAAAATAATCCCTCCTTTGAGTTTGGAATATTATAGGCACCTGCAATTGTTTTTAACCGATAGTATATTGTTGTTGCCAGGTGATCCTGGATTATCGTTAATAAATAACACCTATTTAAGATATCTTTTTTTCAATAACTCCCCTTAGGTCACAACATTACCCAAAGAGCAGGTTATTGTGTTATTATTAGCGGTTTTCAAGAAATTTAGCTTTTATAATGTTAAAAGTTGGTTTTTAAAACACCTAATGAATATTCTGCCGGTACTATGGAACTTAGCAATAAAGTAACGAACTTTTGCAGAGAAGCGAAGAAAAATCAATGACTAAGATGACACCGTTATAATAACGAACGGTCATCACGAATATAAGAAAAAAGATGTTCTTCATTTTTTTTTAATTTTTTTTACATAGTCTCCATCAATCATATATTATTCAATCTCCTTAAAATATATACATACTTAGTACATGTATAACTGAAACTGAAACCTGAAAATAAGAAGAGCAACTCTATGTATTTGAAAGTTGCAGAATAAAAAGTAAATAAATAAGTAATCCTCCCTTACCAGTAAAAAGTCCGGTTTGAAAGATCTCCCCACCCTAGTGCCGCCCCTGTAAACCGCCATGGATACCATGGCCCCTGCGTCTGCGCTCGCGGTGACCGTGATCTCCCTGAACTCCGCCTGTTCTACTTTAACTTCATACTCCCCCACCTTCTTGCCCCTAAAGTACTTGCTCCAGTCGGTGTTCTGGTCGTCTATCACCAACAGGGTCAAGTGTCTTCCGGATACCGAGGAAGTCACCCTTGTGGCGCTGCAGAAAAGAAGCTTATCACAAATTATTCGTTATTAGATCCTACGGTTCAAACGAGCAAAGGAAACTAACCAAACAAAACTAACCAAAAAATCGAGAGCTATTGGAGTATATTTTTGAGGTATTTTGTTCGGATCTAAGCCAAAGATGGGCGTCACTTTCAAGTTTTCCATTCAGATATTTTATTTGGTAGAAGTAGGAAAGATTTTGTTTAATTCCTTTTTTGTAACGAACACAAACCTAGGTTAATTATGGCTTTTTTGGATTTCAAACATTCATGCCGATAAAAAGATAATTGTGGATCAGCACGTCAGCATGAAAGGTAAAATTGTCAATGGTTTCTATTGCAATTCTACGAATTAAAAACCTTCATTATGGCAACAGTTCTGGGTTTATTTAAAATAACATTAAAGTGTATAAATTTTCATAAAATAAAAATGCCTAATTCCATTTTTCGTCCATTGATAAAGCGTCTAAAATATATGACAATAAAATAAAATATATGACAATAGTTACAACAATTGAAGACTGTTAAATTAATTTTATGGGCCTTTGCGCACCCACTTGAACGTTAAATTCAGAGCTGTTATTAAGAAGTTTTAGAAGAAATATATTGAGTGTTAATTGATCCCTATAGACTTAATGTTTAAGTTATTTATTACACATTAGCTCGCAATCGGGATCTTATAGGCACAAATAGGGTCGAGTGTCCTCCTGACAACGACATCATAATGGTTATTTGTCTGCCCTCCCCATATCATAGGTATTCCATAAGGTAGGGATCGTCTGGTTAGGTTATTCCAGTGCCTTAAACCTTCTTCACATATCTACTTAAAATGCGATGATCAAGGTTTGTCTTGATCGCCAATTTTCCCTTGCTTTACTTTTTATTTACTAAATATTTGGGAATATTTCTCTTTCGGAGATTCCCAGAGGCGTAGCATCGCAGTGGCGGTACTTGCCTCGACACTGCCGCCCCCAAGAACGAAGCTCCCTGGTCCCTCGCCTGGCCCGTCAAAGACTGCACCCGCTGTAGCAGACTCTCCCTGGACTTGGCCGGTGAGCTCGGAGCGCTGGTCGTCTTCGAACCTGGCCTGAAATTGAGGGACAAGTCGCCGGTACTGCCCAGCTGGGTCGGCGGTGGTGGCGGCGGAGCCTGCAACAAAATCAGTCAATAAAATAACAGAAATCAGCCGTCAATATGGCTTAGAAAGCAACATGACCTTTTGATTAACAACACACATATAGAAAGAGTGAACCATAATCAATGAGGATTCGAATCGCTTCCAGGAAGCAAGGGCAGCCTTCAACCGGATACCGGAAAGTCTCAATGGAGACATCAAAATCAGACTTTTTGGATGCTATATTTTTTCTGTATGGAATGGAGTCATGGCAAAAGGAAGCCTTTGTGTTAATTAAAATTAAAGCTGTCAATCGCGTTAACGGTTTGCTGGTTAAGGCTAGAAGGCTTTTTTTTACTAATAAAAACTTCTTGATATATATATTTATATCTTGAAAATCCATGTTCTTCGAAAAAGTAGGCAATGACCCTTTGGCACAACTAATATTTATGTCTGTCAGTACTTTTTTATGCAGTTATTCTAAAATTAAAAATTAAAATTAAATTTTACGTTTCAAATAAAAATTTCAAGTTAACGCAGAATAAATCTGTTAAAACGTCAAAACAAGAAGTGTACTATATTTTTGGTCGTATTATAACAGTAGCGAATAAACTCGCACATATCGTTAGGTATAAAATATCACGTGTCCTGAGTTTGATGATTAGGCATTCCTGTGGAAATTTCTTCTTGCGCGGGACCCAATGTCGTAGAAAACAATTGAAATCACCTGCGGTTGTGACGTAACGGGAGGCGGCTTCGCGTAGGGATCGACCTGAGTGTCGCCATCGTCGCACTCCGAGGACAGGTCCCCGGAGCTGAACCTCCTCTTCAGGTAATTGACATTGGAGGTGAAGGACTGACGGAAACTGCTGAACGAAATGGTTGGGCCGTTTGCGGGCTGCCCGCAGTATTTGCCGCAGTCGTTAATCTTGCCGGACTGTAGGCCTGCTGCCTCTAGCGCGCCCTCTGTCGGATTCGGGGCCAACCTTGAAAAATCGGACGTTATTGTATTACCGATGCGGCGCGCGGCGGGCAGGTTTGAACAAGCAGGCTCAATTATTTGTTTCGCTGTATGCTTGGTACGAAATCCCGGTAACTGTCCATAAAATATCGATACACGGAAAATAGATTGTGAAGTTTAGTCCAGTGCCGAGCTTTAAACAAAAACAGATTTAAATTTGCTAGAGCCTTTCAAAGAAAATATTAAAATCCTGAGGGAAAGTATCGTTGATTTAAAATTAAAGTTGTTATCTTGTTATTATTATTATTAAATTAAATTTGATGATGTGCAGTTTTATTTCCAAATATATTTATTTATTATCATATCTCAGAATAAAAAATACATGGTGACGTTTTTCTACATTATTTACCCCTCCAAAGGCAGGTAATCCAATTTCTAGTGCAAATATATACCACAGAATGAATTTTAGATATCGCGTCTTTTATTTTCTAAATAAAGGCCTTTCACGAAAAATCCTCATTAATAGGAATAATGCGTTGGTATTTTTATCGAGGGTGTCACGTCGTTATATACAGATGCATTATATAAGTAAAGATTTAAGAGAAACCTGTCTACTTACAAAATACCCAGTAAACGTAGTGATTTTCAAATATATTGTCTTTATCAAAGTAAGGTTGTTCCTACCTTGGATAAATTTTAAAAATTTTAAAAATTTTGTGCAAAACAATCTGTTCAAAGATATGCCCAATAACAGGGTTGTTGTCGTGGATAACGCTTACCACAGCTGTCTGTTATGCAAAACATCAGCCTCGTCAAGTCCAGGAATATTTGCTAGAAAATGACATTTATTTTGAATTCAGTTGCACAGGCTAAGCATACTGTTTTACGACTGCCTCCATGTCAATGTATCTTTAACCCCATAGAGCAATACTTTAAGTTCCAGTGTTATAAATTTGATAAAAAACACAATGGAAAATTTAGAATAAAAATGTAATTATGTATAGATATTCTTAGCTATGAATTTGCTGGGTATATTTAGTGTCATTGTGTTTTCTTAGTGTAATTTAATAAAATTATACCCCCCTTTTTTTTGAGAAAAAAGAAAGAAACAATAATTCTAGGATATTGGATTTTTATTTTACCGGGGCCACATTAAAAGAAACGTGTGTAATGAGGACAACATTTTGAGAATTTGAAACGCCTAGTATAAGATGTTCCCAGTTTTCGCCACGTTGTAAACACCCTGTACATTCCAGAAGTTACTACTCTAGATGAAACTGGTACCCAGGAAGCCGGCGGATTGCGTCCATAATTTCAGCTTTCTAAATACTCAAAATCTACCAATTACATTTGACAGATGTCGCTACTGTTCGATACAAGCTGGTATAATATTTTGATACACACTTTACACTTAAGAAAATGCCTTTTTCCTCAAATTAGCGTTTAAAACAGCATGCCTTCCATAAACATCAGTGGTTTTTAAGCGGTTCGTTTTGAGGTAACCAAAAAGTTATCAAAAACCAACGAAAGAAAGAAAGGATAAAAATAAGAAACAAAAAACGACCCCACTTATTCCATTCACACGAAGGCAATTTTTTATTTACGACCAGGGGAGTTAATTAGACTTCGACTTTGACGAATCGTATAATGACCCCCGTCCCCCTCCCGCCCTATCGATCCGGTCTCTACACGAAAGTGGTTTTCTTCCGCGTATCGAAAGGAAGTTTATTTACACGAATTATTTTATTGTGGGGGATTTTCCTTTGGTCTTTCTTGGCCGACTTTCGATGTAAAAAAAGTTCTTTCTGCCCCGAACTTAACCTAAACGACCACGGCGACCATTTTTTTTCGGTTCAGCGCGGAGGCGTAATATACAGGGTGGCGATGGAGGACCGCATCTATCAAAAAATGTTATGTTTAACTTTTTTTGGTTCTCGTAATGGTCGTCGTATAGCCTTGAACTTGAGGAAAATCACGCGTTTGCTGCGGTTAGCTTTGAATACCGATCGAATTCCCACTACGATGTCACTCGACACCCCATTCACTTAAATTATCAATGAGCGCGACCGGCGGACCCAATTTTAACGAAACCGGATTACGAATCGACTTACTGGGCGGACGATCAGCGACGAAACGTCTCGAATCAGGTGCGGGATGAGTCCACACGGGAGTTCGCGGTTTTGCGTGAAAATTGGGTAATTTTCGCGATACCGTGTCCGGACTGACCGTGAAACGGGGGCGACGATTGCCGCGACCCCTACCGGATAAACCGACAATCGATTTATCAATATTTCCCCATCCGCGTGGGATAGCGGCGGCGTTTCACGTCGAAAGCGGTTTATCCGTGCGATTTTATAAATAGGCGGATGCGCCGGGTTTGGGCCGCCAAGTAACATTGCTCATATCCTATATTATGCCTCATTTGTTATTTGTTTTAGAAATAAAAAAATGTTAAATACAAAAGCTATAGACAGGACCAAAACAAAAACGATTTAAAATTATTCATATACAGCGTGTTCCCTTTAAAAATATGTAATTTTGGTTTCCCAAATATTTACGTATTATTGAAAATTATTTTATGTCGTTTCTTTTAGTCTTATCTATAACTTTTGTAAATAACATTTCTCTATAAAACAAATATTAAACGGCATATTTTACTTTGACAATCTATTTGAACGCCCTGTATGTGAGTTAATCTTTGTAAAAAGCTTAATTCCGCGCCTTGGATAGTGTAAATTGTTATTTTATTATTCAAAACACAAGCAACATTTTTATTTAATTATGACAAGTTATTTAAAAAATAAAATAATAGGCGATTAAATTTAATTAAAATAATTAAATAAATAAATTAACTACTTGTTTATGCTTTAATTAATAATTAAGAGTTTGTGCATGTTCTATAATCAAATTAGGTGCGCTTACTATATTTGCATGTCAAACGGTATACAGGGTAGGAAAAAAATAAAATAATTATTTTAAATAAAAATGTTGCCATTTGAAAGACGACTTTCTAATATTCTATTATATATTATAACATATAATATGTATTATAATTAGTAATGGTTTGGTTAGTTTTTGCCACAGTATTAAAAAATATCGCAATAATAATAATGAATTTATTAATGTTTTTCTGACAAAATACTTAGTTGACCACGTTTTGATATTAGTCATTACTGTTTTAATAACACCTTTCCTATAAAATTGAAACTAGCTACCAACCTGAAGTTTTCTTAAACATTTAAGTTGTATATATCAAATCATATGTTTCACTTTGAAACTAATTATAATCTCAGACTGGTACCTTAATGCATTCTCATTTCCAGTGATATTAAATTTCAGATGAATTTTTGACCCGATATCTACCAAAATAGACATGTGTTGTATTTAAAAAAAGATGTGCTACACTAACTAACGCCTCTTGATACGTAATGTGTGCCAATTTTCATTAAAATATCTAAAATGTTATTACAGATATTAAAAAATATATATTTTATTATTGAAAACTTTACCACCATGCGAAGTTTTCATTTTAAACTCCCTAACTATTGACATTCAATTATAAAACACCCTTTATTACAAAATTACGAAATTGTAACAATTGTTTTGTCCACGAAAAGGCGGATGCGCCGGGAAATTTCGAAACACTGCGAAAATATTCTTATATTGTTGAAAACGTACAAACTTATAGGATTATTGTAAGTGGCATTCGATTGTACATAATTTTATTTAAAAATCCGTTGATTAGTACACACGCGACGCTCGAAACCAACCAGGTTTGGTAGAATTAAACACGCCCATTATTAAATGGGTTACATTGCCGTTGTTCGATGCGATTGATATTCCTCGCGAGGCACATGCATTCCGTCGTCCGTGACGCATCGGCACGGACCGGCGAATACGGTCGCAGTTAACTTGATTATCGAGTTGGCATACTCAAAATTTCCGACGATTGTGATCGTTTACTTTTGATAAGTTTTGATAGGTAGACATTAATTAATCATACATTTTATGGTTGGGATTGAAAATAAATAATTCTATGGATAATTATGGATATAATAATAATAATAACAATGATAATAACAATAATAATATTAATACATAAAAATGAATAAGCGCTTGATGTTGCCGGGAGCTACCTGTGAGAAGGGAATTTATAATAACAATAATAATAATAATAATAATAATAATAATAATGAAAATCATAATAATAGATTGATAATTCGATTTCTTGTCAATGTCTCTTTCGTGGAATTTTTTTCAGCTTTTTGTTGTTCTACCAAGCCATTTTATGGGCCACCGGGTTGTTGTATGAGTGGAATAATTTAAAATCGTCGATAAGAAGGTGCTTAATGGGTATTGTGCGGTTCCTAATTGTCAAAATACTTCGAGAAATGCCCGAGAGTAGCAAAATGCGATACGAATACGACTTAAGTCTTACTAAATTTAAGTTGCCCAGCGTACTTTAGTAATCATATTTTTATCAACCCAAGTGTTTAATCTAAAACACATATATTATTTCGAAAATTCCAAAGTGCTTTCTTAGGTTAGAATTTTTTTTCCGTATTGGTAAATGGCCACCTGGATCTTCCGATTTTACAAAGATTGACTATTTTTTGTAAGACTTTGTTAAAGGCTGCGTGTATAAAACGGCCTTCACAACAAAATAGTACTCGCAGCAGAGGGTAATGGAAGCCTTTCAACGTGTTATTGAAAATAATTTTAAATTATTTCTTTTGGTCTCATCAATAAATTTCGTATTACCAAGTAAGAATGTAATTCGGAAAAATCAGTGTGGTTTTTACGCAGCTGAAAAGAAAAAAAAAACATATGAACACAAAATCGAAAAAATCCATATTGAAATCGTTATTTCGGGGGCTGTCAAGACGCGATGACGTCATTGGTTATTACGTCGCTCTGCATGGTCTCAGAAAAAACTTATTTTCTCGAAAACCATTTACTATTTTCAAAAAATTCTTGAACCAGGACGCGCGGAAAATCCAAGGCATCTCTACTTCAAAAAATGATTGTACTATATACAAGGTGTGTCGTTTATGGGCCAAAATTCTAAAAGATAATAAAAATTTCTACTTCTAAATATCTTGATGACATTACTCGCTTTATGATTGTCTCTTCTATCTCCAGCTTATATCTTATTGGTACTGCACTATTAGACATTCAGTTTTCTCTGTTGATATTGCCATATTATATTCTTTTGCGGTTTTATTAAATATGTGTAACATTCTTTGTAGGCTGTCTTCACTATTAGATACCAGTACCGCATCGTCCGCGTAACACGGAATCGTGATATTCGTGTCTCCTATTTTGTATCCTGTTAAGCTTCTTATCTTTTCTATCATTTTGTCCATAATCAGGTTAAATAGCTTAAGCTGCCTTCTTGCCTTATTCCTGTGTTTACCTTTATTTCTTCAGATACCTTTCCCTCAGCTTTTATTTTAGTGGAGCAGTTGTAATTGAGTTTTTCTATTATTCTTCTTATTTAAGGAGATACATTTTTTTCTTTAAGTCATTAAGTCGTATTTTATCAAACTCTTTTGTTAGGTCCACGGAACACATGAAAATAATGTTGTTGTAATCTATTGACTTTTCCACTAACTGGAGAATTATATTCGCCACAACAATTTCCGTGTTAAAGCCCTATTCGGTTCCAATCCGCTCGGATTCGCACGTCCGATGCGCCCTCTTTTCTCAACAGCTAGAAGTACACCGTTGGGATATATGTCGCGGGTATCCTATCGAAACTACTTTCCGGAGACTTCGACGGCAGCGCAGGCGGGCAACCTCGCATTCATTCGTCGACCACGAGAGCGTCGCTTCGCGATCGTCAATTGTTTTGCGGGCGCGTGTGACATGTGAATCGTTGTTCGGTGATTTTTGTCGCGTCTCCACGAAAATACGTCGCCGCCATGGGACGACCGACGCTGCTGGCCGCTTGCCTCTTCGTGTTGTTGTCGCAACAGGTGAGACGACTGCAAAACGCTCCTAATTTGGTGCCGCGGGGTTGCGACTTTCACTTGTTGTGGTTACGTCACGCGTCGTTGTGCTAATAATGGCAATCGGGCTTTCGCCAGGCCTGAACGTGTGCGCAAATTCAAAACGATGTCTCGCGAGCGACGGGATCTCGACAGGGAGCTTTTTTTTTGGTCTGTGACCCCCGAGTCGGAGACCAAAAAAGTCTGACTTGGGGTCACAGACCAGACGCACGAAACGATCTTACGTAAACCGTTGGTCCATTGGGTTTTAGCGATTCTCAAAAGCAACCATCAATAACAATGATTTTCCGAGTTGTATATATCGATATTTTTCGAATCCTTGGTTAAAATAAAGGTCAATTTCTTAAGAAATTTCTATTCGAATTTAGCATAGTTTAGATAGAAATTGAGGTTGTGTGTTTTTTTTTTTCATATTTTGATTGCTCCAAAATTGTGTTGTGATGCTACTGATCCACATGTTGCAACGAAAATTTAACCACAGACTACTCTAGATATAAAGATATACTACTCCAGATATACGAATAAAACCTATTGCTAACAATACAGGTTTAATAGAACTTCCGAATTTATATTTAAAGAAACATTTAATGGTTAGTTATCTACCTTGATTGAAAATACGTAATTACAAGAATAAATAATTAAAGATTATAGGCTAAATAACCAAGATAACAAATTCGAATAAATAAATCTATAAAAAAAAGTTAACAGCAATAAAGAAATATCAAAATAATTATTAATTAAATTAAAAATGTAATTGGCTATAACATTACAATCTTTTTTTGGCCCATTAAGGTATAAACAAATGACGTTTCTGTTTGTTTTTGTTATTTCTTTTAAAAAGTTCGTGGTTGTCAAGTTTTTTGTTAGTATATATTTTATTTGTATTTTAAATAAGTTATATAGTTTTTTGGATAACCTATAAACTTTAGTTATCTATTTTTGTTATTAGGTATTTTCAATCAAATTAGATAATTAATTATTAAAAAATCCTGAAGTTTGATTAAATCTATTAAATTGTGTAGTATAGGGTCAATTTTTTTCGAAATTTCCACGTATTAATGGACACCCTGTACTGTTAGCAATTGGTTTTATTCGTATATCTGGAGTATTATACCTTTGAGAGAAGTAGTATCGTGCCTAAATAAATTTTTCGCTAGAACAAGGCATAAGTCATCCGTCTGCTATTTCCGTCGGGTGCGTTGATCACCTTTACCGAGAATTTTAACAACAATCACGCCCCACGTAATGGCTAAGAGCGGAATATCGGAAAGCGGTGACGTTTTTCACTTGGCGCAACAGTGGTTCCTGCTTTGTCCACAGACCACAGATAAAAGCGAAAACAGGTATTCCACCGGAATAGAAACAAATCTCCGCTACTGTGCTGCCAATGCGGCTAAATTCCGTCGCCAAAATATGAATTTGGGCACTTTTACCGGGTATCTTGGTTTATTATTAAAGATGTCATCAACAACATTATCACGGCCTTCTCGATTCTTGAGATACGCGGCAACACCTACGTGGTAGAATCTGGTTTCGTAGTTTGTTTTTAACTTGTTCTAACCGTTTATTAGTTATGAAGCAAACCTATTTTGTTTAAATGCAGTTTCTTGTATATTATTAATAGTGGAGAATTTAAAAAAAGTCAATAAATGTAGTGACTTTTAAACTCACCGTATAGACAATTAGTTCCTCATGAGAAGAAAAAGATATTGTCCCTATCAAAGCAAAATTGGATTAACTGGAAAAGAAGCTAGAAGAAGATGAAAGCAATATAAATATGTCATGCCACTCTGCATAGTTGTAACATGGGATTTAAGTACCGCAAAATAGACAAAATGCAAGTAGTAATGGAATCACACATTATGAACTTGGAGATTTAACGTTCACATTTTCACGAAATTATATACATTCGCATGACAATTGTTTCGACAACACCGTGTCTTTATTAAATGTCACATTTGATAAAGACAATGTTGCTCCTAGTTTAAGTGCGAGTGTTATGAATTTACAGTACATTATAAAAATTGAAGACTCCTACATTTCTATACAAAACAACATATTGGGAACGGCCACTTTCGATAGGACCTCATTGTTTAAGTATAAATCGATTAGCAGTTCGGCTAAAAGAAACCGAAAGTCGAAAGCTGGGGCGGGACTAGTTTTTCTCGCTAATTTGTCATTCTTATCCGTTTACACTAATTACCGACGAACCTGTATACACGAGTCGGCCATTTGCGAAGTGTCAAGGTAAGCCGATTTACATTCTACACGTCCGAGTTCAACATTTATGGGACAGGATAGCGCGGACAGGCAAATATCATCGACGTTCTTTAGAAAGTTTTCCACCGACACACACTTTTCGCTTCGAAATATAAGAGATTTATGTGGCGTCATTTTCTAAAAAATACCAGTTTCGTCAGCATTAAAAATGTCGTCAGCAAGGTACTTTTCAGCTAGTTTTGCGCATGCCTTCTCCAGCCAATCGTTAGTGACGTTTCTGTCGACATCACGGGCTTCGCCACTTATCTGTCCATAATTTCTACCATGTCTCTGTTTGAACTTCCTCAACCATCCTTCTGGGTCGCACCGGTATTCGGGGCAATGAGGCAGCGGACGCCGTGCGCGAGGCGGGGAGTTCTTGAAGCCTGGCCGAGGGACCGGGCCGCGGTGGGCTGGAGAGTTGCTCCGGGAATGAGGCACGCGAGGCTTATGATGGATGGGCCCGCCCTCCCTCGGACCAGGGAGCTGCTTAGACTACCAGAAGGGAGTGTAGAGCACTAACAGGGGACTAGACAGGACATTGCGGGCTTAGGAGGTATCTTTTCTTGTTAGGCATTGGAGACGCCTCGGAGTGCAGGTGGTGCATGGAAGGGGAGAAGACCCCGTGTCATTGGTATTGGGCTAACGGAGTTGCTGACCTTCTATAGGAGGGACGGCATTCTGGACTCCCTCTAGAGCGGCCTGGGGGCACAACGGGCCCATCTGGTGGCCTAAGTGCTTGGACGCCCGCGAGGGCGCCCCCCTTTAATACCAATACCATCCTTCCGAAGCCTTGAAATCGATAATGCCAAGCTGTTCAGCAAACTTTTCTGCTTTTAGTTTGACCATAGGTCCAGAGAGTGGTACATTTCTAAGACGATGCTGTTGAAACCGCTGCAACATTGCCCGATCCAAATCTTCAAATTTTAACTTTCTTAGTGTTTTACTAGAACTGCCTGCCGCTTCAGCCAAATTGATTGTTTTTTTGCACTTCCAAATCGTGGATACAGTCGACGGTTTAAGTCCGTATCGACGTCCCACATCACTTTTCTTTTCTCCCCGTTCTATCTCCCGAATTAAAGCAACTTTATCATCTAGATTAGAACTGATTGAAATAATGGTACCGACAGCGAAAAAGGCATTAACATAATCTCCTTATTACGAGAAAAACAGTAATGCACAGTAACGCAAATCCAAATTGATATAAATTAATGCAATATCGAATAATGAAATATTCGATGGATGTATAAATATCAGAAATATAAATTAAGAATAATATAGGTCCAAGGACAGAAGCTTGCGGTACGCCTGAAGAAACGGGGAGAAATTCAGAGCTTACGCTGTCAAGGGTCTCTCTGATATCTGTTAGCTAAGTAGTTTTCAAAAAATCGAGTAATATAAATGAAGAAGTGTCAGTGACAAAAAGATTAACAACCAGAAACTTGCAAAACGCCTTAGGGATTTGGCGCAGGGGTAATTTGAGTTATGGAAGATTCTCAAAGGCGTCGCATTTTTCGTCACTACTATGCACTGGGAGATATCAATTGAAGAAAAAAAAGCAAAGAAGAAAAGCTGACGATTTTGTGTGAGATGGGTCGAAATCGATGCTAAAAGTTAACCGAACCTCGAGAACAATCGTACCGAAGAGTTTTCCTTTCGTTCGGAAGGCAAATATTAAACACGTGACGTTGCGTTGCCGCGCCTACATTTTTAACCGTGCTCAAGGTTCCGAAACATTCCATTGTATTCCCAGCGACTGAGTATACGCCGTAGCGCTGTTGTTTGATATTTTCAACTATATTAATTTTTTTAGGTTATAAAAATTGAGGTTATTTGATGTTGTTGCTTTTGCATATTATGTACAGGGTGTTTTCTAATTGAATGTCGATAATAAAGGGGGCGATATGACCATACGAGGGCAGCGCCAAAATTTCCCGGCCTGAATATAAAAGAAACAAAGCAGAGTAACAATTTTTTATTATTTTTCAATATAATCCTCCTTAACTTCAATGTACTTATTACATCTCTTCATTAACAACTCAATCTCCTTAAAAAAATATTCTTTTAGTTTGTCTGCAAAACAGCCTCTCTATCCTTATCAAATTTATCAAAAGAATTCCTTCACAATCCCAAAAGATCGTGTCCATCACCTTTTTTGTTGACTGACAGACTCTGAATTTTCTTGGAGGTGCTTCACCCTTATGACGCCACTCCATTGATTCTTTTTTCGATAGAGGGTCATAATAGAGAACCATAGTTTCATCTCCCGTCACAATAGTTCCTATCGCAGGTTTCGGTTCCGACACACAGAGTTCCAAAAACGTCGATCACTCAATACCACCTCTTCTACAATCGCAACAATATCTCCCGTTATGACCTCCACTGGTCGATCAGTTCTTGAATCATCAGGCTAGGAAATTTTGGCGCTAACCTCGTACGTCCTAAACAGGATCGTGAAGTTTTCAAAAATAAAGTATATTTTTTCTGTAATACTAAATGCATGGTCATAACAATATCGTTAATATCATGCATTTTTTGTTAATATTAAAATATCTTTTAGTTTTTAGTAACCAACTTGTGTCCTTCAGGGAAAAAGCATCATTTTTACTTTTACAGTTTTAATGAAATAACATAACATCCTAACAACAAGATAAATAGCAAAAGATTTGTTTCTTTGAAAAAATGTTGAATACAGAAACTTCACCTTCAACACTTTTCATCGTATTAAATTCTAAAAGGAAGATATTTTTAACATTTTAGTCGAAACATTAACGATAAAACTCTTTCCCGTTGATATCAATGGACCAAAATGACTGTAAAATATGGCAAAAGAAATAATGGAAATAATGGCCATTGTTCCTTTTTTCTGTACGTTGCAAACGGTAAACTATGTTTTTCGTTTGTTTTGTTTACTATTAGTCTTTTTTGCACCATTTAGTTGAAGAAGTTGAAGAAAAAATTGAAAACATTACGGTTATTTCCCTTGAATTTCTAATGTTTGTTCTCGATCGCTAACCAGAACTGATCAAATAGGTTCGAATCGGGTGATTTAGTTGCTAAAAGTGCGCCTCCTTTTTTAATATTAACTATTCGGACACGCACTTTAAATCGAGAGAAAGAGAAAACGTATAGTTACGTATGATTGCGTAAAATTTCTGCCTACACGTTCCGAGGTTTGACATATATTTCGCGATTTCCTCCCTACCCACCACCCCTTTATCCACGACGATGTCACTGCAAACCATTTCTTTTTCGAGACCCCTTAAAGCGATGAAGGGGCAAAGCACACTTGCGCCATAAGACTTAGCCTGATGTCGCGTAGAATGCATAAAAACCATTTAGACACTTAGTAGCTACGATAGTGAGAAATGCATCAGTTTAAAATCGATCGAGGTGGATTTGGGAGCACTTTAAAATTACGTAATAGCAACGGTTTTCCTAATAGTTCTTCCTAATAATTCTTCATTGATAAAAGCAATAATTTATACTTGCACAAGTATGCTACTTCAAGATTTCATGGTTATACCGTGACCAGAAATATAGTGCTTTTATAACCGACCCCGTGATTAACTTTGCCCACTGTTCTATTTCATTATATTTCCACATAGTATCATTATTAACGTACAAAATATTAATAATAGTAAGGTAAAATAATTTATTTTTTTATTATTATTAGGCTATCGCCATACCATAGGAGCACCAAAGCTCCTACTTTTTGCCAGTTTCTTAACGATCCTGTTTGCTTCTTCGGAGTAGTTAAGTAAGTAAGTAGAGAAGATATTCAAAAAACTATTGGCTGTGATTCCACCAACAATTTCGACGATGGCAATGATTTTTTTCGAAATTTTGTTGACTCCGTCAGTTGACATAGATTAAACAAAAACAATTAAAAAAAAATGACGTTATTCCAGAGAAGTCTAAGATTTACCACGGAAATCAAAAGAAAAAATTAATATCCAGGTGATATTTCAAATTTTTATTCGTCCAACACAAATTCGTGTCACGTTTTCTTTTTATATTTTTAATAAAAGATATAGTTTAATTATGCTTTTTAAATATATAAATTAATTTAATTAATTAATCAATAAATCATACGAATCGGTTATAAAATCATCGAGTCTGGCGAATTTTCGCCACACCTGGCAACGTTGTACTGACTGCGGTTACGGTTCATTGCAGTTTCAACGCTTTCTCGCTATTTAGCATATCGAACATACGCGTAGCATGAAATTAAACCTATCGCGAACGTGCCATTTGGTTTCGGGGGTGAAAAATCCATTAGAAAATGATATTTTATATCATAATTCATTAAAATTTGGCATAACTGAATTAATCACATTACGTAATTGCGTTATTTAATAAATGGCTCGCGTAACTGTTTTCAAGATACAGGGTGTACAAATTTTGTAATATTTATTATTTCGTTTGTGATTTTGCGAAAATTCGAGAACGAACGCGATTTCCAGTGGCGTGTACCTGGATTTTTGACAAAAAACATAATTTTTTTTGCAGATATCGGTGTGTTTTCGAAAAGAATTCGGTTGAAATTTTCATATAATTTTTTTTGGAAGAATGCCTTTTGTATAGGGCGCCCGCAAACTAAACTCGAAAAATTTGAAAAAAAAATCAAAAAGTCGGCGCCGCTGATATTAGTTGCCAACATTTTCCGATAGGATGCTCTCCAGAAAGCCACCGCACTTTATAATTTTAATTTAGTTAGCCGATGTTCAGGTTATTTATTACAGTGAATCTTGTGCATTTTTGTAGCCATGTTTATATGGAAAAATATTCTTTTATTTTTATCTTATATTATTCAAACGTATGTATAATTGTTGATTCTAAAATGTAATTTAACGTTTAGCTACAGTACCATATTTCAAAACTCGAAAACTACAGTTATTAAGCGAATTAAACACTAAGATATAGGCGCACATCGAAGGAATCCGTGGCTGGTGAGTACAAGTCTCCCTGTAGATTTTAAACACCTTTAAAATACTTAAAATTTACAACCTCGTAGAATGTATTAACCACAAGAAATTTCAAATACGTATTTTTAAAAGTGAGCGAGACATTTTTGTTAATAGAAAAAAATTAATTAAATTCGACGCTGTTCCGCTTCACCCCATATGCACATACCTGTCAAAGTATAACGGAGCTTTTCATATCTTTCATTTTTTTCGGCACTGAGGTGGCTTTTACTTGATGAAAATCTATTTAACACAAATTAAATTACAACAAAAAATGTTCAGATTTTTAGTTTGTTCAGACCAAAATTATTTTGAATTTAATGGACAATTTTATATTGCTGAAGAAGGATTACTTGTGAGAAACCCACTTAGTCCACTACTTGCAGAAATTTTCATGGACAATTTAGAAAATATCATACATAAAGATCATCTAAGTAAAGTATTTATCTAGATACGTAGATGATGTTTGACTTTAACTAAACTACAGAACAAGTTAGATTTTTCCATTTACCATAAACCCTCACACAATAATACATAATACTCAAATCATCCTTACACACACAAAATGTCTGCCTTTCGTGCTTTTATCAACAGACTACTTAATGGACCACTTTCTACAAAATATTTTGAGAAAAATCAGTTTCAAATAACTCTGAACTCTATCTATCTCATATTAAACACCGCTTGCTTTGAAAACTGAAAGCACAATAGGACATTTTCTAAAAAACATTTAAGAAAACGCACATAAAAGGGCGTATAAGAATAAAAGTTCAGAAATACACAACTTTGACAATAATTTTGATATTTTACATCATCATTCGAAAAGCAAAAAACTAAATTTATCACTTTTTGTTCTTGTTTGTTCCTTTCGTATTTTTTTATCATAAATATTTTGAATTCTCCCTCGAAAACATACTGTTGGTTAGAGTCGAAAGTTCAACGAACTTTTTTCGTTTTTCAGGCGTCTAGTCAGCTAATCGACTCAGATTTCAATCCACAAGTGTCAGCCACCTGCAAAGCGGATCACACGATGCACATCAGGGTCAGCTTTAACCAGTCCTTTTACGGTATCATCCACGCGAGGGATTACAGGACTTCGGCTTGCATGAACCTGGGAGACGGGGGCCAATCCGTCACCCTCAACGTCAGCCTGCTGGCGCCCCCTGGATCCGCAGAGTACTGCGGCTTGCTCATCAATAACGTGAGTCGAATTCTATGGGACGAAATAATCCGCAGCGTTTTTCAATTAAGGCGAGAAGGTTTGGTTCCAGATTCTCGGATTTTAATAAATCTGTAAATATTAATTTGTTTAGAAAATTTCCATCCTCAGGTTTTCATCAAAATTTCTTCCTATCTTAGTCTTCCTTGTGACACTGTTTCGGTCCTCAAATTGTTCAATTACTTTTTTCATTGTATTTATTAAATGTACTCTTCTACCCGGATATATTTATCTATATTTTCTTTTATACCCTGCAATATTATGTCCCTTTGAATAATATAATCTCATTATTTGGCTTTTTTCTTCCTCACCATAACCCATTTGAAATATCTTAAGTTGTTTAAGTTACGCTACAGATCTTAAGCTTTGCTTAGTTGTCAAAATTAGAACATCGTTAAAACAATTGCAAACATGAAAGCAGATTTGACCATTTTTAAGCAATAGGGCTAGGGCTGGAAGAAATGCCAATTCAATATTTAGTAGATTTGGAATGTGGGGATGTGCAGGGCAATTATCTAAGAGAAGTAATATTTTCCTCCCCTTTAATTCTACATCCCATTTCCGTATCTCCTCTTGAAAAATTTGCGATGTCATCCATGCAGACTTGTTTGTCTTGTAAGTGACCTGCAAATGCTTAATGTTCTTAAAACATCGTGCGTTAGTTGATTTTCCAATCACGACTAGCTTTCTTTTTTCTCCCCCACTCATATTGGTAGCTACTAACACTGTTATGCGTTCTTTAGAAGGTTTTCCACCCTCACACTTTTCGCTTCGAAATTTAAGAGTTTTACCTGGCGTCATTGTGTAAAAAATACCAGTTTCGTCAGCATTAAAAATGTAGTCAGCAGGTCCAGAGAGTAATACATTTTTAAGACGTTGCTGTTGGAACCGCTGCAACATTGCCGGATCAAAATCTTCAAATTTTGGCTTTCTTAGTTTTTTACTAGAACTGCCTGCCGCTGCAGCGTGAATAATTTTTTCTTTGCACGTCCAAGTCCTGGATACAGTCGACGGTGTAAGTCCGTATCGCCGTCCCTCATCACTTTTCTTTTTTCTCCACGTTCTATCGCCCGAATTAAGCAACTTTCGGCCTAAATTCCTTACTTTGTTACCTGATGTGCCCTTTTTTCTTGCGGTACAGAGAATGAGAAATTCGTTATACAGAGTATGGTTTTGAAATCAGGCAAAAAGTTCTACGATTTAAGCTAATAATATATATGGAATTACATTTTTAAAAAAATGTTTCTGTCATTTTGACAGCTTGCGAAGGTCGTTTTGTATTTACTATTTTTTTCTATCTTTTAAAGTTAACCCTGTAGGTAGGTGTCAAAATATAACGAATAATTCAGTACATATAGGACCGACGTTGCTTGTTTGTTCGATGTTTATTGTAATCAGGCGTTCGGTGCCAAGGTTTTTTTGCGCCAAATGTGTGGCAACCGGAAGACGATATGCTAATCCGCATGCTGAGCGCGTAGGATCAATGCCGTAGATGAAAAAAAATTATATTTTTAGCTATTCGCGATCTGCGCTCTTTAACAATCCTCACTACCCACGTTCACGGGTGAGAATTTCAATACACAAAATCGACAAATCTGAGGAAGGAAATAGACTCCTCTACCAATATATCGCCACCGGTTGTGCAAAAATGACCGAATTTCGCAAATAAAGCTGTATCAATCGCAACTAGAACAATTTATGTGAAAAATCGGAACCATCTTTGGTCAAAACAAAAAGAAGTAAATGACCAATAGGACTAGAAGGAACGCAAAAGCTATAAAGGTCACGAAACAAGACAAAACTGAATAGTTACGACGTCATCAACATGCTTCAGAAACTGATATATTTTATTAACCCATTTTGCGTTAATGCACCACCGATTCTATGATTTTTCCACATCCGGGAAACATTTTTGCACATCCATTTAGAAATTTTATTATTATCACTACTAAAGGACATAAAATCGTAGAAATCGCTAATTTATGTGTAAAGGAAAGATCTTATATATGACTTCAAAAATTAACAAAAGCGGTACATAAATATGGAATTAGAGGCGGCTATGGACGAGATCGTGACGGATGAGGACAATAACAATGAAAGTTGCATTCCATTCCTTGTAAATTTATGCGAAAAATAACGTGAAAACCTTGACCGACGATGAAGATATGAACGATAACATAAATCTACAAGAGTTTAGGGAACCAACTGATATAGTTGGAACTTTCGTGTTACATACACCGAATGACACAGCTGTCGTTCAACAGTCCTGTAATTCGTCAACTACTGAATCTGAATGGGACTCATCAGATGATGAAACCCTGGAATTCCACGTATTCTTTCTGCAAACGACAGGCTTGCTTCCACTGTCAATGGAGGAAAGATTGAGTACACTCACACACCTATATCCGATGAATTTAGATCATGTGAGAAAGTATTGGGTTGTTCGGAAAGTCATTTCGTTTTTTTTTTGGAGAACATGAAAGACAGTTTTCGTATAATGAATAAATATTTTATTAAATTATATATTGGCCATTCTGGTCCAACACCTTTTGCCATCTTTCTGGCAGTAACATAATTCCCCTCTCATAAAAGTTTTGGTCCTTGCTGGCAAAAAACTGGTTCAGGTGGTTTTTGACATCTTCATTTGAAGTAAAGGTTTTGCCATCCAAAAAATTTTGCAGGGACCGGAACAAATAGTAGTCGGAAGGCGCCAGATCTGGAGAATATGGTAAATGTTGCAGTACGTCCCATTCAAGCTGTAAAAGTTTTTGGCGAGTGACCAAACTTGTGTGAGGTCTCGCATTATCCTGGTGGAACACTACACCCTTCCTGGAGATCAATTCGGGCCTCTTCTCTTTAAGTGAATCATTCAATTTGTCCAGTTGATGACAATAGACTTCTGAATTAATCGTTGTATTGTCCGGCAAAAGCTCAAAAAAAACGATTCCTTTGACATCCCACCAAACGGAGAGCATCACCTTTTTTTGGTGAATGTTGGCTTTTGACACGCTTTGAGCCGGTTCATCTTTTCTGCTCCATAACCTCTTGCGTTTAACATTGTTGTATACAACCCATTTTTCGTCCCCAGTAATAATCCGCTTCAAAAATGGATCATTTTCTTGACGTTTGAGGAGCGAATCACACACGTCAACGCGACGACACAAATTTCGCTCCGTAAGGACATGGGGCACCCACACATCGAGCTTCGAGGTTAAGCCCTTGCCTTTCAAATGGCCATAAACAGTCGAATTCGACAAATTTAATCTCTCACCGGTCTCTCGTGTGGTTATTCGCCGATTTGCATCAACTAATGCCTTTATCGCATCTTTGTCAGCTTCGACCGGCCTTCCAGACCGTGGTGCATCTTCGACATCAAAATTGCCGGATCGAAATTTTGCAAACCAGTTCTGGCACTGGCGTACTGTTAACACGCCTTCTCCATACACATCCGTCAATTTTTTTCCCGCTTGGACAGCATTTTTACCATTTCTGAAGTAAAAAAGTAAAATATGACGAAAATGCTGCTTATTGCTCTCCATATTTAAAAGGGCACCAACCAAAAACTACTGCGTACAATTAATAGAACTTTTTCACACACAAGCCTCGCAATATCAGCTCTCAAGACATATAATGGTTATGCGGCTTAAGTGTGAAGTTGGTTTCGAAAAAACGTAATTAAGTCCTCTGACGGGAAAAAACGAAATGACTTTCCGAACAACCTTATAATAAATTTTTTACGTATTTTGATGACCAGGTGATTGATTTGATTTTAAAAATTCCGGTAAAATATACTCAAGACAATACCCGCCATAAATTCTCGTTGTCAAAAAATGAATCTGTTTCCGAATTAGGGGGGAATCTACTAAATCTATCACATCCATAGGCGGAACACTGGGTATAAAAGATATAAAAGATCCTGAAAATTTCGGTTTTTGCGGGTAAAATATTAAAAGTAATTGAAAAATTGTAAAAGGTGTGATAATTTCGTTCGAGCAGTATCGCAAACCGTGCCGAGAGGTGCAATCATACGGGGCGCGCGAGATATTCGGAAAAATATCATTGGAAATCACTATTATTGGTGCAAAATTTTATATCCGTCATTTGGCCAGACTTTGAAGTTCGGCCCGACACGTTTTACACTATACAGGGTGCACGCACAATAAAATCGAGATAGAAAGACAAAGGGCTCTTCAAAAAAATCGAACTTTCCCACAAAATTAGATGCAGAGGGAGCACCAATTACTAAGCGAGTGCAGTTAGACAATCTCTCGCGCATTTTTTACTGTTATTGCGGGCTGGTCGATCGAAATTAATAACGAACAGTCGAATCGAAGTCCTCGCTTCGCTGAACGACATAACGACCGGTCGAATCAGCGAGGAATATACCGTCGGCCGACCATGTTTATTGTTTTTTTTTTCTGTTCGCCGAGTTTAATGGGCCTCCCGGAGGGAAGATCGCGTGTTTTCTTTTTCGCGTCTGAGACTCGCGTGCGTACGAAGCCTCGCCATAAACCGTAAAGTTACGGGAACGATTTATTAAACAATCGGCACTTTTCGGACGTTAAAAATAAGATGAGCGTCTGGCGTCGACGGAAAATCGGTTGCATCACTAGTAAATCCAACGTCACGAGATAAGATCTTGGGATAAAGACACGGTGTTGTCAAAACAATTGTCATGTGAAAATATATAATTTCGTGAAAATCTGAAGTTTTAGTTCTTATTCAGTTCAGTTTCTGAAAAACCCACTAGGAGGACATTTTTCTTCGGTTGCAGCGCACTCAGGAAAAATCGCTGCCCGTAGCCGTCAGGGTGCACAAAACTCTCGAACTAGCGGACGATAAGTTCTACGTCATCACTTGCGGAAAGGCGGGGCCGAGGAACCAGTCGTCACCCGTCTCCCTCAACCTGCTGGACGGTAGCAGGAAGGTCACCAGGGCAGTCTACAGCAACCCCTATACGCTGAGGATCGAGACGGGCAAAATGGACGCTTCCAATGGGTTCCGAGTGAAGAACTGCTTCGCTTTCAACAAGATTAACACGTCGGTCCCGTTGGTCGACGACAGAGGGTGCCCTTCGAACGGCGAAGGTATCGGCAAATTCGTTTACGACGACTCCTTGGGCATCGCGGACGCCAAACTGAGGTCCATGTTCAAGTTCCCGGAAAGCTCGGAGGTATTCCTCCAGGTGGGAACGTTAGAGGTCGTTGTGTTCGCGCTCGCGATCAAGCGTGTCGTTTTTCCCGCAGTGTGACGTCGCCTTCTGCAAGGGAGCCTGTCCGAGACCGTCCTGCAACGGTGACGTGTCCAACTACGTCACTCCCAGTACGGAAGAGGGTACCGTGATAGCCGGCAACACCGTATTCGTGTTGGATCCGGGTAAGCATGTTAAGCGTCTCTGTTTGCTAATCCTGCAGGAGTGTCTTGGACGTAGGCGGTCAACTATCACGGTAGTCTTTTTCGTGTTTGACGTCTTCGTCTGCTGCATTTCGTTTGTCGAGGAAGCGTCTAGTTACTTTCGAAAATTTAATGTCGAAAAAAAAAACGTTTTTTTTTTTTGTCTGTCTGTTCTCTGTTCTCCGTATGCTGGTCCGGGATTTTTCGACGATAACTTCCGAACAGTTCGAGACGCTTCAAATTGTGTGCCTTTTCGACAGTCCACCAGGGACGTAAGATATTTAAAAGTGGCGGCGATGGAACAGTGGCGGCCATTTTTTTTCGTTTTTCTACCGTTTTTTCGACATTGCTATAAGTGTCCGAAATTAAAAGCCATCGGCTTCAAATATGGCACACGTATGAAGTTTGGTTCCGTGACGGGACCTATTGAAATCGGGGGAGCTGGGGGGGTCGGGAAGTATTTTAAAAAAATTGGAAACAGCATTTGCAGGGGCCTAAGAAAAAAAATCGTTTCTCGAAAACGGTTTACGCGGTCGAAAAAATGTTTGAACGTGAAGATCCAGAAGATTCGGCTCCATTGCATTTTATTCTTGAAAATTTTTCAAAAATGTACAGGGTGCACCGTAAATTCAAAAAAACTGAAAAATGGTTCACCCTATTATTGAAAATTAGCTATAACTGAAAGACGGTGCTTCGGTAGTCAGTTCGTTATACATGGCGATATAGCTCGCATAAACAGCTTGAACTTTTGTATTTAAGGTTTTCACTTGTTGTACAGGGTGTTCAAGATATTAGGCGCTATATTCAAAAATTAACAAGTGTCTTAAATTTACAGCTATCGACTTCAGATTTGGCTGAAGCGTAGAAGTCCACACGCGCATTTCAGCTGTTGAAAAATGACTTACTCAAATCTTGCAAAGTATTTTTTTTTAATTTTTGAAAATGTTTTTTGGTATATTTTGACTTCCAGAAAAAAAATATTTTCTCGAAAACTATTAACCCGATCGGGAAAATTTGTGAACCGAAAAATGCGGGAGATCCGGGACCATCACTTTTATTTCGGGCATTTTTCCATTATATACAGGGTGTTTCAATTATAGGCAAAAATCTAAAAGACCTTGAAAATCGCCATTTAATTGTTAGCCGTAAATCAAATTTCGTGGAAAATATGGCCAATTGGTTTAAACAGTGATATAGGCCACATCGAGAGCTACAATTTTTGTATTTACAGTTTTCGTCTATCACATACGTTGTTCGAGATATTTGAAATGATCCAAATGGAAATCGCCCTCATTTAGACGGGATGACGTCATTTTTTATTATAGTTTTTAATTGTATGTGAGAACCAAAACATTTTGAAGACTTTTACAGTTTTAATGAAATAACGATTGTTATTAAAAAAAAAATCTAATCACTATTAATAATTTTTAACAAAGTTTTCTGCTAATTAATTAAAAAGAACCTTTTTGGAAAAATGTAGAACATAGAAATTAGATAAGTTGTTGGAAGAGTTTACGTACTTCGTATACGTGCTCCAATTTTTTGAAGTATTTTAATAAAACAAATAAATATTTAATAATAATAAATAATATTTCTCTGCATGTTATCATAAAAATAAATTTCTTTAGAATAATTTTTATTTTAAGAAAAATCAGTGGTGTACCATTAATGTCTGTCAAAATAGACAGGTGAAATTCTCTAAAGCGGTACTACAGATTTTCTTTTTAAAATGGTCCCAAAATTTCCACTTCTAATTATTGACATTTAATTAAAAAAGACCCTGTATATAGACAAGCAGTAATAGGTTCTTATTATCGGTGTAAGGTTACGTAAATCCAATTGGTCATTAATCATGAATTTAGGTTTTCGTGATTTAGTTTTATTGTTAAGAGAGATTTTTTGATTTTTTTTTTGCTAGTTTCTCCTATGTATCTCTCTATCTCTCTCTATTGCCTATAGCAACAAAAATACTTTTCTGTTTTTCTACCTATTCTAAATGAGCTTGTTACCTCGTAACTTCTATAAGGTCTCATATCACCATGGCGACCCTAAGGACGTGTTTGCACCAGTACTGCTCCAGCCTGGCCCTCCTTTACCACCTTTTCATTTAGTTTCCTCCACCTTACCTTGGAGGTAACTAAATAAACTAAATAGACTACAGTCTATCAACCACCAAATGACCCGTTGTTGTCGTTCCAACCCTGAGTATCACTCGAACATCCTTTTCGTCAGGTGAGGCACCTTTGGTACAAGAACTTTGTGATGAAGAACGTGCCGGACCTGGCTGGTTGCTCTGGCTGTGCATCGCCCTCGGAGTGCTCTTCCTCATAATGCTCATCATCAACATCTTTCTGTGTTCGGCAATGACTTGCGCGTGTACGCGCACTGAGATCATCGAGAAGGAACCGAGCATCATCGAAGATTACGATCCTTATAGGAGCTGGCACGGAAGCCAATACGGTTCAAGGTAAGCTTAAGAAATCGTATATAAATTCCTGAATTAACGCTTCACATTTTACAGTTTTTTGTTTTGCGGCTTCCACTAGATTAGATAATAATCAACAATGATCCCTTTGGCTTATCCTGCACTTACCCGAAACTGCGTGGAATTTTACACTGTACCTGCTTATACCCCGTGAAAATGGAATATCATGTATAGCTTAAGTAAAATATCAACAGAATAAAAAAGCAGTATCAGCCTAAAATTGAAAATATGCTATGCAGGGGACGAATCGAATATTTCAAATTCTGAAATTTATAATCCAAAAAATCACCATTATGGGTAAAGAAAAATATTATTGCTTCGGCCTCTCAGGTTACCAGATATAGCCCCACTTGATTTCTACTTGTGGGATTATTTAAAGGAAAGGTACTGTAATACTTTTTACAAAAAATTTAAAAAAACAAAAGAAAGTGAGAAAAACCATCTTATCCTACGTGGAACGATCACTTGAATCGAAATAATCCAATCCCTTAGTATTCCAAAATAGTCGTAATTTAATTTCGAATCCCTAACGCAGGTACTCGCTGAACGGGGCCCCTCCAAACCCTAAGGGCTACACTTCAGGGGGTTCGACGATGAACTCCGCTCGGTCAGTGTCGTCGCACAGCGATCACTACGCCATCGTGCACTCCAGACCGGGAAGCAGGGGCTACGGGAAGCAGAGAGGACCTTCTTCCCACGTAGGCAGCCATTACAGCGGCAAGTGATTACACCCAAAAGCGCGTCGTGAAGAAAATATCTAGTCGTAAGTTTTTTCTATCGCAAAAATTCGAAAAAAAATTAATACGAGGCTCCCCTCCCCCCATTAATATACTATCCTTTGTAAATAATAATCGAGACGTCGCTTCACATCAAATGGAAGTTTCGATATTAATTTAACTTTTAAGGTTTGTGTTATTTATAAAAAATGTTTTCTGCGTTTTTTTTTTCAATCTCGATGTTGTTCGAACCGTAACTGTCAAACTTATTTAAAAAAAAAGCTGTACAAAAAGAACTGATAATATTGTAAATAAAGATTTTTAAAACATCGCCTTCAGTTTTATGCTTCCCGTCAACGACACGTATACTGTGGTCCGAACATAACCTAGAATAGTTTTTACGTGCTTAAAACTGATGATTAAAAATGTAATTAAAGTCCATTACTTTTTTTTAGTTCATTGCTAAGACATTCGGATCGTTTGCTATAGAATAACAAAATTTTTTGGTTTTGGTTCTCTTTCTTCTTTCTAAATATAATTAAAAAATAACTGTATACATCATTTGCATCATTAAAAAATAGTCAATATTTTGCCTGATGATACTTGGAACTAGCCTCAGCATTCACTCGATCTTTGAGTAAGGTCTGAGAGCTTTAAGATTGTATTGTAACATTTGGAAGACTATTTAGCACAATAAATATGTAGGGATGTCCCCCAAGTGGTTTAGTGGATACAAAAGAATTATAATGGAAATTGACTAAAAAAGTTAGCAATATGAAAGGGATATTACAAAAAATGAATGAAATTCATTTTCCAAAAAATACGTGCAATATTTTTTGCCTGGTGACATTTGGAACCTGGTGTTGTTGGGACCATGAATTTTCAGCTTCAATAAAGCTTTCATCCGAGCCTTGAGGGACATCTGAAAGCTTTAAGGTTATGTTGTAACATTTGGAAGACTATTTAGTAAATTGTAAATTTAAAAAAATAGTCTCTCTTCTCTTGCCAAGACCTTTGGAAAGGTTTCCTACAATTTTAGCCTTAAGAAGGCCTTTATCCATAGTTTTGGTTAGTTTTGTCATCTGAAAGTTTTAACGCTCTGCCGTGACATTTCATCATATTATATTATCGTTTAAATATTCATTATTATTACTAAAATACGAGCCACGTGAGGAGGTCATAAGAGCAGCTGGGCAAGTCATCGAATGAGGTAGTCTGTTCCTAGATATAAGAAAGTGACTAACTGATACGAATTAAGGAATGACCCGGGCAAGAAATATGGTCGAACAGGTCCGCACTTTGCTTAGAATTTAATTATTTGGGGTTTTGTTAGGAAAGATACTAAACAATATTTATTTATTTATGTATGTATTTATGTTTAAATCTAAAATAAAATTACAAATTATTTTTATTACCTACTTAAATTACTTAAAATTATTCACATAATATATCAGTATCACTATTTGCAATATGGATATACGACCGTTCTGCTTTCTCTATTATGTTTAACATAATCTGCCCAACTTTGTTGAGGGAAGTTAAAAACTTCGGTTTCTATAAGTTTGAGGACATTGGAGTTAACACGGGGAAAACATTGTTACGGCGAATGGTAGATTTCAGTTGGTGCCAAACATGTTCAATGGGATTAAATATACACCGTGGTGAGGTGGCAGCCTAAAAACTGTATGCCCTAGATTTTTTGCATAATTATCACAAACGTATTGCTTTTGTAGGTTCATGCTTTGTAGAACCTCAATTAATTGCTTTTTGGTATAATCTGTAGTTTTTGATTGTTGCTTTTGTGTCACATGAGGAAGGGGTTTTAATCAACTGTCTTCTGTGATAACTTGCATTGTCCATTACAATTACGCCATTAGGAGGATGTTTGCAACTAGTTTGTTTTTAAACCAACTTTCAAATAAATCAGCGGTGGTGTCTTCATGGTAATCCAGAGAAGAATCTTTAATATTTTTCGCAGACAGAGAAAGTCCATTTAAAATCCAACCATCTGTAGAGTCAGCATGCAAAATAGTTATTCTTTTACCTCTTTTTGATGGCGCGTTTGTATTACACTTATCAGTTTCATCCAAGTAAATAATTGGCCTTTGTTGTTCATTGTAAATCCTAATTTTTTCTAGATATTCCAGTCGCCATTTCCGAATTCTAAAAGATTCCATTAAAACTTGCCTTTTGTCTTTTTTTTTAAATCTGAAACCCATGTGTTGAATACACTTCCATAAGGTAGTTCTGCCACATTTAACACCGGTGTCATCTTTTTCAAGCCTCCTAATTCTTCTTCTTCTTCTTCCTACTTTAGTCTAGGCAAATTGCCTGTTCATTTTCGTCGTCTCTGCCTATCCCACTGCCAGGTTGTCACTCCATCGTTTTCGGGGGCGACCTAAGCTCCTGCGACCCAATGGTGATTTGTCGCGTGCAATTCTGACTATTCTTCTGTTGTCCATTCTACTAATATGCTCGTTCCATTCTTTCTTTCTACGCAATACCCACGCATTAACGTTTTCCACCCTGCATGTTCGTCTTATATTTTCGCTCCTCTCTCTGTCCAAGAGCGTTTTTCCAGTTATTCTACGAACTATCCTCATTTCGGTTGTCTTTTGTCAATTTTTTTAAATCTAAAACACATGTGTTGAATACACTTCCATAAGGTAGTTCTGCCTTTTCATCTTTTTCAAGCCTTCTAATTGAGATATCTAATGTAGGCAAGCTTTGTTCCTCGTATAACTGGTAAATTTTACGCCGTATTAAATCTTGATCACTTTCATCTAAACTCGAGAAAATGTCAGCATCGCTTCTTTTTTTCCTCGCTGTTATTCACAATTTTCCATACAGTTGATGTCAATGTAGCCGTTTCTTCTAAAGATGCTTGCTTGCTGGCACCACGTTCAATGAGAGTCAAATAAACCTTGTTTATAACTTCCTTAGTCTCAATAGAATAGTGTTTTCTACATTTGGACGGGAGCATCTCCTGAGATACACTAGACTCGCACATATTGATAAACTTAAACTATGTAGTATACCAAACCAAAGAATATTAGACACAGGTAGGTATAAAATTATTTTCTATTACGGACCACAATTTTACCTGAATTTAAATTCCGAAACTTTAGGTAAAAATCTTGTTACATCGTATATTAATGACCACCGTTAGATAATCCCATTCAAAAGCAATTGGTCACTTTCTTATATCTATGAACAGACCATACCTTCAAATAGGATTTTAAGAAAACGCATAGCTGTGGATAATTTTTATTGACGAATCTCGCCGAAGCTGTCAGACAATCTCGTTGGTTTCTTCGTAGCAGTCGCAGTCGGATTCGGGACATTGATCTCCCGGATACACCAGACATTTGTCCATGCAGTAGACGTCCGCTCCCTTTTGCCCTTTGTATTTGCCGATGGCGTCGCACGTAGTGCTGGAATTAAGCAACATTTTGAAACCGAAGGAGATACATTAACAAATATTTTCGGTTATCTCTTAGATACTAGATAATCTTAATAACGACATGGCTGGAACTTTGTTTTGAAGGAAGGTCAGATTCCCCTTGAAGGTGCAGAACAACAGCTAAAAATATACATTCAGAAAGCTCTAAGTAAGTGGAAGAAAAAAACTGAAAAATTGATATTGGACTAGGTGACCAATGGGTGACAAGCCTTTAATTTTCGAACTTTCACAGGCTGCTGTAGTAACTATTTACAATTCTTCTTGATTCCGCCTGAAAGAATTTTAGTTTTCATGTTCAAAAGATTTGTAAATGGTATAACAGGGACCTGTGGAAGTTTCTTTAAAAAATTGCCAATCCCTCATGGAGTAGAAAGCAGACAGTTTACTCCGTAAACCAACTTTTTTGTTACGTTGGGGAGACCATAACGTTTTCCCTAATTTTCATAAAAAATTCTTCGTAAATCAAATTTTGCTTTACTTCAAGAAAGTATTCAATAAATCTCGTATGTCTCTGCATCTTCAAATTGCTTCTATCTTTAATCTTCATTCTGCTGCTTCCAGGCAGGTTTACGTTTTTGACCCGTGGATCCTTTTCATAGGATTCATGAGGCCCAGGTCCTCTATAGCTCTCGCACGCTGTCTAAGGCTACGTGACTCTTAAGACTTTCCAAGGTGAAATTTGTGTTGAAGAGTGTACGGAGACAAGAACTCTTTCTGTCTTTCTGTGTCCATTATAAAAACGGAATACCACTACTTACGGACATCGGCACACCTGCGAGGGACAGTTGGGCGGGTACCGCAGGCAATTCTCCTGGCACCAGGCCCTCATACCCGGAACCCTACGGAAAGCTCTCGTAGCTTCGCACACCTGCTCCCTGATGACCAACGGTTGCAGGTTGTAGGGCGCGAGTTTGGTCGAGTCTTGGTAGTACAAGAGGTACGGATTGTCCAGGCCCACGAACAATGGCGGAATCGCGCCCACCGAATTAGGCAGGACGCTGACATCGGCGCAATTGACGAACGTTTCCGACTGACCACAGCCCTGCGCTGTGGTACCGTTCGAGCACATGCCCCATTGGTTGCCCGTGTAGTACACCCAGCGTAGGACGCACTGAGTGCACGTGACGTAAGGCGGTAACGTCACCTGGTACCTGAACACGGCCTTTTTGACACCGTCTTCGGGGATTTGGAAGGCCACGTCATCGGTACCCGTCAACCGGAGCGGGTACTTGTCGAAACACTCGAGTTCCGGTTCCTTCTTGTGGTTGTTGTTGGGACAGATCGCTATTTCGAACCTGCCGTAGTGGTTGGCGGTGAGTTCGACCTCCACATCCACCGTCTGACCTACGCTGTAGTGCCTGGTGATGATACCGTTGGCGTAGCGACCTCCAGCTTCGTGAGGTCGCGGTTTCTCGTGGTAAGCGTCGCCGCAGAGGCCGCAGTTGCCGCCGTTTTGAGCCCACTGCACTGAGTACCCGCCGCAGTAGAGCTCGTTGTCGTTGTAGTTGACGGGGTTCGGGAACCCGAACCTCCACATGGAATTGCGTGCCGGAGGGTCCATCAGGCGTCCGTGTCCGGCGGCATGGTGCACCAGATGGAGGCACGCTACCGCCAGGGTGGCCCAAGTTAGCATCTTAAATCGGCACCTGGGGGATATTTGGAGTATAGTGCTTTCGCAGATTTTTGCATCTGCACGGATATGAATGATTCCTTGATACGAAGAACTCCAATCCAATATAAAAAAAAACTTTGGAACTGTCCCAAATAGATGATGCCGTTTTGGCGAATTCCATCAAAAGTGTGTACAAACAAAAACATTTCTATCGACAATTTGGTGCTTTGTAGGCGTAATGGTTAAATCAGGAACAGTCAAAACAGTGGGTTGCAAAAGGGGAACCAACTCCAGAAGAGGCTACAACATTGTTGTGGTTACTGTTTTTTGGGATGCAAAGGTAAGAATATCACTGGTCCATTCCAATACCACGCAACCTCTCTACTCTCCGGTCTTAGCCCCCAGCGATTATTACCTGTTTCCTAACCTCATAAAATGGCTTGACGGTGAAATATTTAAAGTACTTTGAGGAGCTTGACGGATCTGGTACAGCCAAATTAGAACACCTTTAAAACCAATGTGAAAGGGTTGATGGAGATTATTTTGAAGAATAAAGCAAAATAAAATTTTTAAAAAGGTCGTTTTCTGTGGTCAGGTCGGAAACTTACCACGCCACGCCATTTCGAGCATCTTTTATAATCTGAAGCCGCTATTATTGTTAGCTTTTTTAAAATATCCCAAAGTTTCTCCTTAATCGTACGTTCTCAAGCGAACGGTGATTTGAACCGAATATATGAATGGTTATGTAAACACAAACTTAATATTAACACGTCAAAGTTTAAATTTTGCATTTTTGGGAATAAACCAAAAAATTGAGTGTTGAGCGCATATTATTATTTCTATCTAATTTATTTGTTTATAATTTTTTACAAGGTTGATGAGGTCGACGTCTTTCAGGATACATGTTCAACTTTATTTTCGATATCTTGACACCCCTTCTGTCCTTTTTCTAATAAAGTTTAACCATATCTCGTTTCTGAGGGAACCGCACTTGTGATACGTCAATCGAAAAGGCAACGCTCCGCACTATTCAACACTGCTAGAATCCAAAATTTTTTGATTTTTGACCAGGCCATAAGACGAAGCCTGAAAAGTTCCCGTGAGGATGTATTTACGGATTTTTACTGAGTTTTAAAATAAAGGCGGAAAGCAGATGTCCCGCAATACTTTCGGAAGTAACAAAAAATACCGATATACGAGGTGCGTTCGAAAAGTAAGGTGATAATTGTGTTTGCAATCTACAGTCACCTACAGAACACCATGTACTAATTTGAACGCTTTGTGATATTTTATGCGACAATTCTCGCAGATATACACTGTCACCACAAAATTAAATAGTTGATGTAAATAAAATGTATAATGCATATTATATTTATTGAAAAAGTTGAAAAAAATGGGTTTATAAGGTTTTGGCAAGAGTTCTTCGGGAATATAAGATTTATTTTTTCGTAATGATCGGCAAAAAGTCATTTGTTTCTCTAATACTTTATCTGCTAGGGACAAACTTGTAAAAAAAATATCTGTGGTTATGCCATATCCCGTTCCTAGATCTCCTACAAGATCTAAGACCTACTCTTTTGCCTTGATTCTTTTCTGCTGTATTATTAATTTTCCCCAAGTATAGTTGCATATTTATAGTGTAATCATTTTCACTATTTGCTGCCCTCCGAATTTTCACACTATATTTATCTGGTTTACTTCTCGACCTCTAAATCCAACTAGTTGCTCATCTACTGTAATATGGCTTCCGGAATTTTAACACTTTTTGAAATTGTCCACAAACATGTTGAAAACTTCTCTTACCAGTGCAAGCTTATCAGTTTTCTTTCTAACTTCCCTTGTTTTGGATCGTCAAAACGAAAAAAACTCGTCAACAATTGAAACGTGAGCGAGAAATAGTTGCAGGAATAAGTGGTCTATTGTAACCTCTCTTGGTACACCACAACATTACTATCGGTTCTTTTGAAGCTTGAAGGACACCTAAGATCAAAATGAGGTCAATGTATGAATTTATTTCAACAGCATCTGTTGGTTTCCATGTGCGTTGTAGAGGTTTTTACTTCCAAAGTTTGAAAGTCTGAAAAATTGGACACGGATCTGCCTTATTATTATTTCTATAATTTCACTTTTTAAAAATATTCATGGCACTCAATTTAAAAAAATAAATTTGGTGGACCACAGTCACCATATTCGCCAGATCCGGTCCCCAGTGACTATTTCCTGTTATGAAGCCTGAACGGGCGACTTGGCGAACCCAAACCCGAGCCTATTTTGAGAAAAATAACAAAAAATGCCGAAAAATAAAACGTATTTTTTAATGATAAAAAAGTAGATTTTTGTTTTCAGCGTAAAAAACACATTTCTACAAGGACCCGCTTTTCCGCTACTACTCAAAATTTTGTACGCAATGTAATAACAAAGATACTCAAAACGGAGCGAAAATATTCATGGCATTCAACTAAAAAAAAATTTGGTGGACCATAGTTACCGTGTTCGCCAGATACGGTTGCCAGCCCAAGCCCAAACTATTTTGAGAAAAATAACTTGAATAAAGGACTTCTCGAACGGCCCTCGTATAAACTCCGATCTCGGACGTGTCGCGTGTTTCCATGTATCGCGACTTTTTCCAGACGGACAGCATATCAAACACCATTGTTATGGTGGATCCACCTGCACGAAGCAGCGAGTTCGACGACCGTCCGTCAGGATGACAAATTGAGGTTAAGTTTCGGCCTAAACCCGTTTCGATCGGCATCGGGTCGTTAGAATGCTAATCGCGCCATTTGGAATCGAAAAAACAACAATCGGAGATTGAAATCCGTAGAAATTCCCGGGAATGATTCGCTTTTAATCGTCCGCAAATGGGTCAGCTGATCGAAAAGAAATTAGGAACACCTAATTGCAACGTTTTCGACGTTTGAAATATGGCGGAGGTTGTTGAACTTTACACACGACTACGTGCCGCGTGCTAAACGAAAAACAATATATTTTAGCGTTCTCATATAAAAAAAGAAACGGAAAACAGACTAAAATTAAACCAATCGTTGTCTGTCAGGGCCCCCTTGGTTTTTGAGATACAAGTCTATCGAATCTGTCAATTTTCGGAACACCCTCGTATCTCCGTTGCCTATTAATTTATTGAAATGTTTTTCACTCGTTTATTTGTTATATATATATATATATATATATATATATATATATATATATATATATATATATATATATATATATATATATATATATATATATATATATATATATATATATATATATATATATATATATATATATATATATATATATATATATATATATATATATATATATATATATATATATATATATATATATATATATATATATATATATATATATATATATATATATATATATATATATATATATATATATATATATATATATATATATAAATGTATATTATTTTTTACTATATATCTACGAAACTGTTGAACTGTGAATGTTGTTAGTAGGAAAATCAACATATCTAAAAACAGAGCTCATAATATTCTGTGTTCTATGCAAATATACGAAAAAACCATTATATTTTATTTATTTATTTATTTATATTACATTTATTATTATTATTATTTTATTACTTTACATACAATCATAGACACATTTACTATGGGATGTAACAATATGAAGATTGTTTATACAAAGCAGGAAAAATAAGGGACCCAACTAGTACCCTGCGGAACTCCTGATAAGAAGTCATATATCGAGGACTCATAATTATTAAGTTTTCTTTTAAACAACGCGCTTACAAAGTCAAGAGAACTGTTCCTCTGTAAACTTTTAATCGTATTTTCGTGCTCAAATGGCGACGCTTAGGACCAAAAGTTTGGGGACATTTTTTGTAGAGATGTAGAGATATAGAGAATAGGGATGATATACAATTTTTCACTGCACTATTTTAGCCTAGAAACTCGCCGCTTAGGCGAAAAACCGGAAAAAAATATTTTTGCAAACTTTCATTGTAAATAAAAAAAATTTGCCACAAAGTTGATTGATGGGGATTGATTCATGATAATATTTTGAAAATTAGTAGCATTTTTAGCTCTATGGCGATGTTTGTAACCGTACTTCCAGTTTAAGGACTAATTTGACTAGCCTACGAGCGAATAGTTAGAATTTTTTTAAATATTCTACTTAAAACGCATAAAAATACCACAAATAAATTATATACTTTTTGCATTCAATTTTTTATCTTTGGTGTCGCACTTATTTAGATCCGGTATATGAGCATCTTAAATTGACCACCCTGTACATGGAAATCAGGCTGAACGTGGATCTCAGGAGCGTGTCGTCGACCGGTCAAAAACTATTTTCGCGAAGTGGCCGCCATTGTGCGAAACTCCTTCAGTTCTGGCGCATTTTTATTTCTATACCGGTAAATCTCCGAACTGCTAATTTGCAATTTAAATTTAATAAACGATTGACAGTTAACCATCGTTGTCCGCCGCAAGCCGGTTAACCTGTAGTTTTTAAATAGGGTGCTCTATATACAGGGTGTCTAGATAGTGAGCCGAAGTAATATATCGCGTCTATTGTTTTAGATAGCAATGTTATAGGTAACGCAAGAAACAATTTAAAATAATTTTCCAATATACAGGGTGCTTCGTAAATATGTGGGAAACCAAACCAAGTGATTTCGGATCGTTTATACGAGGTAAGTCAAAATGAAAAATATTAATTAATAAATATCACAAAAAAATGCAAAACACGAAACACTACAAAACTTGAGTCTTTAACCTCTACAGGAAATAGTCCATCTTTGCTAGGTCAGGAGATCTGGGTGGCCACCTAATCCTACTATCTCTACCCACGTTTGAAGAAATAAACGATTTTAGTATTTTGATGGGTATGGCGGGCAAGGGCTCACTCTTGAAGGTACCATATTCTCCGTCTCCCTTTGTTTTGCAATTGTTGCCTTAGAAAGTCTAAATAGACTTTCCCATTCACTGTATTTTCGAAAAAATGACGCCCCTCCGCGTTATTATTTAAATTGATGGTTAAAAATTAAAATTTAAATATCCTTTATATTTTTATTATATACAATATTTATATTTTAAAATATTTCGGAATACAAACTAAATTTCTTTTAATAAAATATACAAGTGGAAATACGACAAATGATTAGACTAATGTATTATGTCTATGAGTCTATGAGTCTTTGTAACTTAATTTGGCATAGATTTTAATCTTCTGACAGATATACTAGCAAGGAAGAAATTAACCTTTTAATTCTTAATTCTTTTAAAAAGGAATTCAGAGAGGAACCAATATTGCCTTGTGATAAAATCTGGTCTAATATTTTAAATTACACTACATCCCTTAATCAGGGGTCTACTTAACTTTAAATATTTTCGTAACTTGTCAAGTATCTCCACCGAAAGCCGTAAGACTTTAAATCAAAGACTCGGGATTCATCTCAAACACATTTATAGTAAAAAGAATCACAAATTTACTATAAAAACGTGTATTTCCACGTTTCCATTTATTTTCCTTTTCTATCGATCGTGGTTTGTCAAGGGGGTAGAGAATATTATTTTCGACACCCTGTATAAAGCGCTCATGCAAAATTGGTTCGCGCGAAACCAAAACAAAATGCGGTTTCGAAAACCTTGAACTTTTGTCATTTTTTGCCTCAGCCGCACATTCGTCTCCATTTGTTTTGTGTACCCAACCTGATCCGGATTACATATATTATTTTCAAGGCGAGGGAGCTTTCGCAGCAATCAGAAGCTGCGGTGGGGGGTGGGGTGAGTTACGGCGGGGGGCAAATTCGCGGTTTATTTTTCCGCCATTTCTAAAATGGGGCGATTCTGTAAGAGAAATTTATTTTAAAGTTGTATTTTTTCCGAAATTTCGATTTTAACGGTTTTTAATTTTGGGCCTTTAAAATTCGGAAAAGAATTGGTTATATTTTCGGGTATGCCCTTTTTCCTTAAGGGTTTTACGCCAAGTTTGGTTAGCTTTGTATTTTACAGGCTTATAATACTATATAATATTTTTCCAAATATCTCGCGCACCCTGTATCATGGACGAAAGCTGTAAACATAAAATGGTAGCTCTCGACACAGTCTACGAAACTGTTTAAACCAAATTATCTCATCTTTGGTCGTTTTTCATTTATGGACAATAATTTACCCAAAAAAAGTAAATTTTCAAATCTTTTAGATTTTTTGGCCCTAAACGACAGACCCTGTATAAAAATCAAAAAAATGTTCCAAGTAGAGATTGTAGCCCTGAATCTTCCACGTCTCCTGGTGCAATAATTTTTCCAATAGAGTAAATGGTTTTAAAGAAAATAATTTTTTTCTGAGACCATGCGGTACGCCGTAATAGCAAATGACGTCATCTAGTCTATAATGCAAGATGGACCCTTTCAAATAACTTGGGAAGCTTGTACGATAGACAAAAACTGCAAATACGAAAATTGTAGCTCCCAGAGCTGTCTATAGGACTGTATAAATTAAATAGTCATATTTTTAGCGAATTTTGGTTTACTGTTTTGAGAAACCCTGTATATAATCGAAAAAACGCTAGAAATAAAAGTTTTTGTCTCGGATCTAGCAGGTGTCTCTATTCAAAAATTTTGCCGATCAGGTTGATAGTTTTGGAGAGAATAATTTTTCCGTGAAAGCCAAAATAAATTGAAAAATGTTTCCGATTTTTTTTTTAAACACTTCGCGTGGTTCGATCTCTTCCGACTTCTAAATTTTAAACGCGGGTGTGGATTTCTACTTCTCTGCCCAATCTGAAGGCGATAGCTGCCAATTTGAGACTGCATTTTTTAATATAGCACGGAATATCCCGAACACCCTGCACTATACGTGGAAACGATAAATAAAAAGTTACAGCTGTCTAAACGAACTATATAACTATGTAAACAAAACTGACAACTTATAAATCGTCTTCTAATTATAACAAATTTTTATTAAAAGAGTAACCCAATTTTTAGTTTTTTGCAAATTGTCGACGCACCCCGTACATTTTCCAAAAATTTTACTCCTAAGATCAAGATTTCGCACATCTTGTCGTTAGAGAATATTTTTGCATCCAAATTCTTGGACTCTTGCAAATGCGGTTTTTCCAGGCCCACGAAACGCAAATATCAATTAAAATTTAGTTTTGGCGGCGATTTTTCCAAGTGAAATGGAACAAAAAAAACGACTTACTAGTTACGACTTCAGTATTCCTTTGGCGAGTTCTTTCTGATCGAGGCGGCCGTGTCAGTCGCTGCGAACCGCACACCACATTGATAACAACTGACGAAACTTTGGCCGGCATTTTTAACGTCTAGGTCGTGAAGAAGGCTGGGTGACACGTTCTCTAACGTCCACCCATTGTTTAATCATATGGATTGTCGTTTTAATGGTTGGCCCACACACAGACGTACTTTGGGACGCTCTTGCAACGTTATACCAGAATTATAGTGTTTTTACAACCGACCCCGTCATTGACTTTGCCTACTGTATATTACATCAAAACCGCAGCCACTTACAGAACACCTTGCCGAGCAGACCCTTACCCGTAATGAGCTTTTTTCGACTGTTTTTTGGACCTTGCTATGAAACACGATAAGTTTCCAAAATTTGAAGCAATCGACTTCATATTTGGCACATATATGCAGCTTTGCCGCGTAACGGAACGTATTGAAAATGGAGGTGCTGGGGGTAGGGAAGTATTCTAAAAAAATAAAAAATCGCGTGTGCAAAAAACATCTTTTTTCAAAAACTGTTTACCAAACAATTGTTGAACCAAAAGAAGCAGCTATAAACTTTTATTCCAGACAATTTTTCAAAAATACACAGGGTGCGCAGTAAATTTAAAAAAAAATGAAAAACGGGTCCCATTATTATTGAAACTTGGTTATAACTGAAATCCTGCGATTCAGATCTCACTTTCTTTTATATTGCGATATATTCCGTACAGACAGCAAAAATTTTTGTATTTAGGGTTTTTACCTATTGTACAGGGTGTTTCCGATATTCCGTGCTAAATGAGAAATGCGTTAGCAGGGAAGTAAACGTCTAAACTAATTTTTCAGTTTCCGAAAGTTGGCGAGATGATACATACATTCTTTGAAAAATTTTTCTTACATTGATTTCGGAACTTTAGTCATGTCACTTGTTTTTATTGCTGCTCCTGCTTCCCCTTCTGAAGTTCTAATAAAATTGTAAACATTCCAAACAATTTGTTCAGCATCCGAAGACAAATGGAACCGGTTTTTTTTTAATTTTTGCTGATGTAGTTCGTCTTCTAAATTGCCATTAGGTTCTGCTACCATATCCACTTCGTCTTCAACTTCTGCGTTGTTTTCCATATCTTCCACGGTCTCCCCATTTTAAAATGTTAAAAAACAGGAACCTCCAACAAATGTTTAATTGTAAGACTCTAATAAATGTTTATCTATGTTGTTATGACGTACCTTTAGCTACCCCGAATATAATGTATAGTTATTAAAAAAGACTGTTGTTGTTAATCGATAGGCACACAAAGCAAAAACGATTATTTTCAATTTACCTTTCCCTTTGAACTTTCTAGTGAAAACAGCCTCGCAGGGTCAAGGCTCGAGAATCAGGTACATAAATACGTACTTTCTGGCAGGATCACATTCAAGTACCTCCGTAAGAACTATATCTATCACCTGATGTTAAAATAAACGCTTCTACTTATTCGAAAATACCCCGCAGCATCAAATCTAAAACGACCCATTTATGTTTCAAATAAAAATTTCAAGTTTTTACAAATAGTCGTTACGGTCCATCACAGGCAAGATCTACTTAATGCAGAATAAACATCTGTTGGGATAGGTTTCACCACGTTCCAAGCGAATGTTTATGCACTATATTTTTGGTCGTATTATAACGAACGAACGAAAAGTACCATACGCAGCGCCCTCTGAAAAACAAACTCGACACCCTGTATCTCTCCCCAGTTCCTCTTGGACCTTGTCGAGTTTCGTTAAGACGTCACGCCAGCTTCAAAGGGAAAAGGAGTTTAAGTAAAACACAACTCTGTACGTAGAACGTTAAATAAGGTACAATTTTACTCGCCACTGTTCGCTACATTATCCCGACCCCGCCCCCTCGTGGCGCCCTATAAAAACCTACTAGCGCTAGCTGCTAGCTTATCATTCGCCTTTGATTTTTTCCTCCGGACGCAACTTGACCAATTCCTCTGTTCTCGTCCAGATGTCGTCGACGAATTTCTTGTTCCAGGCACCAGGGGGCATCGGGAACACCCGGCCGTCCCAGAAATGCTTCCCCGTGACGTCTTTTAGTTTATTCGACAAAGCTAGCTGGAGCGTCGTTTGTGCTCCCTCTTCTACGGTCTAGAACCAAAAATTCTCCAAGTCCAATCTTCACTTTTAACAGAACCAGAGTACGGGCAGCGTTTGACAGCAAGGCGCCGCCATCTTGACGGGATATAATGATGATAATAATAATAAATTAATTTTTCAAAGAAACTTCCACAGGCTTCTTCAGAGCTTGACTGACTGAAGAGCCAAGCTCTGAAGAAGCCAACAGGATGATTGGCGAACCGTCAGCAATTTCGACACAGGAAAAACCGACGAAGTTTTGTAAAAAAATAATAATAAATTGTCTTTATTGTTGTATATTGTTATGTACAAATATACAGTAGAGAACAGGCGAAGTCTAGCAAAAGCTACTTCAGTTAACCTCTTAAATGTTTAAATTGAAAACTAAATAGGAATAAATTAAATATAGTATAATAGATAAATAAAAATAAAAAGAATAACATTGAAAACCAAATTATTTGAGAAGTTAGCAGTTTCAACCTGAAATATGTTTTAAAGAATTTAAATGAATGCGATTTTACTGAATTGGGCATACTATTAAAAATTACAACTGCGTTATAAGAAAATGATCTGTGGAACAAAGACAAACGATATAGTGGGAGCGAGAGTCTGTAGGGGTGCCTTAAAGCCACTAATTGAACATTACGAACCTGTAAATTAGGTCGTAAGTAGAACGGATTGGATGTGCTAATTATTTGGGAAACCATAGGCGCCAAAAAGGACGTCAAAGTACTGTCAATTTTTAGCCAGTTAAGTTAATGAGCTAATCCAGCCTCTTTTAACCCAACTTCGTCGTTAAACCGCCGTCCACGTACAGGCCCGTAATAAAGTGTACATAATTTCATTAAAACATAATAGATATTAAAAAAACATGTCTTATTTTTGAAACTTTTATCACCTTGTATCTCGAAAGTCGAGATTTTTATATGAAGTTTTCTTTTTAAAATAGACCCGAAAACGCCTTGCATATGATAATGAATCGCTTGTATGTCAATTTACGTTTCAAATAAACATTTCAAGTTACTACGAATATTCGTTACGGTCCATCCCAGGCAAGACCCAAATAATGCAGAATAAACGTCTGTCGGGATGGGTTTTACCACGGTCCTGCGAACCTTTGCTGTAACGTAAAATACTTAAAGCACTATATTTTTGGTCGTATTATATGTGCGAAGAAAACGGTCCCGCATAAAAGCGTGATTATATAACGTAATTTCGATAGCACCCTGCTTGATTAAAGTATGTTCATAGATATAAGAAAGTAACTAACTGATACGAGTTAAGGGAAGACCCGGGCCAGCTGTAAGAATGAAATATGACCGAACAGGTCCGTACTTTTCTTAGAATTTAATTATTTGAGGTTTTGTTAGGAAAGATACTAAACAATATTTATTTATTTATGTATGTATTTATGTTTAAATCTAAAATAAAATTACAAATTATTTTTATTACCTACTTAAATTACTTAAAATTATTCACATAATATATCAGTATCAGTATCGCTATCGTCGCCTGTTCTAATTATTATTTGTTCTATATTATTTGCAATATGGATATACGATAGCCTTAAAATCGTAATTATCATAGACGAATTCCTTTTGTAGGTCCAAGCTTTGTAGAACCTCAGTTATATTAATATCGTTATTATACATGTAGCTTTGGATTGTTGCTTTTGTGTCACACGAGGAAGGGATTTTAGTCAACTGTCTACTGTGATAACTTGCATTGTAATATTTTTCGCAGACAGAGAAAGTCCATTTGGAATCCAACCATCTTTAGAGCCAGCACGCAAAATAGTTATTCCTTTACCTCTTTCTGATGGGGCGATTGTTTTACACTTATCAGTTGAGTCAACCCAACCCTTTTCCGGGGTATCATAAGTGACGAACCAGGTTTCATCCAAGTAAATAATTGGCTTTTGTTGTTCTCTGTAAATCCAAATTTTTTCTATATATTCCAGTCGCCATTTCCGAATTCTAAAAGATTCCATTAAAACTTGCCTTTTGTCCATTTTTTTAAATCTAAAACCCATGTATTGAATACACTTCACTGAATGGGATTATTCACAATTTTCCATACAGTTGAAGTTGGAATTTTCGTCGATGTGGCCGTTTCTTCTAAAGATGTTTGCTTGCTGACACCACGTTCAATGATAGTCAAATAAACATTGTTTACAACTTCCTTAGTCTCAATATATTAATGTTTTCTACATTTGGGCGGGAGCGTCTCCTGAGATACACTAGACCCGCATACATTTTGCATAATTCCCACACGATTCAAAACACGCTGTATTTCACACGAAATAGGAATGATTACTAATAAACTTAAACTAAGTAGTATACCAAACCAAAGAATATTAAACACAGGTAGGTATGAAATTATTTTCTATTACGGACCACAATTTTACCCGAATTTCAATTCCGAAACTTTAGGTAATAATCTGGTTGCATTGTATGTTAATGACCGTGCTTGGATAATTCCATTGAAAAGCAATTGGTCACTTTCTTATATCTATGAACCGACCATACCTTTCCGTAGGCAAACAGGACAACCGCCCTGAACAAAAGTGCGAGCGATTTTAACCCCACGAACTTGGCCGATTTGAGGTAAATGCTGGAGTTGACGAGACCAGGGTGGAGGGAGTTGCAAGTGACGCCGCTGTCCTTCAACCGTTCGGCGAAGCCATTGGCGGCGATCACGTTGCAGAGCTTCGAGTTGGCGTAAATCAGCGTCGTGCGTAGCAACGTCGGCGACAGCCCTTGAGGGTAGTTCAGGTTATCCAGCGAGAGGTTGCTGATGAAGGCTGCGGCCGAACTCACGAAGATGATTCTGCTCGGCGAAGATTTCTTCAGCAAATCTTTAAAAAAGGCGATATCTTCTATCACGTCTAGATTTTTCGATATATATATTTTTAAATATTATAAATTTAGGTTTTTTCGAATTCATTTTATGGGTTGACACCGGCACCAAGTTAAAACGCATATTATCCGACAGCAACCATACAGAACGTTTATTGTTTCAGTGCTGCGCCATCTGTCGACAAGATACGACAGTGTAAACAACCTTGAAACGCGTTCTAAGGAGGAATCTTTTAAAAGTGCAGTTACAAAAAGTGCTGATACTGGATAGTTAAATAGTGACGCATATAGGAATACAGTTTAGCGAAAAAGACTTTAAATATTATGTGGCAAATGAAGATTTTTTTTTTAATTATTTGCGAAACTCACTTAAAAAAAAATGCAGACCAGTGTAACAATGCGCTTATTTTCCAGCAGTTGTAATTTCGAAAAAACAGGTTGAAAATATATATTTTTAAAAACAATAATGTCTTACTGATGTGTTATTATAACGTTAAGCCATGCCTCATATATTGAAAACAAAACAGTAAATGTGTAAAAAACTAAGGGGACCGTCAGTTATTAATTATATTTTTATTACCTATCCATTTGTTGTTTCTGCGTTTATTTGATTTTAATTATTTTTATTATTATAATGGCATAAAATCACACAAAAAAAGAATTTTCAAAAACTCCATCTAAATTAGTGAGGTTGGGTTTTGCGAAGTCCCCAACATTTTATTCTTAAAGAGAACCCTAATGACCTTCTCGATATTTGACATCCCAAATTAGTCTATCCAGCAACAAAAAAAATATCAAAACAAAAATTTTATAAGGGTCTCTGGTTCTTAAGCTGGTTTCGCGTACCTAATGGGGTCTTTGTACCACACAGCTTTGTGAAATAGACTTTAACGGGTGGAATAAAATTGCCTGTAATTACCGGTAAGCAGATACGTCAGCAGGAAAGGTCCAAAGTGGTTGATCTGCATGGTGACGTGGAGACCATCTTCGGTGTGTTGGTTGCCGGCGGTACCGACCCCCGCGTTGTTTATCAGCACGTCCAGCCTTTCCTCGGTGGCGTTGATGTCGTTCGCGAATTTCCGCACCGAATCCAGACATCCCAGGTCCAGGTGCTTGGCCACCACGTTGGTGTTGCGTGTTTTCTCGACTATTTTGCTTTTGGCCGCCTTGCCGTCTTTTTTATCGGCTAGGATGATCCGCGCGCCTCTGGAAGCCAACACTAGCGCCGTCTGGAGGCCTAGACCTGCAAATACCGCGTCTGTAGGTGTGAAACATCACGACTCGCCAAATGTCGAACGGCCCAGCGCATCCGCCAAACCGTACGTTTTATGTTGCATCACTTCGTAGCACAGTTAAATGGTGCAGATCATATTATCTTTGCAGTAAGTACCTCCATCTATTATTACTATTATTGAGATTATTGAGAAAAAAAAGAGGTCGCGCAACAAACACGCTTTTATAAGAAATAAACCAAAACAAAAATATACGAGGTGTGTTCGAAAATTAAGGTGACTTTTAAGTTAAAAGTTAAGTCAAGATTAATGTTGTCCCCTTCAAAACAACCCCCTGGACATGATCCACTTGTGCCAATGTTTTTTTTGCTATCCTTGAATCACTTCTGGTAACAGGAACACGTCGCAGGGGGCCGGTGATTAAGGTGGCTGAGGCATGATTCTGGTTTTGTTTTTGGACAAAAATTTGACACGAGCAACGATGAGATGAGAGTGTAGAATATGATATACTGATACGACTATTTTGATTTACTTGAAAACGCTGTAAATGAACTTGGTTTCGCGAGAACGTCTGACACAAATTTGGATCCATTCAAAAACTAAAATAGTGAAAAGTGTAAAAAGAATGTACGGTGTGTCCAACACAAGGATTTTCTGTGTTCTGTAAATTATTCTAGCACAAAATTCCTTTAATTTGGGTTTATGGCTATTTTAATTGTAGCTTGGACTTTGGGAAACATTTTTATGGTATTTTAAATTTTAGACAAATGCTGAGAAAATCCAATTGCATCTTTGATGTTTATCGCGTCATGTGGGAATCCCAGTCAACACTATTAGGTGCCTCGTCGATGCATAACCCCACCTTTTCTCATAATTTCGATTTTTTATTCACTTATGCAGTATGCAATTGTATTGATTCCAGTAAAAACTGTCACATAAAAGCCTCTTAAATAAAAGAAAACGCATTACCATAATTCAGGCTGAAATCAGAAGTGGGACTTATTGCCAGCCTTGCACTATCATGAAGATGAATATGACTTAAAGTTTTAATGAAAAAACATAACATCCCAACAACAAGATAAATACTACCTACTAGTAACAATTTTTAACAAAATTGTATGTTAATAAATTAATAACAGCATTTTCGAAAAAAAGTAGAACATAGGAACTGGATAATTTGTTGAAAGTGTCGTCCACCTTTAGCTCTTATACCCAAACCATACATAAAATGTTCTGGTAGTTTACACATTAAGTTGACAATAAATAATTAATTGAAATAATTCCAAAAATATGCTCCTGAGTTTACTTACTTTGTTTTGTCACTTCGATGTTTTGTAGTATTTTAATAAAATAGATAAACAATTACTTAAGAATGACGATGCATTACTTTTTTGAGAATGATTTTTACTTTAAGAGAAATCGGTGACGTGTGTGCCAAATTTTATTAAATTATCTATTACACATATTAAAAAAATATATTTTATTTCTGAAAACTTTATGATATAATTAATATATGTATAATTTAATTATATTATTATGTAATTATATAACATATTTAATAATAAATAAATAAATATTAAATTTCATATTTTTAAATCTCAAGACGATGCACCTAATATAAATTGCGTAGGACTCTTTCCTGCCTCTTTGTTTTTTACCTGAACAACCCCCGGTGATGATGACCGTTTTGCCGCTGAGACACACCAAACTCCTGCACCTACCGGCGCTCACTTTCTGGATCAGCTTCAGCAGGACGAGTCCTACGACGGGGAAAGACAAAGCGACTATCGCGAAAGCGATGTACTTCAAATAGACGTAATACGGATAAGCGATCATCTCTCGATCTTCACGGGACCACTGTGCAGACGGAAATGCAACGCATCGAACTCTCTCTCAATGGTACCTGACGTGTGACCGGGTTCCGTTATCCGGTTAAACTAACTGAACCTCTTGGTGCGATCGAGAACGGTACCTGTCGCGGCCCAGGGGCCGTAGCATGGAATTTTCCGCGGTATGGTCTGTTCATAGATAGAAGAAAGTGACCAATTGCTTTTGAATGGTATTATAGAAGGGTGGTCATTAAGATACAATGCAACAAGATTATTACCTAAAGTTTCGGAATTTAAATTCAGGTAAAATTGTAGTCCGTAATAGAAAATAATTTTATACCTACTTTGGTTTGGTATACTACTTAGTTTAAGTTTATTAGTAATCATTCTTATTTCGTGTGTAATACAGCGTGTGTTGAATCGTGTGCGAATTATGCGAGAAACAAAGCGTGCCTACATTAGCTATCTTAATTAGGAAGCTACATTAAACCGGTGTTAAATGTGGCAGAACTACCTTATGGAAGTGTATTCAACACATGGGTTTTAGATTTAACAAAATTGACGAAAGGCAAGTTTTAATGGAAATGGCGACTGGAATATCTAGAAAAAATTAGGATTTACAGAGAACAACAAAGGCCAATTATTTACTTGGATGAAACCTGGTTCGACACTTATGATACCCCGGAAAAGGGTTGGGTTGACTCAACTGATAAGTGTAAAACAAACGCGCCATCAGAAAGAGGTAAAAGAATAACTATTTTACCTGCTGGCTCCAAAGATGGTTGGATTCCAAATGGACTTTCTGTCTGCGAAAAATATTAAAGATTCTTCTCTGGATTACCATGAAGACACCACCGCTAATTTATTTGAAAGTTGGTTTAAAAACAAACTAGCTCCAAACATTCCTCCTAATAGCGTAATTGCAATGCAAGTTATCACAGTAGACAGTTAACTAAAACCCCTTCCTCTTGTGACATACAAGCAACAATCCAAAACTACATGTACAATAACGACATTTATTTTCAGGAAGATTATACCAACAAGCAATTAACTGAGGTTCTACAAAGCTTGAACCTACAAAAGGAATACGTGTGTGATAATTATTCAAAAAATCTAGGGCATACAGTTTTAAGGCTTCCACCTTACCACTGTATATTTAATCCCAATGAACATGTTTGGCACCAACTGAAATCTGCCATTCGTCTTAACAATGTTTTTTCCCGTGTTAACTCCAATGTCCTCAAACTTATAGAAACCGAAGTTTTTAACATCCGTCCACAAAGTTGAACAAATTTGTTAAACATATAGAAAAAGCAGAACAATCGTATATCCATATTGCAAATAATACATTGTACATTGTAATATTGGTGTCATTAGCATCGGCCAGTTCATAAACGCTCCTATAAGCATAGAAAAAAATTGTGAAATCTTGTAGCGATCCGCGAGGTACGTAATTAAGGAAAAATTGTCGGCATTCGTGTTGTGTTTGTTGCCGTAACGGCTCGTATCCTGGCAGAGTTCAAACGGGCATCTTCCCATTCGAAGATCAACGACTCCCAACTGTCCATCGGCATCCTCTTATTTGCCGAGTCGGATGCAATTTCGGAACACTTTTTTTATTTTTAATAAAACGCTGGATTTAAACGAGACTTTTCAGCTATCAGCTTAAACTATCATTTTTTGATCCAAACTTGCCGGTGTCGTTCAAATGCCAGTCAAAGTCGGCCTTTATTATAATGAAAACTTTAAAGTAGTTGCCGATTTCGATAACATCTACCTTAAAAATGTAGAAATGAACTTAAAAACCCACTTTCTGGGATTGGTAGTAGGTTTTTCTTAACAAAATAAATAAGAACTAAAAGTTCAGATTTTCACGAAATTATATATGTTGACATATCAGTTGTTTCGACAAGACCGTGTCTTTATCAAATGTAATATTTACAAACTACCTGGTACCATATCTACCGAAAAATGACAATAAAACCAAACTTAATGTTGTGAGAATTTAAGTTTAATAATGGAGAAGTATTTAAACCTAATTGATCTTTTGAATGTCTCATTTTGTTAATCTCCATGGCTTCCACTAAATTTAATTTTCTATTTTTTATGGCTGTAGGTAAAATGTCAAAAATGTGCTTTTCTGTGTTTAAGTATGTAGCATAATTAGTTTTTAAACGCCCTTTTATGTTCGTTAATGCGTTTTTTGAAAGATCTACCTGTTTGTCCAATATAAATTTTTGATTTTTGAGATTTTGGGCATTTCGTTTTATTGTTGTTGAAATATTTTCCTAATGTGTTTTGAAACTTTTTCATTGGGCTCTCCTATATATGTAATTGTTTTAAATTGTTCGTGTTCTGTATTAGGTTTCGGATAAATAGAGTTTACACTTGTCTGGATTTGTTTTTTATTTATGTTGTCGAAACAATTGTCATGTGAAAACTAAAAGCCTCCTCAGTTCAGTAGGTTTTTCTTCTTCAATTCAAGCATATTCCATTCAAAATCAACTGCTCAAAACTCAAAACTGCTTAAACTATCATTTTTTTGACCCAAACAGTGTCTTTTTTAAAGAAGACAAATAAAAAACAATGGTTGAGTCGGGAACTAGCAAAACAAAAACCGCTGTAGACACTTGCTTTCGAAATAAATAAAGTTAAATAAATCTATTTTCGAAATAAGTAAATAAAAAAAGGGGCTTTTCGTATTTTAAGCAATGCCCGCCAAAAATTCTATTTTATTCTATTCGTCTTTGATGGCATTGCGTCTGTAGTTATCTATAGGGTGTTTTCAAATCGAATGTCAATAATTAAAACTTCATATAAAATAAAATATATTTTTTTAATATCTGTAATACCACTTTTGATATTTAAATCAAATTTGGCACACACGAACTATGTGTCAAGTGCCATTATCAAGTGTACCACAATTTTTTCTAAATACACCAGCGGCGGGCGTACAGAATTTCATACGGCTATTTTGACAGGGTTAATTAAAAAAGCTTTTCATCCTATTTGCAGTTTTGCCCTGTTGTTATGTTTATTTATATTTATATTGTGTGTGCTTTTTTTTATTTAATCATGAACTTGCTTTAGATATTTGTATTAATTTAGCTTCGAATGCCTTGAGAAATGTAAGAAGTAATTACTATAGAACGTAGGCACGCATTTGTGCGACAAAAGACGCGCCCAGTGTTAATGAACTTGCAGCGATGCGTTCGGTTGTAGGCCAGATCGAACGGTGTTTCTGGGTTAACGACAAAACGATACTCGCTATGTGCCAGTGCGGTTCACTAAACACCGTGACAAAACAACGTCACTTAAGAAACATTCAATAACAATTTTCCTATTAACGAATATACAAAATAGTTTATCATTCGTTCTTAATTTTAGTCTTTAAAGTGAAACGCTTATTTTAATTCATTTTTTTAAACCCTTGCACTTTATTAGTGTTTTTATTTAAATAAAAGAATGCAGTCGAAACTCTATATAGCGAAATTGATGGCACTGTTTTTTTTTTCGTTATAGTTATAGGCACATGAAAAATAACAATACGCGTATGTGTTCTGTAATATTTAATTATTTTATATATATATTTTAGCATCTACTTAGGAAAATTTTATTTAAATATCCTCTACCTTAGTGGCTGATCATCTTCCAAGTCTTGTTCGCATTCTGTCTGGGTAATAAGTTCTGCATGGCGATAGGAGTGTCGAATTGTTTCTGCTGTCGCCTCTATCCAAGCTTTACTAATAAAGTTGACTGCATCTAGCATATTATTGGAAAATTTGTCTTCGGTCTCTATCATTTTCATTTGGCGAATTTTTTCAATTATGTGTGTCGATTATGGACAAAAAATCAAAAAGACCCTCAAAATTGCCGTTTTCTTAGGTATATTATTAGCAGTTAATAAAAAGCTATAACAAAAGGAATAATTTGGTTTAAACAGTATCGTAAACGGCATCGAAAGAGTTCCAGGTTTCGCCTATCATACAGGGTGCGCGAGAATTAAAAAAAAAACATTACAATTACCCGTTATTTGAACAAATTACAACACTTATCAAAGTTTGCCGTCACTTTGAAGTTCGGTGAGACTTAAAAGATGCTTTATACAGGGTGTATGCATACTAAAATTACATCGATTTTGCGAAAGTTCCAAAGCGCCTTCTTTAAAAAAAAAACGATTTTTCGAAAGTAATCTTGTTTAATATACGCGTTGGGAACAACGCAACATCATTTTTCCGCATTTTCCCTGCTGAAATTACGATAAATTGGGCCGGTTTTTTTTTGTTGGGTACAGAGCTTTGGCAAAATGTCCCCGGGCGGCGGGACGGGCATTGATATTCCGTAGAGAACCGCGAAAAAGGCAAACACCCCGCCGGCTTGCTCCTCGGTTTACTGTCCAAACAAACCTATCGAGTTATCTGTGCGGTCTCGGCAGTTACTAATCGAGTTACGACGTCTAACTGAGGGGAAGGCTCATATCACATTCGATTTGAGTAATACGAGAGACTAAAAAAATAAATCGCCCGTGATAGGGTGGCGGGTGGGGGGGCAAGTTTCGGGACATATGGAGCACCTGCGGCTTCGATAGAAAACTTTTCCTTATACGTATTAAGTATTCGTTGTCGGTATACTTGGACTAGAATTATAGTGATTTTTCAATCGACCCCGTGATTAAGTTTGCCTACTGGTTATTACACCAAAACCGCAGTCCCTAAAAAGCTGGAAAATGTCACTTGGAAAACCATTAGCTGAAAATAATGCCCCGGCAAGTTTCAATGACGTAAGATTAATAATAATATTACCGGCACTATCAAAAATATACGAAAAAGTTCTTTATAATCAAATGTATAGTCTGTTCATAGATAGAAGAAAGTGACAACTGATACGAATTTTTCTTTCTTCAGGTTTCTTTTAAAGCTTCTTGTTTAAGTTTCACTTGCGGTTTTCGGACTATTTAAAATCTTCTTCTGGTGGCACTGACGGAATAAAAAGCAACTAACGTAAAAAATATGAATTTGTGCCTTGGAAAACGGCAATTACGCACTGTGGTAAGATGGTCACGACTAAAAGTTCTTCGGCGTATTGGGAAACAACCGCCTAATAAATTTTCCGAAGATTAAACCCAATACCAATGGGTTTTCCAGTTCGATTAGACTTTCGGGCGTGTCGCCCGGCGATAAGGCACATTTAACGAACCTGCAAAATTCCAATCTAAAGTCGTATTATCCCGGCCGCAGTCAATCTCGCGTTCCGGGACTACGCCAGATGCTCCCCGTGACGTCGAACGAGAGATACAACGCTGGAAGACGGCCAGTTCGCGATGGTTGCCTGTCCCTGTTCCATCGGCCATCGTCTGCGCGTCTTAAAAAACACCAACGGCGCCATCTTCGCGACGATTTACGCGCTCTTTCTGCTGGACAACACGCTGCTCACCGTAGTCGGTAAGCCGGGTAGCTTTTCTTCGTCCTTTGCGACGTCATTCGCGTATAACACGACCAAAAATATAGTGCATTTATTGCTTTGACGTTTTTTGCGGTAGCTTAGCCGTTTACTGCATTATGTAGGTAGGTAGGCACAACGATACTGAAAATTTATTAACAATCTTACTTTTAGAGTTAGTCTCGGTGTAAGCGGCCGCGATGAATGAAATTTATTGGGTACTTCTTTAAAGCGTTTCTTGTTTCAATGTCAAAATAAAAATGGCGGCCTAAAAAACGTATTTTTCATATTGATATGATCATTAAATTTAGATATTTATTTAAAAAACTATTTTAGATATCTTTCCCTTTCTTCAACTCCGATAAATGTTTTCCTCTATCCTCAAAACTCGAGTTAATGCACTGTTAGGCCTTTTCCTGTTACTCTAGTTCACGTCGCTACTTCGAAGCTGCTTGATTTCATCTACGTTGGGTATTAAGGAAACGGCGCACTTCACTGTTATTGTACGACCAAAAATATAGTGCACCTTTTGCTTTGACGTCTTAAGTATTTTACGGTAAAGTCTGTTCATAGATATGAGAAAGTGACTAACTGATCCGAATTAAGGAAAGACCCGGGCAAGCTGTAAGAATGAAATATGGCCGAACAGGTCCGTACTTTGCTTAGAATTTAATTATTTGGGGTTTTGTTAGGAAAGAAACTAAACAATATTTATTTATTTACGTATGTATTTATGTTTAAATCTAAAATAAAATTACAAATTATTTTTATTACCTACTTAAATTACTTAGAATTATCAGCATCACCATCGCTATCATCGCCTGTTACCGAGATATTAAATTTTTATACGAGCGCAGATACTCTCGAAAAATTCGATTTCATCGATTTTCGAAATTAAGTAAGTCAGAAACTATAGTTTCTCAGCTAATATTCCGTTAATTTGTGCAGCATGTACGCCAGTGTCGTAGCAATTTCGGTTTTCAGAATGCTACGTAAAAAAAATATCGGTTTTCTATTGGTTTAGTTCCTATAACTATAAAAATATGAGAAATAAATCTCTGTTGGCCTGTGTAAGAAACAGGAATAGGAAACAAATATTGATGAAACGGATGTGGATATTGATATTTTTATTAAAAAAAAAAAGTACAACACCACTTAGGTTATCGTTTAGTTCGATTTAATTCCGACGCACAGTAGCGTACGTCACGTGGCAGCTTGGTTTTCAGTGCCCATAATTCCGGACTATTTGTTTTCTCTGACCGCTGCCGTGGCGAATGACTCGTCGCTGAGCGAGCTCGCTTCGCTGAGCCCCTTGCAACGGAGATACGATGACGAGCTGGAAAGCAGCAGCGGCCCCCTAGGCACGCTACTGGCGTCGAAGGCGTTCGTGCAGCTGTTGTTTACCCCCCTTTTGGGGTACGTGACGTCGACGGTTAGCTATAACGTGCCGCTACTGGTCGGCTCCTGCAACCTCTTTGTGGCGGCGTTACGTAAGTATACACGGTGTCCCGATAAAGTTGGAAAAAATAAATACGTTAGGGAGTTGCGTGTGTATACAGGGTACTATCCAGTTTTTTTTTACTTCTACGGTTTTAACGAAATAATATTACAACCTAACCAGGATAAATAATAAACGATTCTCATTAAAAAAAAACACTACCTACTAATAATAATGATCAACAAGATTTTCTGATAATAAATTTATAACAAAGTTTTTGAAAAAAATGTCGACCTTGAAGGAGCTCTTTTCCTTATGTGTTTCTTATTAAATAGCAGTTCTTATACGATCCTGCAGCTCTTCGATAAACCAAACTTTTCAGACGCCCCTATAAAAAAAAGTCGAAGCTATCTAAATCTGGGGATCTAGGGGGCCATGGTTGAGGTCCGCCGCGACCTACCCATCGGTTACTAAAGGTGTGATTTTAATATTTTCTTGCTGCACATTGAAAGGGAATACTTGCCGCAGCTATGCATTCAACATAATGAAGGCAGTTTCTATAGTTGTAACTTCGGATTTATTTTTTTTTCCAAGGGATACAAATTTAAACTAATTTTGAAGGAGGAAAATAAAATTTTTAATATTAATAATAATTTATTTGTATTTCAGTTTTGGTCAGTTTTCTTAGACGTTTTACACGTATGCAGTCTCGCAAAGCATGTAATAATGTTGCGTAATATTTACCATTGACAGTGGTATTAGTTTCTTTAAAATCTTTCAAAAGAATTCCTTTACAATCCCAAAACATCGTGACCACCACCTTTTTTGTTGACTGGCAGACTCTGAATTTTCTTGGAGGTGTTTCACCCTTATGACCATTATGACCTCCACTGGTCGACCAGTGGAGGTCATAACGGAAGATATGATCATCTTCAAGGGACTCCTGCCCCATTCGAAAACGTATTGCCCATTCTTTCACTACAGAATACGAAGGAGAACTTTGGTCGTACACATCATCCAGCCTTTCTTTAAAAATTTTAGGTGCTAACCCTTCTTTTGTCAAAAACTTTATGACGGCTCTATACTCAATTTGCATTATTTGCTACATTTTTTCGGACACGTCTTGTTTAAAATGCTGTCGATAAAAAACCATTTGACGTAAGACTTCAATTTTTTTTCGCAAATTTGAACTGAGGTGGTTTCTTTTCGCAGCCTACTAAGATACATATTTAAAAGAAGACATATTGTATATAACAATAAAGGCAATTTATTATTATTACTATTATTATTATTATTATTATCATCATTATTATTATTTTTAATATGCGAAGAATCAATTTGTATCGATTTCAGTTTTTCTTACGCTCTAACAGCAACATACGTTCTCAAAAAACTGAACCGAGGTGTAAACATTGTTCCTTTCCGTTCCAGTGTTCGCCTACGGGAACTCTTTCGGAGTGCTGATCCTAGCTCGGGCGTTGCACGGCAGCTCCTCCGCAGCTATAGCTGTCAGCGGGATGTCGATCCTAGCTGCGACGGTGCCCCCAGACTCCAGAGCCCGCGTCATGCCCGTGGCCTTCGGAGGCATCGCTTTGGGAGTGTTGATCGGGTACCCATTAGGAGGGGCTTGTTACCAGCTACTAGGCAAAACGGCCCCGTTTCTATTTATCGCGTTCTTCGTCGCCATCACGATAGGTAAGCGCTGACGTAATGGTCAACATTTTTTTGCCCGAAGTAGATTCACCATATTATCAACAAATCAAGTGTCACCTTACTTTTTGTCGGTATATATGTCTGCGATGGTTGTTCCGTTCCAAACTAACCAAACCATTTCTATCGCATTAAATTGACATTGATAATGCGATGGTCATTTTCCAATGCTGACGTGTCCGTTCCTAAAAGGATATATTTTGAAATAATTTCGTATTCAAGGAGTAATATTGAGGAACACTACCTACACAGACATCTGGTCTTTCGTGCAACTTGGCTGAAAGATTGGGCAACAGATTTTCCCAAAATATTGAGCATTAGTGCTGAGAAGATGGCAGTTTCCGCAAAACTAAAACTTTTATCTCTGTTCACAGGTTAGGAAAGGTCCTCTTTTCGCGTAAGGAAGAGACATAAATTACCTTACAACATTTTCAGTGTCCATTGAATTGTGGTAGTCTCCCCATTTGCAGATTTAAAAATAATACTGGCATACCCCAGCAAACCATTTATGTGAGATTAGATAGCCTCCTCCACATTGTTTCCAAACTGTTTGTGGAAAACCGTCATGCCAGATTTTTCTAGATACTCCTTTGTTATATATCCAAGTCTCGTCCAAAACCACTGGAATCATCAAACAATATATGAGCAGGTACAGAACGGATTAAGAGCCAGTTTAGTTAAGCCCCTGGGGAAGCAATCGACTGTTATGGACCGTTGAAGCTTCTTTCTTCTTCTAATTTGATGCCCTCTCCAAAAGGAATTGCTAATTTGGTAAAATTGTTTCCTATTTTTCGTATTATTCTGGTCAAATCGGATATATCGCCTTCCTGCTTCATTACTGTTTCTTTTCTTGCAAAAAAAAAAAACATTTTAAATACCGAGACACAGATAGATAATGAATTACAACTCTCTCGCATTGGTGACTTCGTAGCTATGCAACTGGTGCTGCTCGACGAAGAACTGCAACGCTCCCGGCTCAAATCGGAAGCTTCCTTGGCCGAGTGTTTGATACTGCTGCGGGACAAGCGGACTTTGATCTTGGGCTCGTCCATCTGCGTCAGCACGTCCTCTATGTCAGTGCTGGAGTCTTGCGTACCCATATGGCTGCTGACGCACTTCGATCCGACACCCACCAGATGGCAATTGGGCGCCATTTTTATCCCGGACAGCGTCGGTTACTTTCTGGGGTCGCACTTTGCCGGTACGTATCAAAAATCATGCATCAAGACACACCTGGGCCACCACATTTAGTTTGAAAGACATGCGAAGAAGGTTAAAGACAATGGAATAATGAAAGCAGGCGATGCCTAGCTTTTGGAATACCTATGATAGTGAGAGAGCCTACAAATCACCATGATTTGTGGTTCGCTTTGAATAAAGAAACTTGGTACAGGTTCACAATTCGGAGGACTCTGAAGCTTTTTACTGATCCATCCAAAGGAGCCGTTGCTCATTCTGAGCAAATGAAAGAATGCTACGACAATCTGCAACTACTGCTTGCTAAAATCAAATACAAGGAAGCCAGTTCTCTTAAATATACCTGAACCTTTTATTGATCAGTCGAACTGTGAAAACGGGAAGAGGAATTAGTATCACTTGAAGATAATCTGTTCAGATTCAGAAGTATAAATAAATTAAATGGATTAGTTCGTGGTATTGACTCTTCTGAAAATGTGAATCAAGAAACCACAGGAAATCTTATCGAAGACCAGGGTCAGCAAGAAGATCAGCTAGCCGCTCTTCAGATGCCGATTTCCACTCATCCTCTTCCGAAGAAAACAGCAAAGAAAGTTTACAAGAAGATGACCTGGTTTTTTGTACTGAACAGTTTATAGAACTTCCTAAAATTGTCCAACAAGTACGACGAACCAGGAAACTTACTCAGTCATTCAGAGATTATGTAACATACTCTACCATTATCCTGCAGTTGAGTATGATGTTGGTATTGATCGACTTGATGCCGTGGCAGCATTCTTACAAGGTGATATTGTCGAAGAAATCTACAGTTAATGAAAATCAGCACGGAAAAATCAAATCCTAGAGTTAGTTAGCTAGTTAACGAATTGCCAAGGGTATTTCGTGTTTGCAGTACATGTCTACAAGCAATGTGTCAAGCGGATTCTTTTACCAAGAATAGACAACTTTTTTACACAAAAGAAACACCAGAAGAACACACTATTGGTGTCGGCTGCCTATATTTTCCTGCAAAGCAACTTTTTGCAGGACTGCTGAAAGTAACAGCGTGGCGTCTAGCGACGGCAGCGATGGTGGTAGCCGGATTGAGCTGCTGCTTCCTACCCCTGGCCACATCTTTGCACCAACTGACTCTGCCGCATTTCGGTTTGGGTCTGGGAGTGGGTAAGCTTTGGAGGTGTCAAGTGGAAACTTAACCTGCCGCGGGTCTTTCAGGAGTGCTGGACGCTTCGTTGGTACCCCTGTTGGCAAACTTAGTCGAACGGAAAGGCAGTGCCCAATATGGGCCGATCTACGCGTTCCAACAGACCTCGGTGGCCGTCGCCTACGCTTTCGGACCACTGTTAGCTGGCCAGGGGGTCCGCTTGGTCGGCTTTCCCTGGGTGATACGGACCGTGGGGTTCATGAACCTGGTGCTGTGTCCCCTGCTGGCGGAATTAGAACACGAACAGGTGAGCAGGGACCTTCTGCAGACCACGAAGAAGACGTTGAGCTAATAATTGCTCGTTTCCAGGACGAAATGCAATCGCTATCCAGAGACGATCATGCAGCTTCGTATTCGAGCTTAGAGACTATTGAGGAATAGAATTCTTTTTAAATCTGTTAAGCTTTAATATAAATTCTATAGTTTGTCGACTTAAAAATTATGTCTGACGATTTCAAATTCCTAAGTTACATTTTGTAACAATTGTTAAACCACAATTGTTTTATTTTCAGCCTAAAGAGTACATCCTTCGAAATAAAACGAATACGTGGCAAGTTACTTAGAAACATTTTTTTTTAATGGCTTTGTATTCGTTGTCTCTGTACGAGGGCTGCCTTTTATATATCTGGATTTTCTTAAACTAGTGTTGCCATCTGGCGACTAACGTTTTTTTTCGCGAAAGAGTGTTGTTTGTGTTTTTTTGTGATAAATCAAAAAAAATTGTGAAAGTTGAAAATAGAACTTGATGAGGGGCAACTCAACAACAATGCATCGATGAAGTTAATTCGACTTTCGGAGTTAAAGCACCATCTAGGACTACTGTTTATCGCTGGTTTTCGAATTTCAATAGTGGTCGTAATTTTCTTAAGGAGCAAAGTTTGTCGAAAATCGGTGGTTGTCCAAGAAAACATCGATGCAGTGAGGAAACTAATTTTGCAGGATCGTCATGTGACTTACCATGAGATTGAGGTATCTTTGGCCATTAGTGGGACCAGCAGACATACAATTTTGCCGATATAAAATTTGTTCGCGTTGGATTCCACACAATTGGACGTCAGCGCTAAAAAAGGCTCGTGTTGATTGATCGAAGGAAGAAATTAGAAAAACCAACCGCCGAAGACGAATCACTCTATGCGACGACAATGCCGATCAGTGCAAACAAAGAACTTTTTGAGCCTTAAAATCGTTGATTTGATGAGCGGTCCACCATATAGTCCTGATTTAGCACCTAATGACTTATTTTTAGTCCAATACATTAAGAATAAATTACTTGATGATTGATGATCGGTTTTATCGAATCCAAAGCTATATTTGTTGGTAGCTTATAGTTTTTTATTACAAATCCCGAAATATAAAAAGTAGCCCTCGTATGAAGGCTTTACTGTGCTTGGTTGCCATATCGTACAACAAATCCGTAGTCCGACCATTTGGCAACGTTGAAATTGATTTTTTTTTAATAAGGTCACAAATAAAACGGTTCTCTCAAATATCGATTCGGCATAAGACTAATTAGGCTACGCGTTGTAGTTTCAATATATACAGGGCGTCCAAGTAGTCTGTGAAAGTAACATATTTAGAGAAAAATGTTATGCGCAAAAGTTGTTGATGAGACCAAAAGAAACAATTTAAAATTATTTCCCACTATACAGTGTGATTCATAAATATATGGAAAGCAAAACTTATAAATTTTCTTATCGAACACACTCTATATTATGCAATTAATCGATACTGAATATATTAAAATAACTTTCAATTGTTTTCTTTAGCCACATACCCTTTGTATTTAAATTTTGCTCTAAAACAAATACTAAACCCTCTAGTTCAATAATATTTTTTTATTATAAGATGAATTTAATAATAGTTAATTAAGGATATAAATTATTTATAATTTTTGAATTAATGGCTTTGGCTTTTTGCGACATTTTCTCATAATTTGACAAATTTAAGTAAAGGACGTATAATATACAACAGCCTGTATTGATTTTTTTACGAGAATTAATATTTTTCATTTTTACTCACCCTGTATAAACGATCGTCACAAATATGGAGTGTTAAACACAGGGTGTTGTTGACGAAAAGATGGCCATAAATCCAAAAGCACTCAGTATAGACCACATTGCAGTAATATACAGGGTGTTCCATTAAAAAAATTATATAGGTTTGATTTTCCGCATATTTATGACTCACACTCTATATTTGAAAATAATTATAAATTGTTCGAAACAAATAACGAACGAAATATATTCCTTTGACACACTGTATAAATAAAAATTGTACTGCGTAGTGTGCAAAAAAAATAATATTTCAATCTTTTAACCAGTTGAATATGGCGGTTTTGGTTTTAAAAAAATACAAGGATCTGTCCGAGTATCGCTTTATAAAAGGTATTCAATAAATGAAAGTAAATAAATAAAAAAAGGATTTTATTTTTGAACGATTGATTTTGACAAAAAAATCCGATATTGATAATTTTGGCCTTGGTTTAAAGACACGAGGGACATAAAAAGTCTACAGGTGTGTACAGGGTGTCCGTATGCCCAACAAGGAAAAAAACATTTTTTTGTGCGAATTTTCCAGAATAAAATTTGTTGTGGTTCTCCCCTTTGGCCTTAAGAAAATGACAGAAAACTTTTTGCTGCACTTTTCTCGCTTTTATACCGGGTGTGTCCCTGCGTAAAAGTATCTGAGAAATTATTAGAGCCAAGTGAAAAGACGTGAATAACAGAGCAATTCGGTTTGGTCAGTGACGTAGGCAATATCGAGGGCGACAGTCTTCCTATTTGCTATTTTCGTCTATCATACATGGTGACCGAGATATTTTTCAAAAATGTGGTTGTTTATATTTACCTTGAAGTCGGGTCGAATTATATACAATGTGTATATACTTTATACACGGTGGGCACAATATAAAAACCTTTATTTCGCAAGAGCATAAGTTTAGTCAATAGCTGGTAATAGTTTGAAGCTTTTTCTGTAACCAAGTCCAAAACACTGTCCAAATTGTTTTTCGAAAACATTCATATTTCCTTAGGTAACTAATAGTGCACGTGGCAATGTAGAACGCTAGTGTTTTAACGGCATTTTTTAACGACTTGTAAAATTAATTATGAATGATTTCCAGACACACTGTAATACAAATCATTGTACAGGGCGGTCAGTTTAGGACGTCCCCATACGTTATCTCAATAAGTTCGACCCAGGATATATACTTTATTGATTCGCTTGATTTTAAGTATAACTTTAACTAACTTAAGTAACTTATTTTTGCGCAGGTCTTTGCAAAAATGTGTTTTTTACATTTTAAAACTAAAATTGAAAATTTTATTATTTTTACTAATGCTTTCATCTGTCTATGGCGAAAATATATTATGGAACACTTTTTATTTGTGTTGAGTTTTATATATAGTTTTTATTACAAAAATTGATATTTTAAAAGTTAAGGCCAATTTACTGCCGCAACTCGTCTAATTAAATCTTTTTATTAATTAAGAAGATGGTTGGTCCACATTTTTTTGCATCGTCGTTTGTGACCACCCTGTAAAATATACTTTCGCTGCAAATAGATCAAAGCGGTAAAGGTTAACCGCTTCCACGGATCCATATTAAAAATTCCCAATTAAGACCTTGTTTCTCGGAAAAGTTCATTTTTCTTAAAAAATCAAGAAAATCAAAGCGAAGTTGGAGACTGGCAAGTTAGGCGCCGTAATTATCGAGATAAGATATGGGAGAGTCTTAAATAGACCTTCACAAAGTGACATTAACACGTAAAACATAACCAGGTCTATAGTCATCACTGTCTACTCTCTAACGGAACTGTAGGCTATGTGCTTGCACTGATCACACTCACACACTCCCGGCACGTAGACCGGATTGCTGACCAGAGGCTTGGGGAACAGCGGAAAGAACGGGTAAAAGCTGAACACCTCGCTCGATATCAGAGGTATGGGGTTGGCGTGGATCCCAGGGAATGCAGACCTGGGGGTCCCTTTCGATGAGTTCGAGACCGGTCTGAAAGCAGACGCGCCTTCCGGCCGAGTCTCTTCGACGTGGTGCTCTTCCTGTCTGGATTTGGTGCTGCTGAAATGCTCTACCGCTTTCAGCAGGTCGTGGTTGCACCTGGAACCAACCGTTGGTCCGGTTTTCGAAAAAAATGGAGCAGTCGAAGTACCTTTTGAGGACGAGTTCCAAAACGGCTCGTTTCTTGGTGGGAAACAGCTTGCCTAGCATTTCCACCGAGCCAGGAGTGACGGCCACGTCATCCGTCTTCTTTTCCTGTGGGCAGGTCTCTTTTTCCGACTGTAGCGATTCGGAACTGTTAGTCTCCGGAGACGTGACTTGCATCCCGTATATCCTGCCGGGAGGCAGGTAGTCGTAGCTTTTTCCGCCTTCGGCGGAAGCCAGGTGAAGCGCGATAGCGTCTTCTGCTGCCTGCTGACGTTTGAGCGCCACCTGGGATCAAAAGTGGACGATTTATGTGGGGGGCCTGTCCCTTATTTTGAAGTCTACGAGTGTCGTCACTCAATTACGTACGTCGCGGTGGAACAAATTTATATTTTCTCAAGTGTACGTTGAATTTGTCTCGATAACATTTAAATCGGCTGCAACTTTTTTGTTTTTAGAGATATCCAGGTAAACAACAAACGAAATGTAGGGATAGTGGCCAAGTTTGACGATGTAACACTCTTTATGTTGTAGTCCATTCGTTTTTGACAAAAATAGGAAATTTTTATATAATTTCAAGTTAAAATACGTTTAAGTTTGACATATTAGTAAACAACGTTGACAGCTGAAGAAAATGAGGATAAATAAGAAATAAAAGTTCAGAATTTCACGAAATTATCAAATCAAATTTGATAAAGACAAGGATCTGTCGAAACAATTGTCATGTGAAAATATATAATTTCGGGAAAATCTGAACTTTCAGTTCTTAATTATTTTGATAAATGGATTTTCAACAAGTAAAAGCCACCTCAGTTCAATTGAAGAATATAAGGTAAACATATTAGGATTCTATGAAGCACACCCAATTTCCTACTGTAAATAAAAATTTTGAGAAATTATGTAGATAAAAAATTATTAGAAGCTATTTCTGAAAAGTTCAAAATTTTGTAATTTTTAAATGGCTCTAATTAATCTTCTTTTAATGATAATCGTACTTTGTTATACGGTTTTGGAAAGCTTAAAGACTCAACTTTAACAATATAAATTGGTTTTTTGTAAAACATCGCGAACATTATACGTAAATTTAATTTTAGTGAAAAAAAAATTTCCCATGTTTCGCAGGGCTCATCTTTGGTGAGGATTTTTTTATATTAAAAAGAAACATTTGAGAGGGTAAGAGCTAACAAAAATATATTTTTTAAGCACCCTAATAAAGAGAGAGGTATTTCTCGCGGATCACTCCACTCCGTTTTGAAAGAATGTAAATATAATGCATTTAACTAAGTGAAGAACAATGTCAAAGGATAATGAGAATAACAATTTTTTGAAAAAAATTTCATGGAATGATGAAGGTGATTGGCGAAATGTCAGCAAGTTCGAGTCAACAAAAACCGACGCAGGAGGGATCGAGAAGTTTTGTGAAAATATAAATAAACACTTTTGATAAAACTTAAAACTGACCTTACTTTCTGAACACACCTCGTATACAATGACTTTCCAATTTATCGACGACAATTAAGGTAGTTCTTTCGAGACCAAGTAGGCAGTGAATTATTCGCTTTCCGACAAATGCGGATGGAAATAATTGTCATGGGTCATTTATCAGCACTTTGCAGTTTGTTGTTCGTTTATCTACATAAAACTTATGCTTGTAAGTTGTAATACGAACAAATTTCACAGACATTTTTGGCAGATATTTTAAATTGCAGAATCGGAAGGTTTAGGAGAACCGTTCAAACTTCGGTAATTTAAACTTCATCCCAGGATCAAAATATTATAAATTTTAAAATACAATCTTTCTGATTGGTTAGTTTGTGCCCAATATATATTTTTTATTTTGCAGTTATCCACATTTGTTATGGTTTATATTGAGTGTTTTTGGATTTGTGGAGATATTTTCGTCAAAAATGCTGTGTGTTCCAATTTTATAAAGTAGTACAGTCGTTTAACCTCTTGCAGTTAGCTCGAAGCCTTTATGCAGGACGAGTCAAAATGGAAAATATTAATTGTCGTGAAAAAATATTTATACGTCCATCGAATATTTGAATTTGCATTCACTTGCTGATGACACTCAGCTATTTTACTCAATCAATCAATCAATATCGATTTGGATTGGCATAACTTATTTAAACTAAAAAATGCAGGGAAATGTTCTTTTCTCCTAAACCAAACATCGAACAAGCATCCCAAATGTATTTTTATATTTATTAATGTTGTGTCCTCTTTTATGCATTTTTTTTTATCTACATCAAAAAGTAAAGAATATTTTAATTGTTTTTATGGAACCAGTAGTGCAGTGCTTTGGTTTTAAATCAATTTCAAAATACAAAAAATGATAAACAGTTTTAACTTGCAATCTTCTGCAATGTCGCCTATAATCACCGCTCATGTAGGCGCGGTAACGGGATATCGCGACAGTTTGAAGTATATTTGATCGATATTCCATTAGAAGCTGTTTCGGCAAACAAGGGGGGAAGCTGAATCCGATACCCCTTTTCGATATTCATTTCGTTTCAGATCGAGTTCGTTTATCTTGTAAAGTTTGCTAGTCGTGTAAATCGCGTCCATCGATCGCGATCTCCCTTCGAGATGCTAAAAGTGACATCGTTTAAGGTCGGTTAATTTGGGACACCATTTGTTTAAGCCAATAGCTAAGAAAATAATCCGGCACACTTTTAATCAAACTGTACCGTGATTAATTTGAAAAACTAACGCCAACACCAGGGAAACCATCAAACTCTTCTCAACCACCAAACACTGTGATAAATGTGCATCATCGCACCACCTTTCGGAAACGGAAAAATCAGTTCCTACAAAAGGTTCCAACTTTTTCCTTGGTCCACGTATTATCCCAAAGAGGAAATCATTTCAAACGTCGAGTCTATCCTAAACAAACTAACATCTCAAACAGCTAATGAAGATCGATTTGAACCCGCAAGAATCCTTAAAGAAACAAAACCCCCTAGGTTTAATATTGCAAAGCCTGAACGCATTGCCCTAAAATCTCTAAAATCTAATATCTACATCGTAATCCTAAAAGCAGGCTTCTTCTCTATGGGACTCCTTTCACTTCATTGAATAAATAAAAAGCATTACATCAGATACGCAAGATATTCTGGTTAGTTTCGACGTAGAATCCCCCTTTACGAAAGTTCCTATTCCTGAAACTCTCACCGTCATCCCAGATATATTCAGATCCGAGAATCCGAAACCAAACCTTGTGTTTATGCACGGAATCAAATGCGAGCCAGTTTCAGTCATGCTCTGAAGAAGCCGACAGGAAACGCTAGCTAGTTCGACTCGGCAAAAACCGACGCAGCAGGAATCCAGAAGTTTTGCAAAAAGTCAAACAAAATTATACTGACTATATCCCTCTAAAATTCCGAAACTTCTTGGGTATTTTCATTGCATTGTTTTACATTACATTATTATGGAAAAATTAAAATGAACAGAAAGAACAAAATTGGTAATAAAAATATAATTCAAAAGTCGTAAGTTTTGGACACATTTGCTTTTTTGTTTTTAATAGTTGAGTCATAGCCAACGATCTACTTAACATTATAATAACATAATATTTGTTACATTAGTAAGACATTATTATGTTAAAGCAATATATTTCCGTCCTGTTTTTTCGAAAATATATAATGTTGATTTTTATGCCCTACTCCGACAAATAAATTAAAAATGAAAAAAAAATGAATTTTGAGCTTAATTTTCAATACTAATATACAGGATGTTGTTAATGGGACTTACTTGGGCGGCCATGATCCGCTGCCTCTCCTTGATCAGCCCGCATTTGGCGCAGTTGCAGCTCTTGTAGATGCACTGCTTCTTGTGACCCCTCAGGGTGGATATCATGCCGTGGTTCCTGCAGCGGGCGCACTTGGGCACCCTCGCCGATTTCCTGCTGGACAGCATCGCCTAAACTTCGTGAAAAAATAATTTCGAGACAACATATACATACATCTATATAGAGGATATCCAAAAAATGCAATATAATATGTAATATATGGAATTTGGTTAGTATTAGTTTCGTTTATATATATTATACAGTCGAAACTCTATATAGCGAAATTATAGGGACGCATTAGTGTTCTGTAATATTTAATTATTTTATATAAACATTTTAACATCCACTCATTTTATATAAATATTTAAGAACTACATTTAATGTTTCAAATAATCGGTTATTTTCTTTTGAATTTTTTTAGTATGCCAATACGCATCTCGTACTTTGGATTTTATTTTCACCGCTTGTTCAGTGGTTGGTGGTGGTCCCACATCAACTTCTTTATCTTCTTCTCCTTCTTGGTGCTCTTCCTCACCCTTTCTTGCTTGTTGTAATATGGCTTCCTCTGTCAAGTCTGCTGTTGTAGGCAAATCCTGATCTATCAAAATAAAATCTTGTAACTCCTCACTTGTAAACGTAATTGTTCTTTGAAACTGCTTTATGGACTCGCTTAGTGGCTGATCATCTTCCAGGTCCTGTTCGCGTTCTGTCTCGGTCTGTTAATACTCCTATCGTCCTGCATAGGAGTATTGAATTGTTTCTGCTGTCACCTCTTTCCAAGCTTTACTAATAAAGACTGCACTTAGCATATTAATGGAAAATTTGTCTTCGGAATCGATCATTTCATCGTTATTTGCCTTGTAAGTGACCGGCAAATGCTTGATGTTCTTAAAACATCGTGGATTAGTTGATTTTCCAATCACGACTAGCTTTCTTTTTCCTCTCCCACTTATACTTCCAGCAACTAACACTGTTATACGTTCTTTGGAAAGTTTTCCACGCACACATTTTCCACTTCGAACTTTAAGAGTTTCATCTGGGGTCATTTTGTGAAAAATACCAGTTTCGTCAGCATATAGAAATATCGTCCAGCCAATCATTAGCGACGTTTATGTCGACATCCGTCCATAATTTATACCATGTCTCTGTTTCCCCAACCATCCTTCCGAAGCCTCGAAGTCGATAATGCCAAGCTGTTCAGCAAACTTTTCTGCGTTTAGTTTTACGGTAGGTCTAGAGAGTGGTGCAATTTAAGATGATGCTGTTGGAACCACTGCAACATTGCCCGATCCAAATCTTCAAATTTTGGCTTTCTCAGTTTTTTAATAGGACTGCCTGCCGCTTCAGGGTGAATGACTTTGTCTTTGCTGTTCCAAATCGTGGATACAGTGGACAGTGTAAGTCCGTAATGACGTCCCACATCACTTTTCTTTCCGCCCCGTTCTATCTCCCGAAATAAAGCAACTTCATCATCTAGAGATAAAATTTTTGACTGTGTCAAAGTAATACCATTAAAATGTCTAAAGTGGTATTAAAGATATTAAAAAGTATATTTTATTTTTGAAAACTTCACCGCAATGTATCTCAAAAATGTGGACAGTTTTCTTCACAAAATCAATTAGAAGACCCCTGGTTCCGTTTTTGCCCTTTTCGTACAGGAATCCTACACTTTTTTTTTGTTTGTTTGTTGTTTATTTTATATATTATTAGGAAAACGTGATATGTTTTATTTTTAAAAAAACTTCAATAAAATACGTAAAATGAGAACAAAGTCATATTTGGAAGGTTCGAAATTAAAAAAAAAATTAATAAACTTTTTTACGTTGCTTCTGATTATTCTCTTCTCTTGCGGTTAGAGTAAAATTCATGGAGTCCATTTTAAAAAGAAAACTTCATACAAACAGGTGTCCCAAGCTTCTTAACCTTTGAGAAACGGCGATAAAAAATATTCAAAAATAAAACGCCTGTCTATTTTGGCAGATATCGGTGGCACGCCACTGATTTCTCTTAAAATAAAAATTACTCCCAAAATCTCCAATCATTCTAGAGAAATTTAATTTGTTGATTTATTGGTTGTCGAAAGTTTTTGTTGATTGATTGATTGATGATGGATGTTTGTCATCAGTTTGGTGGAGTTTACTAATGAGGAATTGGCAGATATGCGCTTTATGTATGGTTTGACTGAAACTTCAACCATGGCCCCCTAGATGCCCAGATTTAAGTGGTTTCAACGTTTTCTTGAAAAGTCTGGATTATTGTACCACAGTTAGCACTATAGAATATCTAAAGGACCGTATATGGGTTTATATAAAAGTTGTTATTAACTTATAAACAGAGAATTATTTATATAAATTATTTAAATAAGTGTATTGAAAATGATTAATAGTAAGTAGCGTTTTCTTTAAATAACAATCATTGGATGATGATAAGTTATTTCATTAAAACTATTAGAGGAAAAATAACATTCTACTAACTTTTTCATTTCATTTCATCAAAATTGAATGTATATATATTGCCATACCTTGCCGAATAAAATAAACTCCAAAGTCGTCACCTCCGGGAATTATTCACGCCGACGACAAAAGACAATCGAACGCTCGCACGTCATTTGCAACTTTTCGATTCACCGGGCGAGACTAACAATTTTCCACTTAACATCACAATGGTCCGCAAAAAACGCGAGGCGATGACGCCAGGCCCCAGAAATAAGCGGATATTGTCGGATTGATACGGCGCGTCGGGGATGAAACCGCCCAATAGGAGACGGGAGATCCGTTTGGGCCGCTCGCACCGAGAGAAACCTGGACCAATAGCGATGCGCGCGCCCTCGATAGACCACGCCTCCGGCAAAGCGTAGCGTAATTTTAGTGCCCGGCTACTTGCAAGTTTATCGTCGCGCGGATGTTACAAAAAATCGAGATATAGATCTAGACGCGTTTATTTTTCTAACTAATAACCAAAGGTAAACGAGCTCGAATGGACGGGGTATCCCTTTTTTTTTGGGCCTGTGATATTTATTTTTTTATTTATAGACCCCAGGGCTAACCAACAGGCAGACGAGGCTGCCCAATTAGAACATAGCTAAGCTACTAAGCTAACAGGCAGTAATTAATGATAATAATAATAATAATACATTTATTGTTATAACCATCAAAGTTACATGGAAATAATTACATAACCAAAGTTAAGTAAGTGAAATAATGGTCAACAATAGGCCTTGTTAGGACAGCCATCTAGAAGTTCTAGATACCGTTCAGGCCTCAATTTAACAGCGAAAATATAATAATAAAAAATTTCATAGAATTTATTTGAAAACGCCACACATAATTCTAAAAAAAAGAATAGAGAAGAAATGGAGGGGGAAGGAAGGGAAAGGAAAGGGGCACATGTTTTATAGAAGAGCTTAATATTAGTGCGTACGTAACAACTGCTTTTTGAAATTATTCCTAAACGTTGAATTGGAGTGATTAATATTAAAATTAGTAATAGGGTTAATACAAATGGCTATATTATGGGAATATGATCTTTTAAATAATTCTTTGCGCTCACGGGGTATAACAAGTCGGTGTCTTCCACGCAGATTCAAATTGTGTATTGATATGTTAACAGTAATTTTTCTGTAAAGATAAAAAGGTAATTTTGTTTTAAGAATGTTGAAATAAGGAGAACTCATTCGTAATTTGCATCGAAGGTGCATGTTAAGCCAACCCGACGCAGCAAGGTACGGGGAGATATGATCTCTCCTCCTTACCCCATAAATTAGCCCTAGACAGGAGTTTTAACCTTCTGGACACGGTAACGATCGGACGCATCCAGGCACGGTCCGTACACAGCACTGCAGTGACTAAATTGTGACAGAACAAGTGATTCACACAGAAACTTACGAGTTCCCTGACAAATAAATTAATTTTAAATTAGCATAGGCAACCATATGTTCTCTGAACCGCAACTGCGAATCAAGAGTGAGACCCAAGCTTTTGCATGACTCAGAGAGTGGCAATTTTATGTTGCGAAGTTTAATTGTTATGTTATACTTTGCATGGGTTAAATGATTATCATTTCCAAAGAGTATTACTGAAGATCCTCCGCGGTAGCAATTTCTTGAGGAAAAAATGAGTAGTAAATTTGGGTGTCATCCGCATAAAAATGACAGTTGCATTGGTGGAGGGCTCCAACGAAGTTAAAAGTAAAAATAGTGTACCTACAACAAGGGACCAAGAATGATGCCCTGTGGAACACCCGTGCGAACACCTAGGAACGATGACTGCTGCTGATTGTAAACAACCCGTTGTGTCCGACCTGACAAAAAGCAACACAGAAACTTTCGAGCACCCAACAATATTAAAGCCGTAAGCTTTCCATCGTCAGTCGCTCTAAAAATGTCATCAGTAATGTCCAGCATGGCACCCTCACAACTGCGATTAGGTCTAAAACCAGACTGTTTCTCTGGTAGAATATGATTAGAATTTAAAAAGTTAACCATTTGATCGTTCATAATTCTTTCAATTACTTTAGATAGAACAGGCAATATGCTATTTGACCGCAGGTGACTAAATTCGCTTGGATTGTTTATTTTCGGTAAGGGGATGACTTGTGCCCGCTTCCATGTTGACGGAAAGTACGAATTTATTTTATGCGTAATGTATAGGGCAATATATGGACAGCAAAGAAATATTAATGATAATGATTAATGAATGTTGAAAATCTCATCTTCCGTGGACAATACAAAGTCAAAGTGATCCGTTCTGTCACTTAACCTATTATTATTATAAAAACTCAGCAGTTCTTGATTGGGGCTATCATTATTTTGCACGCTGTTTATAAAGAAATTATTAATTTGATTAATATATATTTCTTTTAAACAAATATCTGTCTTCAACTTTTTGACGAAACTGCATATTTATAGAAAACGAGAAACGACATTTTTTTAATCCTTGTTTGTTGAATGTTTTGAAATTTTTTCACTAGGTTCTCCTATGTATGTAATTGTTTTAAATTGTTCGTATTCTGTATTAGGTTTCGGATAAATAGAGTTTACTGATGTCTGGATTTGCTTCTTGTTTATAATTCTATCTATAATGATATTCAGTTCTTTGCTATAATTTTCTGTTGAGGATGGCGTATTAAGAAGTCTGTGTATAAAAGCCCAACAATGCCCACGCTTCTTGATCAGTACCATCAACATTTGGAAGCAAAATTTTCCTTCCAAATTTTGCCAAGACAAGAATTTCTTGGAGCAACTTCTTACTATTATGTTTTCTCTTTTATGTACTAAGTTTTTGTTTGGAAGAGCTGTCCATAAAAGCCCACTTTGGTCAGCACTATATACTTGTACCAGCAAACTTTTCCCACAAATGGCAAGACTAGTATTTAAGTGAAAAACACGAAACTTAAGAACCATTTAATATTTTAATTTTAATTTTAGATATTATTTTTAATATTTTTGAATATTAAGAACACTTAATTATAGCTTTTAAGGCAATGAACGAAACACAATAAATATTAGAATGGAAATGGACTTGACAAAAATGGCATTTAAAACAAAGTTTTTGGATTTATACAAGGAACTTGGTATCATTTTCTTCCCTTCCTGCGATAACCCGGGGTCAATGCAAATAAGATTTGTGTTTGTGATGTGTTATTGGGCTGTGAAAATATTTTTACGTAAATGTTGAAATGATCAATACACTGAACGCTGCTTTTTCCACTAACTCTATGGGAATGATGAAAGCGAACGCTTCTCTAGAGGCTTCCTCCAATTCTGCTGTGGTCTGGAAAACTCCCCATAAAAAAATCCATGGGAGTTAGATCACGCAATCTCGCGGGCCCACGGAACGAGGCCTCTAGTTCCAGTCCAACATAGTCCAAACAATTCAATCAAAATAAATACCCGTTCCAAGAATTAATGGCAATTCTTAGATGACATTTTAGATTTTCATTAAAAAAATAAAGGCCCACAAATCTAGCTCGGAAAAACCCTACCCAAAAATCGAATCTGAACAGTCCAAACAATAGACAAAATTTTGTGTAACAGAACACTAAATTCAACAAAAAATAAAGTATGTCCTTGACAGCTATAAGCAAGGCCTACTAAAAATGTCTTATAAATTTCTATTATTATTACATTGTTATAAATGAGAAAGTCGTATTCAGTGCAGTAGCATTTTTTAATTTTGTGATTTATGATCTAAAGTCGTGTACTTATAAATGAGACACCCTGTATAATTTTTTGCGACACAAGAAAGTGGGAACACTCTATAACTTTTAAACGCACTGCGATTTGAAATATGAAAGGGTTAATATAGGCTGAATTTGCCAAATTTTTTGACAGTGTGTAGTCAATGGTTGGTTATTTTTTTGCATTTTTGGATTCAGGAGATCATTCTACCTAGAATAGGACGGTTTTTCTCCCTTTTTGTGTTTTTTAATTTTTATTTAATTTAATTAATAATAATAATAACAATTATTATTATTATTATTATTATTATTATTATTATTATTATTATTATTATTATTATTATTATTATTATTATTATTATATTATAATAGTGGGAAAAATTGTAAATGAAACTTTTCTTTACTTGTCTAATGGCAAATAGCATTTAATGGGAAAAAAAACAGATTGGTATTTAAAAAAAATGAAAAATGCAAAAAATATAGGGTGTGGCATTTAAAATTCGAAACTTGTTACTGTCGTTTCGGCTCAAACCGGAAGTGCGACCATTGGCTACATATTGTCAAAAAATTGAACATTGAGCGTATATCAACCATTCCAAATTTCAAATACCCATCTCGAGCCGTCTAAAAGTTATAGTTTCTTGTGTCACCCGATATAGAACACTTTACGATTTGTTGTTAAAGTGCAATTGAAGAGTGGAAGTAACGAACGTGGTAAGTGCCGATAATAAAGTTCTGAGACATTCGCGAAAAAAATGTAATAAAAAGGGGAAAATTCGTTTTATGATAATTTTTATGTCCATTATCGTTTTAAATAATTGTTTTAATGTCTAGGTTCTCGTTTTGGTTTATTTTTTTAATGATGTTTAGGCAACTAGCTGACCCGGAAGACCTCGTATTGCCGCAGTCGATAAATTAAAGTCCTAAACTTTTCACAAATTAAAATAGAACAAAGAATGTTCGGATTTTCGCAGTTTTTAATGCTTTACGTTATGACAGCTGTTTCTGGAACACCGTGCCTTTATCAGATACAAAATATTACTATAATATTACTATATTACTATATTACTTTAATGGTAATTTCAAGGCAGAATGTCATTAAAGTGTTGTTCGCAATTCTTTGTTGTCGATTTAAGTGCTTCAACGTCGTACTGTTGCTTTTTTATCGACTCGTTTATATGTGGGAAAAAGAAAAGGGCCGTTTTTAGGGTTTTCTCGCCTTTTAAACCTTCCTTAGACCTCCACGGACATTTCAAGAGCAAGAGAAGAGCAGCAATTGATTTATATATACAGTCGGTCAAAAAAGTCTCCGTACACGTAGTATTTTTTCAGTTTTCTTTTAGTTTTTTCTTTCACTTACATTTAATGAGAACTCTATTTCAAGTAGGTACCGCCAATCTCATTAACAGTAATAAAAAACAAAAATAAAAATCGTTTGAAACGCTTTATTTAATCCATAAAAAATAATGCAGCTTTAGAGGTAAGAAATTATGTCAAATAAGTTTCCACACACTTTAATAAATCGCTATTTATTAATTATCAATATTTTATCAAGTCGGCTTGTATCAAATTTCGCTTAAACAAATGAGTAATACTTGTTTATTTTTGACGCCACTTTTAAGTCGGTGGTTTCGAAGTAAAAGCAAATATTGCGAAATCTTTTAGAGATATTGGTAAAATAATTAAAAAATCACTTTCAACTGTACAATATGTAAACTAGAAGAGTCTTCTGTTATGAAAAAAAATTAAAAAGCTTGGAATTTGCCCAAAACCAGGGAGTTTTGGGAAAACGTTATCTTTAGTGACGAAACAAAAATTAATCTTTTTGGGTCCGATCGTCGGGATAAAGTTGGCTAGAATAATTTAAGCCTAAGTGTTGAAAAACTTAACCTTAATAGGATAATGATCCTAAACACACTGCTACGCTTGTAGGTCATGGATAATCCACAATGTCCTCCAACAACTTCATACACCACCACAATCTCCAGATGTTAACTCCATAGAGCACCTGTGGGAAGAATTAAAGCGACGAGTAAAAAAACATCAAATTACGAGTAAAGAAGACCACAAAAATAGGACAAGAGGAGAGTGGGAAACAAGAAAGCTTATTTTAAGTCTTCCAAAAAGACTTGGCGCCATTATTAACGGCAATTGTACAAAATATTAGACTTTAAGAAACTTTACCATTTATCATCAGGGATACGGAGACTTATTTGACATTGTTTCTTGCTTCTAAAGCTGCCTTATTTTTTTTAAATGATTTTTATTTTATTTTTATTACTTTTAATGCGATTCCCGATATTGACTTGAAAAAATTGAAAAAATTCTGAGACTTTTTTGACCGACTGTAAATAGATAGAAGACAAAGCCCATTTCGTATTTCTTATTAGTCGGAACTACGTATAATTGTAACACGGATTCGAAACGCAAGTGACTAGCGCGGAGATGTGGCTTATAACTGTCAGCTCGCTTAAACAAACAGAAATCCATTAATGTGTTGCGTCACACGTGGCTTCTCAGTCGCGTCGGACCACCCAGCAATTTCGACGACTGCGACGGTAAACGTATATCGTTTCTCCGCGCCTTCGGGTCGATTTCCGAAACCAATACAATCGCAGCGTGCAAAAGTAGACGATCTCGGCGAAACTCAGCACGCTGCAGCCCAGAAAGAGGCCCATCATGAGTCCGATGTAGACTGCAAAGAGAGGTATAGTCTGTTCATAGATATAACAAAGTGACCAATTGCTTTTGAATGGGATTATCCAAGCGCGGTCAATAAGATTATTAAATGTGACAGAACTACCTTATGGAAGTGTATTCAACACATGGTTTTTAGATTTAAAAAAATTGACAAAAGGCAAGTTTTAATGGAATCTTTCAGAATTCGAAAATGGCGATTGGAATATCTAGAAAAAATTAGGTTTTACAGAGAACCACAAAGGCCAATTATTTACTTGGATGAAACCTGGTTCCGCACTTATGATACCCCGGAAAAGGGTCGGGTTTACTCAACTGATAAGTGAAAAACAAACGCGCCATCAAAAAGAGGTAAAAGAATAACTATTTTGCATGCTGGCTCTACAGATGGTTGGATTCCAAATGGACTTTCTCTGTCTGCGAAAAATATTAAAGATTCTTATTTGGATTACCACGAAGACACCACCGCTTTATTTAAAAGTTGGTTTAAAAACAAACTAGTTCCAAACATTCCTCCTAATAGCGTCATTGTAATGGGCAATGCAAGTTGTCACATTAGACAGTTGACTAAAACCCCTTCCTCATGTGACACAAAAGCAATAATCCAAAACTACATGTATAATAACGACATCTATTTTCGCGAAGATTATACCAAAAAGGAATTAATTGAGGTTCTACAAGGTTTGAACCTACAAAAGGAATACACCTGTGATAATTATGCAAAAAATCTAAGGCATACAGTGTTAAGGCTTCCACCTTACCACTGTATATTTAATCCCATTGAATATGTTTGACACCAACTGAAATCTGCCATTCGTCGTAACAATATTTTCCCCAATATTAACTCCAATGTCCTCAAACTTATAGAAACCGAAGTTTTTAACAACCCTCCACCCTCCACAAAGTTGGGCATATAGAAAAAGCAGAACAATCGTATATCCATATTGCAAATAATATAGAACAATTAATAATTAGAACAGGCGGTGATAGCGATAGCGGCACTGATATATTATGTGAATAATTTTAAGTAATTTGAGTAGGTAATAAAAATAATTAGTAATTTTATTTTAGATTTAAACATAAATACATACATAAATAAGTATTGTTTAGTATCTTTCCTAACAAAACCCCAAATAATTAAATTCTAAGCAAATGAAATATGGCCGAACAGGTCCGTGTTCGGCCATATTTCATTCTTACAGCTTGTCCGGGTCTTTCCTTAATCCATATATTTAGTTATTGTTCACTCAATCAATCAGCTTTCTCTGCAAGAATATATTCAATTTTTTCCTGTGATTTTTCAGGGATTTTTGCTGTTTCAACTCGAATTTCATTAGAGTCGTATGAAATGATCTCCTCTTTTGGGATAATAACATCTATGGAGATAACATTAATTGACTGGTTATGTATTTAAGAATTCCTGGTGGGCTATCGCATACGTGCCTATCAAATTGGAGAAACCGAAAAGAACGTCGCGCCTCAGCCTCAACTCGGGGTAGCTTTTGAGGGCCCATTGAAGGTTCGAACCCAGGAACCAAGGCCTCAGGTCCACGTCTTCTACCGTGTAAATGATCTCCTCGCAGTTCGCGAGGCAGGAGCACTCGTTTTCCAGCAAAACGAGCCTGTCTACGAACTCAGAACTGTAGTAAACGCTCAGATTTCAACGCGATATCTACCTCGATACGAAGACAAGCAGTGCAGCCCCTTCACGTCGCACGTTCTCTCTCCCTCTAAGAACAGAAAAATGTTTCGGTTATTGGCCCAGATCGATTGGAGCGACAGCGGAATTGTAATTGTAACGTGTCATTTTCGCAAAATATTTTGTCAAAAATACAACACTTTTGATAGAATCAAATTGTTTGAGTTTACCCGAAAATGCGTTCCCTTAATTACAAGGATGCCGGTTCGACCGCAAAGATATATTGCCGGATGCTAGCTGAGAACGTTTGTGGGTCGGATGCCACCTAGACCTTACTTACTTAATTAATTAAAAGATTATTTAAGTAAAAATATTACGATTTAACTTGCCTTGGTGCACAATTAGATATATTAACCGAGATATATGGTGTTACGATTTAATTTTTGATAATAAATGTCTATATATATCTATCTTTTCTGCGTAGCATATTTTAGACAGTAAAGAGTTCTAGCAAACGTCTAAAAAAATTAAATAGTATTAGCAAAAAAAGAAAGCAAACGAGGCTGTATTTCCATCGAAAAATATGAATATGAGAAAAGTAAACATAAAAAATTAATAAATTCTTAAAAAATCTTAGAAGGGAATTTGACTGCATCAACCACGAAATTCTTTTGAATAAAATGGAACAATACGGAATTCGTGGAATAGCTAGAATAGAAGAAGAAGTTTGTTTATGGGTATATAAAAATACAAAAAAACGGAGGTTTTCACGACTATAATACACGTAACAAAGACTCCATAAAAGAAATAGACTAGAATTTTCGAAAAAATATTTAACGAACACCGGTATTAGAGTCTACAATGGACTGCCCCCAGAGCTAAAGAGCAGTAGTAATGTAAACATTTTTAAATCCAAACTAAATTTTTTCCTCCTAGAAAATGTTTTTATAGTTTAAACGGATATTTTACCTATTAATATTTGTCATCACTGTATTGTTGTGCTCTGTCGTATATTTTACATTATATAAATTTTTAATGTATTTTTCTGCCTCATTTGCGTGATCCATATTGACCTACTCGACGAAATCCATAACACACTGATTGTATTCTAAATATGTGCGATAATAAAGATTTTATTATTATTATTGGCAAGGTTGGTTACTGTTTACACAGCAGCATCTTAAATGGAAAAAGTGATCGCCAAAACCCAAGTATAAAACACCAATACACTTTTCACATTGGCGATGGTCAGATACATTTTCCGGCATTTATTTAAAGTGAAAAGGTGTATTTTAAACAAATGCCACTCACCAATCGGTCGATAAAAGTGTGGAACGCATGCGCACAGCTCCTTAGCTAGCGAAATCCTGCACTCTATGCGGCACAACACGTAAGAGTAGACAGGCGAGTGGTCCAGGTAGCTCTCGTGATGGTACCTGCACTTTCGCTGCTCCACGCTCAGCTCCCTGGTGTGCTCGCTGGCGATGATGCTCAGCGACGTGAGGTAGACCTGCAGGAAGTGGCCGTTCGGCGAGTAGAGCGGTTTGGTGAGGGCGTCCGGCACCTCGAGCGGACCGTGGATGTACACCTTTATGGGGCATAGTACCGGCGCTGTTTTATTATGATTAAAAGTGACTAGAAAACAACCCTCAAATTTCAAGTTCCTTCAATAAATGAAAACTGTCAATCGATAGAGCAACGTGGTAAGGTATTTTCAAGAAGAAGAAGTATAGTTTATACTCTATAAACTATACTTCTGAAACTTTCTGGTTTCTAAAGTTGTGGTAAATAAAAAAACAAAATGTAAGTTTAAATGAAACAAAGAAACTTCCACGGATCGCCATCGGTACAGAAATGATCAGAGTCGAAAAAGAATTTTTTTTTTGTCTGTCCGTTCTCCGTTCTCGTCTTTGTTTCTTTTTACATTGCTATGAAACACGATAAGTGTCTGAAGTTTGATGCCATCGATGTCATATTTGGGGCATATATGGCAGATTCGGATCTTTATCTGATTCATTACCAATGTCGTTTACCAGTTTTTGAAATCGAAATAGAGCTAAAACATACGGATTATTTTTGACTTGATTGATTGATCATTTTGATTATATGAAAGTTTAAGTGGAGAAAAAGGTAAAGTGCGAAGTACAGTAAAGTAAAAAATTAAAAGCCAATCAATATGTTATCGCTATCGATTGCTGACATTGTTCTTTTTTTCTCTCCCGTATTCGACTCACGTGAAACCCCGTCGACATGTTGATGATGTCGGTGAAGACGTCACCATCGAGAGGGTTGACTTCGAGGATCTCCTGGACAGGCAACCGAGTCCAAAGATTTTGCCGCCAGTATCTGAAATTTGGTAAGATAAGGACCAAATCAAATTAAATAGTAAATCGAAGTAAACTAGGTAGAGGTAGAGCGAGCAAAAAGTCTATTCTGTAGTGATCTGGAAATAAAAATATTAAATCCATCATCAGTTCGATGAATCGGGAGTACTAAGTCCTAAGATTCTACCCATAGGAATGAGCGAATTGCCGAAAACTCCGAAGAGAATGATTTTTTCTTACCCAAAACACACAATCACTGTTAATGGAGAAAGAGCACAGGCAAGACATGAATATCCATCTATTATCTGAAAGAAACTTCTTCTACATACTTGTATCGTATTCCATTTGAAAATCTTGAGATTTTGTTAATTGAATTCGCCAAAACGGCACCACCTATTTGGAACACCCTGTATAAGCTGAGGTCAGCAATGCAAAGGAGGCATTGCGACAGTTCATTTTGTGTTTGTGTTGAACTATACAACTGGTGTACTATTTACAATGGATTCCTCCTACGTCGGTTATTGTTGAATCGAACTCTCTGATCCTGTCGGCTTCTTCAGAGCTTAACTCAGTTTTGGTTAGTTTCAGTTAAGTTCTGAAGAAGAAGATTTGTAAATAGTATTACCCTATCGACTGGTACGACGCGAACTGCGAGTTGAAGCTGTAGCAGATGCCCATCTCGGTGATGGTCTCGTTGAGCAGCAGCTCCTTGGTGACGGTCAGTCCAGAGTTGGTGACAACCGGTTTGAAGTTGAACTTCAGCCTGTCAAGTACGCTCATGAACTCATCGGGAGTTATGAAGTCGTGCGAAGGCACCGCGTTAAAGGAGCTGTAGTTCGCTTCGGCGAGCGATACGATGAACTCCCGCAGCGCCATCTTGTCGACGACGGAGGAATTGCTCACGAAGTCGTCCAAAGCCGCGGGGTCCAGTTTCGTCAGGGGGCAAATCGTCACTGCTGGGATGTCAGTGACGGTTAGAAGCTTTTTATATAAATTCCTTCACTGGTGACCTCGATAGAATACATAGAAGACAGTTATCTAGTTGTGGCTGTACAGGGCCGGTCGTATCTCGGAAACCGTTAGTCCGACAACTTTGAAAAAAAAATATTTTGGGTAAAACAGAAAAAGCCGGAAATTATTTTCGGGTTCGTAAAATGGCCGCTACGGGGCGTAACCTTCACCGTAAAATACCTGGAAATATTTTCCGGCCTTTTCTCTTGACTGATTTATCTAAATATATATTTTTTCTAAGTCGTAGGACTAACGGGTCCTGACATATAGAGGGCGTCCTCTATCAATGGGAAACCCTGTACGTGGAACAGATTTTAACCGGCAACTTTCGACCAATCAGAGCTAATAGTTCGAAATCTTGACGATTAATATTGTAAATTATATTCATTATATCAACCATATTTTTACGGCCATGCAGTGCAGAGGTTTCTATTTTTTTTAGCGAAAAAATTCGGGAAATTAAATTTCTTTGGTAGCGATTGGAGATTGTGAGGATAATTTTTATTCTAAGAGAAATCAGTCAGCCGTCAGCCGAAACAGATTGGACAGATTGTGGTACATTTCAATAAAAATTAGGACATACAGTCGAAACTCTCGACCAAAATTTGCAACTATCGAAGGAGGTGCGAACTGGTAAATTATACGTTGAAAGTGGTACCTGGCACGGCGGTTCTCCAGGAAAACTTGTCCCGTTCCACGGAAATAACGATCGGATTCTCGTAGTATCTCGCGAGAGTGAGCCTGCTCAGGAACCCAGCGCCCGTGGTGGCCAGTACCACCAGGATGGCCCAGAAGACCTTGCCGAAGATGTGGCTTTTCCCGTCGACTATCTGTGGGAACCCGTGGATCGAGCTGCTGGCAAAAATGCTGCGGACGTATTGCATCCACGATTCGGCGGCCATCGTAGCCCTTAGGGAGGCAAGGGCGTTGTGTCCTGATTACCATGTCGGTAACGATCCCATTGTTGCGGTAATATCGTCGCATCTCGCTTAATAATAAATAAACTCGTATTGTCCAATATCGACATACGACAAGCTGTTATCGGGAAACGCTAATGACCCTGATAACCTTCGAAGATTTTCCTCAAATAGGTCAACGAAATTCTAGGTCTATTTTTAATGCATCTGTGAGTAAAATAAAGAAATACAGACATAGACGGAGCAAAAACGCACCAGTAAGTGAAACACCATAGAGCTGGAATACAAAAGAAAATCGCCCATTGGAATATTTTGAAAACCGGGCAAAAAAAGTGTGTAGTTATATAGAAAAGCAACTGGATGAAGTTTTAGGAACCAAATCGTATGAGAGAACTTATTTCGCCATTTAAGGAACCCTGTAACATGCCCATTATCACTCTCATTAGAATGCAATGCAATGAGGTGGAAAATGATACGATAGTAGATATAAAGTATTCTGAAGACTAATTTTATTTAATATGGATTGGTTATTGGTTACAAATATATTTTGTAGACGTAGATGTATTTCTTCCGGCTCACAGTAGGTTAGCGGTTGATTTAAAGTGGAATATGATAGATATTCAAGATCCTGGAATGGCAGTTGGGAAAGAGCACTTAAATATTTGATTTTCCGAGCTCTAGCATCAAATATTTTATTATTATATTAAATAGCTCACTTTTAATAAAATTAGAAGCAGTAAATTGATTTGGTTGCTTTTTATGTAGAAAATTAAGTAAACCAAAATTACTCAGTATAAGAAAAGTTTTACAATTATTTTTCTACAAGCAAACAGATTCCAACCTCACAATTCATTGGAGTCTCTGTCGAAACTTCTAATTTTGAAGAAGTTAAAAAAATACTGTCCATTTGACGTTTTCCATTCTTCATTTAAATATTTAGATTGAGCTTCTGTTAAAGAATGTGCTGAGTTATGATCGGATATATCAAAAAATATTCAATTTTTTTGTAATTTTTTGTTTCTGAGTATTTCTTTTTTTTCCAAAGTTGCCACTCTCGATAAACTTTCGCGAATTTAGTAATAGGAATACCAGTGGGTTTCCAGACTTTCATAACATCACGAATCACTTCATGAAAACACCGTGGAATTGTGAGGTTAGAATCTGTATGCTTGTAGAAAAATAATCGTGAAGCTTTTTTTACACTCAGTAATTCTCGTTAACTTAATTTTCTACATGAAAAAGCAACCAAATAAATTTTCTTTTCAGCCATTTTACTGATAATAATTAAAATTACTGAGAGCTTTAAAGAATGACAATACACAATAATTTCTTAATAATATATTTTAATGAAATTTGACAGACATGTACTCTGTATCAAGAGGCATACACCAGCGGCGGACGTACGGAATTTCACCCGTCCATTTTGGAGGACGTGGCTGGTACGCCACTGATTTCTCTTAAAATAACATTTATTCCTACAATCTCCGATGATTTCTGAAGAAATTTTATTCCAATTTCGAAATTCCACCGAAACGTTTTCCCTCTTTTTCTTCTTGTAATTTGTTGTTTGCGACGATTGTTATCTCCGGTTTTGTTAGCGGCAAACAAAGATATATAGCGGACCTCAATAATGCTTGCCCAATATCGATAACAAGAACGAAAATAAATCAGTTCGAGACTCGCAATGTAGCGAATATCTCTTGCGTTTGTCGATCACAATTGGTGCCCAACATTTTCTTGTCGCCTTCAAGGTCTATTTCTAACGTATTCTTGAAACGATGTATAGGGCCAAAGTTAGATCGGCCGGCGACATATTTAAGACGCGAATTACCGCTCGAAACTTGGTAAGTTTAATGCCTATCTTTTTTTTCCATTTTTTAAGTCTTTAGATAGCTAAATAAGGACCTCGCAACTTAATAATAATAATAATAAATTGCCTCTGTTGTATATTGTAATATACGACATATCTGAGAAGAAGAATGTGATTTTACCGAATCAGGTGGCACTTTTATAGGAACAAATGGCTCAGTCTTTAATATAAATATATATAATTAATTAATAATAATAAAGTAGTCCATTAGGACTACTTTATTATTATTTGGACAAAAAACAAAGCTTCCTTCTTAAAAAAAAGCTAACAGTAATCAAAATTTTCAAATAATCAACAAATATCGAGATACTATTTACTTTGGCCAGGTTACTTATTCTTTGAATTCACTTAGGCCAGGTTAGCTTTTAGAGCTGCAAGCTTCTTCTTTTGTCCACATCTATAACAGTAATCGCCATATAGAGTGCAATCTTCGCGTAACCAGAGTTTACACATCAGGCACTGAATCCAGTCCGCCGTGGACTTGGTACTTGCATAGTCATCGAAACATTCTGTGCATTGAGTATTTTCTTTATCAGATTTAGTCTGGTCAGAATCTGATTCATCGAACTCCTATTCACTCGGTCTTTTCTTTTTTGGAACTGATTTTTGGTTGTTTTTTCTGGGTTTGTCTGGTGTTTGCTTCTTAGCTTTACCTTTCAACTTAGCTTTCTTAGAGTTAATATGTTCTTCTGAATTTAAAACGGCAGCACCTTGCTTGCCCGTTTTGTATAATGGAACAGGAATTTTCGGGATAGGTGAACATTCTTTAAGATATTTACTTGTCGTTTTCACAAAAGCTTTGCATATTAACTAGCCTAAGTACCTGTGAATAAGTCATAGAGGATATATGCCTCTAAGGGCGTCTACACTCAGTCAATAGTGGGGCCCCTATCCTTTTTAGTAGGGATAGACGCCCCAGCAAATAAATAAAATTACTTAAGTAATTTCGTAATTTGATAAACACACCATAGACATAAATGATACATACTATTTAAAAAACAATACACACTTAAAACTTACCTTCGAAAACGAAAGTTCTGAACACGTCAAAATGTCACTGTCACAAGAATCAAGCAAGCGCGGTAAAATTCTGCAACGTTTTTTTAACTCGAGCGGCGACACGTGCAGTCCTGTCGAAACGCGTGCAAGTTGCCGTATAGGTCCTAATAATAGAGTATTTGATCGTTTAAACCGCATCTGAGAGATGTCGGGGTTAAAATTCGGGCTAAGTGTTTGCATTCTTAGCAAAGGGGAATGCTGCCCTGTGTTGGTTCTAAGAGAACAGCGTATCTTAAATTTCGAGCGGGAATTCTAAAATTAAGTTTCGACAGAAGATATGGAGAATCAATTTGTGAGGTTGTTATTTTGTAAAGCATGAGTGTTGATATGAACTGCGTAGCGTGGATTCCAAATAACAGATGCGAAGGAAATCCTACTTTGAATAAGAGCATCATATTTGGAAATAAACGTTCTGGGATCACTGAAGTCCCGGGAATTTCTATTAATAAAACCAACCATTCTATTAGAATCGTTTATTATTCTTTCTATGTGGTGTTTAAATGACCGCTTTGTGTCAAGTGTAACTCCCGGATCCCTTACTTCATTCACTCTTACCAGGTCATTGTTATTTATATTATAAGTAAAATCTGTTTTGTTAACTTTTTTTTACAATGTGCGTCGCAAATTCAAAAAAACTGCGTTTTTTTTTCCTGTTTTACCGATTTACAGACGACGAAAAAGGTGATAGCGATCCGACGCGAGGACCAGAGCGTGTGGGAGCGTCGCGCCCCCTTCTCCCCTCAACACGTCCGTAAGCTGGTCAAAAACGGCATCAAGGTGATAGTGCAGCCTTCGAATCGTAGGGCGTACCCGATGCAGTCGTACCTGAACGCGGGAGCCATCATCCAGGAGGACATATCCGAAGCGAGCGTAATCTTCGGCGTGAAGCAAGCCCCGGTGGACCAACTCATACCCCAGAAGACCTACTGCCTCTTTTCGCACACTATCAAGGCCCAGGAGTCCAACATGGCTCTGCTCGATGCGATTCTGGAGAAGCAGATCCGCTTGATCGACTACGAGAAACTGATGGACGAAAAGGGGATCCGGGTGGTGGCCTTCGGCAAGATGGCGGGCATCGCGGGCACCGTCAACATCCTCCACGGGCTGGGGTTGCGACTGCTGGCCCTGGGACATCACACCCCGTTCATGCACATCGGCCCCGCGCACAACTACAGGAATTCCAGCATGGCAAGGCAAGCCGTCAGGGATGCCGGGTACGAGATCGCCCTGGGTCTGATGCCCAAGTCCGTGGGACCTCTGACCTTCGTGTTTACCGGGTCCGGCAACGTTTCACAAGGTTTGGACGCGTTTCGACGGACTTCTTCTTAACCGGAAGCAGTTAAGAGATTTTACTCCTTCAGAGTTTCAATAACAATCATACCATTCCCAATCTATGTATGAAGTAAATTGTTGTCTTAATAGTATTTACGTTATAAATGGCAAATAGGCCAATATTCAATAAATTTCCTAAGAGAACAAACTTTAGCAATGGAAAAACAAATAGACTTCTTATTCTAATACTCAAATATGGGCTACAATTAAGTCTAATTGGTATGGAAACATTACTAATGCAACTTTCCTCCATACTTCTGAATAAGTCGGATTAATGGAATCGACCATACTTTTTATGCAACCAATGGGAGCATTTGTAGTGTTTTTGATTTAGTGACTGTCGAGTCTCACTCCGCACCACTCGCATACTCTGTAAAAAATCATCAAATCAAACCTTAGCTTCTACGACGGTTGTTGTAGTTCTACAAAAAACCGTTATGTGTTACGAGTTTCTCAAGACAATCAATATTATAATTTGGGAAAGTTAGCAATAAGTTAGTTAGTTAGTTAGAGACAGGCCCAAAAACTATCCATCAAGAACAATAATGAAGTTACCTTGCGGTGACAATGTGAAGTGTCAAAGTTGCAGATTGGTAAAAAATTACATGTAGTAGGACGTTTTAAGTTTTAGTTTTAGGGTATGATGAGAGTCTCACAGTGTCAGCTTAGTCAGTGGTGTGTGGCTAATAGACTGAATCTCAACATTGCTACAAACCAAAAACATATTTTTTTTAAGGGGATTGAGTTGTTAATAAAGAGATGTAATAAGTGTATTGAAGTTAAGGGGGATTATATTGAAATATAATCAAAATTGTTACTCTACTTTGTTTCTCTCATATTCAGGCCGGGAAATTTTGGCGCTGCCCTCGTATATGAGTATTGCTTTGCGAGTTTTATAATGGCCAATTAGTTAAACAATTTTATTCTACTTGTGGGGAAAATGACAAAAGTTTCTTTGATCGCTCTCAGGGTCCCAGGAGGTGTTCCAAGAGCTGCCCCACGAATATGTCACTCCAGAATCGCTGCGTAAGGCGGCGGAACACGGCAGCCTGAACAAAGTCTACGGTTGCGAGGTGAGACGCAGGCACCACCTCGAGAGGGCAGACGGCGGAGGCTTCGATCCCGTAGAGTACGAGGAACACCCAGAACGGTACATCTCGACGTTCAGCAAGAAGATCGCGCCCTACGCCTCCGTGGTGGTCAACGGGATCTACTGGGCTGTAGACAGTCCAAAGCTGATCACCATCCCCGATGCCAAGCATCTTCTAAGGCCAGCGCACACCCCTTGGTTGCCTACATCCAAAGGTTCGAAAAAAACTTCTTGCAAATCTTCAGAATCAATCCTGAGTTGCAGATACTACAAAATTCCATCATATCGTAAAAAAGCATAAGACTCTGCTCTCTCTCTAATAATTTCCACTTTAGGGATATCGAGCGTTCCATCAGAAAGCACACTTCACCACAAACCACAAAGGCCATTTTGTAATTATGTAGTTCGAAGTTTTTTTTTCTCTGCAGGTGCGCCGGCTTTGCCTCACAGGATGCTCGCCATATGCGATATTTCGGCCGATCCGGGCGGCTCCATAGAGTTTATGAACGAGTGCACCACGATAGACACTCCGTTCTGCTTATACGACGCTGACAGGAACAAAGACACCAAGAGTTTCGACGGACCTGGTGTTCTGGTGTGTAGCATAGACAATATGCCCACCCAGATACCGCGCGAGAGCACCGACTTCTTCGGCGACCTACTGCTTCCGTTCACCTACGACATCATCCAATCCGACGCTGTCCAGCCTCTGGAGAAGCACAACTTTTGCAACGTAGTCAACGGGGTAAAGCCACCACTACGTTCTCTTCAAACACCTCATTATATAAAAAACGGTTTGAGCTGGAAGGGGAAGGGACTCGAAATAGGGAAATATTTTTTCAGGAATTTTTCGGATGCAATTCTGTTTATTTCTATCTACTTACCACACGTACAAAGTATACGACCGTTCTTCGACATGGCACAATTTTTTTCTTGTTAAACAACGAGCGATTTTCTTCCAGGCGATCATCGCGAGCAACGGCAGCCTGACCGAAAATTTCAAATACATCGACGAACTCAGAAGAACTCAAATGTAAGACATATTCTAGACGCGCTCCTACCAATCATGGACAAAAGATGAGCAGTACTGCCAAACTGCCTTAGGTATCCGCGGCCTTAAGAAAATGCCCTCAAACATTTTTGTTTATGGCGTTTCTTGCAAACTTCAAAAGCACGCAATTAACGATTATTTGAAAAGTTTTAAAAAGTTCAGATTCAGACATTAGACCAGTCGTGTCTTACGTAACAGCTCCAGCAGTTAAACTCTCAAAATTTTGCAATAAAAAATTCTGTTGAATTAATCAACAAAATTAAAGATATCAAAATCCCTTCTAACGCAACACTATTGTCTTTTGATGTACAAAACTTATTTCCTAGTATTCCACCTATGGATGCGATAGAAACAGGTTAACCCATTGATGAAACAAGATTTATTAGATTGCTTAATAGTACCTTTAGACCAAAATTATTTTCAATTTAATGCACAGATTTAGACCCACTTAGTCCTTCGTTAGCCGAGATTTTTATGGATAATTTGGAAAATGTTATACTAGAACATCCTTTAAGTAAAAGTTTTCTATGGTGGTATAGATACGTGGATGATATCTTTGCTGGCTTTGTTGGCACGCACAGACAATTGAATTCTTTTTTAAATTACATTAACTCATTACATAATCGTATAATATGCACTATCGAGATTGAACAAGATAATTGTTACGAAAACGCAAAACAAACTAGATTGTTCCATTTACCATAAACCTTCACACACGGACACAGTCATACATGACAGCTTCTTCTTCTTCTTTTACTTCTGTTGGCCACGACTGCTAGGATCATTCGGCCAATACATAACAGCTCAAGTCACCCTTTTTTCTTTGCACTTCCAAGTCGTAGATACAGTCGACGGTGTAAGTCCGTATCGACGTCCCACATCACTTTATAGAGAGTGTGAAATTCGTTATACAGGATGGATTAATACATATCTTTGTACGGAGGCCTAATAGTACAAAAAATGTTCGTAATACAGAGTTTTACGTTATACAGGGTTGCGCTACAGGGAGTTTTCAGTGTATCTCCTTTTAATAATTTTGACACTTAACGCCTTTGCTATTTATACTCCTCGCGAAACTTATGATTTAGAAAAAGCAGACACAAAACGGAGACTACGTCGACGGACAAACACGCCCTCATCTTGGGCGCAGGTCGCATAGCGGCGCCCCTGGTGGAATACTTGCACCGAGATAAGCTCGTCGGTATCACAGTGGCGTGCGAGAACACGGACCTGGGGGACAAGCTGGCCCGCGCCTACCCCGGCGTCGAGAGCGTCTACCTCAACGTCAACGAGGCGAGCAACGCCAATCTGGAGGACCTCATAGGTGAATTGGGCGGGGTACTCGAAGGCAGTGGTGTGACAGAAATAATTCGAATTTAAATGCACAAAGGATAGGTTCTAGCAGAAAAAGTCAATCGATGAAACTAAATTTGAAAATCTGTCACGAATGCTGCGTGGTCCTGCTAGACAGACCTCTACTAAACCTTCATATACTTCTTCTATACCTCTAATGTACCTCAATATATGTTAGTTATAATAGAATATATGGAAGTCATAAAAGCCGGGACCCGGTATGCTATACCTCTTCTCGACTTCATATTCCTACTTATACCTCTTCTATACCTCCACATAGCTTTCCTACACCTCCACATATGTCTGGTATGATGATGTAGAAGTATATACGTAGCAGTTCAAACAAAAACGTTTAATAAAATAAAATCGCTTACAGAGCCGACAAAAGCATTCTGCTGATTAAGGTTCGATTTCAATTCTTCGAACATATTTAAACTAAACCGAACCGAACTAACCAAAACTCTTTGCTATTAGCAAATGCATTCCAAAATTTTCCGGGGCGACCACAGAAAAGAAAATAATTTTACATAATTTACTAAATTTAATTAATAATTATAATATAATAATTAATTTATTAATAAGTTTGTTTAATACATTTACAAAACAGGACAACCTATACAGTGTCGATAGCACATTAAGTTTGTGGAGAATTTTGTTGTACTAATTTATTTTCTAACGTACTTTCCTTCTTATCTACTTATTTGCTCACCTTCTTACTTACTTCCTTTATTACTCACTCTACTTACCTACTTACTTAATTACTTACTTACCTTACTTGTTTACTTACTTAACTCGTGACCTCGTAACTTACGTACTCAATTACCTATTTACCCTCCTTTTTGTTTATTTACTTACCTTATTTGCTTTACTTACTTACTTTACTTCGCTTACTTACCTTATCTAATTTACTTACTTATTTATTTACTGAATTAGTTACTTGCCCTACTTATTTATTTGCTTATTTACTTAACTAATTTCTCACTTACTTACTTACTTCTTTACTTATTTACCCACTTAACCTACTTCACTTACTTACCTTGTTACCATGTTTCTTACTTACTTATTTGCTGCTTGCTTACTTACTTACTGACTTAGTTTCACATCTTATATCTTTTGCTTATTTATTTTACTTCCCTACTTACCCTATTGAATTTACTTACGTATTTATTTGCTAACTTAGTTACTTATTCTACTTATTTATTTAACTTTAATTACTTACTTCTGTATTTACGATCTTATTTATATACTTATTTACTTATTTGTTTCTTACTTACTTACTGACTTACTTTCATATCTTATGTCCTTTGGTTATTTTTTTTTGCTTTGTTTTTATTTATATGCTTATTCTACTTATTTATTTAGCTACATCATAGTTACTTACAATCTTACTTATTTACATACAAATTTACTTACTCATTTACTTATTTACTTATATACTTACTCACTTACCTACCATACTTAATTTAGTTACTTACTCATTCATTTACTTAAATACTTAATTACTTACTTACTTAATCACCTTATATACTTACTTGCCTCACTTAGTTTTTTACTCGCCTAGCTTGCTTATTTACCTCACTTACTTACCTTATTTATTTAGTAACTTGTCTAGTTACTTACTTACGTATCTTGGTTGTTTGCTTACGTAGACCGGGCGGACGTGGTGGTGTCGATCTTGCCGGCAAATTTTCATCCACGCGTGGCCAAATCTTGCATCAACCGCAAGACCCACATGATCACCGCGAGTTACATGAGCAAGGAGGTGAGGGACCTCCACGAAGCCGCCTTGAACGCAGGCGTGACGATCCTCAACGAGGTCGGTTTGGACCCGGGCATCGACCACATGTTAGCCCTCGAATGCATCCACGAGGCTAGCTCCGTGGGCGGCAGGATCACCTCGTTCGAGTCGTTCTGCGGGGGCCTCCCGGCCCCCGAGTTTAGCGACAACCCGTTAAGGTACAAGTTCTCGTGGGCCCCCAAAATGGCGCTGCTCAATACGGTCGCCTCCGCCAGGTAAGATCTTGCCACGGAATTACCGTTTTCAACTTGGCTCATTAGCTATAGATATATAGATAGATTCTTTACTTGACTGTTTGCAATACAGAATGTTTACAGTACCTCGCAATTCAAGAAACGTAATACATAATATTCGTTTATTCTGTGTTCCTCTATTAAAAATATATACACAAAATTCTCATATATTACGTAGTCCCTATAAAACCCTCTTTCTTCGTTTTGATTTATTCCCGATAGTTTTGGTTGGTTGGTAAACGCAATCTCGAAGAATTTCTTCGGAAAGCCGAGTTAGATATTCAGATGGTGCGTTCCACCTTGCAGATATTTGCGCAAGGGCCAAATAGTTGAGATCAGCGAGGGCGGCGAGCTGATGAGGGCCACCAAACAGCTCGACTTCCTTCCCGGCTTCAACCTAGAGGGATATCCGAACCGCGACAGCACCAGCTACACCAACCTGTACGGCATCACCGAAGCTAACACGGTACTGCGTGGTACTCTCAGGTACAGCGGTTTCGCGCAGTCAGTTCGCATGCTCCAGTTCCTGGGTCTCTTCGACCCGGAACCCCACCCGTCGCTCCACTCCCAAGGCCCGGAGGTCACTTGGAGGCAGCTCGTCTGCATCCTGCTAGGTTTGGAGGACACCAACATGTTCTACGACAACATCAAGGGCAAGATCACAGAGAGGACGGGCAGCGACTACGCCGTGGACGTGTTGGAGGAGCTCGGACTCCTGGACAACGAGGGCGTGGTCAAGTGCGGGTCGCCCCTGGACACCCTCACCCACTACCTGTCGACGAGGCTTACTTTCGGTATGACGTTGAACATTTGGCCCTTATTTGCTATTTAGAAACCTGCAGTAAGTTTCTTCAGAGCTTAACTGAAACTTTTGTTAAACATATAAACTTGCTGACGTTTCGCCAATTTTCCAATTGGCTTCTTCAGAGCTTAACTCAACCAGTTTCGGACGAAACGTCAGCAAGAAATCCAGAAGATTTGCAAATATTTTTACAGTGGGCTGTGTAAGTTTCTTGAAAAAAAAAAAACTTTAACATTTTGGAGGGTTTAAAATAACGATTTCAGGTAAGGAGGAGCGTGACATCGTCATCATGAGACACGACGTGGGAATCAATTGGCCGGACAACAGGAAGGAAATACGGGGGGTGAATTTCGTAGTCTATGGTGACATAGCAGGACATTCGGCCATGGCAAAGACGGTCGGTTATCCGACCGCCATCGCGGCCAAAATGATCCTCGACGGTAATCGAAATTTTACGAAAATTAGTTGAATTATCTATCTATCATCACCACCAAGTCAATATGACCGTCGATTTTTCGTTATAGGCGAGATACAAGAACGTGGGAGTATTCTGCCATTCCAACCGGAGGTGTACAGGCCCATCCTGCAGAGGCTGCGCGCCGAGGGCCTGAACAGCACGGAAACTTCGAGGTTCTACTAGGTTAAGGCGATTTTTTCTTTACCTTTTATACTTTATGAATATTAACTGTATTTTTGAGTCATTTGTTTTATTCGCAAACCACAGACTACCTAACTGGAAAGGCTAATTTACTGACTTAACCAACACCTTCCACATCACAAGACCGGCAAACGCTAAAGTATGAGTCATCACATTAAGGTTGCTTGAAAAAGGATAAAAAAACACTTTTTAATTTATGCAAATTATTTTCATATTTAAAATATAGTACAAATATATTCAATAGGTAAAAATGGTAGAAATTAAAAAACCATTTTCGAAAAATTAATTTCTTTATTGCACAACGAAAGAGAGAAGTTAAAAAAGGGAAAAAACAAGGGAAACAAGGCCATGTTAATAATGTCTCTTTATATAACTCCAATTTCTTTGGAGAGAAAAAAACAAACACATCTTTCTATCAAAATGTACTAAAAGTGCTAATACTAAGTAGTAAATCCTCTTGGACGATCAGTTTTGAAGGCAATTTTCTTGATTAAAAAATTATGCCTGGAATATTTTTTGGATAAAACTTACCATTTTTGAGAAAAATCCAAAAACCCGAATTTTTTGATTTTGACTTTTGGCACTTTATTTCTACTGACGTACCAGAGAGTTCCACCAGAAATAATACATACGAAATACTTTGCAAAATGTTTATTTCACACATAAACTTAACGCAAGTCTTTTTTTTATATTCTCTTATTTTACCTCCGCAACGTTAAAGGGGTGCTCGGAAAAAAAAAGAATTATTAGTTCACAAACGTAAAATTAACACCGATTAGCAGTTTTACGTTCGTAGCACCAAAGCATAAAAACAAGCGAACTACAAATATTTCGAGTCGTTCACAGCGAAACGTCCGATTCCGCCACCGTTTTCCAATTCCATTTGGCGACGTTTAGACTATTTCGCCAATAGCAGTAAAGATACCGCGACGCCTCACGCCCGCGCCATCTATTGCACCGTGCACGAATTTTTCGTTCCCCGCTGGTTAGCCACGATGGCGCTAGATGCCGCGTCAATGATTTGTTTTAGACCGTGGCCGGTCGCCGCCGAGCACTCGACGTAATGTTTTGCTCCGATTTTCTTCTGGAGCCTCACGCCCTTTTCACTGTTGACGCAATCGGGCGATCTGGGCTGCCGCAGGTCCAATTTGGTGCCTGAGAAAACATGGAAAGTTTTCTCGGAGAAAATCGATTTTGGGCGACTGTCCCAGTATGGTTTGCCTAACGGATCATAAAATGTAAAGCAGTCGTGCCCAACTTTATTAATGAAACGCATTATTGAATTGAATTGAGTGATCGAATATTTTCGCTCAAAGTATTGTTAACTAACAATTACTAATTAACTAATTACTAACAATGGATTTAAAAAAATGTCACGCTTCTTATCATGTTTTGTAAATTTAGATATTCAGTGACCTCGTGTAAAAAAAAAAGAAATCAGAGCTGCTAGCAGAGCAGAAATGAGTTTGACAAATATAAAATTAACTTAACAATTAACTGCGAAATACGGCATAGATGTTTTACACAGGGTGGTAAGTGGGCCGGATGGGAGAGCCTTAGTTTTTATAGTATTTTTCAGTAATTAAAAGAATTGGTGGTCAGCAGATATACTAAACCTTATTTGTACTAAAGTTGAAACAAAGTTATTTCATGATTGGTATTGGTGTTAAAGTGGGGCGTCCACTGCGGGCACTTAGGCCACCAGATGGGCCCGTTGTGCCCCTAGACCGCGCTAGAGGGCGTCCAGAATGCCACTGCTCCTATAGAAGGTTAGCAACTCCTTTAGCCCAATATTTTATGATGGATTTAATTGGTTGTGTCTTCTTAAGTGGGCCACTTACCGACTAAAATAACCGTTTTGTGTCTGTAGGGTTGTATTTCGGGTATCCATCTTTCCAGCACGTTTTCGTAGGAAACTTTGTCGGCTAGAGAAAAGCAAACCACGAACATCTGCGCCTGAAATCCGTAAGAACTTTTACATTAATACTAATTATCCTTTGGAAACAACAGCGTGCGGTGGGTCACAGTTAATATAATAATTTTAGATTTATACATAAAGTCGCCGATTGACAAATCTTACCAACTTTCTTGACTACAGAGCCAGAAAACAATCTCAACTCAATCACTGAACCCAGAAAAACACCTTACATTTGCTCTTCTCTCTAATCATTGCCGCATTAAGCGTTCCATCACAAAATACACTTCACCACAACCTTCCAAAAATAATAAGTACGAAAGTAACTCCACACTTGCTACTGTTGTCCTTCCATACATTCACAACATCACTGACCACACAGCAACTATGACGAATTTAAATTCGGAAACTTGAGGTAATAATCTGGTTCCATTGTATGTTAACGACCACCCTTGGATAATCCCTTCACTTTCTTATATCTATGAACAGACCATACCTTCTTGTACCACTCCCTCCTGACTTCGTCATATTCCTCTTGACCAGCTGTGTCGATCAGTTTGAAGTGAACGCTGCGATCGCTTAGCTTGTGCTCGATGTGAAGTTCATCGTATCTGTTTAAAAACGGTTAAGGGCAACTTGAAATGCCATCCGAAGCATCACACTTACAAGTTCGCTTGAGTCGCACTTCTGACGTTATATTCGCAATTGCCGAGCGCTTTGAGGATCGACGTCTTGCCCACGTAACCGTCGCCTATCAGCACAATATTTACGGGATCCGACTGCGAACTTTTTCCTTCCATTGCAACCGAATACGTTTTCGATTAGCACCTGCAAAGGTGCAATGAAAGCGGAACGTATCGCGTTCCAAAATGTTATCGCTTAATCTTGTATGCTGGAGATAAGGCTGATAATGTTCTCCGTCTATTGAATATAATGCAAATCGGGATCAACCATTCTAAAAAAGGGAATCAAACCGGGCTGAGCATTTTTTTTATCATTTTGGCAATGTACGAGACGATATTTTTTGATTGACTAAAACCTAAAGTTCCTAAATAATGAGGAGCATTTCCATCTTATCAGAAATGGCATCTGAAGTAATCTGGTGCGTCAGTTGGACGGCATATACAGGAACTGAGAATTTGTTTTGATAAAAGTGACCGTGACCTGACTTAGTATCAGTTAGACGTCATAACATACTCAGTTGGCTGTGACCTGACTGAGTGGCAGATGTCTAATATACACTGACAGTGAAGAAGCGACCATGACTTCACTACGTGTCAATCAGACGTCTTAATATACACTGACTATTATATTAAATTCCGTATATTATATTATGACCTCTAACTCCGAAAAAGCTAGTTTAAAAATTTGATCAGGATCAGACTAAATGTCAGATACCATAATATACACCAATTGCAAAAAAACTTTTTGAGAAAGTTGGACATAACCTGACTAAGTGTTAGATATCTAATATACACTGACACTGAAAAAGCTTTTGATAAAATTGAGCATGAGTTCGTCAGTTAGTTGTCATAATGTATACTGGCTTCGAAAAAACTAGTTGTCAGACGTCTAACATATACTGGCAGTGAAAAAGCTTTTGATAAATTTGACCATGAGCTCACTAGTTGTCAGACGTTATAATATATATCGATTGCCAAAAAACGTTTGGGAAAGTTGGCCATGACCAGAGTAACTGTCAGTTAGGCGGCGTAATGTACACCGACTCCGAAAAAGCTGACCATGGTCTGACTAGGTGTCGGATGTCGTAACATACACTGCCCATGACCTGAGCGTAAGTCTCTGTCGCGTCTTCCGATCAATAAATAAGCACATAGGGCTCCGAAGAACGACTAAAAGTCGCGTCTCGCCTTTGCGGCGTTGCCACTTCGACAGAGGACCAAAATAAGAGTCGAAATCTGAACTAACCGTAATATATTTCGAACGTTTCTTGAAAAAATATCCATACAAAAACGATAACAGGGGGTTAGGGCGGACGTCGGCGACCCCGACCGTCCTCCCAGTACTTATTGCGTGTTGACCTAAGGGCCCGGCCCGCGTCTACGCGGAAGATAATGGGGGAGGAGAAGCGCAAAACTGAACACGCTACAAATTGACCGTTGTTTGTCAGCACCGACGAAATAAATAATCTTGAAAGCCTAACGCTACGAGGTATCACATTCACAACGATAACGATTAGTATTTTGGGACTCCTTAGTCTACGCCATGCCGGGATCCTCGAGGGCCCCGTCCTCCTCCAGTTTCGTAATGAACTTGATCACCCGCAGTCGTTCCTCGGTCTGGCGGCTCATGTCGAGCAACGCGAGCAACTTTTTGATCCCGATGAAGATCCTGAAACCGACACCGTATTCATTTGCTTAAAGCCGAGTCTTCTTTTATCGATAGGGCGGAGCTTAAACAATGAAGAACGTCCTCTGACTCTTTATCTCTCTGGGCACGCCGATCAAGCCCTTAGGGCGCCTTTTCAGGCGGGCCCTTTAACGCGTGACCTGAGAAAGATTATTTTTCCTTCCGCAATCCACGAGTGGTAGTCTTCATTTTAGCTGGGTCTGCGTTTCAGCACTTTTAAAAACGGCGTGTTTATTTAGACTCCGCCCCTTAATGTGTGGCTGTGACAAGCCAATAGAGCTGGCAGGAGGAGAAACTATGGTTAAATTTGATTCTTTAACCCAATGTGTGTTCTTGTGAACTAAATACTAAAAGTGTGTTATATGAGTTTTTACCTATCGCATTATTTCTAACTTAAACAAATTAAATTGTTTAAAAATAAACAATGTTTTCAGGCACTCACGATGCCGTTACATAGAACTGCAACATTTCGATGTTCTTTTACATATAATGCTGTTCAACTCCTTGGATCATGTTCTCCAAGCGACCAAACTTTTAACTTTTATTTAAAAAGGCATTTACTTCTTCCCGATCGCAGATTGAAGTGCGAATGGCTTTATGGTGATCCCTTAGGGCGTGGCCTTTCGTTAGACTCCGCCCCTTAAGACGCGCGATCGCGTCGACTCACCTTTTGCCGTGCAGATGGTGCGTGATCTGCTTCAGTTCCTGGTTGCTGAATATCTCGGACGTCTCGATGACGTTGAGCACGTGCTCGGGCTTGGACAGATTAGGCACGTGGAGGACGGCGGTGAACGCGGACAGCATCTCCATCTCCTCGAGCACCTCGCGTCTGCTGCTCGTGCACAACACGAGCAGCTTCTTGCCGGGAGGCGGTTCCTTCTTCAGCAACACCAGCAACGCCTGCAGCGTCAAGTTCGAGTACCGGGGACCTATGGGGCCGTAATCGAGCAGCCGCTCGATGTTATCGACGAGGATGCAGCTGAGGGTCGAGCGATAAGCGTCGTCGAACACCTTGCGGATGCTCAGACACTTCGCGGTCTCCGTGAAACCGACCATTTCCTCAGGGGAGCACACCTTCACGAACGGAAAGTCCGAGTTCTTCGCGAGTTGAGCGGCGAGCGCGGTCTTGCCCGAATTCGGCGCCCCTTCGATGAGGATCGACACCAGGCCGGAAGTGTCCGTCGACCTGGCCTGTTGCGTGAACAGCATGCCGTCTTCGAGGATGGCGGTGACGGGGGGGCCCCAATTGATGACGCCGCGCGCCAAATACTGGTTGATGATCTCCTCCGCGGTGCCGAACGCGGGCTTGATGTCGTGCTCGAGGGCGTGCATGAAGTCGGCCCGCGTGACTAGCAGCTTCTCCATGGCCTCGGGATCGACCTCGACCTTGTTCGACGCCTTGATGAGGCGGTTCATTGCGGTCGATTGGGCGGCGCGAACCAGACCCTCGAGCTCCGCCCCCGAGAAGTTTTTAGTCAGCGCGGCGAGTTCCTGCGACGGGGGCGGGGCTTAATTTGAGGCGTGGTCGAGTGAGAGCCGTACCTTCGCGTCCACGTCGGGGCTGATTTTTTTAAAGTGCCTCATACGCGCGGTGTGGATGTCGAGGATCTGCACGCGGCCTTCCTCGTCGGGCAAGCTGATCTCCACCTGCACCTCGAGACGCCCGGGCCTCATCAACGCTTCGTCGATCATGTCTCGCCGGTTCGTCATGCCTACGGCCGACGATATACGCTTCTTTATCAACTTTAATCGATACCCAAAGCAGGAGGCGAACAAAAATTGCAAAAGTCGGACTGTGAAAATTGTGGAAACGTTCAGTAGCCATTTTTTGTTTGGCCATGCCCCTAATGTGGATGATGATCAAACGATTACGAATACTTTATTAATGTTACTATCCCAGATGATTTACATACGTTAAACAAAAAGGAATAAAATGACACATACTTAAAATGCACCTGCAAATACTCATCAAAAATAATAATAATACAGGAGATAAAAGCAAAAATTAAGACTGAATTCAGTAAAAAAAAAACGAGACTCCACAACTTAAAATGTGAATAACTTCAACTTGATGAAATCCTAAGCTGGAAATTATACAGTACTTGTGTTGTAATTGGGAGGGTACTATAGTATGAAACAATGACTGGATCTTTTTCTGAAGATTCTCCTCTTTTGCATCCCCAGGTGTAAGGCGTACCATATTTCCAAAGCTTAATGCACTGACAGCACCTTTTTTGGTTACATTTATTTAAAAAAAATCCAGAATTATTAAAAAAAAAATTATAATCATCTAGAATGTAGAAGAACAACATAAAAATCACCTAGAGTGTGAACAACTGCTTCTAATACCAGGAAGGGAAAATTGAAGGGAACGGCACCGAGGAGGAGGAGGATAGCAAGAACAGCGAGCCCACACTTTTTAGGTTATCTCCGTTGATTGATACGGGAGTCATAATTTATCATCAGATTTGGGAATTGTACAGATTCACGTTTAATCGTGTGTTTTTAATTCTGCATAAACTCATACTTATACTTATTTTCTGGAATTTCCAAATCGAAGTAAACGGTTTCCAATGAGATTGAATATCTATATTTTGCGATTTGATTATCTACTTTCGGAAAGAAAATATTTAAAATATCATAACATTTAAACGCAGAAAAGTCCACTCAACCCCCCACCCCCCCGGCAATTGTCGAACCAAGGTGAAAACAACCTATCAACGATTCCGTTTGTATTTTTTTCTCGGTCCCCGCCCCCTAAGGTTACAATTCACGTCACCTATGACCAGGATGTTGTTGAGCTGCTCGACACCGTCGATTTTCGACAGCAACTGGTTGACCACCGTGTCGTGGACTCCCGTGTTGCCCGCCACCGAGCCCCTCTGCTTGCAAATGGCGTCGATCTCGTCGAAGATGATGATGTGCAGGCCGCTGTTGGGCCCCGCCTGCGAAATTAAGTGTCACCCCCACCCTAATTTTACGTTTTTTTACATTTTCGAAAAAAAAAAAAAAGTTTAACACGCAAACGGTTGAATGTGTAGATTTAATTATTACATACCTAGGTGTAGTTTGCCTTCATTAAAATTCCTGTATATTATTTCGTAAAAGGAAAGGTCATTTAACACGTCACAGTTATTTTTTACATGCACCGTCATTGGTTTAATAATGAAGAACTTTTCTTGTTATTAAAAAAATAATAATAATTTAAAAAACATAACTTATATATACTAGAATATTTTTTTGGCGCATTAAACCCCACAACTTTTGTATTAAACAGAGTTTCATTCATTAATTTCTAAAAAATAAAATAAATAATAAAATAATAAAATAACCACCCCTCTAAATTTATTTTACATTTGCATTGCATTGCATTTACATACTTATTCATATACAAGGTGTACCAAGAAAGTATAGTAAATCAAAGTAAATTACAATATTGTCTTTAATATCGTGGAATAAAACAATTTATTTTCAAACAGTTTTTTCTTTATTAATTTATAAAAATAACGAGACAAAAAAGTTTATAACCAACATTGTAGGGTTTAATGTGTAGATTTAGCGTTACATACGTATTTATATACGAGGCGTGCGAAAAAAGCATAGGATGCCAAAATTATGTTTGCAGCATAAAAAATTGATTTTAAAATATTGTTCATTTCTAAAAAAAATTATAAATATCAAAATTGTTTTACCCGTTTCTCCTCCTCCTCGGCCTCCGCGAACAGCCTCCTCACGTTCGCCTCCGACTCGCCAACGTACTTATCCAAGATTTGGGGCCCGTTCACTATTTTCGGCTCCCTCGCGTTCAGCATTTTCCCAATTTGCCTGGCCATTAGGGTCTTGCCCGTACCCGGAGGACCGTACAGTAGGATGCCCTTTACGTGCTTGCAGCCCAACTGCTCGACTATTTCCGGGGGGAACACGCGGGACGCGAAAGCCCGTCGAAATATCGCGTTAAACTCGTTGCTCAGCCCCCCGATGCCCATCTTCTGGAAATCCCAGTCGGGATTTATGATCGACTGTCGAACTTGTTTCCTTAAAGAAAGGGCATAAATTGGAAAAAAAGAAAACTGAAGGACTAGCCGCTCACCCCTTCGATTTACCCACGAGATTGATACTGGAATTTTCGGCTTTTTCAAACTGTACCGTGGTGTTTGGAATGAGCTGGCCGATTCGGGCCTTTTTTGCTTTGGCGTCCCGGTTTTCCTTGATGGCGGAAATATTAGCAGCTAAAACATAAAATCAACACACGAACTCGAGACATCCACAGTTATTTTACCTTCCAAATCTTTGACGACGAGAAGCAGCAGCTTTTTATCCTTGAAAGCGAAAGCCAACTGCTGACCGACGGTAAATATCTGATTGGGAAACGACAACAAAAACTCTTTCGCCATTTCGTCGGTATCATATTGTTCTTGAGAAGTCCTAGAATACAACGAACTTTAACGGCTACAAAACGAATTAAGGCTTGTTACTAACACTTTTTTCTGCATATAGTCCACTTCGAGCACAACAGAGGATAGATATTCGTCAGGAGTGTAAGGCTCGACCCCGACCTCCTGATTGAGAGACAAAACCGCCCACTTTCTCTGCGGTAAACTAAACCCGACATGGTACCGCGGCACCCCCGGGTGAGTTTTCACGGAAAACACGAAATTTTGACCTCCGCCGGTGTTTATTCGGATGTGCCTGAAACGCAGGACCGTACGTTAATAAACTGAGTTAATTCTACTTCGCGCGTTTACTTCACTCCCGGAAAATCGTTGTCGTTAACGATCGCACAGTTGGTCAGGGATAATTCGTCGGTGGGACACTTGGTTACCTTGAAAACGGCCTGCAACATAGAAATTAGTTTATTTCAAAGGATTTCTTTTAAAAATACCATTATCAATTCGCGTTATATGGCGCAATGCAGACCCTCCGAATTCAAAATCAATAATCCGACAAGACTTCCATCTGACAGATGTTTTTTTGAAGTGTGGGAGGCGATATTATTGGTCAGAGATCTATGCAACAGCTGACGCCTTTAAATCTTCTAAAGGTGGATAAACTCATCAGTGTCGTTCGCCCAAAGTGTCGAATACCTCCAGTGTTCGGGTTTCTGATTTAGTGGTGTTGAATTTGCAACGCATACAAAAGAGGTTTTCTCTGGTTATCCCCAATTTTCTAACGACACCACTTACAGCACCACGAAACGCTAAAGTTGGTAGATGTTGGTAAAGGTGGTAGAAGTTCAGATTTTAAATTTTTGGCAGTCCATCTTGTAGTATTTTATACATATTTTTGTTCGACGAAATAAAAATTATCATTTTACCGACCGACACAAATATTTTGATCTCATACAACAATTCTGAAACTGATAAAGACAGCTAAGCTATTTTAATTTGTTCTTTTTTCAATATCAAATAACTTGTTGTTACAGAGGCCGTGCTGTTCCGCTCACTCCGCTCAACTCAAGAGCGAAGAGGAAGAAACGTTTCATGGTCAATGACATTCGCGTTCTGTATTTTGTGCAGGTGAAGAATGTTTTTTTTTTAATGTGGCTGTGATTCTTGTTCACCCCGTTAATACCGCAGAGTTGTTGATTTAATTGTTTTCCCGGAATTTTTGTTGAATTGTTAAATGTCGTGACTAGTGATGTTATGTAATGTGTTAAGTTTGGTTAGGATGAATCGAAAGTGTTTCGTTAAAAATCATGAAATTTCCTGAGCCTCGTTATTAATATGAGTGAAAGCGATAAAGCAACGGATTCTTCACAGTCCGCCGGCCAATCCAATTTGGTAACGTCGGCGGATCTGCACGCCAGTCAGTCGTCGTTGGCCAGTACATCTTCGAATGTCAGTAACGTGACCACCAAAAGCGGACTCAAACAGCCTAGCAAAATAGGAAGGTTATGTTCGGGGCAGCCCAAGCCGCCGGTACCCCGATCCCCAAGTACGTAAATAACATTCTAAGATTTTGGCCGGCCGCGAATTTTCAAACGGTTCGCGCGCCTCGAAGAAAATCCGAGTCGGCCTTGGACGCAACTGACGCGTTTTTTCTTTTGTTTCTGCACGCGTATCGGAAACGATTTTTTTCCACGATTTCAATGTTTAGTTAATACTTTCGACGTTTTTGTCGTTTGTTGTTCGTTGACGAAAAAATCGCGGATTGTCTTCGATAAAGCAAACGTCGTATTTTTCGAGAGGCCTGCTACGATCGAAACGTCACTGTCAATCGGATCAACCTTTATTTTAAACAGGGATCGATTTCGGTCCTTTGAATTGTCTCGGCGGATCGTGGGAGGCAAGCAATTTTCCCGACCCACTTCCCACCATTTACGCGCCTTTTGTGTAAACAATGTTCTCGAGTTTTGTATCCGCGACTTGTTATTCCACGGCGAGCGTCTCGATGTGTTGTTGTTTACGTTTCGACCGCAGTTTTCATTGGCAATTTACTCGACGCAGAAATGCACAACTTTGGTAAGTATAACGTGACGTAAGTAGCTGTCATTATTTTTTTGTTTTGTGCTCTTATCGAAATCCTGGCCTTTCGATAAATGGCGATACGGCGCAAGGCAAAGGCTTCGGGAACTTTCGGTTTCTACGTCGTTTCCGTAATTACGTGTAATTTGTTCCGCCGGTAATCGTGTAATGGTGTGTCTCGAACTATATCGTTTCGGCTTCGGCAGGCGGTCGTTATTGTAGCCAAAGTGTTTTAAAAATATAAAGGTTGATGATCATACAGGGTGTTTCAAAGCAAATACGAAAAACTTGAAATGGGTGGGCTTAAGAGAAATAGAAATGTGGTATATATGGGGGTTAAAATTCGACCAATAGGGAGATATCGCTTCGAACATGGCTGAAAAATAATGTTTTTATTTTAGCTAACCAAACCTGGCAAGGCTGGAACGATAAAATTCTTTTGAGTGTGCAGCGGTGTCGTCAGATTTACCACCGTTACTAAAACAATTCTTAACGTCTCGGCCTTTTGGACGGTTTTGAACTTACGACGTGTATCAGTGAAAATTTACCAGAATAGGAAATAGATACGTAAAGTGAAACATTGTAGGTCGTGTCTTTGGTTTTGGTTAGTTTTGGTTAAATTACGTCTAAATTTAGAAATCATAGCTACGCTTTTATAATCTTTGGCACTCACGTGCCCCTTCCAACTTAATAAAAGGTTTTAGATTTCACGAATTTTGAAAAATAATTTGTGTTGTGTTTCGTCGTATTCAAAAAACTATTAAGAAAAAATAATATAGAAAAAATTCACTTAAAACACTTAAGACATACAGAGCAATAGCAGAATACAATTTTTTAACAACCTAATCTTTGTGTCATATAACCTTCAAAGTGGATTTTTTATAGAGACACATGATTTCGTAATAATAATAATAATTCCATTTTGTATTCGTTTGGTGTTTTGCCAAAATAGCGGAAATATTATTTTGCTAATGTTAGTTTTTTATTTATTCCTATAAAGGGAATATATTTTTCTTCTAATCATATCCCGTTCACCATTGTCGCGACGGTGACATCGAAAATCCCAACGTTTATCATTTATTAAGCGTCCATACACGTTTTTCGAATTCCGCTGTGACGACATACTTCGAGATACACCATACCCGCGATGTTCTCAGGTGAGTTTTCCCGACGGATCGCTTTTTATCACCGCGACTACGTGACATCACCTTTGTCTATTTCTGGCCTCATTTACATTCGCTTTACATGTAAATGCGCTGCTCGTAAATCGTTCCTAAATAACGCTGTTTGTTCCGAGTCGTGTTTTCCGCCATAGAGGGATACGGACGGGTCACTTTGCGCCGCAACCTTTCGTCCGAGCGTTGCTTGGCTCCGGTCGAACGTAATTTTCCTCCGTTAAATGGTAAACGGATCACGAATATCGTTGTCGAAGGTCGATTCGAACTACCGCCTCGAGCGGCCGTTTTAAACGCTTCCCGACACACGTTTTGCTTTATTTTCTTCTCGAACGGCGATCTTCTCACCCATTAATAAGTTGTGGCGCCTATAATTCGACACGGTCCAAAAAAATACTGGAAATAATTATATCGCAAGTCTAGAAAGGTCAACCGATCCGATAAACTTTGGGGTTTAATTCGAACCCCTTCGTTTAGTGATCTCCGATAAAAGAAGATCTCCGATATGACAACACCGGAAAATACTTCAATTTATTTGGCGTTTGTACGTAATTTGTAAATAAACGGTATTATTCCGAATTTAATTTAATAAAAACAAAACTTACAAAACAGTTTAATATTTTTAAAGAAAGAGAGAAGAAGAAGGACGTTCCAAGGGATAATATTTTTTAACGGGGTTTTTGAGACTATCGACCACACGACACTCGTTTTGTTTGTAGTTCGTTTTTCTAATTGTAGTTTTATTTCGTGTGGCCCGGCATTGATTTTTGCCTGTTTTTAGCTCGTTAGCGTTACCTGCTCCAGTGGCGGCTCGTGGAAAAATTTTTTAGCTGTTCTTAATTTGCTATTATTTGTTCTTGGCAAACTTCGAGATGGAAGTTGCCCTCGAATATCGAAAAATTTGTGCTCGCAAAACAATATTTTTTTGCATTGCATAGCATAGAAAACATTATTGATTACAGAAATTCTTTATTTTAGGCAATTGTATCATAGTGTCGCGTTGTATATATGTACGAACACCCTATTAATCAAATATGATTTAAAATAAAATCGGTTATATTGTTATTATGATTTAAGAATAATACTTGAATTATAGTTACCAAATATTTGTACACAAATATTCAAGACCTAAAATACAGCTTTGAAAAACATGTAGTATTAATATATAATATAATATATAAAAATAAAAGATCACAATCAAAAAATGAAGGTAGACTCTCTGACTAGACTAACGGTTGATTTTCCCTACATAAACCACACTGGTATTGACCAATTATATTCTTTGTTTGTTCTTTTAATTTATTTTTTTCATGAATGTGGATAAAAGCTGCATTTAGAAGTATTATTTCACTGAAATTTCCGTATCTTATCGTATCGATCTTAGGTATGAACTTAAAGCATTAAAATTATTACAAAAAAACATTGTACGCCTCTCGTGCGTATCTAAAAAATATATGATCAGTATGATAAGTACATATGTAAATATTTTTATTTTCATTTTATTTTAATATCCAATTTTTTATTAGTTTATTAAGCATAGATTATTTATATATAAATGCAATATATCCTTAACATACAGTTCTGTATAGAGGACACTATAGTTACGAGCGAAGCGAGTGTCTAAAAAATATATGATCAGAACTAACTAAATTTGTTTTTTTTTATTTACATTTCATTTCAATATCCAACTTCTTTTTAGTTCATTAGGCATATACTACTTATATATAAGTACAATATATTCTTAATTAACATACAATACTCTATAACAAACAGTTTAGTCACGAGCGCAGCGAATATCTGAAAAAATGTATACGATCAGATCTACTTAAATATATAAACATTTTTATTTACATTTCATTTTAATATCCAATTTCTTATTAGTTTATTCAGCATGGATTATTTATATATAAATACAATATATCCTTAATTAGCATACAATACTCATAACAAAGAGTTTAGTCACGAGCGGAGCGAATATCTGAAAAAATATATATGATCAGAACTAATTAAATATATACATTTTTCTTTACATTTCATTTTAATTTGCAATTTTTTAGTAGTTCATTAAGAATAAATTAATTATATATAAATATAGTATATCCAACACTTTAGTCATGAGCGAAGCAAGTGCCTAAAATAACGTATAACCAACCGCAATCAGATATTCAAATATTTTTTTTCAATTTTATTTACATCTTGAATATTTTATTTATATTTATATTGTTATTTTTTATGAAATTCATTTTTTTCCGGGATATACTCGTTGATACTCATTACTGTTTTGTTCGCGTCTCATTTTATTAAAGTTTTGTGGCCACTACGCCAGCATCGCGAGATCGGATACGGGCCGTTATCGCGTGGGTTACAGCGTAAAATTTTGATCCGAGCGAGTATAAAAAAAGGGACAAAAAATCGTCGACAAGTGCGCGCAGGTGACTTCGACGCGCGCGTAGGCCAGCAACGTCGTGGGACGGTTTTTCATCAACCAGCGTAAATAAACAAACGAAAACGTCACGTGGCGGAAATAGTCTCGTAATTATTTCACTCGAAAATGCTGTATTTTTACTCGAGACTCAGAATGAAAAACCGGTAAAAAAAGGTGTTTCAGAAGTGAGGTTATATTACAACATTGTATTTTTAACTAATCATTCTTCCATAAAATGGGTCCTTCTTTTTGGTTAAAATAGAATATGCTAAGTTTCTTATTTTAAGTAGAACACCCGGTATATCATTTCATGGTAGTAAATAAAGTTTGGAACTTTGTCTGTTTCAGAATGTAACCAATACGTAAAACTCTCATTTCTACATGAACCTTTTCCGTTTCTCTGGCGTCTTCTTTTTACATCACTTTTTACAATTTTGCTTATTAAAGTCTCCTAAGTTCCAAAACATTTCGAAAATACGTTTTCTTTCTGTTTCATTTAAACCTTTCGAGCAGTGTTTTCGGCATTGGCAATCTTCATTTTGGAAAACTTTGGAGGGAATAATTTTTCCGGATTGCGCATCGTATCTTTTCCCTGAATTCCGTTTTTTTCTGAATATAAGTACCACTTCTGTGTTCTCCGAATGCTTCTTTGAAGGTGCCGTTTCGTAAATTCTCAATTTCAATTTAATATCAAAACGTAATTTAAATTACGGCTCATTTTTTAGTATTTATAGTATATGCAGAATGTTAAAGTACATTCATACCTGCTTCGACTGTTTTCTCTATAAACGTCAGAAATAATCGACGAAATACGTAAAAAAGTTGGAACCCAAGAATGTCGAAATACAAAATGCTGAAGTTTTCTGTTTTTAACTGATAATAAAAAATGTCAGTGACGGGGTTGTAATAGAAAACATCGGATGATTTTAACGGGATTAAACATGTCCGATTTCCGCAGCTAGCGGCGGTACGTTCTCGTCTTTGGACACCCTGTGGGAATTGCAGCCTCACCGTCTGAGCGAGGCCGGACTCAGTCGCCATTCAGGTATTTCGCGACCATTTAAAAAAAATAATACGTAACTGCCGCCGTAGAACCGACTAAAACGTAATACCCGGGACAAGGTAAAACTTAACCAAGGCGATAACAACCGTAACAGTGTAATAAGCCGTTTCCTTTATACGCGACGTAGACGACATCAAGCTGCTTCGAAGTCGTGACATGAATGAGAGCAACAGAAAAATGTCTAACCGTACATTAACATTAGTCTTTTTTTATTTTAACATTGAAACAAAAAACGCTTTGGACATAAAAAGTCCGATTTAAATAAAAATGTTATTGAATTTTCTGCATCGTTGTCGTCGATATTTGCCACTTTTATTTATTCTTAAATTTCTAATAATAAATCTTTTTTGCAGATGGTTCCAGGAAATTAATTAAGTAGCAAAAAATAAACGATATCCGTGTGTCCCAACTTGTTTTGTTTTCGACGTATATAAAATATATGTTTTGTTTTTTTTAATAGTTACTCAAATATCTGATAAGACTGATTCTTATTGTTGTTTTGAACATTTTGTTTTCTTTTTTAAATCGAGATTTCCTTTTTTTTTTCATTTACAAAAAATTTAAAATTGAATGTTGATTGTTTTGTTGTTAAGTATTTTAGAATAAATACCCAAAATCAAGACCTTTGTTACGCCGAATAATCCTACTAGATTGGCTAAAAAAAAAAACAGACTTGGTGAATGTAGGTATCCTTAAAACCTTTATGCTGGATTCCCAAAACTCCGCTGTATATTCCATTCGATCTACACAATTGAAAGTTAGGAAACAAACGCAGGAATATTTGTTCATTGGTGTTCGTGATTCGTCAGATGATTTTATGAAAAACGTTTGGCAACGTTGTTTCTAGTGTGAAGGGTTTCTAGCTATAACCAAATCGACTTTATTGATAAAAATGTACGCCGCTGCTTTTAATTCAATTCCCCCTGAGATAGAGCGATCAAATGTACTAGTTTTTCCCGTATCCTGCTTCGTTTGCGAGATAAAAAATCGAAACTATTTCATTATCATGTAGCCCCTTCCCCTCCCGAATGCCGCTGATCAATGGGCCCCTCATCACTAGAAACAACGCTGCCGTATTTGAAACAAGATATTTAAATTTATTAAAAAGAAAACACCCCGTATATGCTAGAAGTTTCGTGGACTGTCTTTGGCAGTGTCCCACGCTAACGTAAGACGTAGGAAACAGGGGGTTTAATACGTTTCAGGTTCGCACTCGATTCTGACCGAAGACACCGACAGTTTCATAATAGGCGAGAGGATTTGGGTGGGGGGCACGAAACCCGGCCATATTGCCTTCATCGGGGAGACCCAGTTCGCGCCCGGAGAATGGGCTGGAGTAGCCCTCGACGAGGCTATAGGTACGCAAAAACCGTGCCCTAGTATGAAGGCCCCACGGAAACGACAAATGATAACCATAAAATTTATCCAAGAACTGTACTGATAAGATTGCTTGCCTGCAGCCGATTAAAAAAAAATCCTGAGAGGATAAAATTAGTAGGCTTCCCGAACCTCACTTTAACTTGCTGACGTTTCGCCAATCATCCTGTCGGCTTCTTCAGAGCTTGACTGAAACTGGCTCGCGTTTTACTCTGTACATGCTTTTTTATATTATTTGAAGGGGACGGGGCTAAAGCCCATATTTCCATCCTAATCCATATTTCCCAATCGGGTTAAGATCAGTGCTGGTTGCTGGCCAATGCATAGGTATAATTCCAACCTCGTTATCTTGCAGAAAAGAAATTGCAGGATTTCCCTTATGTGAACTGGCTGTCCATCAAATTATCTTTTATACGAGATGTGTTCAAAAAGTAATGTAAGTTTCACCAAGAAGTATTTATTCATCTAAATTCATGTTAATTCCCCAATCCAAGCCTTCTTTCTGGGTTTCTTGAGTTTTGGGATCAGAAAAAAGTCGCAGGGGGCCACCTACGAGTGAGCCGGTGATTCAAATACAGTTGAAGAGTAGTGGGGAAAAAAGATGAGGGTCCCTTGTTGGCCCAAATAAGACGGACAGTTATTTCGTATAATATATCGGCTATATAATACTATTCACCTATAAGAAATGGCTAGAAAGATAACAGTGCAAAGATAAGCAGAATTTAAAATGTATACTGTATCAAAGCGTTCCAGACCTAACCGACTGTATAGGGAATTGACACATTATATGTTTTAGAGTAAAAAGTCTCACTATGGCTTGGCTAAAACAACAAAGGTTTATTTACCTGCTGAGCTCAATATTCAGAAAATGTGCTCAATGAAAAATATCCTGAAAAATTAGTTTCTTATGAAAAATATGGAGAAATATTCAACACCAAGTTTAATATTGCTCTTCGGTACCCACGATACCCGTTGTAGATAATCAAAGTGCAGATGGTCATCGTTACACACAGCAAGCTTGTACTTATGTACTTAAGTTTCAGAAAAAAAAAGGTGCTGATGATGTTTCTTCACTGTCTTGGGATTACATTTTTGACCATCTGGATTTTGATGTCAAGAAGCTTAAAATATGTGGGCAAAATCAAAATTTCACGGTGTTTAGAATGTTACATTATATTGTTCATTTTGTTAAAAGACTTGACGCCCTTTTGAAGTTATTTCTGGTGAAGATCAATCCATTCTTAAGAGTTGGACCAAATTTTTAGGGGATATCTATATATATACCCAAGTGTCCTTTTCCTTCAAAACCGGTCAAAGAATTAACTGTAATCGAAAATCACCTCGTAAAACAGAAAAGAAAAAGACTTTCGCTACCTGAAAAGTGTTTTTTGCTTCCAACTTACCTGTATCTAAAACAAAATTTCAAGACGTACAGCATCTAAAAAGATTCTGTTCTCAAAAAACGCAGGATTTCTTTTTACATTGATAAGATTGTGGACCTTCATCTTTATTGCCATTTTCTTTTGCATTGGAACCGAAGTTTCTTTTTAAACTTTTTTATTGACAATTTATATATTTTTTGTTGTATTTTAGTTCAAGTTAGCAATAATATTATAGAGTAGTGTTCGTAATTAAGCTTTTTCAAAACTCATCTTTTGTCCCCGGTACTCTTCCATTCGTAATCAGTTATTAAGTTGGTCGGCCATCTTGGAACAGGTTGTACCACTTGTGAACATTGTTTTTTGCTCAAAGTAGATGCCGCTGTGAATATTTCAAATGTTTGGCAGCGCTGTAGTCCATTTTTTACACAGAAATTCTTTATTCTGTCTCGCAAAAAAAAAATACAAGAAAATTCAGTTCACTTCCGTTTCATTTGTTCGGGCCCGTTTCCCCCACGGTTTAGAAATGGTCGGGCTTTCGCTCATGACGTCACCGCTTGGATAAATCCGATTTGTCGTTTCTGTGGGCGGTTTATTATTATTCGGTGACGCTCGTGCGGGTTGTAGGGAAAAACGACGGCTCGGTCGGTGGCATTCGGTACTTCCAATGCGAGCCGAAAAAGGGCGTGTTTTCCCGACTGACTCGTTTGACTCGCGTCCCGTTGACGCTTGACGTCACGGGCTCGGGCGACACGTACGTCGCTTCCTCGCCCCAAGGTCGCAGCGCTTCCCATTCGCCGATGTCGCCCACCGATAGTCGCAGGAGTTTGAGGTCGCCCGTCTCTATAGGTAAAGTCTGTTCATAGATATAAGAAAGTGACTAACTGATAAAAAATAAGGAAAGACCCGGGCAAGCTTTAAGAATGAAATATGGCCGAGCAGATCCGTACTTTGCTTACAATTTAATTATTTGGGGTTTTGTTAGGAAAGATACTAAACAATATTTATTTATGTTTAAATCTAAAATAAAACTACAAATTATTTTTATTACCTACTTAAATTACTGAAAATTATTCACATAATATATCAGTATCGCCATCGCTATCACCGCCTGTTCTAATTATTATTTGTTCTATATTATTTGCAATGTGGATATACGATTCTTCTTTTTCTATATTTTTAACAGAATTTGCCCAACTTTGCGGAGGGATGTTAAAAACTTCGGTTTCTATAAGTTTTAGTCAACTGTCTACTGTGATAACTTGCATTGTCCATTACAATGACGCTATTAGGAGGAATGTTTGGAACTAGTTTGTTTTTAAGCCAACTTTCAAATAAATTAGCGGTGGTGTCTTCATGGTAATCCAGAGAAGAATCTTTAATATTTTTCGCAGACAGAAAGTCCATTTGGAATCCAACCATCTTTGGAGCCAGCAGGCAAAATAGTTATTCTTTTACCTCTTTTTGATGGCGCGTTTGTTTTACACTTATCAGTTGAGTCAACCCAACCCTTTTCCGGGGTATCATAAGTGTCGAACCAGGTTTCATCCAAGTAAATAATTGGCTTTTGTTGTTCTCTGTAAATCCTAATTTTTTCTATATATTCCAGTCGCCATTTCCGAATTCTAAAAGATTCCATTAAAACTTGCCTTTTGTCAATTTTTTTAAATCTAAAGCCCATGTGTTGAGAGATACACATAGACTCGCACATATTTTGTATAATTCGCACACGATTCAACGCATGCTGTATTATACACGAAATAAGAATGATTACTAATTAACTTAAACTAAATAGTATACCAAACCAAAGAATCTTAAACACAGGCAGGCATAAAATTATTTTCTATTACGGCCCACAATTTTGCCTGAATTTAAATTCCGAAACTTTAGGTAGTAATCTTGTTGCATTGTATGTTAATTACCGCCCTTGGATAGTCCCATTCAAAAGCAATATCTATGAACATCCAAAATATTGGGTTGATATTTCTAATAGTAAAAAAGATGTTTTTGAGATAATAACTAACATTGCGTATAAATGATAGCTAGTTGGAAAACGCTGGAAAGAATTACGGAAACTTTTACTATTCTATCGAAAATATTTCACAAAAAATCGTTTATTAGAAGGGAAATGGAATCAATCAATGGCGATCCGGGACATCTCCACGATGCTCAACGGGGTTCAAGTCTGGCGATCGAGACGACCATTGAAACTGTTCATATTTCCGCTTTTAGAAATATTTCATTTAATTTAAAATTTTGCTTCTGAAGTCAGAGAAGAAGTAACGGCAACTAGGATTGATAAATAACTATTTTTGCATGGTATTTGCACTACAGAATTAAGACGGAATAATTTAGAACAAAAATTATTAAAAGTTTCCCCTTATCGCAAAAAAAAAAAAACAAAAGTTTCCCTACTTTTTTCCACCCATTAACTTCGCAGGCTCTTTACCCTATTCCTCTATGCATCTATCCTACTTTACAAGGCTGCGTAACGCTAATGTTAGAGTCATCACATTAGGGACGGCCGGATGTCTGATTTCATGAAAGGGGATAAAAATACACATTTCAATTGCTTCTTGTTATTTAAATTTTATAGGGTTTAAAACGAAAATCTATTTATCAAAACAAATAAGAACTAAAAGTTCAGATTTTTGTTACATTTGATAAAGACACGGTAATTCCGTGAAAATCTGAACTTTTACTTCTTATTTATTTTTCTTGAAACATGTACATAAAAAATTTAGTACAAAGTAAGTAATTTTTGTGTCACTCGTTTTTATTGCTGCTCCTACTTCCCCTTCTGGAGTTCTTATAAAATTGCTGACATAGTTTGTCGTCTAAATTATCATCAGGTTCGACTACCATTTCCACTACGTCTTCAAATTCTGCGTTGTTTTCCATGTCTTCTTCTAACAGGGGAACATCTGCTTCATTCCACATTTTAAATTGTTAAAAAAACCGGCACCTTCACAAAATGTTTAATTGTAAGATTCTAATCAATATTTATTCTTCTGTATTCTGTAGACTGTTGCTATTTATAATCGAAGACACACAAGACAAAAATGACAAGTTTCAGCCTTACCTGTATGATAAATAGAGTACCCTACCTACCCTTTGAACTATGCAGTGAAAACAGCCTTTTAAGATCAAAGCTCGAGAAACAGGTACATAAATACGTACTTACTACCTCCACAATATATTCCAATTTTAAACTCATAAGAACGATACATATCACCCGATGGTAAAATAAACGCTTCTACTTATTCGAAAATACCCCGCTTTCACTTGCAAGTTTCTACAAATATTCGTTATGATCCGTCTCAGGCAAGACCTACCTAATGCATAATAAACATCTGTCGGGATGGGTTTTACCACTGCGGTTAAGGTACCGCAAAATACTTAAAACGTAAAAAGTGGTTTGCGCTCTGCCGTTTTCCGCCTCGACGTAGAGGTCGCTAGTGATCGTTACCATAGAACAAAACACTCCGGGTCGTTTGTAGGCGGATCGACGTCGAGCCTGTCGCCTGCTCCGGTGATAGACTACAAAATCGGCGACCGGGTGATCATAAAAAGCGGCCAGGGCTCCAAGGTGGGCACGGTGCGCTTTATGGGGCTGACGGAATTCGCGGGCGGCGAGTGGGTGGGCGTGGAGTTGGACGAACCTCGAGGCAAGAACGACGGTTCCGTCAACGGCGTGAGGTACTTCGAGTGCCAGCCGAATTTCGGTTTGTTCGCGCCGATCGCCAAGGTCAGCAAGTCGCCGTCCAAGGTCAAGCCGGCAGCGTGTCAACTGCATTCCGGACTGAGGAGGTCCGGATCGAGGGAATCGATGACCTCGAACCTCAGTTCGGTGTCGACGGCGGGTCGCAGACGGACCACGCTCGGTATCAATTCGGTCGCCTCCAAGGTACGGAAAGAGGCGTAAAATTAATACTCCAGTAACGGATAAATATCACTATCATTATCACCTTCATCATCAATCAATCATATTTTCATTGCTGCCCGTGTTGTTCTTATTGTAGAGCTTGCGCTTCAGAGATATAGGAGATCAGGCTTAAATGGATCTCGCATTAAATTTGTACTGCTTTAGAGATATCTAATTAGGTGTATAACTCTTGTTGGGATATTAATAAAGAAGCCTACTCCCCCCATCAATATTTCATCTCCTTTGAAGCGTCTACCTCAGAAATAATAATTTTATGTATTTTAGCCGGTGATGCCTTCCATTGGACCTTTGGAATCTATGGTCTTCTTCTTCTTCCGTTGCATTTTGGACTTCCTGTTGCCATGACCCGTTGGTCATGGCCATACTGTCTTTTCTACCAGCTTCAAGTTTCTTTTCCACTGATTTAACCACAAAAGAAAGAAAAAGTACTGGTCTTATAATGCACAGGTGTGTTTCTTTGTTATTCCCTTAATCCTAGAGTTTCAGTTCGTCATCATTCATTTATATTTGATAGTGTAGATGGTGCTTGAGGTTTTTGCTTCGTTTTTGTTATCTTTTCACAAATAGTCCTGTTGATATTACTGGTAACGCAGGATGCACTTCCTATCGTAAGTCGTTAGGTCAAACCCATTTAACCCATTAACCTCAACAGCCTGAAGCTAGTCTCTTTATTTTGGCTTTTCATTCATAAACTGGCTTTAAATATGCCGGATGCGATTTTTAAGAAATGAACCATATAAAATTTTATACAAAACAACCATGGATGAGAACGCAGAATTTAAAATTCTCGATTTATTGCCACGTCGGGGTAGACCTAAAAAATTTGGGAATATTGTATTGCCATCGTTATATGAAAGTATAAGAAGCATCACATCACTAAAATAGCGACACATTGCTTATTGCGGTGTATACCTCCGGAACCACTTCAAATCACTCCTGCATACTGAGAATGTTAACTAATAACTTGTTACTGAATTTATTTCCATTATATAGAAATATGATTTAAATGTTTTTTTTTTATTTTTTAAACTATATGTAACGGACTTAAGCTCTTTAACTGTTTGTAACAAAAAAAAAATATTTTGAAAGTGACGTAGGTCCTTTTAAGGCAAGCAAGGTCATGTTATATACTTAATAATAGCGACTTTTTAATAGGATACATAAAATTAAATCAACCTCAAGTATTTCAAATGAAAGATAAATGGACTTAAGTCACTTTCAAAATGAACGGCTCATATAACAGGTTGATTGTTTAAGTTTGGTCTAGGTTTAGTTGATATTACTATATGAAAACCGCATCAAAAGATTTTTTAAGATTTTTGAAGAGTCGATTGATTACACTTCTCTTTTGTTTGTTGGAAGGTGCCTCCAGGTCAGGCGGGTAGCTCGGTCACTGCCAGGACAACAGTTTTGCAGGTAACTTACTGAGGAACGCCCCTCCCCTCTTTACGAGTCCTAACCGGCATAATACGCGAGCCATCTTAAATCTTGCTACTTTCCTAATACCAGCGTAATGTGATCGTTCCCATTGTACCCCTAACACTATTAGGTTTTTAATAAAGTATTTTCTTAGTAATATTGCGTTATTTATTTTTTCTTCACTTCCTAAAACAAGAAATTATCTCCCAAAAAGAATTTGAAGATAAGTCGATAAAGAAGGAACTGTTACCTATACCCAAGAACCTAGTGTAGCTGCACTGCAACGAAAGACCATCAAGTTACTGTCTGATGGAGACATTGAGGAAGCATCTCAATAAACGATGCACCACTACTTCTACTTGGGCAGACAAATCAACAGCTCGGCCTTACCACTTTAAAAGAAGGATAGAAGTCGTTGGTATTATCCAGAATAAACAACCCACGCCTAGTCTCCTTACTCCTTACTTGACGGAAATGTTCTCGATGTATTGTTTGTATAGTGACTAATAAAAGATGTGGATATCTTTATTCTATTGAATTGAAATTTTCTCCTTTTTGCTCCTTCGGCGATTGGATAACAATAACCAAAATCCATGAATTGATCTACCTTCTAATGGAAAAAAATGAAAATTTAAATGGCAATGGTTGAAGGTTGGGCCGCCCTATAGACAAAACCGGCGCACCAACCAATAAATTGGAAATAATTTGCTGGGATTTTGATGTTTTTTTTTTTAATTATCAATTTTGTCCCATCTAATCGAGCATGCAACCTATTGAACAAGGGGCCACGGTGAAGAACTGCAAAATACGTAGAAGAGATTTGACAGTAAAATATCAGAATTCTGTGTGCCCCTCTTTAGAAGGGTTATGCTTTTTAGCAGTGACTTCCATACACCCAATAAAAGATCTGATTTTCTATTGATAGGAATATCTAAGATGGGAGATTATTATTAGTTCCTAATTTAAACGTAAAACGTATGTTAGGGTGTATACAGTGTGTCCAAGATAAGGATGCACAGCATGGGGATCTCGGAAACTATAAGAGATACAGTGTCGTTTAAATTAGACAAAAGTTGCGCATTTTGATACCGAACAAGATCCCGTTTTACAAATTTGAAAATTCCAAGCCGTTCCGGAAATATCCGAGAAAAACCGAAATATTGCGATTTCGTTTTTATTATTTTTTAAAGCTATTTGAAAAGATATGAAAAAACGGAAAACACTTTTCCATTGGCACTTTTTAATCTCTTCAAATTGACGTTAACAAATTTTCATTACAGCGTTTCGATTCCATGGAATCACCATCAACTTTGATTTTTCTTATGGGACGGAAAAAAAGTACACACAGTATTAGGTTGTGCTTTTCATTGCGAATTCAACGATGTACGATACAATACGGTTACTTATGTTTTTATCCAGAAAAATGGCTTTTTAATACATTTCTAGTATTTTATTGTAGTAGGCCATGAGATCCGAACGATGAAAGGCAAAAGAAAATGGTTGACAAGTTCGAGTTAATGTGTTTATTTATTTACTAACTCTAACTGTTCATTTAACATAACAACTAAATCCAACAAGTTAATGAAAAACAAATTCTATAACAAATGTTCGAATAAATGACCTCCATTTTCTAGGCATAAGTACGCCCGTCTCACGGTAGACTCCAAAACACGACTTAACATTTCAGGAGTAATTTTATTAAACGCTGCTCGTACTGATTGACGTAATTGTTCCTCGTTGTCAAAACATTCTTTGAATACCTCATTTTTTATGTTGCCCCATAAGAAAAAGTCCAAGGGAGTTAAGTCCGGGGACCTTGGAGGCCAAGGTGTTTCACTGTAAGTCCCAATGTATTTTCCATCAAACCGTTCAGTTAAATATTGGCGAACTTCTCTGGAGTTATGGGCTGGGGCACCATCTTGTTGGAACCAGCAGCCTTGCACAGCGCCTAGCGGTAAATCATCTAAGGCATCTTCTAAATCGTGCCTCAAGATGTCAAGGTACCGCTCGGAAGTTAAGGAATTATTATAGAAAATAGGGCCTATAATCTTGCTACCAAAAATCCCACACCAAATATTAAACCCAAAGCGAACTTGATGTCTGGATAGTCTATTAACACGTGGATTTTGTTGCGACCAATAGTGTGTATTGCGCCTGTTATAAATACCGTTATTGGTCACCATACTTTCATCAGACCAAATCACTTTATATGGAAAATTAAAACTCTCATCACACATCCTGGTATACCACTCACAAAAATGTCTACGTCGTTCGTCGTCACCCGGTTTTAATCCTTGACATATTCTGAATTTGTAAGGCTTAAATTCATTTTTCCTTAAAATAAACTGAGCTGTAGATTTAGCTACCCCATTCTGGTCTTCAATTTCTCTGGTAGAAGTTTGTGGATTTTCGATAACAGATTGTAGAACAATGTATTGGTTTTCTTCATTGGAAGGTTTTTGTCGGGATAATGCAGGCTTCTTAAATGATCCATATTCTTTCAGATTAAATAACAAACGCCGAAAAATACTCTTGTCAGGTTGTCTCCGCTCTGGGTATTTGTTAGAATACATACGCTCGGCTTCCACACAATTTCTTTGGCATCAGATGTAGCAAGACAGCATATCACATTTTTCTTCGTTTGTAAAATTACCTCCCTCCATTGTAGAACAAAATAAATTAGAAAAAGACAACAACAATAAAAATACAAAAACAATAACTAAAGGAATAAACTTATGATCGACTGATAACAAAGACAAATAACATTAATGTGTCATTGAAATTGACTGGATGTCATTTTGTCATGGCCTACTCCATTTAAATGCTGAAATGTATTAAAAATCCATTTTTCTGGATAAAAACATAAGTAACCATATTGTATCGTACATCGTTGAATTCGCAATGAAAAGCACAACCTAATACTGTGTGTACTTTTTTTCCGTCCCATAAGAAAAATCAAAGTTGATGGTCGTTCCATGGAATCGAAACGCTGTAATGAAAATTTGTTAACGTCAATTTGGAGAGATTAAAAAGTGCCAATGGAAAAGTGTTTTCCGTTTTTTCATATCTTTTCAAATAGCTTTAAAAAATAATAAAAACGAAATCGCAATATTTCGGTTTTTCTCGGATATTTCCGGAACGGCTTGGAATTTTCAAATTTGTAAAACGGGATCTTGTTCGGTATCAAAATGCGCAACTTTTGTCTAATTTAACCGACACTGTATCTCTTATAGTTTCCGAGATCCCCATGCTGTGCATCCTTATCTTGGACACACTGTATAGTTTAAATGGCTGGGAAAACCTTGGCATTCTTGACCATGGCGTCAGATGGCAAGGGTACCATCAACGCAGCGTTGGTCAAAATTTGACGGTTGTAAGAAAAATATGTCCCAGACAAGCATTTTTCAATTAAGATGAGAAGCTTTGGTTCCAGATTCTCGGATTTTAATATATCTGAAACAATGTCTAGCAATGAAAGAAGTTAAGTACGAAACTGTCAGTTTTCCCCGTAATATCATAGCTAGATATGTTACTAGAGAATATGTTGGAGAACACCAGAAGTTTATATATCACACTGATATAAATTTTTGAAATAACTGACAAGAGTAGTACTCTCACACTTTTCTACTTTCCAGTCGCTCGTCACTAGCCACTAACCTTGAAATATTTCAGCGTGTAGCCGCCATTTTACAATCAAAATCCGCGTCTTCATTTTCTTCTTCTAATCTTGTTGATTAACATTAACTATTATGCCGGAACTCGTAGAGGGGTATTGGGGGTAACCATAATCTTGACCTCTTGACCTCTCGTTGAAGCAACACATCGAGCAGCTCCTCAGAGAGAGAGACCTCGAGAGGAGTCAGGTGACGAAAGCGGCCCGCCAAGCTGAAGAAGTCGAGCAGCGTCATCTGGCGTTGAAAGCGGAATTCGACAAGGTAGTTGCGGTTTTGCGCGCAGGCGCGCTTTGACTTCCTTTCGCTTTGCAGCATCGGGCGGAATGCGAGGCTACGCTGCGCGAACTGTCTGCGCAGCTGGAGGACGAGAAGAGGAAGAGTGAGGACTGGCAGTTCAAATTTGAGGAGGCGGCCATCGCCAAGACCGACTTGGAGGTGGGCGGGACTCGAAACCGTATCGGGGGCGGAACTTTTAGCGATTTTCCAGGTACTGAACGAGAGCCTGACGCGAAGCGTGCGCGAATTAGAGGTCGTCCTGGCGTCGGAACGCGAAAAGGGGGCGGAGCTGGAAATCGGCAACGTCGCGTCGTCCGAAGCTTCGGTTCGGGCGATGGCGGAAATCGCCGAACTTAAACGACAGCTGGAGGAGGCCGCAAGTCGACAGGAAAATGCGGCCGCCACAACGGCAGGTATTTTTTTTCTCGACCGATAGGCACGATTTTCTTTTTTTTTTTTTTCAATGTGTGAAATTTATTTTAACGGCGCAACCTTGCTGACCTCGTTTTTTTATTATTTGTGTGGATATACAAATTATTCCCATAACAAGGATCTTTAAAAGTTAATTAAGAAATTATTATATACAGAGGAAATGATTGAAAACGTGAAATACAGAGGAAATTATTAAAAACGCAAAAGACAGAGGAAATTCTTACAATTCTTACAAATTTTGTTGCAAACGCATCAAGAGTTTTTGATGATTTGGCATGAGGTATAAAGCCTGATAATAACTAACCAAAACTATATTCTTAGTATCCAGATAGGTTAGTAAACTATTTATATATTTATACCCACACTGTAGCTTAGTTAAAGTTAGTTTTCTTGACATCAGACCTCTAAACACCGCCTATTAAAACACCAAAATAAATAGTATATGTTAAAACAGCAAAACATTTTGTAATTCGGGTAAGCGTACGTAGCGATCGGAATTTCCCGCCTCAGATTTCAGCTTAACGTTTCATATTCGATTTTTGAAATAGCTCTGATAGAGTCGCTGCGTTGCGAAAAACAAAGCGCGGAGGCCGCTTCGAGCGAACTGAGGGCGAGTTTAGACAAAATGACCCACCAGCTGAAGGCTCACGAGGGAAAAGACGAACTCCTCCAGGACCTACGTGAACGACTCGCGGAAATGGTTCAGGAGTCTGCGGAGCTCAACAAGAAGCTGGTGAAGATGTCGTTGGAGAAGGAATCCTCGGAGTTGGAGCTGCGCGGTAAAATAGAGGCTCTCGAAAAAAAGAGTCGAATCGTCGACGAGCTCCAGGGCGAGCTGGAGGCGAAGCGGCAGGAACTGGAGCGCGTCGCGCAGGTCAAGGAAGAAGAGGTCAGCGCGAAAGATCGCGAAATCGAAGATCTGACCGCGCAGCTGCGGTCCGCGCAAAAAGATCTTGAGGTCGTCTCCAAAAACGTCGGCGACCGGGAGTCGAACCTCCAAACGGAACTGGAGAAAGCTAGGGAGTCGTTGAGAGCGACGGCGGCGGAACTGGAGAGTGCGAACGGTAGATTTGTAAACATGGACGTCGAACTGCGGGAGAAAGATGAAGAAGTTGGAGATTTGAGGATGCAACTCGAGGCTTTGCACGCACAACTGGAGCTTCTCAAAACAGAGCTGACCGATGCGAAGGTGTCGCTGACGGTAAAGATGGCGGAGCTAGATAGCTCGAACGTTCGCAATCTGGACCTCGACACCAAACTCAAAGAAAAAGATGAGAAAATTGAGATTTTGAGGGCGGATTTCGAAAATAAACTGGGATCGCTCAAGGCAGAGTTGGACGGTGCTAGAGATTCGTTGGCGGCAAATATGGCCGAACTAGATAGCGCGAATGCTCGAACTGCGGATATCGACTCGAAACTTTTAGGAAAAGACAAGGAAATTGGGGATTTGAGGATGCAGTTGGAAAGAGAAGCGACCAGAAGCAATGAGCTCCTACAAACAGCGAGCGAAGAGCTAGAGAGGCTCAAAGCGGAGCTAAACGACGTTAGAAAGTCATTGGCGACAAAGGTGGCCGAACTAGATAGCTCGAACGTTCGTAATCTGGACCTCGACACCAGACTCAAAGAAAAAGATGAGAAAATTGAGATTTTGAGGGCGGATTCGGAAGGAGAACTAGGGAGGCTCAAAGCAGAGCTGAACGACACTAGAGAATTGTTGGCGGCAAAGATAACCGAACTAGGTAGCTCGAATGCTCGAATTGCCGATGTCGACTCCAAACTTCTAGGAAAAGAGAAGGAAATTGAGGATTTGAGGATGCAGTTGGAAAGAGAAGCGACCAGAAGCAATGGGCAAATAGAAACTGCGAGCGAAGAACTAAAGAGGCTCGAAACCGAGCTGAACGGCGCTAGAGAGTCGTTGGAGGCGAAGATGGTCGAATTGGAGAGTTCGAATACTCGAAACCTGGATTTTGACGTTAAACTTCGAGAGAAAGACAGGGAAATTGAAAATTTGAGAGTTCGGTTGGAATGTGAGACAAGCAGGCAACTAGAAACTGCAGACGAAGAACTAGGGAGGCTCAAAGCCGAGCTGAACAACGCTAGGGAGTTATTAGAAGCCAAAATGGCGGAACTAGACATCTCAAATATTCGAATTGCCGATGTAGATACTACACTTAGAGGAAAAGAAAAGGAAATTGAGGATTTGAGGATGCAGCTGGAAAGAGAGTCGACCAGAGGCGAGGAACAGACCAGCGTGCATCAGAAGAACATTGAGGATCTGACTGGACAGCTTGACGCTGCGCGCGCAGATTTAGCGCTGCTCAGAACGCAGCTGAATGATGCCAGGGAGTCGTTAGGGGCAAAAATGACCGAACTGGATGGCTCGAACATTAGAAATATAGATCTCGACGCTGAACTTCACAGCAAAAACAATCAAATTGAGGATTTGATGATGCAGTTGGAACGAGAGACGGCCAAAGGCATGGAACAGACCAGCGTGCAACAGAACAACATTGAGGATCTGACTGAGCAGCTGAACGCTGCGCGCGCAGATTTAAAAATGCTCAGAACGGAGCTGGATGGTGCCAGGGAGTCGTTAAGGATAAAAATGGCCGAACTAGATGGCTCGAACCTTCGAAATGTGGATCTCGACACCGAACTTAGAGGAAAGGATAAAGAAATTGAGGATTTGAGAATGCAGTTGGAAGCACAGACAACTAGAGGTCTGGAAGAGACCAGCGTGCATCAGAAGCGCTTTGAGGATTTGAGCGGGCAGCTGGACACAGCACGAGCAGATTTAGAACGTCTCAGAAAGGAGCTAGATAGCTCAAACCTTCAAAGTGCAGATCTCGACTCCAGACTTCGAATGAAAGACCAGGAAATCGAAGATTTGAAGGTTCAGTTAGAAAACGAGACGGCCAGAAGAAATGGGCAGCTAGAAATTGCGGGCGCGGAACTAGGAAGCATCAAAGCAGAGCTGAACAGCGCTAGAGAGTCGTTAGCGGTAAAGATAGCGGAACTGGATAGTTCGAATGCTCAAATTGCGGATATCGATGCCAAACTTCGAAGAAAAGATATGGAAATTGAGGATTTGAGGATGCGGTTGACAAGAGAGGAAGCCGTAGGTGCGGAACAGGCCAGTGTTCATCAGAATCGCTTCGAGGTTCTTACTGGGCAGCTGGACGCTGCACGCGCAGATATAGAACTGCTCAAAACTGAACTGAATGACGCCAGGGAATCGTTGGGAGCGAAAGCGAAGGAGCTAGATATCGCGAACTTTCGAAATGTGGATCTCGAAACCAAATTTCGAGGGAAAGACGAGGAAATCGAAAAGTTGCAAATCCAGTCCGCCGAAGACAAAGAACTGGCCGAAGAAGTCGCCCGTGTTCGTCTGAGCCTGGCGGACGCGACATCTAGAAGTTCTCAGTTGGAAGAAAGCGGCGACATCTTGCTGAGTAACATTGAACAACTGTCGAGCGAGAATGTGAGGTTATCCGTCGAACTCAGGTCGGCCAAGGAGGAAATGGACCGTCTAGGAAAAGGTTGGAGTGTCGAGCTGGAGGAGGTCAGGAGGTCGTTGAACGAGACGGTCGCTGCTCTCGAAGTGAGCCGTAGCGAAAATGACCTATTGAAGAGGCGTCTAGAGGACGGATCCACCGACAAGTTGACCGAGACCAACGCGCAGCTAGAGGAACTCGTGAGGAGGGCGACCTCGAAAGTAAGCTTATTTTTTTGAGGGGTTTCGTAATGCTGCCCTATTTTGCCGTTGCAGATTCCCACCGCTGCTTCCGACCGCAACGGCGACCTTTCGGCCCACACGGTAAGGGGAAATTGATTGTTTATGCCGTCTAATGGAAAATAACCTATAAGTCCCTAGTCGAATAAGATCCTATTTGCCTACACCAATATTAATAGTATTAAGAACTTACGTCAAAGATAGATAGAGACCTGTTAAACGCATCTCCTTCGTGTATATAGTCTATAGGATAAGTTTATGGGAAAAATTGGGGATTTTTGGGAGGCCGGAATGTTAAGGGTTGAATAACATTTTCCGGTAACTTTATAATTTTGTTCCTTTGAGTTGACCTTTTATTTTCGCGCTGTGTATCCAACACCCCCACCATACCCAACCTTGGTTAAGCCGCGAGAAAAGACAGACTTGCATGAGGGTCCGTAGTGCGATCCGCGAAAAAACAAGCTCTCTGCTGTGACCGGTTTGCGAGAACCCCGCGCTGTGTTGTGGTCCTTACCACCCCCCAACCTTTCAATCCTTTCACTTAGTGTTAACGACCTGTCCTTGTTGCCCAGGATAGCTGTTTGCTACCCGTTCCTCGCTTGCCTCCCATTTTTTCTTCGTAATTGAGCTACATAATGTTATAGTTTCCATAACAAACGCTTCCAAATAGTTCGCTCTCCTTCTCCACCATTTGATTCAGGAGATCTGATGTCTTTATCATCGACGTCTGTTCTTCGTAATGAATGTAGTAGCTTTCCTGAACTTTCATTGTGCAATACTTTTTGCAGAATCGAAAAAATTTCAGTGTCACAGGCACCGTGCTGTTCTTAGCTGCTCCAATTGTTTTCTCCATTTAGAGGAGTGTTTTTAAATCTTCCAGTTTTTCACACTTTTCCTTTGTATTCATTTTCTCTTCGCTTTTCCTGTCAGATAGCCAAACCTAGCTTCCATTGACCGGGAAAGTATTTTTTTTTAGCAGGGTTCGAAAGAATACCAGAAACGTGCGGAAGAGAAAACGTTCGCCGAGAGCCAGGTCGAGTTTCTGAACTCGATCATCGTAGATCTGCAGAAGAAGACTGAAGAACAGAAAGCGCGCATCGAGATCCTCGAAATGGGCTACAGTCCGGCGGCAGTCAACGAATTGAGAGAGTGAGTATAGAGGGCTTTTTATACAAATAAATTTAAAAAATTCCTCACCTTGTGCTGTGCTCCTTTTTGATTCGGTCTGCTGTTTCCGTGCTCGGTAATACTTTTGCAGGTTCACAATTAGACAGTAGACTTGGTTTCTCGTTTCGCTTAAGGATCGATAATTTGGTATTAAGCACAGAATGAACTGGATTCTTCTTCTTCTACTAATGCCTATGAAAGTTTTCCTCATTGTTCAGGTGACTATTAATCTTTCATTCTAGCATATATTTGCTAACCTAAATTTGTCCATACTTTCTATGTCTTTATTCCACTCCTTTCGTCTATTTCTTATCGTCTTTCTTATGCTCTCATTAATTTGTCTGTCTCTCAGTAGGTACACTGGTGTATTATAGATTTTTATCTTGCTGTCTGCCAATTCTAGCAGTAATAAAGAGTGTGTGTAGTTTTTTAGTGATCATTACGAAAATTGTCCCGGTTCTTGTCCTTAGAACGTGCACAGAAAACTGTAGTTGAGTAGCGAAACTTCTTCTGGTAGAACCTGTATCGTTACATGTCGATTTGGTCAGTCAGAAAACTATACTTTCGATTGGGATGCCATCTGTCGACGAGAGGCCGAACTTCGCTAGTTAACAATCTCTATCGTTGACTGGTGAATTTTAATCCGAATCTCTGGTCTACTTGTGGTTCCATCCGCCGTTTATGCGTTTGCTTAATAGTCAACCTGTAAGTTCGTATGTGGTGTCATCTGTTGGCAAAACCTAAGTACCAGGTGTCGGGAAACTGCTATTAAATTCGAATTTTTAGCAATTTTGTTCGTGATGAATCCAGAAGCTGAAAACCTCAAACGTTTGATAAGTTAGTAATCTATAGTTTCTATGGTGCCGTCATCTATCGAAGAGTGACGAAACTTTGGTTTAGAATCTGTCTGTTGTACAGCGTTTTTGTCGATGGGTGGCGAATGATTAGAATCTGTGTTGCTATTCGTCCTTGAGTGTTAAACCTTATTCAGATATCAGGTTCGTTAGGAATCTATAGTGTCGTTGGTGTGGCCATCTATCGGCAAATGGTAAAACCAAATTGAAACCTTTGATTTTGATATTGAGCTGCCCTCTGTACGTGAGTGTCGAAACTTTCCGTTAGAACCTATGTTGCCACTTGTCGGTGAGCGGAAGACTTAGATGTTTGGTCAGTCGTTAGGAAACTGTAATTTCGGTACCGGTGCTGCTAATTTCAATTATTTTGGTAAATAATCGTTTTAAATGGGTTTTTAATGACTTTCCGAAACCTGAAAAATGGCGGATCGTTCAGTTTAGGCTTCGGCGCGGAATACGGGCGGCGGCAGGCACCACGCGCCTACTGTGACATCTGCGAGGAGTTCGATCTGCACGAAACCGAAGATTGCCCCGCCCAGGCGTCCGACGAGCCACCGAAGCCGATTTCGCAGCGAGAGAAGAAAAACCAGCCCGCGCCAAGGCCGTATTGCGATACCTGCGAAGGTACGCGATATACGGGGTGTTATGGAATTCGTGTCGTATAATTTAAAGAGGTGCGAGGTCAGCGCCAAAATTTCCCGGCCCTGACATAGATGCGGCTCCAGTATCACGATAAAACTTTGTCTTCTTTTAAATATACACCTTAGTAGGCTGCGAAAAAAAAGTTGAAGTCTTGCGTCAAATAGTTTTTTATTGACAACATTTTAAACAAATTGAGTGTAGAGCAGTCTTAAGGTTGTTGACAAAAGAAAGTTTAGCACCTAAAATTACTAAAGAAAGGCTAGATGGTGTGTACGGGTTCTCCTTCGTACTCTGTAGTGAAAGAATGGGCAAAACGTTTTCCAATGGGGCAGGAGTCCCTTGAAGACGATTCAAGAACTGGTCGACCAGTGGAGGTCATACCGGAAAAATATTGTTGCGATCGTGGAAGAGGGGGTATTGAGTGATCGACGTTTAAAGGCCAAAGAGATCTCAGAAATTACTAAGCTTTCTGATACAAGTGTTCGTCGAATCCTGCATGATAATTTAGGTATGCATAAGGTTAGTGCAAGATGGGTTCCTAAAAACCTTTCGGCTATTCAAGAACAACGCCGTGTCGAGTGTGCGCGGTCTTTTTTGGAACTCTGCGGGTCGGAACCGAAGCCTATGATAGAAACTATTGTGACGGGATATGAAACTATGGTTCTCTATTATGACCTTCTATCGAAAAAAGAATCATTGGAGTGGCGTCGTAAGGGTGAAGCACCTCCAAGAAAATTCAACAAAAAAGGTGATGGCCACGATCTTTTGGGATTGTAAAGGAATTCTTTTGATAGATTTTAAAAAAACTAATACCGCTGTCAATGGTAAATATTACGCGTCAAACGTCGAGGAAAACTGAGCAGAGGCGTGCGTCTTTTGCACGATGATGCACCCGTCCATACTGGTGGTGTTGCACAAGCTGCCACTTTAGAGTGTCGATTTCAACAGAGAGATCATCCTCCAAAACTAACCAAACCAAAAAAATTGTTACTCTACTTTGTTTCTTTCATATTCAGGCCGGGAAATTTTGGCGCTGCCCTCGTACATACCACGCGGCAGTGTTATGGATTCGAGAAAAATAAGTTCTAGTGTGCGACGCGAATTGGCAGTCGGCGCGTGTTGACTTTATTAATGGCGGAACTCGTTTTTGCAGAATTCGGCCACGACACGGCGGACTGTCCCGAAGATCAAGAGTTCTAGTGCCTGATTTGTTAATTTATTTTGAATTTGTTGTTTGAATTAATAAAATTTATTTTCCGAAACGGTTCTGGTTTGTCTTGCCAAAAGTGAGGTTAGGATGACTCTGACGTTTTAATAATAATGCATGAACTGGCAAATATGCGGTCTAGCTAAATGATAAACTTTGGTAAGTATAAAAACTGGTGTTTTTAAAATCGCAAAATATCATATTGAGCATAAGCAATATTTTCATACGCAGAAAGCGTGATGACTCGGTAACATAAACGACACACCCTGTATATGAATAATCATTGTTCGAAGTAGAGGTTATAGCCCTGGATTTTCCACGCTTCCTGGTCCAAGAATTTTTTGAAAATAGTAACACATTTTAATTTAGCACGAAATATCGGGAACGCCCTCTACAATAGGTGAAATCCTTAAATACAAAAGTTTTTTCCGTCTATATCGCAATATAGAAGAAAGTGAGATCTGAATCATAGTCTTTCAGTTATAATCAAATTGCAATAATAGGGGGGACCCGTTTTTCGGTTTTTTTGAATTTGCGGTGCACGGTGGATATTTTTGAAAATATGTCAAAAATAAAAGCTTATAGAGCCCCGTATCTTCTGCGTCTTCTGGTTCGAGATTTTTTTTGGTCTCGTAAACAGTTTTTGAAAAATGATGACTCTTGCACACGCGATTTTTTATTTTTTTAGAATACTTCCCGACCCCCCAGCCCCCCTACCCCATTTTCAATAGGTTCCGTCACGGGGCAAAGCTGCATATATGTGCGACAGTAATCATTTCTGTACCAACGGCGATGCCATAGGACTTACCGATTTCATGGATTTTCGAAAGTAACAAGACCCAATTGAAGAAATATAGAACATGTCAGAGCGGGTCAAAGTCGGTATGAACATGACTTGTTCCAAATCCACTGAGAACACACTAGTGGTGCTTCCTGGCAGTTGCGACGATGAGATATCTCTTTTCATGAGCATACACGCTGCTTCTGCTGTTCTATGGTGCCCTGCGCCTTTATTTCGTAATTTAGCGAGTCACATTCATGACAGCTGTCACTTCGAGGTCCTCCAAATGAAACATTTGGAACGTCTCCTTTCAACACTTTTTTGTAAAACTTTTCACATTTAAATCTGGTCTCACTTTTTGCAAGCGAGATTCTTCTCGGGGTATACTATTTATATGCTCTCTAACAAGTTGCCTATTACCCTGCGTAAATCCAATCCAAATGCATTTTTGTCAAATCGAAAGTATTCATACAACTACTACACACTCAACATTACCCTCTCCGTCTGGAAGCCTATATATAGGTTAGTGTAGTGGTAGTGTAGGTTAGGTTTCTGTTTTTCAGCTACAGGGTTCCCATTTCAGGTTTTATAGGATTGTCCTACATTTTTCCTACTTAATCTTCCCATTCTTTGTTTTCGCCGTTCAAAATTCATTTCGAATAGCTCTTTACAATATTTGACAGCTTCGTTACGTTACGTTACGTTAGACAGCGCCACCTATCTGCGTAATTTGTTCCGAAAATTATAATTCCGACACTTTGCCCGCTGGACGGGTCAGTGCATTGCAGGTAGAACCTTTCTATATAAAAAATATAATTAAAAAAAAATGGCACTTAGGCCCTTTGTTACTTTTACTCCTGTTTGGAATGTACAGCAATTAATATAACTTAAAACAAAAGCTTAAGTCAAATTGACGTTTTGTTTTGATCGGCAAATTATCCGGACGAGTCGTCGTCTTCTACTACGCTACGCGTTAGTGTGCAGGTTTCCAGTTGCAAAATCATTCGGTGCGGTACAACTCCTCAATTATGGAAATAACCTCATTTTTACCTCAGTCAGGCGCCTCAATGCTGTTACAATATGACGTTTTCGCAAACCACGAGTTTACTTCCTAGTTAAAATGCACATTCTGTACATCGACCATTACACGGGCGATCGGGAGCGTTTCTCCCTGAGGACCTCGCACGTTCCCGGGGGATTTACGCCCGATATCGTTTTGACAGGCGCGATTCGATTTCGCCCGTGCCATTTTTCATTCACCGTCGATTCGCGAAAAAGATTTTTCGAAAACATGCGCGTCTCGTCCACCGTACTCCTGTCGCTCGTTTTCCAAATCGGTAAGTACTACCTACGTAATAATTATACAGTAAGTTGCCTTATTTGCACTGAGGAAAAAACTGGTATTTTTGGTACTTTTGTCATGAAATGAAATTTTCCATTTTTGCGGAAAAAAGGGATTTTGTTTCCATCGATCCATATTTATTGCTTCGGCCTATCTACGGCGCAGATTTATTATACAGGATGATCACAAATGACCATCAAAGAAATGTTTTTTCTATTAAAAAAAAAAACCTTTTTTATGGAACACCCTGTATTTAGCACTTTTATTGGATTTGGGTTTTATTATCCTATTCTAAGTTTTGTTTTTAAACGTTAATTACTTAAATTCAATCTAAAATCAACAAGTAATGCAAGTAAATAGAACTTATTACTAATTACAAAACATTTTCTAATGCAGCGTAAATTTTTTTTTAAAAATCGAGTTTCTTTAATTAGAAATGTATATATGTGTCAAAGTATTCGTCGGATCCATAAGAAAAATTCCCAATTTCAGTTTTCAAGTGTAAAAAAAAACTCCCCACCAATTGTAAACCCAAGCATATCTCTTCTTTTTCGAACGTTTTAATAAACAGACGGCCGCGAATACTATGGCCATTCGTCCATTAACTTTACCACCTAACCAAAACTAACTAACTACACAATAGGAAAATTTTTAAAAAACAATAAAACGAAATGTCCAAAACCTCAAAAATCAGGTGTCTACAGGTTGAAATGTGGATCTTGTCCTAAAATTTATATTGGACAAACAGGTAGATCCTTCAAGAAAGGCATTAACGAACATAAAAGAGCGTTTAAAAACAATAGCCTAGACTCTAATTATGCTACACATTTAAACACAGAAAAACACATTTTTGACGACAATTTTGATATTTTACATACAGCCACAAAAAGTAGAAAATTAAATTTATTGGAAGCCACGGAGATTCAAATGTAATGCTTAACGATCAATTAGATTTAAATACCTCTCCTTTATTGCATTTAAATTCTCACATTAATTAAGGTTTCATGGTCATTTTTCGGTATATATAGTAGCAGGTAGTTTGTAAATATTACATTTGACAAAGACACGGTGTTGTCGAAACAATTGTCATGTCAAAATATATAATTTCGTGAAAATCTGTTAGTTCTTATTTATTTTTATTATTTTTGTTCAGGCAGAAACCGATAGGGGGCGCTTGCGCCGCTGTAGGGGATTATGTCAAATTAGGTAAACCGCTATTTTTTTTCACACAAATGACGTTGGCCACAAACCTTCAAATCGTTATTTACTTTACTCACATGTTTTATTAAATATGCTCGCGTGGAAATATCTACGCACTTCAAAATTGAATCCATCTTGCGCGTTACAAAACTCGGCATCTTACGGTTGCCTCTTGTCTCTCTTTTTCGTACGTTTAACAAACAGATGAGTCGGATTACAGTGGCCATTCACCCATTAACACAAAGGATGACACAACCTATGAAAACGCTAGATACTAACTCGTATTTTTGACGGTGCTTTCGGGTCAGTTTCGAGTCGATTCAGGCTGCCGTACGACGTCCGCCCAATACAGTACACGATCACGCTAAAGCCGGACATAGACGCCGGCACGTTCTACGGCGAGTCGGCGATCGACATCGTAGCAGAGAACGACCGAGACGAATTATTGATCCACGCGTGCGGACTGAACGTGACGCACTCGTCCATCGACCGAACGTCGACGATGTTAGCCGAACGAAAAGACGAGATGCTCGCGATCTGGATCGAGAACGGCACCATCACGGCCGGCAACCACACCCTGCGATTCCGATACTTCGGGTTTTTGCGCGAGTCGCTGGGTCTGGTCAAGGCCGCGTACGGAACCAACAACTATTCCGGGTAAGCCGTTATGCAGGGCGCCTCACAACTTGGCGATTAGTCGGAGAGCTAGTAATACATGCTTCATGAAATGTTTGATGCATCTCAAGTCCAGTATCTATAATATAAACAGCCAAAGTACCTGTGTTGGCTTAGTCCAATTCGGGACATCATTTACACCAGAAAAAAGTGTTTTTGTCATTTTTCGGTATATATAGTGGCAGGTAGTTTGTAAATATTACATTTGATAAAGACACTGTGTTGTCGAAACAATTGTCATGTAAATATATATAATTTCGTGAAAATCTGAACTTTTAGTTCTTATTTATTTTGATAAATGGATTTTAATCAAGTAAAAGCCGCCTCAGTTCAACTGTCAAATATTAGATATTCTTTCAGAGTTTAGTTCAAATATTATACATACCTACATTTTTTTTATATTTACAATAGAAAAAAAAAGCTTATAAAATGACTTTTATTAATTGATATCATTGGGCAGTCCTCCACTTTTACCATCAAAATTGGAAAATACTTGTGCATTTCAAATATCGCCTGCTACTCCAGTGATGACTTCACCAATCCAATAGCTTAATGCCATCATACGCGGTTACCAAATAAATATCAAACATGCCAACATTTCCGTCCGTAGATACCTGGTGGTCAACGATTTCGAGCCGGACGGCGCTAGGTGGGCGTTCCCATGTTTCGACGAGCCTCGCTTCAAGGCCAACTTCGCGATCCGCCTAATCGCTCCTAACGCCACCTACACGGCGTTGTCGAACATGCCCCGTGTGCCCGCCTCCTGGGGCGACACGTACGATTTCGTCACCAGCGTCAAGATGTCTACCTACACGGTGTCCTTCGTTATAACCGATTACCCCCACTACGAGCACGTCGCTACGTTGCCAAATCGAACCGTTCCCGTCAGGATTTACGCGCACAATGCCACCCGCATCAACACGGAGGTCGTTGTCGGGGCGGCCACGGCCGCCATTAAGTTCTACTCCGATTACACCGGCATCGATTACCAACTGCCGAAACTGGGTAAAATAATAATAATTTGGCCATTTTTTAGTTATATAAATGGATTGGATTCAGGAGGACGGTTTTTCTCTTTTTTTTTGTTTTTTTAAATTTTTATTTAATTTTTGAAAATCGTGTCTAGGAGGCTGTGACCCTCATAAACACTATTTACCCGGTCACGTCACGTCCCTAGTGGGAACCCGGTACTTTTTTTGCAACATTTAGAAACTAAAATTTTCACAATACTTTAAAAAATAATCTCACGGGAAGGAAAAAACCAGATAAGTAAATACATTTTTATAAAAACAAAATATTACTTAGGCGGCTTTGCTTCTATTCTATTCTATTTGTTTCTGATATTCGGGGAATGCAGAAAAAACTCTCGACAGCCCCGTGCATTGATATGATAATTTTATTATAAGTGAAGAAATGGAAATCAATGTTGTAAGATAAGTCAACGTAAATCCAGCTGCGTCGCTAAGAGAATTAGAATTACACAACTCAATCTGTGAGGAGAATTTAAAAAAAAATCTTTTAAGTGTAACCTTCATCAACATCATTATGAAGCTGACTTTGTCAGAAGAGTTCGGCCGTTAGATAAACATCATTTGTTTTTAAGAAAAATGTTAAATAAAAAGGTTATAGATAGATGAGACCAAAATTACTGATTTAAAACTAATTTCAAATATACAGGGCGATTCATAAATATGTGGGAAATCAAACATATTTATTAAGTTGAACACCCCGTATATTAAGGCATTGATACTTAATTACCCAATGTAGAATTCCTGTGGTTTATACCGAGTGTTTTCGAATTCGAAACACTGCCAACAATTTTATGAAGTCTGGATTGTTTATGTTAATATATATAATTCTCATAAAAAAATTCCAATAATTACTGACATGTGTAGCTTATTAAACGCTTGGAGACACGAACAATTTTTCAGACATGATCGAGTACAACCAAACCGGCAACACCGCTTCCGAGTACTGGGGACTCATCCACTTCAAGCAGGGCCTGCTGACGTCGGATTTCGACGTCTTCGACGATTGGCAACGTCGCCTCGTGGTTTCGCACGAGTTGGCCCACTTCTGGTTCGGCAATTTGGGTGAGGCTTTATCCCAAATCGTCCTAAATACGACTCAGAACCGGCACTACTATACTACTCACAGCAACGCGTTTTTAAGCAACCAGACAATCAGAATGCGCTTTGGTTTAGACACATGCCGCAAGGTGACGCTTAAGGCGGTTATAGCGACCGTTGTTTAAACGACGGGCAATAGAATGATTCGTAATACTGGTATCCAAGGTTCAGATAAGGCTTCTTTGTTTCTATAAAATATTTTTATGATAATAAAATAGTTTTACGATATAAAATTTGAAGTTTGTCGTAATCTTAAGACTCTTTCATGTTCTTCGAGCCAGTAACGAACGAGTGGTGGGAGGATTTGTGGCTTCAGGAGGGCATGGCGACGTTCATGTCTTACAAATTCATGTCCGAGGTGTACGAGTCGCCCAACGTAAGCGACAAGGAGCGAGCCTTATATCCGCGTAACTTCCGACTTCCGTTCTAGATACACATCGATGTTTTGGAGTTGTTTGTCGTCGAAAAAAGCGGCGCGAAGCCCCTGTTTTATAACCTAACGTCCAGGAACGACACCGAGGACAGGTTCGACAAGGTGGTCTACGAGAAAGTAAGTGCAAACGCCCACAGATCAAAAATCGGCGACGTAAATGGTCACGACTGTAACTTGGCTATTGACTTTTTGATGTGATGGTGGACATAGGTTTAATTATTTAACGAACGTTTATTTTGGTTAGTTTTCACACGAAAGTTTATGCTAAGTAAGGATATTTAAAAGAAAAACAATGGTCGTTTGAAGTCAGACGCCTTAACCGGCATACCAAGAGAAAATCCATCTCTCACTTTACGTGTAGAGCGCTTTCTCCAGAGATCAGACTATGGATGTGATTGTTTGTAAATACAAACTTTAATTCTACATTATTGCAGAATTAAATGATTTATTCATGACGTGATTCATAAGGAAATGTCAATATTTTAGGTACATATTCAGGGCCCAAACATAAAGAAAAAAGTTCATAGTCAAAGTCCGCAAGGCTTTCGCTTTCGAGATACGGGGTGTTTATTTTGAGGTGTACGTAGCGCCCCCTACAAATAGAAGCTATACTAAGATCAAATGCGAATTCGTCATATCAAACCAACCCCGGGAATTCTGGGATGTTAATTTTTTTTCTATTCTATTTTGAAAATGAAGGTCTCACGAATCATCCTGTATGTCACCTAATGGCCTCACTTTTACATGTTTGTCTTTTTTAGTTGTATCTTTGGTCGTATGCTTTATCGAAATTTTCAGTTTTGCACTAAAACTAAATTTTTTTAATTTCCCTTTTGGATTTTTATCTGGCTCTACTCCACGATATGATTACATTCCAGACTTTGAAAGTATGGTGTATGTTTACAGGGTGGTTGCGAGTGAATAAAGAATGTAAATGCTTTTACTCGTCCTCCATTATTCATTCGGCCCAATAAAATTGACACATATTCTAGTACAACTAAAAAGTCCATCGAAAACAATGTATGTAATGGCTAAGCTAAGCTAAGTTAAGCTGAAAGACAGAGTGCCCCATTTAAAGAAACATTAGTTTGATACGTAACATGTTTTTGAAACACCCTGTATATTAAAAAATATTTTTAAATTATGCCCCAGTGTAGTGTACATAAAATCGTAGCAGAAAACCGTTGTCGTGTGAGAGACCGTGTCGTATAGATTGGACCACCCTGTATAGTCAGAATAAGTCGAACCCCTACCTGCATGTGTTATGTGGCGTGATACTTTTGATATCTTGATTGTTGTTGGAAAGTACCAATTGTTTTTCCATAAAATACTTAAAAAAAGATATCTTAAATAGTAGGCTTTGAAAAGATGAAACCGGTGCTAAATGTGACAGAACTACCTTATGGAAGTGTATTCAACACATGGGTTTTAGATTTAAAAAAATTGACAAGTTTTAATGGAATCTTTTAGAATTCGGAAATGGTGACTGGAATATCTAGAAAAAATTAGGATTTACGGAGAACAACAAAGGCCAATTATTTACTTGGATGAAACCTGGTTCGACACTTATGATACCCCGGAAAAGTGTTGGGTTGACTCAACTGATAAGTGTAAAACAAACGTGGCTCTAAAAATGATTGGATTCCAAATGGACTTTCTCTGTCTGCGAGAAATACTAAAGATTCTTCTCTGGATTACCATGAAGACACCCCCGCTGATTTATTTGAAAGTTGGTCTAAAAACAAACTAGTTCCAAACATTCCTCCTAATAGCGTCATTATAATGGACAACGCAAGTTATCACAGTAGACAGTTGACTAAAACCCCTTCCCCATGTGACACAAAAGCAACAATCCAAAACTACATGTATAATAACGACATTTGTTTTCACGAAGATTATACCACAACGCAATTAATTGAGGTTCTACAAAGCTTGAACCTAAAAAAGGAATACGTCTGTGATAATTACGCAAAAAATCTAGGGTATACAGTTTTAAGGCTTCCACCTTACCACCGTATATTTAATCCCATCGAACATGTTTGGCACCGACTGAAATCTGCCATTCGTCGTAACAATGTTTTTCCCCGTGTTAACTCCAATGTCCTCAAACTTATAGAAACCGAAGTTTTTAACATCCCTCCACAAAGTTGGGCAAATTCTGTTAACCATATGGAAAAAGCAGAACAATCGTATATCCACATTGCAAATAATATAGAACAAATAATAATTAGAACAGGCGGTGATAGCGATAGTGATAATAATATATTATGTGAATAATTTTAAGTAATTTAAGTAGGTAATAAAAATAATTTGTAATTTTATTTTAGATTTAAACATAAATAAATAAATATTGTTTAGTATCTTTCCTAACAAAACCCCAAATAATTAAATTCTAAGCAAAGTACGGACCTGTTCGGCTATATTTGATTCTTACAGCTTGCCCGGGTCTGTCCTTGATTCGTATCAGTTAGTCACTTTCTTATATCTATGAAGAGTATGACAGTAGACAAAGTTAATCACGCGGTCCGTTGTAAAGGTACTATATTTCTGGCCGAAGTATACTAATATAGCGTTGGGTTGTTTGTTGGGGTTTAGGCCGCTTTGCTGTTGAAAAATCTGGAATGTTTGGTGGGCCCAGACACATTTAGAAAAAGCGTAATGGAATATTTGGATAAAAACGCGTACGGCACGATTTCAACCGGCCAATTTGTGTCGCTGTTCGAGATCAACTCGGCTCAGCCCCTGGTGAGGGCTTATTTAGAGAGCTTCTTGTGTCAAAGGGGATTCCCCGTTGTAAGTGTGAGAGAGGTCAACGCTACGTGCTACGTCATCACTCAAGATATTTACATCGATGAACACAGGCAAGTTACGTTATTACAAATAATCTATTGTACAGGATGGTTTAAGTTTAAAACTACTCTAAGTTTGGGATTTTTATGAGTGGATTTTTTTCTTTTTTTCTTATTTTAAAAGGAATACCCCGTATATGAAGACACATTTGGAGAACGCGTCACGATACATCCAAAGGCGTGCTTCTATATTCGACACATAGCGAGGGTTTTTTTATTTTGCAATTGCTTTTCAAATTCCAGTAAGTAAATTTTTAAGTAGGCGACGTGTGGTGCAGTGTCGCCACGTTTCGCACGAACAGCAAAAACCGACGCAGGAGGAATCCAGAAGTTTTTTAAAAAATATCTTCAATGGACATGTGTGCCAAATTTTGCCATTTCTTCGACCCCGTATAATACGATAAAAAAACATTCAGTAGGTGGACCGTCCCGGTGTCCTACAGGTTCGACGCGGGCGTCGGCGTCGCGTGGTCGGACGGCGACGCAGGTGTGACAACGTGACTTTTTAAAAATAACCAGCGTGAGACAGAACACACGATTTTTAGTTCACCTCGAGCGCAAAGAGGGCGCCAAGTGGGTTATATTCAACAGCGTCGAGATGCCGGGCCCCTACATAGTCGACTACGGCGACAAGCTGTGGAACGACCTGCTGACGCACATCGACGTAAGTCTGTCGTGACCCGGCGGGGAAAAATTGCACTGTCCGGCAACGCCGCGTTCGGAACTGCGCCGCCGCGCCTTTATCAAATATAAAATATTACATATCCCGATACCATTCTGGCATTATGCAATTAGTCAAGGTTTTTGATCACGTATCGAATAGTATCCCCACTTTAACCATCCGCGAAAAATTCCAGTTTATTCTAGATTGCCATCAAATGAAATTTATTTATTGTGTCTACTAACTAACCAAAAAATAATTTAGAGAGTATCCGTCGAAGCACGCTCTGAAGCTTACTATAATTTTCCCTAGATGGGCTCGTCTCTCTTTTAACTTTACTCGACAATGATTGACCTATTAAAACGTAGATGGCGTTGCAAGTTATCGCACCGAAATATGACAACCTGCCTTTCTTCATTGGCATCTTAACAGTAGTTTTCATTCGCTAACATTCAATCAGATGGTATATTCTTAGTATATCTTATCTTATTCAGCTACGTTGCGAGTAAAAGTATTCTCGAAATCAGGAAAGATGGATTACGTCATAAAGAATACTGAACACTGTATCCTCCAAACTCTTCGTATTAGGGTTAAAGGAAGTTTCCAAACAATTTAACCGAAAGTACAAGGATCTAAATCTGGAATCCTCACCTCACCGACAAAAAACGAAAGCCTTGACCTCTAGACAGGCCAATAAACTCAGAACAACAGAGAGAGTAACAGAGAAACTTGTGTTGGACATCAGCCTTCGAGACAGCACCTGGGCAGGACACATAGCCAGACGAGATCACAAAGGTCGCGTGAAAGAGGCATCGGTAGACCTCCCAGAAGAGGAATGGGCGACGTAAGAGAACCTAGACGAGAAGAAGACGGATAGAGAAGAGTGGAGGAGAATAAAGGAAGACGAAAAAGTAGATGTTCACAAAATTGGTTATGCTGTAATGTGTGTGAGAAATTACTGACTGCTTTAAGGGATCTGTTTTCGTTTATCGATCAATACGACTAGGTTAGCCATTTTTAAATCCGGTTTTGACCGAACAAAACCTCAATTGGGCATCTCATTTCGATAACACCCCGTATGGGCATCGAATCAGAAGTGGGTTTCAGGAATTGGACGGGTCGGAACTGCATGGTCTGGCCGCGAACGCGGGCGTTCTGTATTTGATGCGTCTCGTCGGTTGTGACGTCATCTTCACTCTGCTGGAGAGAGATAGAAGCCTGTTCTCCACGCTGTTCGAGGTCGTCGTGGACATGGCCAGTCGGCTGGTGTGCATGGAGGATCGCTATCGGATATTCGAGGTGCTAGCGCCACCCTCCCCAGTCCCGTAGCTTAAATCCAGTTTTCGTTTTTTGCAGAAGTACGTCAAAACGAAATCCAAATATACCACGGAGCTGCTCGAGTTGCTCAACATCGCGTGCAGAGGAAAAGGTAGTGGTCGAAACTAACCAAAACTCGATCAGCGGGCAATTTGTTTTGCAGAGATCGACGTCGCGAACGGTCACGCGGAGAACTGCGGCAAGTGGATAGAGACGAATTTGGAAAAGTTCGTGAAAAATAAATAACTCCGGAAAAAAATAACCGTTTTCATTTAACCCAGGGATTCGTTCTATCTCGTCCATTCTCCTTATTACGTTCTTCACTTTCGATACACCAGCACTAAACAGTTCGTTGTTACTGCATCCGAGAACATTTTTCATCTCTTCATTGTTCATCACTTCCATGTTGGTGACTTGCTCTACCCACAAAATCCTCAACACGTTTCAAAGGTCTGCAGTCTCTCCATGTCTTAAGACCGTCAGTTCAAAGTTTAGATCTCTGGTGTCAATAACTCCAACTTACGTTTCGTAGATGAGCCTTGAAATGAAGAGTTCAGAGCTTGGTCTTTAGTACAGTTTGCTACAAGATTTTCAATTTTCAAAAGTTTACAAAATGGAGCTTCTACTCATCATTTATGATGATGTTGGCAGAAGAATTGATTACATGCAAGAATCACGTGATTATGTTCGGCAACTGCTGATGAGTTCATTGGTCTTAGTCTTAAGGCTCTTCCATGTTCTTTGAGCCTACTCGAGCCTAGTTGATATGTGAACAATAGAGAAGAGTAGAACTTATTTTCAAATTTTTTTCCGAATTTTCCAAGAGCTACCGATAGCTAAAACCATTTTTAAACAGTAGTAAAATTTTCTAGATCTATGTTATACAAGTTGGACTTTCTGGTCTATCTCTTTACGAATAGTGGTGGGGAGAAATACGATTTTTTTTAAATTATCGGTAACTTCAAAATTGTCACTTTTGTTATAAAGAATCATATCCATGCATTTTTTAAAAAGGACATAACACTAATCTGTAATGTTTTAAAACGCCCTCTAGCGGGCAATTTATTGCCTCACCAAGCAGGACTTTTTAGGAAGGGGCACTTTTTCTTTAAAACTTCCGAAGACGTGTCAATGAAATGTCAAATGACGTATAGGGTTTGACACCCATCTACGGAATTTATTAGATGGACACCCTGTACATATTTGAATTTATTCAAAAACATACATAGTAGCGCCCTCTCGCAACCAGAAAATGAATGATACCCATTTTTCCCCTCTAGCTAAAAAAATAATCAATTTAATAAATATGATAGAAATAAATTTATTGAAATAAAATTTGAAAAAAAAAACGATTTTTTTTACATTTGCGGCTTCCGTTGGTTTTTATTGGACAAAAAAAATCATACAACTTTTACATAAATAGTTTTGTTAAGTTGGTATCTATTTAAGATATCTTAAAGGCCCAAGCAGACTTGCATAAAACGTCCGTTTTCGACATCTGGGATGGGACAGAGGATTAATTAGAAAAAATGAGGCGTCCGCGTAATACTGTCAAGTTTTATTTAATACGATCAGGTAAATGACAAACACGAACCCCGTGCGACGTATACAGGGTGGTTCGCGTCGGGCGCTCTGCTTACGGTGAACCGAATCGACTTTGCCCTTTCCTGTTACATCAAATTCGCGAGTTTTCTTTGAAATTCGACGCGAACCGCCCAATTTCGTCGACAACATTACAAAAATAAATATATTGCACCTCGAGGTGACCCGATACAAGATGGCCGGAACGCGTTCGTTTCTATCGCCCTGTATAGATTAGGTACTACTCTTCGCCAACTGCTATACGAACGAGCTATAATCACGCGACGTAGAAACGTATAAAATATGTCGCCCATTCGAGTCTAACACCCGCAACTAGCGGCTCGCTTAATTAGTCTTACTTTACGAGGAAGCCCGATCACAAAACGTGTCAAAACGAATCGGCCATACGCGCATATCCTACGGAGATACAGGGTGCTGAAAGTGATTTATTTTTTTTTTTCTTTTCATATAGGCACGAAAAGTCACATGGTTCTAAGTAAAAAAGTATTATTGCGAATGAATATCGAAAAAGAAAAAAAAATTATAAGAACAAAAAAAACAACCTGTTACCAACTATTGCCAACGAAAATCAAAAATCGGAATATTCTGACGCAAAGAACATGCCGGTATTCTATGGCCGATTCATTTTGAAACACCCTGTACGAGCGGGTCGCCGAGTCTAAGGAGAAGGTAAATATTTGCAATTTCGGGACCATAAATTAATACCCGATTTGGTTCGTTGAGTGTTCGTCGGCTACGTTAAATGTTAACGGCTGCATCGAAGTAAACGTCCCACCTGTCGGTCAAGTTTAAGTAATAAGAACGTTATAACAAATTAAGCACCTATTAAAATGTGCATCGGTAAGTTTGCCAACGCCATTTTTAAAAAACCTTGACATAAAGTCTTTTTAAACAATTTTCCGCAATCTACTGCACCCACCACCAGGTAGCGCTAAGTAATATTTTAGAACTTTTACATTTGAGCAAATTAAATTAACGAGAAACTCTTCATTCCAGTATTTTTATTTATCCTTGTTTTCTTTTCCATTCTCCGACCCTGCACTATATGTTTTTACGTAATAAATAGATCTAGGTAGATGCCAGGTAGCCCTAAGTAATATTTTAAAACTTTTACAATTGAGCAAATGAAATTAACGAGAAACTCTTCATTCCAGTATTTTTATTTATCCTTGTTTTCTTTTCCATTCTCCGACCCTGCACTATATGTTTTTACGTAATAAATAGATCTAGGTAGATGCCAGGTAGCCCTAAGTAATATTTAAAAACTTTTACATTTCAGTAAATTAAATTACCGAGAGACTTTTCATTCCAGTATTTTTATTTATCCTTGTTTTCTTTTCCATACTCCGACCTTGCACTATATTTTTTTACGTAATAAATAGATCTAGGTAGATACCAGGTAGCCCTAAGTAATATTTTAAAACTTTTACATTTGAGTAAATTAAATTAACGAGAAACTTTTCATTCCAGTATTTTTATTTATCCTTGTTTTCTTTTCCATACTCCGACCTTGCACTATATTTTTTTACGTAATGAATAGATCTAGGTAGATGCCAGGTAGCCCTAAGTAATATTTTAAAACTTTTACATTTGAGTAAATTAAATTAACGAGAAACTTTTCATTCCAGTATTTTTATTTATCCTTATTTTCTTTTCCATACTCTGACCCTGCACTATACGTTTTTACGTAATAAATAAATCTACATAGATACCAGGTAGCCCTAAGTAATATTTTAAAACTTTTACATTTCATTAAATTAAATTAACGAGAAACTCTTGATTCCAGTATTTTTATTGATCCTTATTTTCTTTTCAATACTCCGACCCTGCGCTATATCTCTTTACGTTGTTTATTATTTTTTCGAATTTTACATTGTTACCGAGAACAAAATCCAAAAATCAATTTACTGCACCAAATTCAAATAGCTCTTTTATTAATATAACTAATAACCGTTATCCAAGTTCCTTGAAATCTGACGGTTTTATGTGTAGTGACAAGAGATTAATTACATTCAAATGATGAAAAAAGAAATGTCAGCCACTAACTTTTTTCCTAATTTTATTTTCTTCTTCTTTTCTTTTTTTCGAATTTTACATTGCTATCGAGAACAAAAACCAAAAATCAAATAATTACACCACTTTTTAAATCCAATGGCCAATTTTGAAAATTTCGACGGCTAGCGCCTCAAAAACGAATTATTCGAACGTCATTTCCGGACACCCCCGTACATCTGCCTAGTTTTAATTTCGCTTCTGAATTAATTAATTAATTGAAAGTGAAAAGCGAAGCTTAAGAAATTAATTTTGGTAAACATTTCCTCGTGGTATCGCTGAGGTGGGACATTTACCTCAACGCTCGCCGCAGTTCAAGAAGACGAAGAAAATAAAACCGCCGCTTGTACCCTACGCCGGTATAGGGAGCCCCAACAGATCCACGTCACTCCTCCTTAGCTGAGCCCGCGTACTAGACCTAGCTCTACGCGATAACCTACACAAATTGGCACTTTGCTTGTTACTAGGTACCTGATGGACGCGTTCAAACGAGCTTGAACTTCCAAATGGATATCGGCCTTTGGAACACGGTGACGTGGCCCTGCTCCTTGCCGCCCACGACGTAGACGTATAGCGGCACAGTCGACTCCGCCCCCTTGCCTACGGGCGCTGCCCTCTTCTCCGCACGGCTCGCGCTCAGCGCTCTCGGCTTGTCCGTCGCGCTATTCTCGGCCAGGAGCAAGTTGGACGGCCTGCTGGACCTGCAGCTCCTGTAGACGACCCTGGTGTCCTTGTCTATGATACCGTCGTAGCTCTGCATCTCGAGCGTCTCTTCAGCGTCGTCCCTCTTCCTCGCCGAAGGGTCCACGTAGTTCGGGTTGCAGAACCCGAACGGGCCCTCCCTCTCCTGCGTCCTCCCCCTCTCGTCCGCGGGAGTGTGCACCACGCTGTAGCTGCTGTTGGAAGACAGCCGGTTCACCGTCTCGATACTCGCGTAGTCCGACGTAGACGACTCCTCCCCTTTTTTCGGCGCCTCCTGGTGGTAGACGTCGGCGTATGCGAGGTGCGAGCTATAGCTGTCCCCGCCTCCCGCTGCCGGGTTGACGTAGAGCAGCGGGTTCTCGACGGGACCGACGTACTCGTTCTCCTCTTCGGCGTCGAGGTAGACGAGTTTAGAGGCCTCGACGGGGGTGAGAACGGTCGGCGGGAGGTTGAAGACGCTGAAGTTCGGCACGGAGATCGGATCGCGAGGTATCTTCCTGATGGTAGTGTCGAATTCGACCTTCTTCTTCCGACAATGGTCCTTCGAGTCGTCGTCGATGACGTAGGCGGACTTCGACTTGGTCATGCTCGCGCCTAGGGGAGGCGTAACATGGAAACTTTTAATTATAATAATAATAATAAATAATAAAAGTTACTGACAATAAATTTGGAATGTGATCTAATGATTAGCTTTTAGCATTACTTATCGTATCCACGTTAATACAAGGCCAATAATGTTGGAATACACTCTAATTATCAGCATTTAGCTTCGATTATCACATCAAATGTTCCTGTGATAATCAAAATCTGTTTCCAAAAAGAATATTAAGGTTTTCAATCATCATTACCGTCAATCTGATGATCTGAGAAGAGTTGTAAGTCAAACTTATAAAAATGTCCATGCAGTTGCTATTGTTTTTTCACAATCTAAGCGGTTATGATACACATTTTATTTTAAAGCAATATCCATGGTTAATTATTATTATCAGATTTTAGCGTTGCTTATCGCTTTAAATGTTTCTGTAATAACAACTATAATAATAATAATAATAATTCATATATTCATAATCCGAGCGACTATGATGCATATTTCATTGTTGAATCATTAATAGGCTGACTTTCGATCGATCGCAGTTTTGACTTTCGTGATGTTGCAAAAGAAACAGTGACGGGCTTACCTCTCACGAGCGTCGGACACTCGACGACGTCCGTCGTCGCGACGCCGTTTACCTCCTGCTGGGGGCTGCAGGAGTGCTGCCTGAGCAAACTCTCGGTGCTATCCGTCGCTTGACCTCGGTTCAGGATCGTGTAGCTGCACTTGCGCGTGATGTTCAGCTGCGACAGCTTCGTGATCTCCTGCAGGAAACTCTTGGCGCTCTTCTGGTTGTCCGAGTACTGCTGCGCGAGATTACTTCCGTCGACGTAGTTGACTTCGGACGGTTCGAAGACGTAAGTCCTCTCGCTGGGAGCGATCTTGTTGTTGGGCAGGTAAGAGGAGTGCCTGTTGCCCCTGTCGGCGGAGCTGCAAGTCCTCAGACGCACCCTCGCCGACTTGTACTCGACGGAGGTTTTGCAGGAAGTCTGCAGCAGGAGCTCGGACACCGCAAAACTCGCGCATTCCGACCGGGGCCGCGGACGGGGGCCGGCGGTCGGAATCTTCTCCCAAAATTCCAAATCTACACGGTTGGGCATCGAAAAAAACAATCTAACCAAACTAATTTGCCAAAAGCAACATGATTAAAGTTTCATTCAAATATTTTTTAATTTAAAACTCATGAAAATTATGAAAGACAATGTATTTAACTATGACAAATGAGTACAGAAATTGCTGATACTGAAACAGTATGAAATAAAAAAAAAACATTTGAAAAAATCGAAGTACAAAAAAAGACTTACACATCTCTGTATATTACACTGTATAGGGCAGACTAACTGCGTTAATTTAAACAGTAAATCGTAGATACTAATACTAATAGGATACTAGGGACAACGCGAAATAAAAAAGGAGATAGATATATTTTCAAATTTATCCAATATTTAAGACACACTGTATAACGCTGACTTGAATATTTAAATCATGTCATACAAAATATGCTTAAGTTTAATGTTAAAATACAAACATAAAAAATAGTTGGGATTAAACTAGAATTCACAATTTAACTTTTCTTAATTGTGGTCAATCAGACTTTTTAATTTGGTTCCAAATTTTACTAAAATTTTAAGTAACACTTGCGATATGTATGTCAATCCAGCTTATACTTTTTCTTAACGGTCCCAAGACAATTTGCATATAGTAAATAAATTTATAGGGAAAAACAAATTCCGTTTCTTGCGCACCCGTGGGACACTCTGTATACATGAAAATAATTTTACGTTACACATTCCCCTAGACCTTTACGACGGTCCAAATTAACTGAACTGAGGTGGCTTTTACTTGATGAAAATCCATTTATCAAAATAAATAAGAAGTAAAAGTATATATAATTTCGTGAAAATCTGAATTTTTAGTTCTTATTTATTTTGGTCCAAATTAACTTTGTTTTTTCACGTTATCGATACATTCATGGCGGAAATTCAGTCTTATATGCCGACAGTACATACCGAAACTGTACTTCCAGAGTTCGTTCGAGCTCTGCCCACCCCTCTCGCCGCCGAAAATGATCATGGCGGAATGCACTTTGCAACAGGCGTGGCTGTGCAGCGGACCGGGGTTGATTTTGATCTTGATATTGTGCCATGTCTTCTCGCGGATGTTCCACCTCCAGAAATCGTTACGCTCTTGCAGATCGGTCATGCCTGGAACAATCCCCGATGACGGAACGTCGATACGAAACGTCGTACCGCGGGCAAATCTCGTAAAGCACCCAAAACGGCACGTGTGGGGTCACTTTCGGAGATTACCATTTTTTTTTCTGAGGTTATGGCGAAGTGTATTTTGAACGGAGCAGAATGCGAGTCATCAAGTTAATCAAGATTACTTTGTTTAGTTTTTCTTTTTTTTCCATTACTATTTGGAATACTTGTTCACATATTCATACAATTGCGATTGTTTTTTTTTTTTCATAATCTGAGCGGCTACGATACACATTGACACGTTAATGGAACACCAGATAAAGGTACAGACAGTAAATTTGGAATGTACTCTAATAATTAGCTTTTGGTGAATTATTTTTTTGTCTAAGCTGTTAATTTTTCGACGTAGTACAAGAGGAGAAAACCTTAAATACAAAAATTATTACCTGTTTATGTGGGCTATCGTGCCACGCAAAAAAAAAACTTAAAAGCAGTCTTTTAGTTATAGTCAATTTTCATTAATCGATTTCATCGATTTTTCCAAAGCAGCAAGGATGTTACTTTTTCTTCGAGTGCAAAACCAACTTTCTAAAAAGAGACCTTTTTTGCAGAGCAATAAATTCCCTTCAAAGATCAATATTGTTTTTTTTTGTATATTGAGTTGTTTTTTAGTTACAGAATTCCCGAAAAACTAAAGTGCAAATAATTATTTTTATTGATAATCATTGTAATTATAATAAATAAATAATAAATTATTAAATTAATAATATAAATATATATAATATAAAATATATAAATAAATAAATTAAATAAATAAAAAATCATTATCAATTGAGTATTATCTCGCTAATTGCAATATTTAAAAATTTATATTTTTTTAAACTTTGAATGATAATCTGAAAGATTTGCACGCAGCGCGCCCAAGTCTCACCTCCGTAGATCCACATCGATTCGTCGTGAATGACCGCCGAATGTTTGTGCCTCGGCGCAGGAAAATAATCGGCTGATTTTGCGGGCGGAGACCAAAGCAGGTGCCAGGACTCGGTTTCTAAACAAAATTTACGATTATTACGAATATACCACACCCTGTATATACAGAAAGCGAACACCGGAGCTCAACAAACGAACGGATGATATTTTTTTTTCTTCAAATTCTCTCGGGTATTCGGTCTTTCGTATACAAATAATAAAATTCCTTTAAATATTTTTTTATTAGCAAATATATTGGTTAATTTTCTTCTGTTGTCACCCTTTAAGACGTTTTTTTTTTTACGCTATATTGTGCAGTCCGTTTGAATACAAAATACGACAAATTTGATCAAAAATTCACCACCTAATAATTTAATTGTTGAATAATAAGAATATTATTTAAATAATGGCGAATTACACTAAAACTGCAGCAAGTTTCCAATAAAAAACCGCCTATCGAAATTGATTTTTTTATATATTTGTTTATACAGTTTTGGCGCCATTTTAAATAGAAGGATATGTTCTAAACTTTAGATATTTTAATGAAAGTTAGCTGTACTAGGATAGGGTGGAGCAAAAGTAAAAATTTTCATCACTTTTCTAACCAAGACTAACCAAAAACTACTTTTTTTTAGAAACTTCGCCAAAATTTGAGTAAATTTGGTTAAAGTTAGTCAAAAATAAATCGACTTGTAAAGTAATAAAAAATATTATTTCTGAAAACTTGTATCTCAAAAGTTAAGACGTTTAGGACATACGTTCATATGAAGTTTTCTTTTTAAAATGGTCCCAAAAATCATTCAATTAGAAAACACCCTGTATAACAAACTGCCTTCACTTTTTCGCATTCGCTTCGAAACACCGTTTATATTTAAACGGCTATTTTATTACCATCAAACCAGCCAATTGGACTATTTTTTCTTAAAGAAAAAGCACCTTAATTATTAATTTTTAAGTAAGTAAGTACTCTGGCTAAAATATTACGTCCAATTCAAATATCAAAGTGAATGCTACTTTTTCGAAGAAACGACAACGTTGCGTCGCTTAAAATCTGTTAGATAGCTTATGTACACAACTCCGTATAAAAACATTTTGCATCCGACCTATTATGCGACAAAAAACGGAAAAACCTTGGCAGTATTTTTCCGTATTTCTTACGCTTTTCGGTATTAAGTGGCAACATCGCATTTCTCTTAAACGTTACGTATGGTCATGTTATAAACGGTACCCGGAACTTACCGAAATGGAACGCCCACAGATCGCCGCAGGAACCCCGCAGGTCTTGGTACCCGCCGTATATGAGCATGGTTCCGTTGTAAACGAGCGACGTGTGGCCCCGTCTACCGATCGGCGTCGAGACGCCTGGAAACGACGTGTAAACTCACTTTTAATTATTTAACTTGAATTTTAATCAATTTAAAAAAAAACAGATTTTTTTTAAATAACGTTTTTTTAATTAATTCTCACGGATTTGTTTGAAATTTGGCAGCGCCGCTTCCGGTGGTGTTAGGGCAGTCGGGCAACTTAATAAAATGTTTTTCGTCACTAGAATTTTTCTCATATTTTGCTTCGTTTACGAGATAAAAAATAAAAACTTTTTACACTTCTTCTCTTCCTGTACTTCTTCTTATCACTGAAGCAGAAGTAGATCAACCACCAGCCACTCCCGTATTAAAAAAATCATAGTTGTCGCTACTTTTTGATACAAGCGGCAACACCGCAAAACTGAAAACTAAATCCATAGAGTCGAATATCTGTGCGCGCAAATTTTCAGCAACCGGTGGCACCGCGAAACGCCATGTATAAATAAAATGTATTTTACCTAAGAGAACGTTTGACAAAAATGAAATTTTTTCAACGCCCGGTCATAAAAGTTTGCTCGATTCCTACCTTTTTTCGTTCGCAGTTTCTTCCACGTGTTCCCTTTCAGTTCGTAGACCCACAGGGGCGTCTCGGTGCCCGCCGAAAACCCCACTTCGCCGCCGAACACGTAAATGCGGTCTTTGTGAGGCACTGCCGTGTGCTCTTGCAGTATCGGCAGCTTGTCGCCGGAGGGTTTGAGCTGTTTCCATTTGCCTGTAACTGCACGATTTATTCTCGAAAGTTTCGCATCGTTCCCGCTGCGTTTTGAGCGTTCCCCGTGCACACATTTACACCGCGCACTCCTTAAATATTCCCGGCGCATTCGCCCATATTTTTGCAAAATAAATAACGATTTGACACGCGAGAATCGCCACAGAATCGTCGAAATAGTGTCATACGTACGAGCGCCCTCTAGCGGCTTGTATCTCCACATTACAAAAATAGAAAAACAATTGGTGTCACCGTTAGATGGCGCAATAATCATCAATTTTTAATAAAAGCAAGTCTAATCTTTCGATACGTACATTTGTACTTCAATTTTTGTTTACATTTCCAAAGTGACCGTTTTTCACGAAAATAAATACTGTTTAATGTCTATAATTTCAAAAAAGTGATATTTTAAAATTAGACTCCAATTATGAGGTACAAATTTTCAAAAACTAGAAAAATATGCGTTTTCCATTTGAAACAAACAAGTTGACAACTAAAGACATGTTTTAGATAACCATACGCAGCTTAGATAATCCAGACACCTCCACCTGCCTAGCGGTTTCAGATCTGGACCGCCACCTTGTTCATAAAAAAATCAAAGGTTATGTTAGTATCAAGTTTATCCATAGATTCGTATTTCTCTAATTCTAGCAGAAAATAGGTCCATCCTAATGGACATATCTAATATACCTAAATTGTATTTCCAGAAGTCTTTGGTGGGCAGGTTGCCGTTGCGTCCCCCCAAGACGTAGAGGTTCTCACCGATTAGGGTGGCGCTGTGTTTCGCACGTGCCGACGGTGCCTCGTGAGCGGCCTCTTGCGGACCCACGGACATCCACATTCCTAAAAAAATAACCGATACCGCGTCAAATGCCATATATTTTGCAAGTACGCCATAGTTCAAGTCATTGCGCTTGAGTTATTCATAATTTACCTCACCAATTCTTGTACACTGTTAACGTCAATTAATGTGTTTTACACCTGTTATGATAATTATGCAGTTGCATTTATTAGTACATACGAAAATTGTATACCTAATATTCTGATACGCCTAAAGTAAACACTTTGTTGTACCATATAATATTGCTATTGCTACTACTACTAAAAAACTGGCTGTTTTTTATCCCTTAAATTTTTGCTGGGCCAGAGTATTTCACTAACATTATTTTCGGTTTAGTTCAAGAGAAGATGCGAATTTTGTTAACTGCATAAGGACTGCATATAGCAGCTTAGCACCATTGGCGACCATGGTTAAAATTTCCCAATCTACTAAGCACCTAAGCATAAGTTTGGCGTTGTATTTAAGGTTATGTTTCTATTCGTTTTGTTTCGTGGAAATGTTTGTTAAAAAAGGTACGTACAAATCTAGAACAGTTGCCAAAATATGAATATTTCCGTTGCTGTTGCGATTTAAAAGCATGCGACTGGAGGTTAGGAAGAACTACGTTAAATCTAATGTCCAATCACAAATCATACTTTGTAAACAACTTTAAGCGCTCGCTTGCTGTAAAGTTTAACCGTTATAGAAATATAGGTGACATAGGCCGACTTAGACAAGAAAATCGTACAAGAAATTGAGGTTAAGTTTACGCTATCGTGTTTTTATTCAGAATATAAGCGTAAAGTTTCGCTTACGTGTTTCGTGTTGTGTTTACGTGATAGTGCGAAGGCTGTATTAATTAGAGGATTAGTCAGCTGGCTGCTGGTGTCTCTGATACGCGCGAGTACCCTTGAGCTTGGTTTATTTTTCGCGGGAAATGGAACTCGGCGTCCGGTATACCGTAGAGAAAGTCCGACGGTTGTGGTTCTCTCAAACTGGCGCTTCCGGCTCCCGCGCTGCTTTAACGCATCCTCCAGAGATACTACTTCAGACTTCGAGGGTCACGATGTACACCACGCGGTCACAATTCGCACATATTTCCTTTTTTTTATCAATTTTTTCGCGAACCACCACAAAGGACCCGCGTTTCCCGGTCCCGTCGTCGTCCCGGATCGCGTCGCGGCGTCGCCGTCGCTGCGCCGACGTCAGCCATCGCAGTATTGATCGAGATTTGCACGTGCTGCGGCCTCCACTGTCAGACTTTTCGTCTCTTAGAAAACGATACAGGCTAAAGTCTATTTCAGAAAGACATAGAGTAATAAAACCTATGCAAAGCCTGAAATCTAGTGTGGGAGCTCTGTGTTGTTTGTTTGAAGTTTTATTTTAATTTATTTTTAAATAATGAAAAAAAATTGTTTCTTATTGTCATTGTAACTTTTTTATCAGCGTATATTAATCATTATCAAAATTGTTTTCTAAACGCCTTTAACATGCCCTTTCCTATAAATAAAATTACGTAATTAAAGCCAAGAAGATAAATCATCGAATACAGGAAAAATTGTTCCACTTAAAATAGCTGCTTAAAAATTATTATTATTATTATTATTATTATTATACACAATGTACTCCCGAAAGTTTTTTTTATTTATTTAATTTTTAAAGTAAATAAGTTTTCTAAATCTGAAGAGACCGAATTAATTAAATTAGCTATTTCGTGGGCTTACAAACTCCTTTTTATAATTGTATAAATTTAAATCGCAAATTTATAAATAAAAAAAAGGTTTTCACTTTCGTCGTTTTTTATTTTTTAATGAACAAAAACAACAAAACAACAAACAAAAAAAACAGCCCTTTCGCAGTCTTATAAGCTACTTTTTATAAATGTATAAATATAAACCGCAAATGTATAAATGAAAATAAAAATCATTTTCGTCGTGGGTTCTTTCGCCATAAGCGACGAAAGACGAACCGTGATTTCGCGCGCACGTCTACAGCGCCACGTTGTCAGATTGTGCAATTCGGAAATTACTAAGCGCTCAGAGTGCTGAGCAGAAGCGGATACGTCTCGTCTTCGGACGTCTTCTGACTCGAACGTGCGTCGGCCGATGGCGAGTCAGTTCGCCATGTTTGTCGCCACGGTAACGTAATGCGTTCCGAGCCGACCGCCCATCTTCTATACACGAGGCAATTGAGGAACGCCTGTAGTGGGTTCGTGAAGGCCTGCAAAAATAAAACACGCCATTATTGAAAATTATTGAAACAAGTCTGATATAATCCAGACGACGTTCTGGTTAGTTTTCCTGTTGAATTTCTCTTAACTAAAGTTCCTATTCCTGAAACACTAGGTAAAGTCTGTTCATAGATATAAGAAAGTGACTAACCGATACGAATTAAGGAAAGACCGTAAGAATGATATATGGCCGAACAGGTCCGTACTTTGCTTAGAATTTAATTATTTGGGGTTTTGTTAGGAAAGATAGTAAACAATATTTATTGATTTATGTATGTATTTATTTTTAAATATAAAATAAAATTACAAATTATTTTTATTACCTACTTAAATTAGAACTAGTTTGTTTTTAAACCAACTTTCAAATAAATCAGCGGTGGCGTCTTCATGGTAATCCAGAGAAGAATCTTTAATATTGTTCGCAGACAGAGAAAGTCCATTTGGAATCCAACCATCTTTAGAGCCAGCATGCAAAATAGTTATTCTTTTACCTCTTTTTGATGGCGCGTTTGTTTTACACTTTGACTCAACCCATCATAAATGTCGAACCAGTTTTCATCCAAGTAAATAATTGGCCTTTGTCAATTTTTTTAAATCTAAAACCCATGTGTTGAATAAGGTAGGTCTACCACATTTAACACCTGTTTCATCTTTTTCAAGCCTCCTAATTAAGATATCTAATGTAGGCACGCTTCGTTAAATTCCGAAACTTTAGGTAATAATCTTGTTGCATTGTATGTTAATGACCACCCTTGGATAATCCCATTCAAAAGCAATTGGTCACTTTCTTATATCTATGAACAGACCATACCTATGAAGGTTATGTTTGTCCTCTAGTTAGTATTCGCCACCAATGACATTAATGAGGTAGTAACTATACCGTTCTTACCATAACGTACCACACCAGGACCAAGTACCGAGCGGGACACGCCCCCGGTAACGCCCACACCATCACTCCGTTGACCAGATTGGGCAGCCAGCACCCGTAGTAGACTGCGTTGATGGCGGCGCACTTGAACTTGATCGCGTGGACGATTCCGCGTTCTTTTTCGGTGTACTGACCTGACGTGCCGGATACGATCCGCCGGAGGTCCCGAAGGGAGGAGCAATACGCCCACGGACTTGCCACCATGACCGCCAGGATCGGGACGTACGTCACCAGGTAGTTCGGGAGAACTCTGAGGGCGGTCTCGCCGTGGGACACGCCCTCGTGACAACTGAAACGTATAGTTTGCTCCGGATTATTCCTCGTGCGATTTTTTTTACTAACTGTACAACTAAAACACTGATATTGCCGGAAATCGGAGTTCTGTAATCATATTAGACTGGAAATCGGGTTGGGTTGACAATGTGTGACCTTAGCAAGGCAGTCGAAGCTGTATCTCGCACGATCTTCTTAAACAGAAGCTGTTTTGGTATGGATTTCGCGGCTGAACCTTTAAGCTAACAGAATCTTATTTATTAAACAGGGAACATTTTCAGGCGTAAATCCTCTTTGGGGAAGGTCTCCAGTGGGTCCGTACTCGGCCCTGTGTTTTTAATACTGTATGTTGCTGATCTATGTCGTTTTCTACGGTCTGTCAAATCTGCCAGCTTTACGTTATATGGTCCGAATTGGAATGACCCGCACAACTAACCAAAACTATCTTCCAGCTTATTCGTCCTCAGAAAAATTAGGGAGAGCCTAGACCAAAATGCCCTAATGACTGACATTATGGGGAAACTCTGTCAATGCTGTTCAAATATTCATGATACTGAACAGGGCTATAAGAATTCTTGCTGGGGCTAAGCACACTGAACACTGTACTCCATATTTTCAAAAATATAAGATAATGACACTGCACTGTACCTATATCCTCCATAATCTGTTAGAAATTCACAGACATACTAATATATTTGAAGGTGAGTCTCATAGTAATCCAACACGTGCAAAAAATCTTATGAGTTCCAAGCATCAGACAAAATTCTTTAAACATCAACTAGTACAATGTGCTGCCAGACAAATGGCTTTTGAGGTGTTCGAATTTTTGAATTTTTGTCCTGTCCTGTTTGCGAATAAGCGCACCTAATATTATCGTGGACCGTGCAGCAATTTTTGACAATGTATGGTAAAATTTCAACGGTGATTAAAAGTGGACATGAAGTGAGCCAAAAGTATCGTTTCAATTGCCTCCAAAATGTCAACCTTTCGATGTGGACGTACCTGGCGTTCGGGTAGTAGAGGGGGAAGAGGCCGACGGCCGTCAAAATGGCGGGCACCGTCCACGCGGTCAGATGGTACCTGGAAAAATCGGGTTCGTTTCGTTTCAACACCTGTCGCATGTCCAGCGCGTAGAACACGGTCCAGAACCAAGTCGACGCGTAAAAGTACTGGATAAAGGTCTGAAAAGGTCCGCCATTTTGTTTACAACACGGCTACACTAAAAATCACAGCCGGGCTGGTAAAGAGAAAACAGCTTCTCGTAGTCTAGTCTAGTAGTCTCGTAGACTACTTTTTATAAATGTATAAAAAAAGATTTATTTTCTTCGCTTTTCATTTTTCAAAAAAACATTTTACTTTCGTCGCTTTTTATTTTTCCATAAACAACGAAAGAGGAAGCACCTATTTCTCTGGCTTGTAAACTGCGTTTTGTAAATTTATAAATGCAAATCGAAAATGTATAAACGAAAAAAACGATTTTCGTAGACTTACAAACTAATTTTTATAATTGTTTGAATACTACTTTCCTCGTAGTTTCAATAAATAACATGAGAAAACAGCTCGTAGTGTTGCAACCCAAACAAAACTACTTTTTATAAATGAATAAATATAAATCACTAGTTTATAAATTAAAAAAACATGTTATTTTCGTCGCTTTTTATTTTTCCATAAACAACGAAAGAGGAAGCACCTATTTCTCTGGCTTGTAAACTGCGTTTTGTATATTTATAAATGCAAATCGAAAATAAATAAATCAAAAAACGATTTTCGTAGACTTACAAACTAATTTTTATAATTATTTGAATACTACTTTCCTCGTTGTTTCAATAAATAACAAGAGAAAACGACTCGTAGTGTTGCAAACCAAACAAAACTACTTTTTATAAATGAATATATATAAATCACTAGTTTATAAATTAAAAAAACATTTTATTTTCGTCGCTTTTTATTTTTCCATAAACAACGAAAGAGGAAGTACCTATTTCTCTGGCTTGTAAACTGCGTTTTGTAAATTTATAAATGCAAATCGACAATGTATAAACGAAAAAAACGATTTTCGTAGACTTACAAACTAATTTTTATAATTGTTTGAATACTACTTTCCTCGTAGTTTCAATAAATAACAATAAAAAACAGCTCTTAGTGTTGCAAACCAAACAAAACTACTTTTTATGAATGAAAAATATAAATCACTATTTTATAAATTAAAAAAAGCATTTTATTTTCGTCGTTTTTTATTTCTTAATAAGCAACAAATGTAAAATCAGGTATTTCGCATGCCTGTAAATTAGTTTTTGTAAATTTATAAATTTAAACCACAAATATATTAAAGAGAAACAAACGATTTATTTTCGTCGAGAAAGCAGTCACTTGGCGGGCTTATAAACTGCTTTTTCTAAATTTGTAAATATGAATCGAAAATGTATAAGTGAAAAAATGGTTTATATTCGTCGTTTTCTATTTTTAAATAATCAATAAAAGAGTATAAATACTACTTTTATCGTTTTCTATTTTTCAATAAATAACAAGAAAAAGTAGCTTTCGTCGTCTGACAAACTAAACAAAACTACTTTTTACAAATGTATAAATATAAATCAAAAAAGTATAAATTAAAAACTATTTATTTTTGTCTTTTCCTATATATAAATAACCGACGAAAATAAAAACATCTATTTCGTAGGGTTCCAAAGTACTTTTTATAATGGTATAAGTATAAATCACAAAAGTATAAATTATTGAACTTAAAACTCCAACTTTTTTATTTTTAAATTAGAGATATTTTTCCATTTTTATATTCCACAGCGAAAGCCAAGTAAGAAATGTTCTTTATCTCCATTTTTCCTCGTTCGATTTATAAAAGAAGTAAAAAACAGAAATATCCGCCAAAAAATTGACAAATCGGGTATTTTTTATAGGAAACGGTTTGATAAAAGTTTTTAAAGAAAACAGTTTTATCGGAAGCGTGCTAAAAATTGGACTCGCTTCGCAGTTTTCCACAAAACTTCCTGTTTTTGTGTTTTTATATATTTCCAATACTCCAAAATATTGACAGTTGGTTGGTATTGCAATTGGTTGATGTCTATTATTTAGATTAAAAGACATTAAGCCCGATCCAGCAAAAACCGCAAGGTGGCCAAACGCTTGTGCGTGAAGGTAGCATGGAACTGGTACATCGGTGAACGGACATCAGATCACTGCCAATTTGGAAAATCTTTTTTTTTTCCAGATGGGAACAAATTATAATTAATAATAATGCAAACTGACGACAATTTGGGAATGTATATTTGCATTTATTGTTCACTGATCGTTTTTGGTGCTCCCTCTTGCAAGCGAATAGACTATACTTATAGAAAACGTCCGGACTTACCGACGTCCCAACGCAGAACATAATCGTCGGACTGTCCACTGTGGTGGACAGTATACTGCCGTGACTCATCCAAGACAGCGATCTGGCCAAAACGCCTGAAACGGTCACAACCGATGACGAATTTACCAAAAAATACAATGAAGAACTTATCGATTTATTTTTTTTTACTTTTTCTGTACCTATAGCGGCGGCCAGGTCCGCCATCGCGAGCCACGTGACTATTTTCCTGCCCCTCGACTCCGTGTGTGACACGAGCTTTGAGCGCCCTCTAGATTGCGTTCTCGGCAAAATCTAAAAATGGCGACAATGTTGAAGTCGCGGTTTTACAATTCTTCAGAAATGAACAGACTGGCAGCATTTCAATGAAATATTAACCACTAAATCAAAACAAAAATGGTCAAACATAACCTCAAAATAGCGGGGGGCGATTTTTGCGTCCATTTTAAAAAGAAAACTTCATATAAACTTACGAAATGCAGAGTGGTAAAGCTATTATAATTTTTTGGTATCTGTATATACATACATTATTTAATATACCATATTTTCACCTGTCTATTTGTGGCACGCCACTGATTACTCGTAAAATAAAAATTATTCTTACAATCTAACAATTTCTAAAGAAATTTGATTCGAATTTTATGCAAATGTCATTATGTTTTTAAGGAAGTCAGTGTCTATGAACAATTAATATTTTGGTTAATTAGGTAGCCACTGCACTGGATAAATCGAGAACATTTTTTTTGAAAATTAAAATTCCTATCTAAAACCAACTGAAGAAATGATGAGAAGAAATTTTCGCTAATCATCCTGTTGGCTTCTTCAAAGCTTGACTGAAACTGTTTCACCACCCGATTCGGTAAAATCACATTCAATTAAATTCTTTAAGAAATAACGGGTGATTCAATAAGAGTTTCCACATTACAATCTGAAATATTTTTCAAACGCCACTGTATTTGTTTATTATCATATGAGATTTCTAATCTCAAAATATAACAAAATTAGCCATAAACGACCTACGTCATGCCACGTGAGTCGCAGGGGTCATTTGAATGATATCATATTTCATACCTAATTGTAATACACTAATCTAAAATGGCAAATAAAAATGTTTGTATATTTTTATATTATTTTAATGTGGAAACCCTTATTGAATCACCCTTTATTTCAGGTTGAAACTGCCAACTTCTCAAATAAATTGATTTTCAATATTATTCTCTTTATTTTTATTTTTACTTTTAATAACTGATGCATATAGGACTTGTCTTTATTCTCTTGAGATATACACCAACTAAAACGTTTGCGTGTATGTCAGAGATGAGGGAAATGGGAATCATGGGAACTCTCAGATAGTTCCGGAATTCCCTGCCAAATCTAGAAATATACGTTCTACTTTTGCTATCGACTTCTGTAGAATGAAGGTAGATATTTAAGCATTCCTTATGGTTAGGATACAGAATGTTTTGGACTTAATCAACTAGACCCCAATGTATTGTCAATCATATTAACATTATTATTACACGATATTACTATTACATTTATCTATTATACTATATTTAATTTATCAATGTAATTATAACTCCCTATTTAGTTTTCAATTTAAACATTTAAGTGGTTAAGAATTTATTATATTATTATTATTATTATTATTATCATTATTATTATTATTATTATTATTATTATTATTATTATTATTATTATTATTATTATTTTATAAACCAGACTTTTAACGTTCTGATTTCTGAGTATTTAAATAAAACAGATAGATAATTTCTTATGTGAGAAATAATAAAAGTTAAGAAGGTTAGGATATATATATCCAAATGAAGTTTTTTTTTTAAACGGACCCAAAAATCGCCCATATAATTGAAATTCAATTGGAAAACATCCTGTATGTTGTTCGAGACGTCAAATAAATTGACTGTGCTCCTTCCCCAGCGTGAAGCCCCTATGTTCAGACAACAAGAAATTCATCAATCGTACAAAGTTGTTATATATATAAAGTTTTTATGCAAGCGTCGCGTCGCAGATACTGGGAATACTGAAGCTAGCATTTCATCAGCATATTCTATCACATAATTCCTCCCTCCGAAGTGGAAAACAACAGGGACGAAGGGTTGTTTTCAGAAGACTGGTCGTTCTTGGTTTTCTTGGAATCTTGCAGCAAATGGCTCTTGTAGATTTTCCATGCTATAACTATTAACAAGATTAAAATAAACATCATTCCTGTTGAAGTGGCGAGACTCCAAGTGACTGGATGAATTTCATAACCAATGTCGGGGATCGATGATTTCGCAGCTTCTCGTAGTTTTTTGATCGTATTGAGATCAATCGATTGTAGTTGGAGTGGCTGGTACTTTACATCGTGATGTTCCATATTTTCAATTTTAATGGGTGGCAGTGAGAATGGGTTTGCTTTAAAAATTTCTTCTTTATTCCAAAGCTCAGTATTTTGGGTACTTATACCACAATTATATGGAACATTGATTAGGCAGGCTTCTTCAATAAAAGCTATTTCTTTGTTTTGACAATTCATTTGTAATTTAAGTTTCTGTTCCGATGGTATTATCAAAACAAATCTACTAGTGATTGGTCGTATTATATGCGTTGAAACATTTACATTGACTACGTGGCAATTTTTGTTTTCGGCATATTTAATGAGGGTTGTCACACAATCACCGATGGGCTGGGTAAGTTGATTTTCGCAAACGTAGGTGTCTTCAATGATTGGGCAGATTGATTCTTGATATTGTTGCATGTCAGTGCCCAATATTAGGTAGGGTGAATTAGGTATAATTAAGGAGTGATTCACAGGTACTGGGAACAGGTGGAATATTTCAAAAATATCTTTAAGAAAAATCGGAATATGGACGGCAAAAATTATTTTATCTTTTGTAAATTTAACTTGTAAGTTTGCTAACTGATAATAATTATTTTGATTTTCAAAAATTAGAATTTGATCATCACCATAGAGAACAGTCAATTTAAAAATTATTTGTTCTAATTCAGCCGCCGATATTACTACAGGATGTAATGTGTTTAATTTCGCAAATGTAATGACATTTTCTAAATTATCCAAAAAAGTTATAAAACTTTGGCAATTTAGAATAATTTGCATTAGTGTATTTTGAGCTTTAATGAAAGTAGTTATGTCAGTAATAGTTTTATTTGAATTATATTCAAAAATGTCTATATGTTTTTTAATAGCTTCTTGATTTTTCTGTAGAAGTGTTATAGTATCATTATAGTTGTCAATCAGCTGTTGAATCAACGAGGTTTGCTTTTTTAGTTGGATGTCAGATGAATGTTTACTACGCACAAGTTCTGTGATAATTTTATCGTATTTTTGTCCATCCTCTGAATCGAGAGTACCAAAAAGCCATTTCGATAATTTACCTACAACATTTATTAAACCTTTTTTTGTACGGTTATTAGGTTTTATGTTACCAAGTTTAAATTTTACTTGAGTAATTAAATATCGAACATTATTAAGTAAATTATTTCCATTAATATAGTGTACATTCTGATAATTATGTTTATTTGTATAGTTTAATGATTTTGAGATTACAGCGTAAGCGTATTCTAAATTACGTAATTGATTAAAAAGTTGAGATGTTTCTACAAAATGCAAAAATGTATGTTGATGTTGAATTATTCGAGCATTTCCTAAGCGGAAGGGGAGAAGTGGTGTTTTAATTGGGATAACTTCAATATCATTATTCCCTATCACTAATAACATCGTAGCTGCAAGAAGGAACAGCGTTGTCCGGTTCATTTTTAAAGGGGGTGGCCATAAACAAATCCTGTTCTAAACATTCTAAGTTTCGTCTATCGCCAAAACAATTTAACAAAGCTCCTTTAATATTGTCCCACGTTACTAACTCCATTCTACAGCCTACTAGAATTTGTGCGCGATCAACAAGTTTCATTCTTATAGTTCTTAACAAATATTGTTTTAAAATTTCGTCGTTTCCTTGACCATATGTATCAAAAAGGAAATCTCCAGCTGATAGAAAACTATTTAAAGTGTTGGAATCACCATTATATGGCAGAATACTATCTATAAACATTTTTAACAAAGTGTAATTTACACCTGAATTCGACGATTGATTAGAATTCATTTTCAAATTGATTTGACTATTCTCTACTTTCTTTTCCACTAAATTTAACGAAGTAAAAAACGCACTTAAATTGTCGACGTCTTTATCTTCGTTCATAAATTTAATTGATTTTGAAATTTCTTAAAATTGAACTTAAAACTAAGAATCCTTAAAATTATTTCCACCGTCCTAACCAGGGAAGATGAAAGGAGAACAATAGGAATTTTGGGCACTAACCTTGATTTCTCTTAGTCGTCAGCCTATTCTTCCTATTGGAATTTTCCTTGCGTAGCACTGCTTGCGGGGGGTGATTTCTTGCCTTCCTTGCCCTCAGTCGAACTCAATCACGTTGGGTTTGTCAGACAGTATCACTGGTTCGTTTTGGAGTCTAAGGGTTGAAACCCACGTTTCGCGATCAAATCGTCCCGATGACGTGGCTTTGACCGAAAACTACCCCAAATCCTACCGACTGCGCCAGTTAAGGTTTTCTAACGAAGGATCTCGTTTTTAAAAAACACTTTTTTATTTTGCAAACAGAACTACGAGGTTTTATTTAACCCGCTACAAGGAGAACTGGACGCAAAGCACAGAGTTGTTATATATATAAAGTTTTTATGCAAGCGTCGCGTCGCAGATACTGGGAATACTGAAGCTAGCATTTCATCAGCATATTCTATCACATAATTTATACCTGGTATATCGCGCCCAGAGCGCCGAGGAGCGAAGAGCACACGCACGCGACGTTGTAAACGTTCGCGTCGAACGCGTCAACGATCACGTTGGCAACGTCGCTGCCGTTACCGCGACGACAGCAAAACGTCTGTATCGTCGGATCTGACATTGCGAGAGTTTTGAAGCCGAGTAAACATAGAAAGCCGATATAAACACGGCGTTATCGTTTTCCGGATTTTTGACGATTTGACGGTCAAGACGTGTGATTTGGCTTGATGGCTGAGATTTTTTAGGTTGTGGACCCGTACGCTGCGAATAGGGAAGCCGCTTTATCCGGGCTTGTTTGTTTCCAGATAGCGGCGTTGTTATCAGAACCTCGTGTGTATTATTTCGGTCTTAAATTGGTGGTTATGCAACTCACAGAGATAACTATTTATTTATGAGATGAAATTGACTAAAACAGAATCTCCTATAGACAAGCGGAGAATATTTTTATAACCTCACACTGTGCTTCTATTTTTGGGCATAAAATTATATTACAAACGAACTCTTTACGGAAACTAAGAAATTCTGTACAAATAGAGGGAGGTTAACTTAAGGAATGGTCGCTTGCCGAATCACAATGACAATGACATTTCGAAAAAGTACCTTTTCATGCAGAGGAAGCTTCGATAAAACATTGATTCGTGGGAAAGTCCTGAAATTTCCTGAAATAATCGCCATCTTCTTCACAACCAGTTGTGTCAAATGCATACTATAATTTTTAAGAACGTATAAAATATCAAGGAATTCTCCTTTAAACGAGACCTAGCTCGACTTTACTTTATTTAAATTAAGATAAAATTAAACGAAAAACGAAGTCGTTAAGTGCTTTATTCGGTTTTTTCCACAAACGCAGTGGTAGATGCTTCAAAACGGGTCCACGCAGAGTCCGCTGGCGTCCCTCTCCGCTTCGCCGGGACATCCCGAGCCGGGCACGTCTACCGCGTTCCTGTCTAGTAATTTGGGTACCGAAGTGCTACTCGTCCGATTAGACACGCCCCCGTGTCCCTTACTAACGTTGCGATGGTTCTCGGATATCCGTTTCGCCATCTCTTCGGGTTTTTTCTTAACCTGGAACACGTCGCATCTCTATCAAGGAACTCTGCGACCGCATACGTCACTTTCGAGAGTGTCGCATCTGTATCTTACTTGTTCTGTGGCCAAATTTAAAAGTACAGTCGAAATTATATTCAAAGGGTCTTAGGCACTTGAAAAATAACAGCACGTGTGTTTTGGAATAAGTAATATTTAAATATTTTATATACATATTTCAGAACTACATTTAATGTTAATTTTATATTTTTTTAGCCTAGTTTTTCCCGTTTTAACGCTCACTAAATTAGTGGTGGGCGATTATATTTCGATTATGGCCAAATAATAATTCGACAACTTCGAATTAATAATAGCAAGGAATGACGATTTGATAATTTGATTTTTGGGTGTTGGAAGCCATTTTATACAACCAACCAATTACTCGTAAATATCAATTCCCCACGCACTGTGTCTCTCTAAGTTTGGTTTATTTTGGTTTTATGTTTTTAACGTTTTTTATTGTATTTTTGTCAATTATAACATAGTAATAATTAAAGATTTGTATAAAATAGTGTTATAGTGTGCTAGCTATGTGATAAAATGGGTTCCAGAGCGAAACGCACGACAATATACGCACTGTAAATAAAATAAACTAAAAAGCTGAAAACTGAGTTAATCGCAACTATTTCAAGACGGCTCGGCAGACAAAATATCAGTAAACGCCAGTGTCTGGGGACCAAGTTATGAAAAGCGAGGTTTTCAGGAACAGACAATGCCTTGAAGAACTTGCCAAGACTTCAGTTAAAGCTGCGACTGTTTCATCCTAGTCTGAAGTCGACCATGGCACTTCAGATTGTGACATGGCATGGGAATATTTCGACTAAAATGTCTCGGATTGTACCACTACAGCAAAAGCCATTGTGGTAAAACAGTATTTGTCTATGCCCGACTTTTTGGTCACGAAACTGTTACGTCGGTGGCGCCATCCAGGGTCATTTTTAAGGATTATATTGCCAGTAGAAAGCTTCAGTTTATGTGCAAGATGGCACACATTTTAATATATGTAAAAGCCGGGAAGAAATAAAGCTCTTTCAGTACGTACTTTAATTTACAAAAGTCTACTGCCTGTCTGTCTCCTGAAAGGATATTTTCGAAAACTGACATCATTACAAATTCCAGAAGAAACAAACTTTCGCCGAAAAATTTAGACTCGAATTGTTTTTTGAAATATAAATGGTTAATTAATTTTATAAAAATAATCGTAATCGTAATTCGACATAATCTTATAATTAATAAGTTTTATTATTAATACCAAGTTTTATTTCTCTCATCATTCATAATGGTTTATTTCAATGATTATTGAAATCGTTATTTCCATTATGAAAATGTATCGATTATGCTCATCAGTAACCTAAATCCACACCACAGACAATTGGTAAGATTAAACACATATTTTCATTCATTCATAGATCACAAACAGGTAGTTAGAAGGTATCACTGACCACAAAAAAAAGTCAAATTATTTAGAACACTGTTCGGGGATCCTTGATTACATTCAAAACATTGGAGACCAGTTATCAATAGTACTTAAGAAATATAATTTTTAAAACCACATTTACGACTTGGCCGGACGCTTTGACATAAATATAAGCTTTTTCGAAGCAATGCCACAGTATACTTTGGTTCGACGTGAATGTTTTCGTTTTTTATTTAATTGTGGGTGGGGTGTGAGTAAACGACGAAGTTTTCATCGCGAAAATACCGACCTGCTTTACGCCGCTCGGTCCGGTCGGCGAATTTTCGAAAAATATAACGTCGCTTCCGTTCGATGGCAAGGTGGAAACGCCTCCTGGCGGCACGTCCTTGAGGAACTTCATCAGCGGGTCCGTTTTGAACCGTTCGCCGCTATGCGAGGTCTTGTAGTAGACGCAGCAACTGCCGTGGACGGTATCCGATTCGATCCGAACCACTTCGCAGTCTTTCGCCGCTGCCGTCGCCGCGACCAAGACGAAAGAGACCACCAAACTGTTAGGGGCCATCGCTGGACACTCACTGCAGGTAGTTTCCCGTGGAGAAACGATCAGGTACTTGAATTAAGCACCGGCAAACTGGTTGTCTGGGAAAAGTAATTGGCCGACGGTATTATGGGACCAAGCGATTTAAACAATGGGCGCAAATTACATAGTCATCTTCGTCGGGATTTTTTGCACACGACCTTCGGTCAAAGCTTACGGTTTTTGTTGGAACGCAAGTACAGACTGCTAGTCTAAACTAAAAAGCGAAGTTTGTAGGCCTGGCACAAAAAATTCATAACGTAGTTTCACAAAGTCGATAGAATCAGGTGGTGTTATGGCTCGGAAAAACGGGCAATGACCGAAAACGACATCAATGCATTAGAAATGCACCAGTAAAAGCCGACGGTTTAGAATTTCGGGAAACACACAAAGGCCTCTTACTAGAAATGTACTAAATGAAATATTTAGAGAGGGTGTTCTCAAAAACTGGTCGGCTCACGAATTTAGACGAAATAATATTTTTGAGTTACAGATTTTCCGAATTTTGAAGACAATATTAGGAATACTTATTGCAATAACCAGATAACGGGTTGTTTTTCGTTCCAATACGCCCATCATAACCGCAAATCCAGATATTTTTGTACCATGGGTAAATCGCAGTAGACTGGTGCTCTATTTAATTACGAATAGTCCCGTCCGGTGTTGTAATACTTTATTGAATCATAACAATGTTTAAAGGGTAGTGGCTCAGCACCCGTACTGTAAGTTAAGCAGATTGATGGTTTTGGTGAAATTCGCGGTGGTGACCAGCTCGGATCGCATGCCGAGCTCGAAAACCTTGGTGAAAATAATCTTGGCGTATTCCTGCATCACGGGAACCAGATCGGGCAGTCTTTCCATCAAACTGACAATCACGTCGCCGTTTTCGCTGTCGAGACAAGACAAAATGGCCGGTAGGGCGTCCGATGCCGCTTTGGGATTGTGTTTCAGCCACCTGACGACCAGAGAAAGTGCGAGGCACCTGGTAGAGTTGTTCGGCGACTCAATCAGCCCGTACAAGTACTGCGATACGGTTTCTAGCAATTGGGCCCTTTTGTTGGTGAGGTGGTCGATCTCCTGGAGGGCGTTGAGGTTGTCCGGGGCCAGGAGCGCATTTTTCAATTTCGACCAGTGTTGTGGGTAAAGTTCTGGGGTGGGAGCGTTGACCGCCCCGATTAGGAGGTCGGTGGAGTTTTCCTGGTCGATGACGGGCAGTGAGACGCTCGAAAGGAGAGGTCGGACGCCCGGCTGACTAAACTGCACGTCGCTGAAAATAATATAGAAAAAAAGTCGGTAGTTCATTTGTCCCAACTTAAATTCAAATTAAAATTAATAAAAAAAAATACTGCAACTAAGTAAGTTATAAAAAATGTTGCCAATATGGGCCAAGACAAACAATACACGAAATAATAATAATATTTAATATCATTAAAAAAAGAAAAATGAGATGGAACAAACAAACCAAGGTAAGCAGTTACGCAAACCTGAAAACATTTAATACTATATAATCGGTAGTTCATTTGCCTTAAATAGAAAAAAAAAGAAGCTAAACAAGGAACAAGACAAGCAACACACATAATTTTATATCAGAAAAAAAATTTTTGGAAGCCTTAAAAGGAAAAACAAGACTGGCAGTAAATTGGTTCCAATTTGAATGAACAAAGCTAATGACTTGTACCTCAGCAAAAAGGGCGAATAGTTCATTTGTTCCAATTTCTGTGAATTATAATATAAGAATAAAACACACATAGGCAAATTGAAATAATGGTAAATAAAAAATGCTCCAAACTTAATATCCTTGAAAGCGAACAGGCAGACAGTTCATTTGTCCCAATTTTGACAAAAAAAAAAGCCAAATTGAATAGCTAACCAGAAAAAACTCGGTAGTTCATTTGTCCCAATGCTTCCTCACAAATTTAAAGCAAAAAAAAACATATCCGAACTAAATAAATATTGTCAAACGCTATACGAAATTTGGACAAAGAAATTGAAAGACCTCAAAAAAAAACAAGGAAAATCCATCAAAAATCATTAAAAAAAACGAATGGGAGCTCATTATCGCAATTTTAATGAAGAAAGAAAAATTTATTAAGAAAATCAAAACATCAATTGTTGGCGAAAGAGAGAAAAGAGAAAACGCATTTGTTCGTTAAATAAATTAAGCACACCTGCTATGCATAATTTTTTATTCGGTATTTTTTGAAAAACAAATTCAAAAAATTATCTAAAAAAACTAAATAAAGAAATATTGAGACGAAAAAAACAGATCCAATATATTCGTATCACAGAAAAGAAAAATTAAATTTGACAAATTAAACGAGGGCGAAATAAAAATGCATCTAAGTAAAATTGCCGATACCCAAAACTAATGGAATTCGCAAAAAATTAACAGCAATAAATGAATGAATGATAGCAGATAGTTCATTCCGAATCAATAGACAGACAGAAAAAAAAAAGAAATTTGACAAATCAAAAGACCATGAGAGAAACATATATCGGTCCAAGTAAAACTCCGAATGCCAAAAATACTTAAAAAAAACAAATTAATGGGACAAAAAATTGATAAGAAATAAATGAATGAAAAAATGAATAACATTATGAAGAAGTAGTAGTAGTAGTAGTTCATTCACAATCAATACACAAAACTTGTATCACAGAAAAAAAATGAATGTATGTATTGGTAAAAAACAAATTAATGTCAAAAAAATGAAATTTGAAAAATTAAATCGTTCCAAGGAAATATTATGTCCCATTCGAAACTAAAAATGTTCGACGCGTAGTTCATTTGGCCCAATTTTGACCAACAAATTCAAACAAATAAAAATATGACCAAATACAACTAAATAAAAATTGACGAAATTTTATATCCGCGAATATTCTGGAAAATCAGGCACTTCATTAGTTCCAATAAAACTCAATCGTCCCAGTTTCTTGGAACAAAAAAAGGATCTTGTCTCATTCGCGGTAGTTCAAACGAACCAAAACTTACTTCAAAAGACCCCCGTGCTCCTGCAGGAACTTGGACGCGCCCCTCACGTCCTTCATCATCCAGTTTTGGATAAAAGTCACCAACCGCTTCACCAACGGTCCCAGATCCTTCGACTGCCCGTGATACTGCAACAGCAGGAAGTAAGTGTCGAGGAGGTCGCACAGGGTAGTGTTCTGGTGGAAAATGTACGGCTGCAGGAGTTCCATAAGGCCGAGCACCTGGCCGAAAAGAGCCAGGTGACCCCTGCCCTTGAGCACGCCCCAATCGTACTGAGCGCGACCTTTGAGACTGCCGGCCAGCATCGGCAGTTGTCTCAGAACCAAAACGGGATGGGTGGCGGCCAACTTGCGCGCGCACATCTCCAAATCTTGGCTTTTCTTCGTCCAATCTTTCGTCCGCGAGGTGGCGGTGAGAGCGCTCAACAGACAGTGGGATATCTCGTCCACGCTACTAGGACAGTTCTTCGCGTAAATGTCGGACCCGGCGTCCGGCTTGAATTCGACCTCGTCCTGTCCGGAAAACGGCAACGCCATGTAAATCATCAGCAACAGCTCGCGGGAGCGGGCGTCGGCGTCGCTAAATAACGCCCTGACCACGCCCACCGCGTTCTCGCCGATACATTTCAGCAGCAGCTGCAGCCGCGACTCCATTTTCGATTTCCAACCGTCCGAGTGGATCGCAGACTCTTCGAGCACGTACTTGACGACGGAGTGCACCTGAAAACGCGACCTCCGAAGCTACAGGACACGACTGGAGCGCCACCTACCTGCGTCTCGTCGAGTTGCAGCACGTCCTCCGGACGGGAATGCTTAGGTATCGTTTTGTCCCTGCCCTGCCACAGCTTGGGGCTGTTTATCAGGGCGGTGAGAAAATCGAGGGTCGACACCGGGCAGATGGCGCTCCGGTCGACGGCGCTCAGCAAGTGGGCCATTATGCTGTGCAGGATCTTCCAGCTGGCCCGTTGCAGCAACAGCGACATCAGCAGCGGACGGAAGTGCAGTTCCTTGCGCGAAAACAGCAGATTTACCTGCCGAAAGCCGGATACGTCGCTTATCCTACCGACAGCGCCGTTCATACAGTACCACCCCAATACATATTGGGGTGCTTCAAAAAAATTTTTTAGCTCTTACTCTCTCAAATGCCTCTTTTTGATTAGTTTCCCATTTAATTAACATGGAAAAAAATCTCTTTTCACTAAAATTAAATTAACGTATAATGTTCGCGATTTTTTACAAAAAAACAATTTATATTGTTAAAGTTTAAAAATTACAAAATTTTGAACTTTTCAGAAATAGATTCTAATAATTTTTTATCCAAATAATTTCTGAAAATTTTTATCCTAAATCTGCATGGATGACATCGCAAGTTTTTTAAGAGGAGATACGGAAATGGGATGTGTATTCCAAATCTACAAAATTTAAAAATTGCACATGGAAACTATATTAATCAATCTGAGCAATATTCATACAAAATTTTACCAAAAAAAAAACTATCCCAACTTCATCCGTCATCGCCTTTACTGTCAATGGTTGTTGTTTTGCTGTTCAAATGTGTCAAATTACAATCAAAATGACACCCGAATGAAACATCATCATTGTTTGTCCTACCGACTGCGCCGATTATACCTGCAATTTGTGATCCTCCGAATTCGCGATTTCCAATTCGACGGCCGACAACCAATCGACCAGTAGCCCTGCCCTCTCGCCTTCCGCGTCCTCTTTAAGCAGCAATTCGCCGAACTTGTCGCTGAACTTGTCCGGCAAGGCGGGGTTGTCGGGCGTCTTTTCCGCTCCGCCTTCCTTTCCGTCGACTTTCGCCGGACCGCCCGCGTAGCCGCCGCGGCGCAGGAACGCCGCCACGCTGTTGTTGGCAGGTATAAGCGCGAGCAGCTGCCTCGCCAAGTTACTTTTTCTAGCATCGCTCGTCCCGTCGAAGACCAAGCGAAATAAAGCCGAGAAACTGCCGTAGCGTGTAACCAGATCGACCGTCTGCTCTATCGGTTTGGAATAAACCACCTCGAACATGCTCCGCAGATGTTTGCCGTTCCGTTGGACGTTCTGTAACAAACGACCATGGAAGCAAATTAAGTTTTCGTTGTTCCCACTGCTGAAGTCCCGCTGACGTGACGGAAATTGTAATCGACCGACTTTGGAAATACCACCTAACATAAAAAATCGCTAGTTCAACTCGAATATATCTAGAATGCTTCAGATGACCCTCCATATTACCGCGCCATGCGTTACACATATTATTAATTGCTGTTTTGAAGTAGGCTATTTTCCTCCTATTTGGAAGTTTGCTTGGCAATAAATAACAACCCCAGCCAGTTCTCAGTCCTTCGTCCAATCAGTATTCTTCCAACGTTATCTAAAGTTTTGGAGAAATTCATAAATGTACAAATCTTATTGTCACTAACAGTCAATCTAGATTTTCTAAAGGTTTTAGTACTGTTGGTCTACTTATCAACGATCACATTATTAGTTTTTTAGACAATGGTCTTGCGACTGCACTTATATCTTTCGCCTTTGATCGCTTGACCATAAACTTATGTGCGTCACTACGGCTTCCACTCGAGTTTTTGAAAACTACTTAGCCAACATCTATCACAGAGTTACCATTGACAATGTAAGTTCTGAATTTCTAACTGTTTCATCAGGTGTACCGCGAGGTTCCGTCCTTGGACCTATATTATTCTTAATTTGTATTTCTGGTATTTATAGATCCATCGAATATTTGAATTTGCATTCATTTGCTGATGACACACGGCTATTTTACTCTGTTGATCCAACATTATTCGATGTTGCTTCAATTTAAATCAATTTGGATTTGCGTAACATATTTCTATGTTCTTCTAGCCATAATCTTCAACTTAATGCTAAAAAATCCAGTATAATATTCTTTTCTCCTAAACCTAAAATTGAACGAGTATCCCAAATGTATTTATATATTTTTATATTTGATTGTAGACTTAGATTCGTGGTATTGGTGAAAAAGTCTTATTTGGTTTTGCGCCATTTATACAGGCATAGAACTGTCCTTAATTTCAGTTTACGGAAACTTTTAGCTCAATCACTTGAACTTTCGATCAGAATAAATAAGAACTAAAAGTTCAGATTTTCGCGAAATTATATATTATGACATGACAATTTTTTCGACAACACCGTGTCTTTATTCTTTCGCTTATGAACTATGAAAAAATTAGATGAAGTACAACATAACAAGTAAAATTAGAGAAAAAGAGAGTTTGTATTTCAGGGAAGTCAACAAAAACAAGTTAAATAGTTAAGCAAACCTTACATACAAAAATTTATAATATAGAAAAAAAATCGGTAGTTCATTTGTCCCAATTTTGACGAATACAATTAAGTAAAAAAACTAACCAAAACAATCACGTCGATTTAAAAATATTACCAACAATTGAAATTACGATGAAAACACTGATTTCGATTCAACAAAACTAAAGGAAAAACCGGTAGTTCCTTAGTTCCAATGCGAACAAACAAAGCTAATTTAAAAAAAGTGTATAATAATAAATAAAAAAAAGGAATATAATACCTAAAAATTAATTTAAAAGGAACACGCAAGTAGTTCATTTGGACGAATTTTAATTTAACGAATTCAAAGGAACTAAATAAAAAAATATATTAAAACAATCCATTAAATTTTGAAAAAAAAAATCGAAATTTTATCGAATAAATTGAAAAACTAAAAAAAAACCTTGGGCCATGCAAGAGTAAATGAAAAAGGGTGGGTAGTTCATTTAACCTTATTTGGAGGAATAAACAAAAACAAGTTAAACAGTGAATCAAACTTGAAATTCAAACATCTGATTTAAAAAAAAAAATTGGTAGCTCATTTGTCCCAATGTTGAATGAATTTAAAAGCAAAACGGTTATATAAATTTAAAAATAATGCCAAAACGGGATAAGATAAAACAATACCCGAAATTTTAGAACGGCACACAAGATTGAATTTTTTTTTAATTCAACAGAACTAACTCAAAAACCGGTAATTCATTAGTTTTAATTTTGGCAAACAGTATCATCAAAAGAGAAAAGGTCAGGTAGTTCATTTAACCCTACTGGGAGAAATAACAAAAAAAAAACAGTGAATATCCAAAATTTTTGAGCCACACACGACAAAAGAAATAATAAATATCGGCAATACGGGGCCAGATGAACAAGGGAAATTTTATGACACGAAAGAAATAAAAAGAAAAATTTAAGACCCAAAAAACAAATTATATTGAACCGTACAAAGGGCCGAATTTAAATAAATAAAGCTACTTTAAATCATGAAACAACAACGGTCGTAATTATCCCTTTTTATACGGTTTGACACCAACCACTCACCCGAAACAAGCAATTTTCAAATTTTTTTCACAATACGTTTAAAAAAAAATAAGATGGCCGCCTTTCATAGCTATCATAGCTATTGCCAATTACAATCCGGGTGTTCAAAAAGAACCTCGCAGCTGGGACCGTTCGAGAGTTACCGTCGTTAGTTCAAATGTACCGCGTTACAGATAACAGACAAAGAAGGGCCACGGACCTTCAGCAGCTTCAAGATCGGCCGATTCCTGTCGACGCCCGGCCCGGCGTCGTAGACGAGCGCGAGCGTCCGGACGGCGTCGCCGTCGCCCTCTAAGCCGGGGCTCAACCTCGCGGCTGTCACGGGGGGCGGCCTCCTCGTCGCCACCGCTATGGTGACGTCGGCGTCCGGCACCCCGCCCACCTGCATCTCGATCGCTTTGACGAAAATGTCGCCGCCCACCGCCCCACGCCTATTCTGCACCTCGACCAGCTGAATCATGTAGGTCTTGTCCAGTACCGAGTCGACTACCAGCTTCTGATCCAAGATGGTCGCCTTGTCCAGAGTGTTGAGCAGTTTGCTGATCGAATTGGTGGGGATGCCGAACGATTGGATGAACAGCACGAGTTTCGGCGGTTCGAGCTTCTCGATAGCAGCGTCCACCAACTTGGGCACGTTCGACCTGATCATGCGCAGCTTCACCCAGTCCGGTAGGTAGGACGTCGTCTCCGACGTGTCGGGCGAGTAAGCCCTCGGGTGTTCCGCGTTCGACGGGAACCACGTGTCGAGCAGGGCGTCGAAGGGCTCGAAATCGTCCAAAGGGCCGTAGGTGAGGAGCACTATGGCCGCGTGTATGACCAGCGGTTGCATGGCGCATTGTTCGCCGGTCCCCCACGACACGATGACGTACTCGTTGTTGTAGTTTTGCTGCACCCCGTACGATTCTTCGGCGTTCTCCTTCGCCTTGGCGGTGTACACACAGAACACGCTCACCAGGTTCTTGAGGGTCACGCGGTCCTCCCCGGGCAACACGTACGAGACGACGCTGTGACGTTCGATGACGACGGAAGAGAGGTCGGCGATCAGGTCGTTCAGCTCCGCGAACGACTCGTAGCAGTCCTGCGTGGCCAGGAAATTGATGTAGTTGGAGACCACGGCGGGGTTGGTCTCTATCTGCAGCGCCTGGCGCAGGAACTGCACCAGCACCGGCTTGATGAGCGGGAAGTGAGCGAACTGAGCGATGTACCGCGACAACCAGTTGGTGTGACTTTCGCCGACGAGGTCGACGTCTTCGGTGGGGGACAGGATCAGGCCGAGGCCTTTGGTGGCCTGCGAGCGACTCGCCCCATGATCGGAAGTCAGCCGTCGGAAGAGATACTCGAGCACCTCGCAGGCGTTCTGCGCGTCGTTACCGTTGACCACGGTGCGCAGATGAGCGAGCAGCTGGCCGTGTTTGGTGAGCTTCTCCGCGGGCGCCGTGGACAGGAGATACTCGCACAAACATTGGACGGGGAGGTGCGACAGCACGCCCTCCGAGCTGTGCACCAGCTCCGCGAGCCACGGCATATGGGACGTACCTGGAGGAGAGATAATGTGAGCCGGCCCGGTAAATATTGAGGTTTCGACGGACGGACCTAATTCCTTGTACCTGCTTATGTATCGCTTGAGGGGAGGCGGAGCTAAACGAAATCTATAAGCGATTTAACAATCTTAACCGCGACTCAGGTCTTTACATGGGAATCACCACTATTTGGCTCCGCCCCCTCAAACAATATATAAGCAGTTTCAGTCAAGCTCTGAAGAAGCCAACAGGATGATTGGCGAAACGTTAGCAAGAGCGACGCAGGAAGAATCCAGATATTTTATAAAGAGTAAGTTTTATCCTCATTTTGTTTTGCCTTGGGACAGCCGAGCTATGAAAGCGAACGAGACCTACCTCCTTGACGGGACATGATGTCCAGCAGAAAATCAGGATGACGCGAACGGCACAGCAGGTGACCCAACCGATGAGAGTTGTTCAACGTCTGCAGCACGTCCAGGACGTGCTGGGGCGGCCGTCTCGCAGGTCCGAGCGGGTTCAACTCCATCAGCTGGGGCAGCAGCAGGCTCGTCTGCTCATTGATCTCGGCCTTGGTACTCGCGGCCGCGAGGTGCGACTCGAACTCTAATATAGTCTGCTTCTCGAGCACGATCAGCTGTTGCTCCTTCAGCTGGTAGTCCTCCTCCAGGGACATCATCGTCGGCGGCGGGAACGAGAAATGGCTGCGCGGAAGTGACGTTTTACGTTTCGAAAACGAGATAAATTGCTAAAATGATGTAACGTCAGAAGTGGGATGAAATTTTGGTAGCAAAATAGTCAGGGTCAGATCGTGAAAATACTAGTTATAACAGTTACAGCCTGGTTAAAATAATGAGAGACGATAAGCAAGTCAATAAAGTTTGCCACAATACAACCACGCATTTAATATGAAAAAAACATCAGGGCGAGGCCTAGATTCACTAGTTAGAATACGTAATCTCATTTCAATAACACCATGAACTTTTTTTATAAAAAATGCGTCCCACTTCTGAAGTTACATCATTTTAGCGATGGCCGCCCGATTTGGCAACGAGTGTTTTTACACTCGGTCCCTCTACTATAAGATTCATTCTATAAATTAAACAATGTCATTTCAATAACACCCTATGCTTCTTTTTACAAATATTTCATCTCACTGCTGAAGTGAGATCGTTTTAGCGATGGACTTGCTTGCTGTGCCTCAACTATGAGATTCATTCTTTAAATTAAACAATATCATTTTAATAACACCCTGTATTTTTTTTACAAAAATTGCATCTTACTTCTGAACTCAATCAATGAAATTGATTTCCAAAAGGCGCAGCCGGTAGGATCGGCGTTAGTCTAAGTATGATGAAAGTGCGCTTACTTCGTGATGCACATCTCCATGAACATCTTCAAGATTGGATACTTATTCCACGCGAGGCTGCCCACGCTGAGCGGGTTGTGAGCGGCGAGTATCAACAGGATGAGCCACACCTTCCAGTAGATGCTCGATATGGCCAATTTGGGCGGGGCGTAGCCGTGCGGCAGCGTGATGTTTTCCGGGTAATTGTAGCCGCAAAGGTTAAAGAAAAAGTCGAGAATCTCCACTTTGTCGACGACCAGTGGCGGGACGCAGTCCTGCGGCAGATTCGCCGCTCGTTTGATCAGCTGATCGACGATCTCGATGGCGTCGGTCGGAGCGATAGGGTGCTCCTTCGAAATGCCGATGAGCAGGACGCGGAGCAGGGTGGCCTGTAGCAGGGGTACCTCGCTGGCCAGTCGCAGGAATAGATTGCGTTCGTTTTCCCCGGGCCACGAGTCGACCTTGTAGTAGTGCTCCGCCTGTTCGAGGAACAGTACCTGGAAACCACGCCCATTCGGCCCATAAGGCGGAGGTCCGTTAATAGACTTCTTAATAATCGAGCAAAGTAGTATATGTTGGTTACTTCTGCACCCTCCGTCCTTGACATATCAATAGTACCTTTCAATTTTTAATTTATGTATGTGCAAGTCCCTGAGAAATATTTCGTGAGCTTTTGATTCGGAATATAAGCATGTTTACTTTTGATTAGATGTGTCCGCGGATGGACTCCTTAAGGGGAAAATTTCATAATTAATTGAAAACATTAACTATGGATATTTTATTTTGAAATATTCGACTTTTAATTTTGAAATTGGTATTTAGCCTTTATGCCCGTTTATAAAACCACTTTGAAACCCTCGAAGCATTTTCATATTTGACAGGTTAAGGCCCGTTAAGGGGCCGGACTTTAAAGGCAAACTTATCGGAAATTGAATGTAACTAACTCGGCAGGCTCACCTTTAGCAGTCCGTGGTGGAAGTCGGCAACGTTGGGTCGGTAAATCCGCAGCGCGGAATCGTGAAGCCAGGTGACACACTCGCGCTGAATGTTGCTCACCTGCATCTTGAACGCTTTCAGCACGTTCAGGTCGCGTTTGGTCTGGGTGGCGGCGTCTCTCACTTGAGGGCTGACGCACAGCAGCATGCACATCGATACCAGATCGACTAGCGAGAGGAAAATCCTCTCGCGGAACTCGTGGTCTTTGATAGTGGCGACGGTGTCTTTGCGCTCGCGCAGCAGCGCGTGCACCACGCTCAGCAAGTTGAAATCGTGCCTGAGCACCCGGTTGATCTCTTTGAGCAGCGCGCGCAACGAGCGCAGGTAATCGTCTTTGCTCAGCAGCAGTTCCTGCGACCGATATGAACGTTTGAACTGCCGTGTTCCGGTTGAAATATAAGGAGTAGCGATTTTCTGACGCTTTTTTTTATTTTTGTTTCTGCCATTGAATATTTGATGAGAATCCCAGAAACAGTGACTATATTGATATTGGTTACAGAAATCTATAAGCCCGAAATATAAAATTATAAAAGGTTATGACAAACAATAATTACGGAAATAAATAGAGTTAGCGATTTTACCTCAAAAACGTCTTTTTTATTATTAGAAATGTCAACCCAGAAACACATGGGGAGACGGTATAAGAAACGCAATGACCCACAGAAATCTACAAGAAGAGGACTGGAGAGACAGAAAGCGTTCACGAGTAAGATGCGAGAAACGACTTTAAGTTGTATTAAAATCGCAAATTATATATATATATATATATATATATATATATATATATATATATATATATATATATATATATATATATATATATATATATATATATATATATATATATATATATATATATAAGCCACCTCAGTTCTACCTTATTGAAGTGTATTCAACACAAGGGTTTTAGATTTAAAAAAATTAACAAAGGTAAGTTTTAATGAAATCTTTTAGAATTCGAAAATGGCGACTGGAATATCTAGAAAAAAATAGGATTCACAGAGAACATCAAAGGCCAATTATTTACTTGGATGAAACCTGGTTCGACACTTATGATACCCCGGAAAAGGGTTGGGTTGACTCCACTGACAAGTGTAAAACAAACGCGCCATCAAAAAGAGGTAAAAGAATAACTATTTTGCATGCTGGCTTTAAAGATGCTTAAATTCCAAATGGTCTTTCTCCGTCTGCGAAAAATATTAAAGATTTTTCTCTGGATTACCATGAAGACACGCTGATTTATTTGAAAGTTGGTTTAAAAACCTGAAATCTGCCATTCGTCGTAACAATGTTTTCCCCGTGTTAACTCCAATGTCCTGAAAAACCGAAGTTTTTAACATCCCTCCACAAAGTCGGGAAAATTGTGTTAAACATATAGAAAGAGCAGAACAATCGTAGACCCATATATATAGAACAAATAATAATTAGAACAGGCGATGATAGCGATAGTGATACTGATATATTATGTGAATAATTTTAAGTAATTTAAGTAGGTAATAAAAATAATTTGTAATTTTATTTTAGATTTAAACATAAATACATAAATAAATAAATAAATATGGTTTAGTATCTTTCCTAACAAAACCCCAAATAATTGAATTCTAAGCAAAGTACGGACCTGTTCGGCCATATTTCATTTTTACAGCTTGCCCGGTTCTTTCCTTAATTCGTATCAGTTAATCACTTTATTATATCTATGAACAGACTATACCTCTCCATTATTAAACTTAAATTCTCAAAACATCATTAATTAAGATTTTATGGTCATTTTTTATTTTTGATGAAGACACGGTGTTGTCGGAACAATTGTCACGTGAAAATATGTAATTTCGTGAAAATCTGAACTTTCAGTTCTTATTTAATATGTCGTTTTATTCCTTCTTGTTTGACGTATGTAAATCACCTGTGATAGTGCTTCGACAGTTTCATTTTGGATGTTTTCGTTCGTTTCGATTGGAATTGGAATAAAGAAAAATAAATAAATATTTTCGTGTCGCAAGCGCCGCCATCTTACCAGGCAAATGTCGGCGAACGCGTCGGACGCGTGATCCGGCTTGACCTGGAACACGGCACCGACGACTATGAGGTTGTTCGGGTTCCTCGCGTTGCTCAGCTCGTTGTAGATGGTATACTTTAGGAGGGGATACAGGTTCTCCGGCACCGCGACCACCATTTCCCTCAGGCAATTGTTGAAATAGTTCACCATCGGTTTGTTCTTCAGTCTCAGCTTGCTCAGTTGAGCGATCACCTCGAGATCGCGCTGAGAATTCGCCGAGCAATTGTAGCAGAGGTGGGCGAGCAACTCTTGCGCGGGTTTCATCAGTTTGTGGTTGTGCAGCCACGCCTCTATGCGCGACACCCCGATCACGCGGATCTCGTTCAGGCCGGAGGCGGTGCTGAGGAATCGCACGAAGTTCTTGCTGATGGTTTCGGGCTGTTGGCGACGGGCGAGCAATTCCTTGATGGCTTCGAGCACGATCTGCTCGACCTGCTCCTGAGCGTGGACGTACCGCGGCTGCGTTTTCGTCTGCCAACCTTCGACGAGCAGTTTCTGCTCGCCGAACGCTGTTTTGTCGAAGAAAAATCATACGTTGACATTTTTGAAACTACCTATATCCGAAAAGGCAAAGTCTAGCTTAAGATCATATTCGAATCGAAGGAAGTAGCTTTAAGCACTAAAAACAGAAGAAAAAGTTAGATACTGACAACTAGAGTTAGAATTTTATGTAAAAAACGTATTTTTTATTAATCGGACTGAGGTGGCTTTTACTTGACGAAAATCCATTTAACGCACATTAAATTAAAACAAAAAATGTTCGGAATTTGACAGTTTTTAATGCTTTATGGCAGCTGTTTCGGCAACACCGCGCCTTTATCAAATATGACTATATTCCGACACTTACATATAAAAACAGGTAGCAATAGATTTTGAATTACACACACAATTTAACAACGGAGACGCGTCTAAATCCAATTGAGTAAGATCACGTCAGGTGGACCCCCATTTACCACTTGATCATAGAAAACTAATCTATATTTATTTTTTATAAGTACTTATGATGGAAAATTGATCCCTCAAAAATTTTAAGCACTTTTAATTAAAAAATGGATTAAAAATCAACCGGAAGAGATAAATTTATGGAATTTTCAGCATCCATGGTCAATGACTATACTTTAAGAATATATATATATATATATATATATATATATATATATATATATATATATATATATATATATATATATATATATATATATATATATATATATATATATATATATATATATATATATATATATATACACCTGAACTAGCAAAAGTTTTTTTTTGCAGTTTTTCGACATTTTTTATTGTTTCTGTGTTTTCGTAACTTACATAAAGTTTATAGGTGACAAAATATAAAAAAACAATTGTGAACAAGTGTGTAGTTATTCTTTTACAGTATTATAATGTATTTGCATTTTACAAGCAACAAGTTTTTATTTAAAAAAATCGTTCAAAATATTTTTTTATTTTTTCTAATGGCAACAAGCTATTTTCGTAATTTTTTATAATAACCGCCAATTAATTGTTAATGAAAATTAAAACCTTCTAATTAGGTTATCAACACAAAAGTTTTAAAATTTGTTTAACCATTTGCTGAAAAATATCCAGATGGACAAACCATACAGAAAACACTGTTTTCAAAGAATAATAGAAAAACTAATAAAATAGAAAACAATTACTATTTCCTCAAATGCTTATTTATTCTTTTTACAAAAAAGTTGTATAGATTTTTATTTTTTTTAGAAGAACGTTTTATGAGATTTGTTTTTTTTTTAATAACCGTAACCATAAAAAAATTGACTAATGAAGTTGTTTTGTTTTTTAATATAAAAATGGGGTATTCTCATGGCTATACGATTTATTTATTTTTAAACTATTTATTTCTGTTTAAAAAGATACAAAATAAGTAGGAATTCAAAAATTATTGAATATACAGGGTGTTCTATTTAAAATAAAAAAGTTGTTACTTGTCCACGAAAATACAAACCCCCTGTGTATATAATAATATTCTATGTTTTTTATATATTTGGTTACCCTAACGTTTCCCACAGTATATCTGCTTCTTTTTTGCTTTAAACGTGACCATATCTACTCTGGACACTCGCCCATTGCCCACATCCTTGGACGGAAAAATAGTTTCCCTTAAAAATCACCAGTAAGGGATGAGCAAATAACTTTAATGTAATAATTTAAATTGTCAAATAAACCTATAAAAAGCGATACAAAGAAATACCTCTTTTTTTGTTTTTTTCATATAATCATTACTTATTCAGCAATGTTTTATTTGATTTTGACAGAACATGTTAAGTTTATTCGTCCTCCCGAGGGCCTATTTTTGAACTGAAATGAATAATTTTGATTTTAAATACACAAAATGTGATGTGGTCGTGATGCTTTTCTTTTTTTTTAACTAGGTTAATGTTGAGTTTCTTTAGGTTAGACTTCGCCTTTTGAGACTTGTATTAGTTAGGTGGAACAACAAATAAAATTAAAATAGAATTTCACCTTCGTCCTCGTCTAAACTGTTCACCGTCAAAGGGCTGGACGTGTCCCTAGCAGCCGACGTCCAAGTATCGGACCTCAGGAGCGAGGCGGGCGGTAATTTCGTGTTGAAAGCCGTCACGATGTTGTCCACGAAAGGTTTCGCAAACGGACTGTCTATGATCACCCTGTCACCGATCGCGTCCTCCACATAAAGCTTGACAAAGGTTTCCGGCCAGTTTTCCTTGTCAGAAAACGAGTGACACAACAAGTTCAGGAATATCTGGTGCACGTGCGAGTTTCCCTTGTGCGCCCCCTTTGAGCCCGCGTTCACGTCCCTCCTGAGCAGACTGACCATGGCCGCCGTTACATTTTCGTTGGTGAAGATGTCGGGTTTCAGACAGGCCACGCAGAAAAGCACGGACCACGTCACTTTGCACGGTTTCGACTTGTTTACCCTCAGATTTTTCACAATGCCGATAATAAGACCCGCCTGAAAATCGTCTCGTAATAGCTGGACGAAAATAAAGCCCCGTCACCTACAGTCGCCTCGGAGTTGTCGGACTCGATGCTGTGAATAACTTTCTCGAATAATTCATTAATATCGCACTCGATTGCCAAACTTTCCCAGGGCTCTACACTGGAAGAACTTTGGCCCAGACGATCAACCGGCATCAGTCCCGTAGATCCGACCGATGCACTTCTAGCAATGCCGGGCAGTCCCACTTTGAGTTTCTTTGAGGCGGGGCCTGACAAGCTAGAAGAGCTCGCATCACGTTTCAGCTTGTCAACAGGAGCTACAATTTCAAAGAATGTAAAATTATTCATTTATCTGCAGCGCGGATTTACCCGAAGAGCTAATCGTAGGTTTTGACAAGGGATTCGGCCGTTTGGGGTCATCCCTAGAGGTGCCGGGCTTTGCCCCGAGCGCAATAAAGGAGTCGGGCAGCTGTTGCGAAATTTTCGCTTTGGAACCCCTCGTTCCCGACGCCGACTTGCCACGGTCCATCCTTATCTTTACGAAACCCGGTTTCTCACTTCTGTTAGTATTATAAACCAACAATAACAAATAAAAAAGGTTCGAGGTTGCCTTCTTATTCCTTACTTCTATGGCCAAGGTTTAAGGTCAACATAGCGGCAAAAATGACACTTGCTAGTTACTTCACCAGAAAAGAAGAAAGTTAACCAACAAATATCCGCAATTGTCAAACAAAAATGGCCAACGAAAGCGACAGTATTCTCCTTTTTCATGAAAATCGTAAAGCGGCCGAACAAAACGAGGGCTCGAAAAATAATTCGTGCATCAATAGCGAATCTAGTGTACACAATTCGATGGTAGGGCAATTTGTATTCTACACTCGCAATCTTGTTGCGCACAAGTGTTTCAGGCTCAGTCTCCCAGCTTAGATAGTTTTTCGACGATTAACGATATAGATAATTTAGACCTGAACGTCGACGTAAACCCGGATTTTTACGTTAAAGTGGACAATCCCGAGAGGCAGCTGGATACCCTCGAGACATACATCACATTCCAGATAACGACAACCGTTCAGCAGGAAGATTATCACGAAGGAGAATACGTGGTGCGAAGGCGCTACAACGATTTTTTGTGGTTGAGGCAGAAACTGGCGGAAAGCCACCCGTTTTGCATTATAGCGGTACTTTACCATAAAATTACTGTCAATCCGCTGAATAGTTATTTCCTTTTTAGCCATTGCCCGCTAAACACTCTTTGATAGGTCAGTTAGATAGATACGATAAAAAGTTCATAATGCTCAGGATGAAGTCGTTAAATGTATTTATTTCGAGGGTTTGTTCACATCCAGTATTAAGTCACAGTCCACACCTTAAGGTTTTTTTAACTGCAAAAACCAAAGTGAGTTTCGGGCTATTTTGACAAAATCCCTGCGGGCAATATTGTAGCGTGTTTCAGGACTTTTCTGCAAGCAAAGGGCAAAAGACGCAGTCCGAGCGTCAAAACTCGGGCAGCTTACACAGTTCAGTGTCAGAAAGCACGAACCCGGCTTTGAAGGGCAACAATTTCAAATTCGATAGGATCAAGGCTTATCTGAACACACTCTCCGAAAAGTTATCGTCCATTGAGAAAATATCTAATCGTATAAACAAAGAAAGAATCGATTTGGTGGCGGAATTGACAAATTTCCATCCGTATTTCGCCACGTGGGCCGAATCCGAGCCCCAACTGAGCGATACACTGGAACGCGTATCGGGCGCGATTCGGGAGGACGCCGAGTCCCAAAGTGCCCTGATCCACTCTTACCCCGCCGACCTGGGCTACTGCATTAAGGAATTCCTGCAGTATATCGAAGTCGTGCAGGCCACTCTAAAAAAACGCGAGGCGCTTCAGCACACTTACCAAATGTCTCTTGAGGAGCTCAACAGGAAAAGAGCTGATAAAGAAAAGGTAATGTCCTAATGTCGCAAAAAATAACTTAACATAACTTCTCTTTGTCAATTTGTTAGCGTTATTATGGTATTTTGTTGAATTTTAGCTCGAAAGTTATGATATAGTATGGTAAAAATTGATGCGCCTCAGGTGGCACGATATTTTCCTAGCGTTCCATTCCATTAGCGCACACCTATATATTTCACCTACTAACCTGCACTGCGCGTAATTTTCTTTCTAAACAGGGATATCCACACAATTAACTCCTCTTCGCCCAACTTATTAACGATTTGTCATTGGTTAAAAAGGACATTTTAAATCTCGCACATGCGTATGTTGACCTTTTCAACAAATTTTTCATAATAGCCATAGGAGTTTCCCTAATAGAGTTTAGTTGCTCTCGCTATCCCGAAAATAAATCGAATTAGAAAATGTCACTTCTACACTTGTTAGCGGGGCGCTTATATTATGGTCACTCGCCCAATTCCATTGTCAAACTATCTCGCTTTGACAGCTCGTGGCCATATCGCAAGAAACGCCGGCGGCTCCGCCTCCCGCCACGTTTTCGCTGTGGAAACAGCCGAAGAGCGAGGAAAAGTTGGAAAAGTTAATCACGCACATCCCGGGCCTGTTGAAACGGACAGAGCTCGACCACGAGAATTTGGAACTGGCGAGCGACATCTTGCGCGGCGACCTGCATCGCTGGCAGCTCGAAAAGCAACGGTTTCTCAAGAAAACCCTGCTCGATTTCGTCAACAAGCAGATAATGCACTACGAGCGCAGCGTCGGCTCGTGGCAAAACGTCACAGCGCAGCTCACGCAGTTGAGAAACGCCACAGATGGCTCGTCGGTAACCAAATGACGCAGAGAATACCTGTTTTCTAACGCTTTTATTTTGTGATTCGTTATCGACTTTTTTTTCAGTCCGCGCACTATATTCAAATTTAACCGTTTCCTTCGGGTGGCTAACTGGGCTGCTGGCTGGCACGTGTCCCGTTCACAATCAGTTTATTATGATGTAGTTCATTATTATTAATAACGGAAAATAAATCGACGTTGCTATAGCACGCGTTTGATTTAGATATATTTTCAGAAAGTGCTGCCAACTTAACGACGATTTGTCAGCGGCTATGTTGACAAGTTCATTCCATGTGCCAATTATTTTAATAATTATCATGCAAAATCATCCTTGTTGTATAAAACGATTTTGTTGGTATGCTGTTTGGGTGAACTTGCCCTATTTCTTCAGACCTAAAGTTTCTTTTTAAACTTGCGACTGGGAACAGGGTTATGGAATGTACGCTGAAATAAACTTCAAGCAATTTATTATTGGACCTGAAAACTACAAATATACACTTGGAACTCAAAAACAACGCTAACATTGGGTCATGTTGACACGCCTCCAACACGGCTCACGAACCGCAGACCATAAAATCGATTCTTAAATAAATAAATTAATAAATTGTTTTGATACCTCAAGCAATAGGCGGTTTCTACTTTAAAGTGTATCAACAGGTCCCATAATTTTTTTTGCTCTCGAGAATTGTCGGTGCGACTGTGCCTCGCGATATTCGGTGGTCCGTGACGGGAACGAAGAAAACAGTTTTGTGTGCCTTGATATCATTTAATTACGAGTTCGAGCTTGTTACAAAGTTACACTTTGGCGCTGAATGTCTAAAACAGGAGCCGCCTTAATTGGATTTCCTCGACAAAACCGGTGAGCGTCGCGGCGACCCTTCCGGCGACGGCGATTTCGGCGACGTCGTCCCTTTGCCGCCCGCTTTTAACCTCACTTTGGCGTCTAAATGACGAAACCTGCATGATTTGACATAAACTTCCGCATTTCTCTGCCTAATTTAATTTTCGCCATTACCGGATAGGGACGTTGCTTTTGGACCCGTCCTCCGTTATCCCCTGCAACAGGAACGCAAGGGGCCAGCTTATCCAAGACGCGCTCCTAAAATTTAAAACTGAAAAATTCACGTCACACTTTCTAAATTCAATTTTTTTGTTTTGCTATTGGCCATTATTGCCAGGATCATTCGGCCATATATTCTATGTTGTAAGCACTCCGGAAAGAGTAGGCAAGGACATTTGCCCATTGACGATACATTTTGTACACGTATTTCTTTTTCATGTAAATATTATAACGTGTCTACTATCAAATTTATGCTGGTAAATTGGCCAAAGACCTATTAAAAATCTAAATACAACTGTATGAGATACTAGACATCGCACAGGAAAAAACGTTGAGGAACCAATTCTAGAATCTCTTATAGACAGAACGCTCGTTCGATTATCGCAAGTCTAGTCGTTGCAGATGAAAGTCTTGGTTCCCAAATTCTGCGATTATAAAATGTGCCACTGGAGTGTAAGTATTGCAACATATAACCAAGAAAATTATAAAACGAGTCAATAAACAATTTGCTTAAAAAAATGTTTTTCAATGAATAACCTAAATGTAGAGGATACGCAAATCAATATAATTAAAAAAAAAGTAACAACATAACTTTTACGTAAAGAGAAAAACAAAAACGCATTTTATAACCGAAAATTAAAGATAATTAAAAAATACCGTATCGCTTTTTTATTATTTGCTTTGTTTGCCCTGGCACGCCATATTGAATGTCATTTGACAGATGGTTGGATTGCCTAATTAATTCGCTTTGACTGTCTTATTATAACCATACCACGGCTCGTCGATTGGTTAGTTAAGTAACGCGTGTCTGTACTATACTTGCATGGGGGGATGAACGTCAAAGTGTTCCGGCGATTCTGCTTCTGAGGGTTGCGTGAGATGTCTCCTCGCCGACGGTAGATTCTTCGCGATAGAGGGGTTGTAGATTTTCGGGTCGCTCACCATGCGCACAAAGAAGCTCCGCTTGTGCGCAAGCGTCTGCTTCTTCTTGCGTTCCATCAGCTCGAAGACCTCGTCCTGCATCTCCTTGAAACGAAAAACGCGGGCCGTAAGCGCGCGGCCACCGAGCCAACAAAGTTAAAAATATAAATTACACGTTTTCAACGGAAAACGAAACATAAAATGGCCACCTGATCTTTCTCCGAGGCGCGGACGTCCAGCATCTCGGCGAAGTCGCATATCACGTCCCAAGCGTGATCTATAAAAATCTACGATCAGAAATCGCGGCGGTCCGTGATCTGCGATCAGTTACCGATATCCGAATCGGTCGCGTTGAATGACACCACGCAAAACCTGATGACGTAGCGCTCGTGGACGCTAGCCGGCACCATGTGCAACTTCCCCGAGGCGTTGATGTTGCTCAGCAATTTCTCGTTGAGCTTGTCCGAACCGCGAAGTCGGAAACACACAAGTCCCAACTGAAACTCGTCCAACAATAGATTACAATCAATCAACAACAACAAACAAAAAAAGAAAACACACACGTAAGGAAAAGAGTTTCACCTATGTACTAAACTAATAAATTAACACGCTACTTTTTAATAGTTAATTAGACTATGAGTTATGGTGTAACAGTAAATTGGTAAACAACAGTAAAGGAAAATGAAATAAGAGCAGGTACAGCGATATTATAGTTTGTGTGAAATTATAGTTCGAAAGTTCACCATTTATTAAATTACACATTCTGTGCAATATATTATTTTGTCCTACGGGCTCGCCGTTGGTAGAGAAATTATCACCGTCGAAAAAAAAATGAAAAAAAAAATTTTTTTTTGCCTGTCCGTTCTCCGTTCTGGTCCTTTTTTTTTCCGACCCGTTGGAGCTACAAAATAGAAATTTGCCTCTTTGGCCCCTTTTTTCGCGATTTTCGACTGATCTACAAAAAGGACCATTTTTCAAAAACCGTTTACAAGACGGAAAAAATTCTTGAACCAGAAGACGCAGAGGAAACGACTCCATGAATTTTGGTTCTCGCTAATTTTTAAAAAATATACAGGGTGCGCCGCAAATTCAAAAAAACTGAAAAATGGGTCCCCCTATTATTGAAAATTGGCAATAATTTCAAATCTGTGTTTTAAATGTCAGTTTCTTTTACATGACGATATAGCCCATATAAACAGCTTAAACTTTTGTATTTACTGTTTTTAAGTATTGTACAGGGTCCTCGCGATATTCCGTGAAAATGTCAAGTGTCAAGTTACTTTGGACTTCGACGAGATGTGAAGGACACTTTATACAGGGTGTATTCGCAATTAAAATACATCGATTTTGCGAAAATTCCATAGTGGTCCGCAGGATAGAAAAACAATGCGTCCCTCTAGGACAAGAATCCGCGAAGCGCGTTCTTTTTGAAATAAAAAGGTGATTCGCGCTATTTGCGGCGAACTTGCCCCGCTCACCGACGATTTTTCGAAAGCAATGTTGTTAAATATGTGGGTACACTAAATCTTAATTCACTAATTGGAAAAGGACAAATCATTCTGTCCCAAACCAGTTTATATTCATTTTTCAAGTGTGCAAACACCAAACTCCTCAGTCGAAACGACATAGGGTCCATCAAAATAACAAATATCATACTTCTTATAATCAAGGTACCTCAAAATTTTTTTGAATCTTTTCTAATTCGACTTTATATACAGAATAGTACGGGCTCCAGATAATCGAACAATATTCTAGAGTACTCCTAACATATGCATTATATAAGGTTGTTCGGAAAGTCATTTCGTTTTTTCCCGTCAGGGGACTTAATTGCGTTTTTTCGAAACCAACTTCACACTTAAGCCGCATAACCGTTATATGTCTTGAGAGCTGATATTGCAAGGCTTGTGTGTGAACAAGTTCTATTAATTCTACGCAGTAGTTTTTGGTTGGTGCCCTTTTAAATATGGAGAGCAATAAGCAGCATTTTCGTCATATTTTACTTTTTTACTTCAGAAAAGGTAAAAATGCTGTCCAAGCGAGAAAAAAATTGACGGATGTGTATGGAGAAGGCGTGTTAACAGTACGCCAGTGCCAGAACTGGTTTGCAAAATTTCGATCCGGCAATTTTGATGTCGAAGATGCACCACGGTCTGGAAGGCCGGTCGAAGCTGACAAAGATGCGATAAAGGCAGTAGTTGATGCAAATCGGCGAATAACCACACGAGAGATCGGTGAGGGATTAAATTTGTCGAATTCGACTGTTTATGGCCATTTGAAAGGCATGGGCTTAACCTCGAAGCTCGATGTGTGGGTGCCCCATGTCCTTACGGAGCGAAATTTGTGTCGTCGCGTTGACGTGTGTGATTCGCTCCTCAAACGTCAAGAAAATGATCCATTTTTGAAGCGGATTATTACTGGGGACGAAAAATGGGTTGTATAGAACAATGTTAAACGCAAGAGGTCATGGAGCAGAAAAGATGAACCGGCTCAAAGCGTGTCAAAAGCCAACATTCACCAAAAAAAGGTGATGCTCTCCGTTTGGTGGGATGTCAATGGAATCGTTTTTTTTGAGCTTTTGCCGGACAATACAACGATTAATTCAGAAGTCTATTGTCATCAACTGGACAAATTGAATGATTCACTTAAAGAGAAGAGGCCCGAATTAATCAACAGGAAGGGTGTTGTGTTCCACCAGGATAATGCGAGACCTCACACAAGTTTGGTCACTCGCCAAAAACTTTTACAGCTTGAATGGGACGTACTGCAACATCCACCATATTCTCCAGATCTGGCGCCTTCCGACTACTATTTGTTCCGGTTTTTGGATGGCAAAACCTTTACCTCAAATGAAGATGTCAAAAACCACCTGAACCAGTTTTTTGCCAGCAAGGACCAAAACTTTTATGAGAGGGGAATTATGTTACTGCCAGAAAGATGGCAAAAGGTGTTGGACCAGAATGGCCAATATATAATTTAATAAAATATTTATTCATTATACGAAAACTGTCTTTCATGTTCCCCCAAAAAAAAAACGAAATGACTTTCCGAACAACCCAATACAATAGATTCAGCGTTTCCTTATTTTGAAAACCGGAAGAATTTCGAACCACAAAGCCGTAACATTTTTATTAAATTTTAATCCGAAATCAAAAAGTACGCCAAGATCCTTCATTTCTGTTTTGCGTTCTATTATAATTTCTTCCATTTTATATTGATACATGATAGGACTTTTTGCCGCAATTCACAGTCTTGTTTGCATCGAATTTTTCGAAATAATCTATGATCATCTCATATCTCACAAACCATTTCGGAAACTTTACACCCTATTAAGCGACATTCTACTAAGGACATCGCTCTTCGATATATTTTTTTGTTATGTCGGTACACATGTCCCTATGTACAAGCAGCCAGAAGTGTTTCGAAGGTTGAAAAAAACGTCGGCACGAGTGTATTATATCTGGGAAGGGATTACTTTGAAGGGACAACAGTAATTTGGATGAATAAATAAATACTTTTTGATAAAACTTAAAAGTCACCTCGTATAATCTTGCAATATTTCGAATAATTTAAAACTGTTAATACACTTTGTTAGGTTTTATATTATGTCGTCGAAAATTACTTGCAGCACAAACCCCAAAAAAAACCCTTAACATCCTGTCTCCTTATTCATAACATCGGTCATTGGTGAGGTCAACCATGGCATACAACACAAATTATGAATTATGTTGAATCGTTCGTTCCTCAATTGAAAGGTTTTAGCGGTTATTTGTAGAACCGCACGCTTTGGTTAATACCACAGATGACCTAACCCTTTCTTGTGCGACAGTTCCCTAAGAGGACTGATTTTTGAAATGCTTCATCTGTTCGTCGTCGGATCAGAGTTTCCTCGGATGTATATTTCGCCGATCCGTAATTGGCGTGTTTCAACAGTAAAAACGTATTTCTGAAGTAGATCGCGATGCCTTCCGACCCCGATAAAGGCCGTTTTTTAATTTTCTTCCCTTTTAAAAATCGCCCGTAACTTTTTGATTTACGAAAATTTTGGAATGCAACTATTCACTCACAATCCGTGCGTTGTGGGCGGGGCAACCGTCTAGCTGACAATACATGCTACTCTCAAGAATTAACGGCAAGTCTTCCAAAAATATATATAACCATCCGCGGTTAGATTTTCATTGAAAAAATAAGGTCCTACAAATCTATATTAGAAAATGCAGAAGCGTAAAGTTATGTTATTTGCCTTATTTCTTAAAGAGTTGTGTTTTACTTTTTATTTTTCCACTGTGCTTTTTGTGTTCGTCTCAACTAATCACCGTACGAGGGAAAAAGTTTGTAAGCATATAAGATGATGGGCGGAAATCTTATACAAGTGCAAGCTAGGTGTCGAACACGTCAGAAATACTAAAGGAATCCTGAAGAAAGCAAATAAACTAACAACAAAATGAGTTACTCTGGCGTACCTTAACTTCGTTGCATATTTCGAATCGGTCGTCGTTCATTACGTGCTCCTCGAACCTCTTGGCCAGTCTCACGTGGTGCCTGATGTACTTTTGGAGTCCTGAGATGCCGAAACTTCGCAGGACGAACCACAGCTTCAACGACCTGAACCTCCTGCTCAGCGGGACCCCCCAATGTCTGTAATCGATCGTGGCGTCGGAATAGCCGTGTTGCAAATACAGCGGGTCCACGACCAAAGCCGAAGTCAGACGAATCCTGTCCCGAACCTCGAAGGGAATGGAAAATGAAAAAGTCCAAACAAAAAAAAAACAACAAAAAAATGTTATTTTTTTCTATTTTAAAGTTCCTCACAGCGTTTAGACTCTTATGACGCACGCATTAAATTTTGACGGTACTGTACTCTACCGGGTGTCCCGTTTTCGCTTCGTGATTTACTGGTTAGTAGATAGTTAGTTAGTTAGATGTGGATATCTGCAAGACGGACTTCCCCATTCTAATAACAGTGTTTTTTTACGTATCGGCTTCAAGAAGAAAAATAAAGGCATTAAAACGGGGACGGGGATAAGGGGTGTCAGTTCGACCTTGACGGGCAAGTTAGAAGGGCAAATGGCATTAAAAGTCAGCGAGTTAAAACAAATGTTGGGGTCCCTCAGGACTCAATACTTGGACCGATAACGAATTTCTCACTCACTATACCGAAAGAGAAAAGGGCACGTCAGGTAACAAAGTAAAGTTGCTTTAATTCGGGAAATAGAACGGGGAGAAAAGAAAAGTGGAAGTGCAATGAAAAAATCATTCAGGCCGAAGCGGCAGGCAGTTCTAGTAAAAAACTAAGAAAGCCAAAATTTGAAGATTTGGATCGAGCAATGTTGCAATAATATATCCCTACAATGATAATTAAGAATCTATTATTACCAGTTTATATATACATATTTAAATGATAATAATAAATAATTTAAATGAATATTTTTCAAGATACAGAAATTTTCTAAAAAATTAGTTTTCCCTTTTACTTTTATATCACAAATGTCCACAATTTTAACTTACCACTGGCTCCAGTGCCGTAATGATGAAAATTTAATAGAAATACTTAAGTCGAAAAATATAAACAAAACTCTCGAAATTTACCTGAGGTACCTGAAATAAATGCACTTTTAGGTTAGTTCAAGGATTCCCACGGCGTCAATGTGCGACGTCATATTTCAGAGGTCTCTTGGTGAGCTTTGAGTCTCCGATTTTAAAGGATCTATGATGGCGGCGGGACACCCGGTGTACGTCTTTCGTAAAATTTCGACACTCTCGTTAAGATTCATATTGACTTTCTCTGCGCAAAGATACCAACCCACATCGTCGAGCAATCGAAATTGGTCAGGAGCCACTTGTTGGGGTTGGTATTGAACGAGTCCGCTTGGTCGATGCCGTTCAGCAGGTACTTGAATTCGGGACAAATGAACGCGTTGCCAGCGTATGCACCGTCCACGTGAAGCCACACGCAGGAAAACTTCCTGCACACCGCACCTATCTCGGGCAGGTTGTCGAAAGAGCAGCAGGAAGTCGTCCCGAGGGTTGTCGACACGAAGAACGGTATCAGACCCATCGTCTCGTCCTCTTCCATAGCCTGCGAAGGGCGACACGGGAGCAAATGCTGGCGCGTTCGGCAACCGTATGAATACGACCGCCCGAACTATAAACGCCAGCCATTTTTCATACGTTAAGAAAATTACGAAAAAGGACACGAGGTTAGCAACTTGTGACGTCAGTACCCGTATCTGCTTTTTTATTTTGCATTTCTAACTAACCCAATCTAGGTTGAAGGAGAGTTGTACATTTTACTACCAAAATTATAGTGCGACTCTTTCTACGGTTCAGCGTCCTCAAAAAGTGTTTGCAACATCTGGCAGGAAGCAAGTTGGTGCCATTACTAGCGCCGAACGAGGATCGCGTGTTACTTTAGTTTGCTGTATGTGCACTAGACAAAAAGACCAAAGTTTTTGTTTGTGAAATTTGTACAGACGTTTAAGTTGCACCACTTTAAAAAAGACTGTCATTTTACCCACCTGTGTGGGTAAAATTAACTTTTTGCGGGTTTTTGTTCAGATTTAAGCATCATGAATATCGTTATTTTTTTATTATTTTTTTCTGTAAATACAGACGAAAAATGGGAAGACAAAAAAACAGAAAAAAAAATGTTTTGCTCGCTTAGTTCAGAACCACGAACATCAGAAACAGGATAGCGCCTTGCTCGTCAAATCCAACTGACTGAGTTATCAACTTACCATCATAAGCGTCTTTCCTCTGAGCGAAGACTTTTCGTCGGGCTCGAGAATCCTAAGTTTGACGAAACATATCATGGCGGCCTTTTCCACGCAGGAATGCGCCTCCTTGGAGCAGTACGCCATCAGTTTGGACAAGAGGACGCCCTCTTCGACGAAAGGGTGCTGCTGTTTTAGTCTCTTGAGCGCCTGCGCTCTCGCGGCCAGCATAGACACCAGCACGCACTCGCTGGCCGACGTCTGCAAAATTTCGACAGTAACGAACGTCGTCAAGCCGACATAATTAAAGCACCTGTATCACGCCGCCCCCTCTGCTACCTTCGGATAAAGCCAGGAACTGGTCGGGCAAGCCGATCGCCTTGCCTGCAGGATAAGCATGTTAAACGGTTTTATAGCCTGCGATGGTGGTTAGGCAACCAACGTCGCGCTCGCGCGAATGCGGTCGCCTAACTTTTTTTTAAAAAAAAGGACCGCGGATCCTATCTTTCAGCATATGAATCTGAATCCAAAATTTATATTGTCTGTTGGCACGACAATTCAGTTGTAACGGCGGCAAGTAATGTTTCTAGTGTAGATCCTGTCCAAAATGTAAAACGCTGTAATAGAAAACACGGAAAGTTGTAAATATACCCCAACCTTATGTAACTGCCCAATACAATAGATATATGGGTGGGGTAGATTTACATGACAACGGAATTGCTAATTACAGGTGCCAGGTATTTGGAAAAAAATGGTGGTAGCCTTTATTTTGTAACACACGGGACAGTTTAGTAGCGAATGCATAAAAATTGTATAATATTGTCAAAGAACAAAGATTTCCCAATCTTGCACCTGCCATAGATGAAGTGCGTTATGGTAATCAAGGTCACCGCATGATTATTCATGCTAATAAAGCCCGGATGAGACGTAGAATCTGCCACAGCCACACAATTTACGTTTGTAATAAGTGTAATGTGCATTTACATACTTCATGCTTTGTAAAATATCACCCAAAAATGCACCATAAAATGTTATGCGTTTTTTTGCATCAAATCAGGTTCCATTTGGAAAATAATCTACTTTTAGTTGTTTTCTGTCGAATTTTAACTTTCTTTTGTATATTTATATTTCAACTATATGTTACATCTTATGTGTAAACATTATTTAATGTTTTGGGGCACCAGTATTTGTTTGTATGTTTCTAGTTTTTATTTTTTTTGACACATTTAATGTATGTAAATAATTTCAGAACAAAAAAAGCATTTTTTTATTATTTTTTTTTGCTTGGGATAATACGGGTTAAAATAACATTAAAGTTCACAATTTTTTGTATAATAAAAATGCATATTTGCACTTTGCGTCCGTTACTTACCCAGCCAATCCAGCACGATGGTTTCCAGTTCGGTGCACGCTGGACTCGCGGCCTGCACAGCGGCGCAAGAAAAAAATTTTAATAGATGAATCGGGCGCAAACGAGGGTGATTGTTATTACCCAAGAGAATCCAATACAGCCGATCGCGTCGGAGAGCATGTCCCCCAATATCGACGGGAAGGAATTTCCGCTGGGGAAGTAAGCGTGAAACCTAAGAATATATATTAATATTTAATACCGCCGTAAGCTGGGAGGGGAGTGAATAGCAGTAACGGGAAGAGCGGCAGAAAAAACAAATGCTTAATTGTAGATTACGAAAGAGCTTTTGAGATTGTCAATAGAGATATTTTAATAGGTAAGTTAGAAAACACTTAGCCCTGGATTGGCTAAAACGGATAAATAAAACGGTGCCAAGCACCGTACCTTGCGGTACGCCTCTATCTACAGATTGGACTTGAGATTTTTTAATTTGACACAAGTTGCCCCTCTCCCGCCTTATTTCAACATACTGCCTACGATTTGTTAAGAAGAACCAGTTCAGAGCTCTCCACACTCAACATAGTTGATAGCATGCTCCAAAAATGAATGGTTCGCTGTTTGGGTTGATCTACCTGTTCTGAAACCGTGCTTTCAGATTAAATTTTGTTTTTTCTTTTAAACAATCGGTTAAGCGTGGTGTGTTCAAATATTTTAGCAAAGCATGATGTGATTGCTATTGGATTTTTAACGGTGGGGACCACACGTGAAAATATTAGGGCACACTTTTTTGAATATTACAAAAGGTACATTATCAGGGCCATAAGAATTTTTGTTTTTTATTTTATTTTTTATTAAGTTCGATATTTCCTCTTGAGAGAAAGGTCTAATGTACATACTTTCAGGGAAGCTTCCAATTACATCTAGAAATCAATTTTTGTGCATGTTAAATGACTTCTTAATTTTGTCAGCTATTTTATTAGGAGCTTCTATAAAAAAGTTATTCATAGAATTGGCTGATGCCACCGGTTCCTTAATAATATTAACATTATTCTTAATCTCAAAATTCTTTGGCCGTTTATTGCTTCCACACAATAGACCAAGCAGTTTTATATTGATTATCTGACTCTATAATTTTTCGCTCATAGTAGACTTTTTTTGTTAAATTTCTTAATTTTTTATGTTTACTTTTCTCTTATTTATATTTTTGGGCGAAAATGCAGCCTTTTTGCGCAAACTATTGTTTTTCTCTGTAGCCTGTGGAAGTTTCTTTAAAAAAAAACAGTGACGACCTAATTTCTTTAATAATAATTTAATACACAGCAGAAACGCGGGCATAGAAGATGATCGTTTCCGACAAACCCGAGCCCTTGGGAAATGAAATCGGCTTAAGAGCGTCACGTTAAAGCGCTTTTATGACCTTTTGGCTGAGCGCCACCGTTCAGAACTCTCATTATTAGGTAAGGCATATTTTTCTGCGCTTAATGCAATTAGAACCGCGACAACTTTGGTAAAACAAAAGTTTGCCTCATCGGCTTTCCTCGGAAAACGGCTTATTTTATTCCATTTTTTTTTAAAGATTAAAATATTTAAGCGATTTTTTTTGTCGAAAAATACGAGGAGAGCGCGTCCGCCACAGCGTCAAGAAACCTGCCGACGGCTTAATTATCAAGTCCGGGTTATTGATTCGGGCCAAGCCGCAGTTCTAATTACTTAATTATAATTAAAACCGGGCAATTAAAAGTTTATGTGAGTAGTGGATCGAGCCGGTTATAAAATTTCAGATGACGACGCGAAGAGTTCGCTCCATTATACTTTCCACGAGGCAATTTATCCCAGAAAACGGTCTCCGACTATATCATTGCGAACCGCCAACTGTTGGATTGTTCACTATCACCAGTCATCGCCTTTGAGAAGAAAGCTCTCGTAGATTTTCATAGACATTTAAACTCTACACATCTCTATACGACTCTACTACCATTGAGTTGGAAACTAATAATAACCTCCCATTCTTAGATATTGTGATCAATAGAAAATCAGACCAAATATTGGGTCATTGTGTTTACAGAAAACTTACGCACGCAGACCGATACCTTAATGCATGGTCACATCACCATCCGGCCCAAAAATCAGGCCGAGTCACCGAAGCGTTCCGTCAAAAAATACACTTCACCACAACCTTCCAATAGCAATGAGGCTGTTTAGTTTTGTGCGGTATGCAACCCAACATACTCGAATATTTCCCTGCGCCGGCCGCGAGGGAGAGGGAGAAGCATGTCGGCGGTGAACGAATAGAGACCATGTTTTTGTTTTGTCTAGTCTAGTTAGTATTGTTATCTATTCCGCAGTAAGAGGAATAAAGTTTTATGTAGTGTTTCCGAACCAATGAAAACCACCAATTTTCAAACGCAACAGAGACCACTGTGGTCCTTCCTTACATTCAAGACATCACTGACCACATATCAAAAGTTCTAAAGAAGTATAACGTCAAAACCAGGTTTACCACTTGTCCAAAAATCTCTCAACATCTGCCGTCTGTCAAAGATAAAATTCCATTTCATTCATTAAATTAAATATTACAGGACAAATATGCGTATTGTTATTTTTCAAGTGCCTATAACTCCTTATAACGAACCAACCAAAAAAAATATTTATAACTTTCGTATTTACCATTTAACCATAATGAGATCACAAACTTTGTGGGCGGCTGGTTGTAGTTTTCTTTTTTTGGTGCTTGATTTTTGAGAAAACGCTTTACCTGGGATGCTGCCAGTGAGTGACGCCCGGCATAATTTTCGTCTCCACGTCTGCTATTATGGCGTCCCAGTCTTCGGGATTGGCGGGGGCCTCCTGAGGCAGCAGCTTGCGCAAGTAGCCTGGCTCGATGTTGGGGGTCACCCTTCGGGTCTCGATTTTCTCCATGTAATTGCAGATGTACTCGATCATCTCCTTGCCCCTGTACCTGAACTCGTTGCAGTCCATTTCTAAATTTTTCGAAAAAACAATTTTTATTTTGGTCAGCTTGGTTGATATTAAATGGGAAAATTTGTGTTTTCAATTTTTTTTGTCCCGATTTCGTTGGCGCGTCGATAATAATCACAATAATAAAATATTAACAATAAAATAATCGACAGTATTCTCAAAATCGGGAAACCAAGCCTTAAACGCAAACAAAGTTTTCCTATAAAACAAAAAGAGAACAATATTGATTTTTGAAAGGAGAGGACCCTTAATATTTTTTTAAACGTTATTCATTATTGCGCTTGAAGAAAAAATAAAATCAATGTGTTTTGCTGTTTTTCGTCCACTTTTTTTCCGCTTAATAATATCATCAATAAAAAACACAAAAAATAATTAACATGTATCAGTATTTGGTTCGGTTTTCTTTAGTTCATTAGGCGATGTGATTGATAACACTAGCTGTATGCCCCAAACTGCAGACGAAGCCCAAAGCTAAGCGAAGATAACGCATCGCTGACACCGCATCGAAAGCCCTATTTATTCGATTGTCATATTGTAAAATTGCTCTTAATTGTTCCAGCCTTTGTATCGATTAGTCCAAATAAAACTTTATTTCGCTTTCTGTGTAATAAATGTTTTTAAAAACGCTCTCCCGAATTTTGAACATTTAAGTGGCGCAGTCGGAAGGATTTTCTACAGAAAATCTCGAAGAACAATTCGATCAAATTTTAAAATTAGGGAACAAAAAACAAACAAGGGTCAAAACAACTACCCAACAAGGAAGCTCAGGTATGGTCTGTTCATAGATATAAGAAAGTGACCAATTGCTTTTGAATGGTCTTTAACCTACAATGCAACAAGATTATTACCTAAAGTTACGGAATTTAAATTCAGGTAAAATTGTGGTTCAGTAATAGAAAATAATTTTATACCTACCTGTGTTTAATATTCTTTGGTTTGGTATACTACTTAGTATAAGTTTTTTAGTAATCATTCGCAGCGTATGTTGAATCGTGTGCGAATTATGCAAAATATGTACGAGTCTAGTGTATCTCAGGAGATTGACCAAATGCAAGTTTTAATGGAATCTTTTAGAATTCGGAAATGGCGACTGGAATATCTAGAAAAAAATAGGATTTACAGAGAACAACAAAGGCCAATTATTTACTTGGATGAAACCTGGTTCGACACTTATGATACCCCGGAAAAGGGTCGGGTTGACTGATAAGTGTAAAACAAACGCGCCATCAAAAAGAGGTAAAAGAACAACTATTTTGCATGCTAGCTCTAAAGATGGTTGGATTCCAAATCGACTTTCTCTGTCTGCGAAAAATATTAAAGATTCTTCTCTGGATTACCATGAAGACACCACCGCTGATTTAACATCCTCAAATTTTTAACATCCCTCCACAAAGTTGGGCAAATTCTGTTAAACATATAGAAAAAGCAGAACAATCGCATATCCGCATTGCAATTAATATAGAACAAATAATAATTAGAACAGGCGATGATACTGATATATTATGTGAATAATTTTAAGGAATTTAAGTAGGTAATAAAAATAATTTGTAATTTTATTTTAGATTTAAACATAAATACATACATAAATAAATAAATATTGTTTAATACCTTACCTAACAAAACCCCAAATAAGTAAATTCTAAGCAAAGTACGGACCTGTTCGGCCATATTTCATTCTTACAGCTTGCCCGGGTCTTTGCTTAATTCGTATCAGTTAGTCACTTTCTTATATCTATGAACAGACTTTAACTCAAAATCTCTTACTCCCTTGATCTTTATCACTCTATTGCCGCACACGGCGATTGTTATAATTATTACTTTTAATACGTTCAACGACGAATAAATAATAATTATAATAATAATAAAAATATCCGCGTAAACTACCTACCTAGTAGCAGAAGATTTACCACCGACACCTCATGCACAAAGCAAACTGGTCTATAGAAAAAGAAACACCCCCGATTCACCCGCCGGCCCCCCCAAACACTCTCTACCGTTTTTTTTTTTATCCAATTACAGAGGCGTACGTGGGCGATACGTTCTACCGAAATCGAATTAATATTAATTATCAATAAGCGTACCTGTTTCGCAATGTGAGGCTTCGCGAGCGATCGAGAACTTCGGCGTCGGACTAGTCGTGAAGAAGTGTCGCCGGGCGTCCATCGGCGTCTTCTTCGACGACGCCCGTTCCCCTCCAGGCGCGGGAAACATCGAAATTTTAACTCGCGAGGGGCTGGGAGAGAGTTAAGCGTTTTTATTTAATACGTTTTTCATATAATTAAAATTATAATTTTCTTTATAACCGCAAGGCGTTTCCTTAAAAAATCTAGTATACTGGCACCAGAAATATAGTGGTTTTACAACCGACCCCGTGATTAACTTTGCCCACTGTTTATTACTGCAAAACCGCAGTCCCTTATAGAACACCCTGCCGAGCAGACCCTTGCCCATAACCATTCCAGGACGGTGCTAGGAATTTACCTACCTGCACCAACAAGCGGGATATTTATTGTACTGTTAGGTCTCCATACAAAGCTATGTATTAACCCATCCTGCATAGCGAATTTCTCACTCTAAAGTGGGACGTCTATACGGATTTACACCGTCGACTGTATCCACGATTTGGAAGTGCAAAGAAAAAATCATTCGGGCTGAAGCGGCAGGCAGTTCTAGTAAATTTATTATTTGAAACATTAAATGTAGTCCTTAAACATTTATATAAAATGTAATGTAGATGTTAAAATGTGTATATGAAATAAAAAAAGTCCCTTCAATTTCGCTATATAGAGTTTCGACCGTATTTCGAAAATTAAAGCTACGATTTATATTTTTTTTTAATATTAGAGATAAAGCCCAATTTTTATCGTAAATGTCCTGAAAGAATGCAGTCATACAGAATACAAATGAATTAATGAAAATGCGCTTTTTATTTCTTTAAATGATTTATTAACAAGGATCTTAACAATTTTTAACAAACTTACCAGTAATTTTGACTATAATGTACATTGTACTAGTTGTAATTGCAGTCTTTTAACTGAAAAAAAAACTATTTCTGAACTAGATAGAGCAAGATCGACTTACCTATCAAAGGATCGATTTTTGAGAAACATTCAAATATTCAAACCGAGATATAGGACATTTTTTTGTGTCCCCAGAAGAAAAAATCCATTAAAGTTAAGTCGGGGCTGTTGGCTGGTCAATCCATAGTTCCGCCGTTCCCTATCCAACCCCTGGCATGTTCCATATTAAGAAAATTTTTAACTTGCACAACATTGTGAGAATGGGCACCGTCTTCCTGCCATATAATTATCGCTGATATATTTTGGGGTAAATCTTCTACATATTGTTCTGTTGTTCTGTCCTCTGTTATCTTGTTAATTTTTTTTTAAAAATGTACGCAATTTTTATTTGATTTAATTTTCATTCATGTTAGGTTAGGTAAAGTCTGTTCGTAGATATAAGAAAGTGACTAACTGATACGAATTAAGGAAAAGTGAGAATGAAATATGGCCGAACAGGTCCGTACTTTGCTCAGAATTTAATTATTTAGGGTTTTGTTAGGAAAGATACTAAACAATATTTATTTATTTATGTATGTATTTATGTTTAAATCTAAAATAAAATTACAAATTATTTTTATTACCTACTTAAATTACTTACAATTATTCACATAATATATCAGTATCACTATCGCTATCATAGCCTGTTCTAATTATTATTTGTTCTATATTATTTGCAATATGGATATACGATTGTTCTGCTTTTTTTATATGTTTAACAGAATTTGCCCAACTTTGTGGAAGGATGTTAAAAACTTTGGTTTCTATAAGTTTCAGCACATGGGAGTTAACACGGGGAAAACATTGTTACGACGAATGGCAGATTTCAGTTGGTGCCAAACATGTTCAATGGGATTAAATATACAGTGGTAAGGTGAAAGCCTTAAAACTGTATGCCCTAGATTTTTTGCATAATTATCACAGACGTATTCCTTTTGTAGGTTCAAGCTTTGTAGAACCTCAATTAATTGCTTTTTGGTATAATCTTCGTGAAAATAAATGTCGTTATTATACATTAAAGTTTTGGATTGTTGCTTTTGTGTCACATGAGGAAGGGGTTTTAGTCAACTGTCTACTGTGATAACTTGCATTGTCCATGGGATTATTCACAATTTTCCATACAGTTGATGTTGGAATTTTCGTCAATGTGGTCGTTTCTTCTAAAGATGCATGCTTGCTGGCACCACGTTCAATGAGAGTCAAATAAACATTGTGTATAACTTCCTTAGTCTAAATAGAATAGTGTTTTCTACATTTGCGCCGCAGAATGTCCTGGGATACACTAGACTCGCACATATTTTGCATAATTCGCACACGATTCAACACACGAAATAAGAATGATTACTAATAAACATAAACTAAGTAGTATACCAAATCAAAGAATATTAAACAAAGGTAAGTATAAAATTATTTTCTATTAGGGACCACAATTTTACCTGAATTTTAATTCCGAAACTTTAGATAAAATATTCTTGTTGCATTGTAAGATAATGACCACCATTGGATAAACCCATTCAAAAGCAATTCGTCGCTTTCTTATATCTATGAACAGACCATATACAATTTTTCATTTCCCTGGAATGGTAGTCGTTTAATAAACAAAATGGCGGAAATAGAAATTTTGAAAATATACTTTCCCTTTTTATAAAATATAACAAATAAATCAAATACAGGCGATTTAAGCACTTTTAACGTGATTTTTTTTAGATTGGTCTGGATGCATTCAGTCTTCTAATTTTGTCGGTGCTTATCACAATTTTATCAAACTTGTTGCATTTTATCTAGAAAATTTTACGCCATTTTATCATTCAATTCAACCAGACGGTGCTGAACCTTGTACCGCATGAGAAAGCAACTAAAGGATATTATTATCGTCGTTATTTATATATTTATTAACAAACAATTTACTTATACCCCGACGAAAACGATTAAACATGGCTCGGAATCAATTAAATTATTAATTAATCTTTGCCAAGTGTCAAAATTATACGCGGGAGTTCTTCGAGTGTTCGCGCGAAGACGAAAGAAAGGAAAAAAAGGAGGAATGGCCCGACGACTTCCGAACCATTTCCATTTCCATGGCGCCGGGGTGAAATTGATCGCATACCACCGCATCCATTCAGACTCGAGGAGGCTACTGGGTCGACCTCAATAAGCGGCCGCCTGCCATCGACAGTTTATTAAATTGAGCTCGAATATTTCCCGCCTCATTTTTCGTCTCATTTCAAATTGATCTCGAACGTATGCGGGGGATGTCATTACGCGGCTCCATTGTACCCCCTTTTTTTGTGTTTTAATTAATTTTCTAATAATACATACGATTTTTTCATTCCGAAGCTTTAAAAAGTAGCAAGGGCGGCGTGTTAATTTCCTTTCGAATACTTGCCGTTTTTCACTCCGAAAATGAATTCGCAATTCGTGCTCAAGTTGTGACGTCACAGTTATTCGTCGGAATAAACATTCGAATAAATCGACCTTCGCTTTCTGTGTTCCGTACCGCCATCTGTAGAAACGTCTGGCCTGCCGGTAAACCTCAATCCCGAATTTTTAGGTTTCGGTAATTAAACTATTTAAAATTTAGGTGCTTATTTTTTTTTGTTAGTGTCGGTCAGTTTTGAGTTAAGTAGCAGAGAGGATGTGGTCGCCAAATGATATCCATCTGCACGGCGCAAATTTCACCGAAAATTCCTCCAATAAAAAAAAAACATAACAGTTTCAAAATATGCGGTAATAAAATTCCCAACTTCATCACACAGGAAAATTTTGTCAATAAGGGTCGAAAAACGCTGCGAAGGATTTTGATTACTAAGTAACGATTTCACTTCCGCAGCTATGTTCACCTGCTGGCTAGACGTCGGTGTTGTCTGTGGCCATAACCTATATCGTGAATGAATATGTGAAAATGTCGCATCAGACTGGAATAAAGGGTATTTTTTACAGAGTTCCCGCGTTTCGTTTGTGAAATTTTTTAACGAGAAACTGTCGTAGCGAACGCCGAGCTCAGGAAATTCTTCGCCGACGGCAAAACCGCCAAAATTCGCCTCGCCAAAGTCGCTATAGAAGATGGTAAGCAAACAAGTTTTGCCAGCCCGCACCCGTTTAACGTTACGCCGTTACAGAACAGCTCGTGCTCAAAGAGAAGCGGGAGTCCAAATCTAACTGGGAGAAGGATTACGAAAGATACGTCGTGCCGCTCGTTGAAGAGAACCAACCTTCTTATATTTTGTACAGGTGATGATTGTGATATTTGTTATCTGGGCGTGGTTTGAGTTTGACTTTTAGATTGGACGCGAAAAATTCGGTCGGATACGACTGGCTCCTAATTAGTTGGTGCCCTGACACTGCTCCTGTCAGGCAGAAAATGCTGTACGCCTCAACTAAAGCCACCTTGAAACAAGAGTTTGGTTCGTCCGAGATTAAAGACGAATTGCACGGGACTGTTGTCGTAAGTAGTGCAAGATCATGACGGGATGATACCGTAGGCAAACGAAAACAATTTCAGTCGGACATCACACTGGATGGATTCAAAAGACACCTAACAAATGTCGTCAGACCGCCACCTCTGTCGATGCGCGAGGAAGAACTGCAGGAAATTAAGAAAACCGAAGTGAACACCGACATCAGCGTGGATACGAAGCAAACCCTTGGAACGTTGGCGTTTCCCCTAACCGACGCTGCGACGAAGGCGATAAAGGACATGGCGGCCGGACTATTCGATTATTTGCAGTTTAAAATAAGTTGAGTTTTGCAGTGGATTTTTTTAGGTTAGGTGCAGGTTGATTTTTAGATATATCGGAGGAGAGTGTCCACTTGGCCGAGTCGGGAAACATAGCTGTGGAATCTCTGCCCGGCAAAGTGCCAGAGGACAGCGGGAGGTACCATCTTTACAAATTTAAGCACACCCACGAAGGGGACTATATGGAGTCTGTAGGTAAGCCCTTATATGTTGCAGTAGTTCTTCTTCTTCTATTCCTTGGGCCAGGCCGGGATCCTGATGTCTCTGTCTTCTTTTTGCAGTTTTTCATTTCTTTTTTTATTTATTAAACGGTTTTGATAGAAATGTAGGGGTAGGAATGGTAGTAGTCATTAAAAAGTCTATAGTTTTGATTTGTTGTGGGTATTTAATTAAAGGCATATTGATTTAAGTCTTCAGTGAAATAGTAGTTTGGGAAGATAATCTTCATTCTGATAATCTTGTTCTTCTATTCAAATTTTGAGAACAATTTAATTTTGAGAAATTCGTTTCGGATCTTGAAGTGTGTTTTTTCTTTATATCTTAATGAATTTTGAAATATTTCTCATTTATTATTTTTGATAATTTGCAATTATATTAATTGCGTGGTAGTAAGCGTTAGGAATTCATTGGAAATTTTTTGATTAGTTTTTAATTTTGCGAGTCCCAAAAGACGTGATGATTGGCGTTTCTTAGATTTTTAATGTCGAAATCACTTTTGTTTTGCGCAACTAATATACTTATAGAATTTCACCACATTCCTAACACCTACCCGAGGTTATAACAATGTATATAAGAGAAAAGAACGGACTCTGTTTTAGTTTAAATTCAAAGCTAGGTGATTCGGTCTCTATTGATGACGTTACAGTAGTTCAAATGACTCGGGCGTTTCGTTTGCAGTGTTTATCTATTCCATGCCGGGATACAGCTGCCCCATCAAAGAACGCATGCTCTACTCCAGCTGCAAGAACTACCTTACCGATCTGATCTCCAGCTTGGGCCTGGAAATCACCAAAAAGGTAATCCGGGTCGTTGGAGTGGAAGCACCCTTGTGCATTTTCCTTTCAGCTCGAAGTGGATTCGGGCTCGGAGCTTACCTCTCAGTATTTGTACGATGTAATTCACCCGACGCACAGCTTGCACCGTCCCAAGTTCGCGAAGCCGAAGGGACCCCCCGGCAGGGGCCCCAAACGAATGACGAAACACCAGGACGCCGCCGAATAAGTACTATTCTCTCCCTTTTAATCGAAACCGCGCTTGCCGGAGGCGGGGCACTCCTCTTGGAGATCGTTTCCTCTCTATATCCATCGATCAATATCTAGTTTTTTTTGAAAAGGTGCTCATATTTTGGTATATCGGTTCCTTGTCGCTCGCGTTGCAAATAAAACGCCGTTTTACAATTCTGGGTTTTTATTTTTGTCGACGTTGTCGATATGTTTCCCCGCCTCACCGACCTGATCGTCGTGCATCTTGATGACGGCCAAGTTTTCCTTGTCCAGGTACTCCCTCATGCCCTTCCGTATGTAGTCGCTCCGGGATTCCTTAAGCTGGTACTGCCAGTAGCGCATGTCGTCCATGCTCATCCCGAACACGGACAGGATGCCGTGGGTGATAACCCCGCAGACCAGGCCGAAGGAGGCGCCCAAAGGGGCGGCCACCAACCATGCTCTCGGGCCCATGTTGAACCGGTACAGGAAACCGGCCAGGGCTCCGCCCAACACGAAATCCATGACGCCCGATGCTCCCCGATAAGTTTGAATAGCCGTAGCGCTACCTCTAAAATAAAGACGAGTAGTCAATACTTTTGACATAAGCCAGAATTTCTGAAAAACAAGTCGATATTTCCGACTCGCGTCACAGTTTCTGGAATTTCTGACGTGTATCTCTCGTAAGGGATATAGCTAATCGGAACATATATATACATATTACATAATATTTTACCATAGAAGTTGAGACAAATAGCCAACCGCTGCACTTATGGCAAAAAAAAACAATTGCACCCAACACATTACACATTTTAGGTTTTTTTCACCTAGATGCTGTAAAACTTGTAAATGAATATGTAAAAATGTGAAATGCGGACAGAAGTTCAACAATAGACAATATGGATTTATATTAAAGTATGAACGTTCGGTGCATTCTTACATGAACGCGGCGGAAAATAGCCCCGCCCTCAGTCCGAACCTGACGGAACCTTTTCCGAAGCTCAACATCATCATATCCTGAAGCTTTTTCTGAAACCACAAGCTCAACCTAGCGGCAATTGTTTCGAGGAACAAATACCTTCGCTTCGAAATGGTTCTGGAACGAAGTTGCGTCGTTCTCTTCCATAAACTTCAAGTATGTCGCTTTGCTGGTCGCTATCCCGCCCAAGATTGCGCCCACGAAGGTGCTGATGGATGTCACTTGGATAACGGCGTTGGCTTCGTGAGAAATATTACCGAATTCGCTAAAACGTAATCGCGTATCAAAGGAAAAAGCGAACGCAGTCGCGACTCACTCCACCCGGAACATTCTTTTCAACCGGTCCCAGCCGGTTTCCTTCTCCATCGAACTTTTGTCCGCTTTTTGTTCCGTGGCCGTCTCATTGCTCAGCCTGTCGGCTTCGAAAAACTGAGTCACGAACGGCAGAAAGCCGTAAGTCGTGCGTCTCGTTAAACAACAAATAATACTCATTTTATGAATTTATGGGTTCGATGTTAACCGCCGGCCGAGATTACATAATTCGAGCTGGGCGAATTGCGAAAGGCCATTGCGATCGGAGCGTTTGGCCAGACGGTGAACATCGAACCGGGATCTTTACGCAGACACGTAAATGATTTATAATTCATATTTTCACTTCGGGAGCCTAGTTCGCCGGAACGCTAGACTAGACTAGTATCGCGCCCACGTAGGTGCGTATTTTTTAAAAATTTGCTCACCGACGTAATTGAATATCAATGTTGGGCCAGCACAATAACAAAGTTTCCGTTAAAAATAGTTTTAAGATTTTGTTATCTCGGCATTCGTTCTGTGCTCGCCATCGAACATAACCAATCGCGCCACAGACTGAAAAATTTTTTATCCGCGGTGTCGGTAACGTCATTTTTCGTCTCAATTGGTGCTGCAAAAATGTTTAATTTTTTGCCGTAATTATCGACTTCATTTAAAACGGTGACGGTGTTGTGTTTTAATTTGTTCTTCCGTTCGCGATAGCCCGTCCGGTTCCGTCGAATGTGCAAGTTACCAGTGATGTTTTTCGTATTTACCCACCCGCATTGACAAATATGAAATGTCAAGAAGTACGTTTCCACTAATATTAATCGCTTTTGAATAAATTAACTGTAATAGCTGGCGAGGTTTCCCGTGCGTAAGTGCACGTGACGTGACGGAACGGTTCGCAAAAATCGCAAAAACTGACAAAGAATTGCCAAGCATTTGATAAGATAATGCACACTATAACGGTCTATATTTAACCCTATCTCGACTGCATTAATGTGCTGGTTAATTTAACCGATGTTTGAACGACGGCAAAGATTAACCGAAAGAGCTAAACATGACTCCCCTATGACGGATCGTTCGCCTAGTAACGTAACCACTTGTAGACCAGTCGGCGCCCTTCACCTAGGGGGCTCAACTTTTATATCGAATTGTGCGCTTTCGAAATCATATGATCTAACGCGGGTTTATTTATGAGTAGATTAATATCGATCTTATCAACGCTTTCGCGAATGCTTATTATTTGGGCCCGCAGTTGGTCTGACGGATTCCTCGTTTCTTTCCAGGGATCTTGAACGGTTCTTGCAGCCAAGCTGGCAGCCCAAGGAGGCGCGAGTGGCGCTAGGCGCGCTACGCCGACGACGACGGTAGACCAGGAAACTTTAACCGGTAAGTTGTGCGAAGAAGTACCGAAGAGGGACAAGAAAATACCGCCAGGGTTGTTTACTGCCACTGAAAATAAACAAAAACCCATTAAATGCGTGCGTTTATTAGTTTTGTTCGGGCGCTTGCGACACGTAGACGCGGGACTTTTCGCGGAAAAATACGCGCGTTACTCGTCTCTCTAATCATCCGCGAATGTGAAAAAAAAGTGACGTCATATCCTTGAAACGTCCTCCGCGCCATAGGCTACGTGAGCGTCCTCAAGTTTTCCGTCGAAGAAGCCGAAAGCGCCGTCTAGATTTCTTTTTCTCTGTCGCAAATTGGCCACCGTCCAAACGAACGCGTCCGCCTTTTTTTTTTCGTCCCTGTTCCATTCATTCCGCGCTGTCCGGCAGTGCAAGCGTCGTGCCGTACGTTTCGCGTGTGAGATTTCCCGCAGCGTTCTGACGTCGCGAAGTCGAAATCCAAACAGACGGGTGTGACTCGCGCGCGTTGCGCAATTTTTACAATGCATAATTAAGTGATTATGTTTTCAAACAATTAATTAATAGTAATTACGAATAATTGCAATCAAGTACAAATAATTACATCCACTTTACAAATAATTACTCGCTAATTATGTTTAATTGAAAATTAACTTTAATTACAATTAATACCGCTTAATTACCACTGATTACTCATAATTATTTTAATTTAATTACAATTTATTGCGATTAGTGCCGTTTAATTATGACCATTAAATAAGTTTAATTATACTAACATTCGTTTAATAGCATTTAATAGGATTTTATTATAATTAATTACGTTAAATTGCACTTATTTGCTCTGAATTACAATTAATTTTATTTAATAGCACCTTTGCACGTTTAATTGCACATAATTAGTTTTAATTGCATCGACCAACGTTTAATTGAACCTAATTACTTTTAATTGTACCTACTTTGATTACAAAAAGTTGCGTTTAATTGCAATTAATTACACTTAATTACAAATGATTACTTCTAAGGATATTTAATTACCTTTAATAGCAATTAATTTTAATTAATTATAATTCATTTTTATTAATCGCTTTTAATTATATTCTCTTAAATCTAATAAAACCCGCTTAACTATAATTAATTACGTCTCCTTACAATTAATACGTTTAATTAACATTAATTACGTGCAGTTGCAATTAAATACGTTTAATTACGCATAATTCTGTTTAAGTATATTTAGTTACATTTAATTAAAATTAATTTCGTTGAAATAATTCAAGATTTTTGGAATTATTCGTTAATTTGGATTGCAATTATGGAGAAAGGTCACCGTCAGGTACCGTTCTTGACTTCGCAACAATCTGACGGCGGAGATACGCGAATTTAAAATTAGAGGCTTATGTCAGACGCGCTTTCGGCGATACTAAAATTAAAAGCGCCGCCCCGACGACGTTTCACGTTGACCGTTCACCGCCAAAAATAAAAAAATAAAACGAGCAGTAAAATAAAAAGGTCGTTCGTAGTAGTTCCGAAGGTGTTTTCGGGGCGAGTCCGCCATTTTGTCAAGGTGATGTTCCGCGATGACTCTTGTTGAACGCGAAAATGCAGAACGACCAATCGAACGGACGGGTCAGAGTTAAAACCGGGAGGTTTGTGGAGTTGCGCGATTGGGAGAAACAGGGAGAAGTCATATCCGGCTGGAACAATGGTAAACTTCATTGAGAACAATTAATAAAACGGGGTGTCCGAAAAGAAAGACTTAAGGCGATTCCTTGTTTTAAGTAAAGGGTAGTTTGTTATAGTAGGTACGATTTATGACTGCATAGTTGGTCATAAAACCAAGTATAATACGACCAAAAACGTAGTGCATTTATTGCTTTGGCGTTTTAAGTGGGTCTTGCCTGGAGTCGTATTTTTTTTTGCGACGGCATAGGTCATAAAACCCGAGTATTGACCTGGTTCTACTCGTTTACAAAGAATGGCAAAGCCCACCCATTTACCGGGTAGTATTCCATACTTGCACCAGAAATATAGTGCTTTTATAACCGACCCCGTCATTAAGTTTTCCTACTGTTTATTAATCCAAAATCGCAGCCCCAGGACCGTCCTAGCAATTTTAATAACTTTAATTCAATAACGTTTAGTCGAATCTAATTACGTTTAATGTACCTAATTACGTTTGATTGCATTTAATTATAATTATTACTTCTTAGATAAATTAATTAATTAATTGTAATTAATTATAATTCATTTTTATTAATCGCTTTTAATTATAATCTTTTAAATGTAATAAAACCCGCTTAACAAAAATTAATTATTACTTACTTGCAATTAATACGTTTAATTGAAATTAATTACGTCTACTCACAGTTTAATTAACATTAATTACGTTTAGTTGAAATTAAATACGTTTAATTACAAATAAACTAACCAAAACCGCAGCCCCTTATGGAACAGTCTACCCTTACCTGTAACCATCCCAGGACCGTCCTAGGAATTTATCTACCTAACAAGCGGAATATAAGTATGTTTACAATCTTGAAACATGCACAAAAATTAGTACAAAATAACAATTTATTATGTTCTATTTCATTACATTTATATATATTTATATATATTATTAATATAATATATATAAATATATATTATGTTAATATTAATAAAGTATCAGTCACTTTAAAAATCACCACTATCGCTAGTTTAATGATTAACTCCGCCAATAATCGTTCTCGATAAATATTTTCTTCTTTTAGTACTCGTATTTCACAGTTAGACCAGCTTTGTTGTGCGCTTTCAATTCAGACCAAATCATCTCGATCGGATTAAATATACAATGAAACAGTGGTAATGTCAACATTTCATGCCCGTTTTATAATAGTATTTTAATATAAATAAAATAATAAATAAAAAAATATAAAATTCATTATCGAGACTGAACAGGAAAACTCGATTAATTGTTTAGACTATGACGAAAACGCAACAAAAATTAGATTTTTCCATTTACCATAAACCTTCATACACGGACACAGTCATAAATAACAGTTCAAATCACCTTTACACACACAAAATGGCTGCATTTCACTCTTTTATACACAGACTTCATAATACGCCCCTCTGGGATTCTATGGTGGAGCATTGCACGCGGCGGTTTAACCTCCGTTCACTCCCGACAGAATCCCTTGTATTCGTCCTCAAAAGTTTGATATCGGTTTCCACTGTGTGGACTTAGTGTCGTTAGTGTTCAGTGCATGTTTTAAAGTTATAATCGTCGTCGGCCCCCTTCGTTTTTCCCCGTTCACGCCGGTATGGAGGCCGGATGGGCCCGGATGGTCCGCGGTGGAAGCGGGGGATGTCGGTTTTTTTTGGTATCGGTCAAATTTGGTTTTTTGCTAGTTGAGCAAATATTGGTTTTATGTCTTCTTTGTACGTGTTGGTCAATGACCAAAAGCGAAGATCCTCGACGGAAGTCGGCAATGGGCGAATGATCCTAGCAGTCGAGCCCAACATTTTTTTTGTGAAACGCATACTTGAACTTGAATTCGCCCCTCTCAATAGAGAATAACAACAAAGAGCTTAATATCGGCTTAACAACGGCTACAATCCGTCCATTGTCGATAAAATTTTTACTATTTATCCGAAACCTAATACAGGACACGAACAATTTAAAAAAATTACGTACATAGGGTTTCTATAATTTTGGTTAGTTTGGTGTTGGATGAAAGGTGTCGAGAGCTTTCTTCTCAAAGGCTTCCATAAATATATTCGCGATGACTGGCGGTGGTGGAGAACCCATGGCTGTTTGACCCTTTGTTTCAGACAAGCATTTTTCGAATAAGGTGAGAAGGTTTGGTTCCAGATTGTCTGATTTTAAGGTATCCGAAATGATGTTGCTAGACAATATGTCCGTGGAGACCAGGAATTTTACAGTCATGAAGGGTCACAGACTTTTTCACTGATTTAAGATCTGGACGATCTTTTTTAAATTGACGATATACATATATGATCCGTCTGTTAGCATATCTTGACTTTTTTACTCTTATTCAATTCCTCATTATTCATTTAGAACTACGATCTCGGGATTAGATTTTAGAGAGTTTAGAGTAATGCGTTCAGGCTTTATAACGTTGAATTTAGGAGGTTTGGACTTTTTAAGTTGTGAATCCGTATAGCAAACGTATTAAATTGATTAGAACGTTGGTGTTAATTTCAATCCAAATATAGAAATAAATGTTTATTTTTTCATCAAATTAATATAAATCGCTTACACATCGGTGTAAATTATTTATCCAATATTGGTTTAGTCAGTGTTTTTCCAACAATCCGATAAGATAACTTGGCTATCCAGAAATTTCTTCAACGGGGGTCACAAAATGTTAATTAAACGCGTTAAACTCACATTAAGAAAGGGATGTTTTATAGGACGTAAATTGCGTACCTAAACCTTAACGATACAGGTAAAAGGTGGTCTTTTTTCGGTACCTGTTCGTGGTGTGTGGATGGTGGACAATTTCGACGGTATATTATTTTCTAGCAAAGACAAAGATGGACGTTTACATTTTTTTATATGTAGAAAGATATATATTTATCATTTAGATCTATTTTTAATCAAAACAAAAAATCTTTGTCAGCACAATACGTAACAAACTTACAGTCCTCCCATACTTGTCTCTCCCTTACCCTAGAATATTTTTCGTTTTTAGGCTATTGTAAAAATACAATTCAGATGAAGCGTATCTTTAAGACAAACTTGTTCACTACGGAATGCAATAAAATCATATATAAAATCTAGCCTTACCTATTACTTATCTGAGAATCCGTAAGAAATAGAAAAACAAACAAATGGGAAAACTTCAGGCGTTGATTCCTTGTTTAAAATGATAGCTAGATGTTATTTAAGTATTTATATAGCCTTGGAGCCATTTTATAGCGTCTGTTTTGGAAAACCCGGTCTATATTTATTTTATATACTAACTAATTACCGTATACTACTGCATATTTTTGAACATATTGAATTTTATGTGACTTTTAATAATTAATAATTCATTTTTTGAAGTAGGAAATAATGGTAATTATTAACATATTAACGATATTATTATCATCATGCACAGAATCAGTTTTTTTTTGCAACGAAAACGTTAATGAACCAGCTGATATTGACGTAAAACCAGGCTTTCTGTGTCAAAGATTAGATTCTAGCCAGATTGTACCTAAATCTACCTTAGAAATGTAGATATGAACTTAAAACTCCTATTTCGGTGACAAATAATTGGTTTTCCCTCTTGATTTCGAGCAGATCATTGTCAAAAACAGTATATTCATAGCTTACCGTACTGAAATCTACGTTATTCCCTTGGATTGACAGTAGGCTTGTCTCTGGGGTCCTGATAGTCCGGCCCATAGAAATAAAAAGAAGAAGCGAAGCGAAGCGAAATATAGACCGGTGGCGTCATCTCACGACACGTGTTACAGTTACCGGATTGGTAAACAGTTCGCCCCTCGTGCATTTCGCGCCTCTATTGCTGATGAGTCACGCGAATCGGCCTCCTGTGGGTGGGGGTTTTTGCGTCCTTACAAAATACCCCGCTCTCCAACCCCCGTATGCGTTCAGTCTGTGATTGATTGCCGTCTGGGTCGCGTTGAATATTTAAATTTGATTTGTTCGCGAATGGAGGATTATTATATTTCTTTTTTTTTTTCAACGTGGGATTTGAAGAGAAGGTGGGGCGAGGTCCCATTTGTTAGGTAAATTATCGGCGTTCCAGAAATTTTATACAAAGTATTGAGGACTCTTACAGAACAACGTAAATAACGACCGAATGGAAATGTAATTATGTATCCGATCTCATCTATGAATTTATTGTATATATTTTATGTCATTGCTTTTTCTTAGTGTAATTTAATAAGAGTGTATATTATATGTTATTATCCCTAATGTTCTGTCTTTTAATACGTAGCCCAGTGCGATGCAAATTGAACTGAGGCGGCTTTTACTTGATAAAAATCCATTTATCAAAATAAATAAGAACTGAAAGATTTAAATACTTCTCCTTTATTGAACTTAAATTCTCACTGTTGAGCCAGTAAATATTTATAGGGAACAATTTTGTGGTATTTTTGAGAATAAGGGGAATTTCAGTTTAAAATGCACGTGTTTTTTCTGATGGTAACGATCGGCCTGGCGAACACTTGTCTATTAATTTATGACCGAAGACAAGGGCATGGTTTAAGTGGCTTTTGAAGTAGGTATTGAGTTAAATAGATGTGTTTTACTTTTTAGAAAACTGAATTTGAGGACTTTAGTATCGTTAAGGATTCGGCAGGCATCGAAAGCCAATTTTCTCCGACGGGTTCTTTTTTACGAATTCGAGTGACCCAAGTGACCAAAGCATTGGTATTTTTCTAGTACGGAATTATATGAATAATAAATCCGTATGAAATATCTATCACTATTTCTAGAACCTTGTGATGCCAGGTTCCGTTTCTAGAAGACCCTCACACGAATTTTGCCCCGAGAATTATAAATTATTAGCGACTAAACACTTGCGAAGTTTAAAGTGACACTTTCCGCGCTCTAGAAACAATCGGCTACGTTCTAGAGTTTCACTCAGTTTCCTTTTTGTTTTGTTCAAGAGCTCTGCAGTGGCGAGACGCTACCCGAAGTAGAGATCATCAGTCTTCTGGAGGAGCAAATACCCCGTTACAAACTACGGGCGGACGTGCTGACCAAGTTTGGGGGTGAGTAGACGAACCCTTTCAATAAATCACTGGCCTCTCTAAGTATCGTCAACGAAAACACAAAGGGGCCTGACTTGGTTTTTCTTATTTTTGAGCAGCGGTTAAAGATTTTTTGCTATTCTTGATTAAGTGCTAACCGAAGTTCTTTTTTGGACAATATATATATGCGAGCAGGTACCATTTAACTATGTTAAGTAGATATTTTTTTCGTTTTAATTATTGAGATTTTTACAAAAAAAAAAAGATAAGCCAATTCGTGATATGGACCAGGGCATGGGCAAATGATTGCACCAAAAAAAAAAATTAAAAGTAAACTAAATATTACTAAAATTAGAAATGGGTATTGTGAATGGTTCTTAAAATACCTATATACAGAGGGGACACTGATTTTGAGATACTTCTACTTACGGCGTCGCTTGATGCTAGCCTGGTAAATTTTTCTAGCAGAAATAAACATATTTGCGTGCAATAATTATGTGACTGTATTTTTAATAAGCATGAAAAAATATTTGACATTTTTAGCAAGTGTTTGTAATGCAAACACCAGGTTTATGAAAATAATTTTAAAAAATGTATTTCATGATGGCAAGAGCATATCGAATTTTGCTCATACGTTTCACTCTTTTTTGCGAATACTCCTTGTAGTTTAAAAAGTCCTCCGCCTCTTCCTCTTTTTCACCAATTTTGAAAAATTTTCTTTCCTAGGTACCCAGCAACATACGTGCTCTTTCCTCTGTAACTTTTAAAGGAGTAGAAAAATTTGCAAGTAGTTGTGTGAACTGCGAAAGTGTAACGAACTCATCTTCTGGAAGTCCCTAAAATGACAACAAAATAATAAACACGTACACACGAAAAAGGCATTATTATTATTATCACATACCTATTATTATTATGACATATTATTATATAATTAAGTACCTGCGATATAAGTCTTTGTAATGTGAAGAATAATTCTGATTGATCATCTTCACAGTTGTTTCCAACAGGCCGCTTGGAAGACATACTAGTCACCAAAAAGCTCTTATAATAACTTTGAAAATCCAAAACTCTAGGATTAATATTCCTATGACCCCTTTGGCGAATTTACACTATCAATAAAGTTAGCTTGAGATGAGAATAAGAAAGTGCTGCCTTTATGCTTTTAGTTGTACTTACCCATGATATTATTATCATAGAAGCAAAATCACTGCAACCACAAAATGTCCAAAAAATCCAAAAACACTCACTACCACCCAAAACTGGTCATCTGGTATTCACAATGCGAATACCCGGCGAACACGGACCATAGATGCGGACGGATGCGAATTTTAAATTTAAACCAATTTCTGTCAAAATTCATCCGTTTGCAGCGCCTCTGGCGGGATGTAAACAATTAAACACTATGGATTGGCCAGCCGACAGCCCCGACCTAACTTTAATGGTTTTTTTCTTTTTTCTCCTTGTAACTTCGGCAAAGGATTTAAGAGGCAATCGAATCAGTTAAGAGACAATCTGGAAACGTTACTAAATGCAAGCCATCACATACAGCAGCATTTAGAATAGTTAGCGTTTTTGTTCTGCTTCAATTTGTAAATAATTATTGTTATTGCTTTGAAAAGTGTGTTACATCATTGTAATCGGGATAAGATATACTATTAAACAGATATATAATATACAGCGTGTTCCATTTAAAAATATATTATGTAGGCTTATATGTCAGAAAATCGATACTGTTTTGTTTTATACGTCAATTGAACGCACGGTACAATCACCTAACTAATGATTTGGATGCGGTGTTATCAGGTTGTACGGCTAAAAAAGAAAACCGCTTTTTATTCCACCATTAATGCCTCAAACGCTGTCGAAATTTGTTTTATTTAAGGATACGTCCTTATATTTAGACCGAAATTCTGCGGCGAACGGCCGAAAATTGTATTTTTATTCGACGCCCTGAGTTATTGTCGTCGGTGTTATTTTCGGGAAAAAGGTGGCGCTCCGTCGCTACCAGGAAGTACGGGAAAAATGGCGGACTTTTTTTTTAGAACCAACTTCTAAACCTTGACCGCGTATTACATCATTGTAATCGGAATAAGATATTCTATTAAACAGATATGTAATATACGTAAGAAAACATCGGTAATGACGTGTTGCGGGGCGTTGTGGCGTTATTTTTTATCCTGATCAATAATATTTACATTATTTATCAATTAGTTGTAATTATTAATAACAGAATATTTCTGTTATAAATCTCACATTTTCTTTGGTATTGAAATAATGAAAATATGGGAAAATTGTAAGGCTGCTTAATAGTCATAATTTTAAAATAACTATTTCTCAGTTGAATTTCTTTATGTATTTTTTTTGAAGTATATCTTCTGCATTTTATCTTTTTTTGGATTTATTTCATTTTCCATCGTCCCACCAGCTTCTTTTACTCGATACGAACGCAGAAGATAATGAATTTGAACATTAAATACAATTAACTGATTTTCTTTGTAATTTTTACAAAGCTATTTGTTTGAATGTGAATTAAAGTTGGTTCATTATCAGTAGCCTTGCGTACCTCTAAAGTGATGCCTTTGTCAATATGTGGGCATTAACCTGTAATAACAATACCATTATGGATATTAGCAATACTTTTCTACTTTGCTACTACAAAAATTATCTAAGTTTTTATTTGAATTATTTTGAAAGCAATACCTTCCGTTTTCTTCCATTTTCTCGAAATAACGTCTTTCAAAATGTTCGGTACAAACTCGTATACTGTTTGAAGACCCTGTATACTGAGCATAGTCCTTCCATTGTTGGCGTCTATATAATTAAATTTATAAATCAATTGAAAACACTAATTTACAGGATATAAATATTTATATACACTCTTTGACAAACAGGAATTAAAAAAAATAAAACTGTTTTGTTGATCAATGTTAAACGTCCATCATTTATATACGTAACAATAAAAAGTCGCGGATATGCTATGATGTTAAAAAAACACCGCGGGATTTTGTTCTTCTTTTCGCGACTCCCCCGTATATCGTTCAATCACGTAATGGCCCCGCAGATTGCGACGTGCCTTATCGCGAGATAAGCGACTGAAGATAAGGTTCGCGATTTAAAGGAACGCGCCTTGCGTATCGGCAAGTGTTATTTTTATTATTTTCAGCCGAACCGTTTAACCCGAGCCGTTCGTTATTGTTTCTCATTTTTTATAGGCCCAGTAAGTATCCGAACGTCGCGAGCCTCCCCAAGTCTCCCGTTGCTTTAGCCCGGTGTTTTTTTTTTTTTGAAAGTAACAACAAAAACGTGCCATTCGGAAGTATTTTAATCCCGACAGTTGTTTGTTTTCTTCTCTGCGACCGGTATCTTATTAAGAAAAAAAAAACATTGCTGATAATATTTTGTTGCGAGATAACATTCCAGGACGATAAAATCGTGCGTACCAAACCTTACAGCCAGCATCTTCGAAAAATAATGAAGGGACCGCTTTTTTTTTTGAAAAATAACAATACGCATATGTGTTCCGTAATATTTAATTATTTTATATACATATTTTAACATCTACTTAGGGACATTTTATATTAATGTTTAAGAACTACATTTAGTGTTTCAAATAATCGGCCATTCTCTTTTGAATTTTTTTAGTATGCCAATACGCGTCTCGTACTTTGGCTTGTATTTTCGCCATTCGAGATAGGCATCTTCCCCATGATGCATAAAGAAAATGCTCTAGCAGCTTGTTTAATGGTTGGTGGTGGTCCCAGATCAACTTTTTCATCTTCTTCTTCCTCTTGGTGCTCTTCCTCACCCTTTCTTGCTTGTTGTAATATGGCTTCCTCTGTTGTAGGCAAATCCTGATCTATTACCATAAAATCTTGCAAATGTTCACTTGTAAACGTAATTGTTGTTTGAAACTGCTTTATCCACTGGCTTAGTGGTTGATCATCTTCGCATTATGTGTCGCTAATAAGGGTAGGAGTGATGCTTAGTTTCTGCTGTCACCTCTTTGCAAGCTGTACTAATAAAGTTGACTGCATCTAGCATATTAATGGAAAATTTGTCTTCAGGCTCGATCATTTCCATTAAAATGTTTTTTCTGTATCGACTCTTAAGACTTTTTATTACGCTCTGGTCCATCGGCTGTAATACACTTGTTGTATTGGCTGGAAGAAATGCCAATTCAATATTTAGTAGATTTGGAATGTGGGGATGTGCAGGGCAATTATCTAAGAGAAGTAATATTTTCCTCCCCTTTAATCTCCTCTATCTCCTCTCAAAAATTTGCGATGTCATCCATGCAGACTTGTTTGCCTTGTAAGTGACCGGCAAATGCTTGATGTTCTTAAAACATCGTGGGTTAGTTGATTTTCCAATCACGACTAGCTTTCTTTTTTCTCTCCCACTCATATTGGCAGCTACTAACACTGTTATACGTTCTTTAGGAAGTTTTCCATCCACACACTTTTCGCTTCGAAAAATACCAGTTTCGTCAGCATTAAAAATATCGTCAGCGGGGTACCTTCCTGCTAGTTTTGGCCACGTCTTTTCCAGCCAATCGTTAATGACGTTTCTGTCGACATCACGAGCTTCGCCACTTATCTCTCCATAATTTATACCATGTCTCTGTTTGAACTTCCGCAACCATCCTTCCGAATGGATAATGTCAAGCTGTTCAGCAAACTTTTCTGCTGTTAGTTTTACGATAAGTCCAGAGAGTGGTACATTTTTAAGACCACTGCAACATTGCCGTATCCAAATCTTCAAATTTTGGCTTTCTTAGTTTTTTACTAGAACCGGCTGCCGCTTCAGCCTGAATGATTTTTTTTTGCACTTCCAAATCGCCGTCCCACATGACTTTTCTTTCCTCCCCGTTCTGTCTCCCGAATTAAAGCAACTTTACTAAGTCAAATTAGAACTGATTGAAACAACGGTTTGCTTTTATAAATACCGATATTAAAATTTAAATTGGTAAAAAGTCAGTTTCGCATTTTTTTTTCGTTGCCGCCGGACGCCACTGCGCGTTG